AGCGTTTATTCAAGTGACCATTTGAAAAGGGAAAAAGGGCTTTACGTCACCGTGATTCGTTAAAAGAGAAGAAGAGCTTAATTATCCGTGGAGCAAGCTTGCGCTCGATTTTTGAATTTTCGTCATTCACTGTGTCTTTTTTAAACCTGTATTCCATAACTGAAAATGATCTCATCAATTTTTGAGTCTGAGAAAGCGTAAAAAAAAGAAGTAAAGCTTGATTAGCCGTGGAGCAAGTTCGCGCTGATTTTCTGAATTTTCTTCTTCCTTTCTGTCTTGTTTGAACCAGTATCCCTTTCACGATCCTAACTTCATCTATTTCCCGGAAAACCGGATGGGGGAAAAGATCTCCGATCCACTCGCTACCTTTGATCTGAGAGCAGCCCCGAGTAGATTGGAAGAAGCGATGGAAGCAAAAAAAAAAAAGAGTTTGGCCGTTGATAGATCGAGGTCTCTCTGGCTGAGAACAACAGCGGAGGGCCGAGGCGTTGCATGTTCGGCCTGAAAATCCCAGAAAATCCCTCTGTTTCTCTTCTTTTTCTTCATCATTTTTTCGCATCGTTTTCGCAGCTTTCCCAACATGTTTCATTCAGAAATACCAGCTTTCCACAAACTTAATTTGAGAAAAATGTTTTTTTGGAAGTCGTAAGTCAGCTCGTGATCTTATTTTTAATGGTTGGAAATGATTGGTTTGAAGCGAGATCATCTCAAAGTAATAGTTCAAGCCGCAATCTATCAATTCCACGGCAACATTTTTCTAAGCCGCAACGGTTCGAACAAAAAAACAGTTTTTTTTGTTTCTTTTGTAAGAAATTTCTTCTTAAAGTATTTTTAAACTGAAAAATAATTCAAGGTTAGATTTTTTTAACATTCTGGAATTTGACATACTCAAAGAAAGTTTAGGAAAAGTTTTTTTTCTGAATTTTTTTTCTTCGATCTTTACACAAAAAAATGTTGAACTCGGTTTTGAAGCGAAGTTTTTTTCCCATTATCTTTCATGTTCATGGCCTTCCGAGCCGAATAAATCACAAGGCCAAAATTTACTCACGTGTTGAACTCTTGGAACTTCTCGTCGTTTGCAAGCCAAAATGATTGACAGATTTTTTGCAAAAATGGATGTTTTAAACTCTTTTTGAGCAGACTACATGTCTCAGGATGGATCAATTCGAAATATCCCTCTTAAATCAACTTTAGTCGGAAAAAAGTGGACTACGGTAGTCTTGAACACCTCAAAGATTGTTTCATCAAGGATATCTTCACCTCGTGATATTTTCCTCAACAATCCTTCGGGTTTCCTCAAAGTTTATCACACACAATCGAGACCAAATTTATGCGAGGTGCGTCCCGGTGGCAGTTGCTTCTTTTTTTATCGCTTCCTGAGTGTTTCTTCTTCTTCTCACCTTGCCCCTTGTGACATCGTAGATGTTCTCCAAGTCGAGCAACCTGCTCGGCACGTCTTCCATCATCCGCGACACGCACCTCAACGAGGAGGCCAAGCTCCGTCAGAGGCGACTTTCGCTCCTGAACCAACGTCGCGACTCCCTCGTCGGCTACAAGGCTAATGTTCGCTGGTCTTTTTTTTTGATTTTTTAAATTTCTGGAAATTAAAACACTTGAACAGCACTTTTCGCATACTCCTCTCTCTTCAAAGATACTAAAAAAGGCGGGAAAAGCGGCTCAGAGCCGTAGCTGCTCAACGAGCAGAAATTGAGTTTGAAGAATACTTTTTTAAGAGCACAGTAGAAAAAAGATGAAGTTATCTGCGCTAAAATCTTTTTTTTTTTTGAATTTAATCACTGTGTTTCTTACAACAATGGAAACATATGAATAAACTTGCAACGTATTACTTTTAAGTTTTCGAAACTTCTATGCATCCAAAAAGATTTTTTTCTTACTTTTTCGCCTTTTTTTACACTCGGTAGTGCCGGAAAAACAATGAATTTTAGAGGTATAGAGCTTTGAATTTTTCTTTTCTTTTTTTTTTCGATTTTTGTAGTTATCAAAGCTCACTTCGAAACTTCATATTGATCTTCAAAACCTGGACGTCAAGTTGAGGATTCCAGAAAAACCCAACCAATATTTTTCTTCCAGCGTCATTGGTACATTGTTAAGTGCACATGAGTGTGTGTTGATCTTTGCAAAAACAGACGGCAACTGACGGGGAAATAATTCAATGAAATGGTGTCTACTTTTACAGTTACCGAGAACAGCGAAAAATATTATCATTTTTCGGCAAACGAGATGGGATTCAGGTCAGCATACACCAGTACACGGAGGATCCAACAGTTGCCTGGGAGATGCTTCGGGAGAAACGGCCCGTTAAACCGGTTCGGCAGGTGAGGATTTGAGAAAATACCTTGATTTCTATAAAGTTGCGGCTCTAAAAAGTCAAAAATCAGGTTCGCTTCTTAAAATTCTTACTAGTGTGAAGTTAGTAGAGAAGCTCTGAAACTTTTTTTTTTCAAATTGCGTAGTTTTGAAGTTTAGGCGACAAATTTATCATTTCCTGCTTCAAAATGGGATCCTAAAAAATAAACTCTTCGAGTTAATATGAATTTGTTGATTTTCATCAGAAGAGTCATAAGACAAAGTATTGATCCATTAAGATGCGCCTGGACACGCCGGTGAAGCCCGACCATGTCCGGTTCGTCTGTATCGGGTGCACCCATGGCGAGCCCATTGAGCCCTCGTCCCTGCCGCCAGGAGACGTGCTCCTGATCGCTGGAGACTTCACCTCCTGCGGAATGCCCCAGGAGGTGCATGCCTTCAACAAGTTGCTCGGCAGCATGAAGCACGCCTTCAAGGTCGTCATCGGCGGCAACCACGAATGCACCTTCGATGAGCAGTTCTTGCGATCGAGTTGGTTTCTGGAAATTCTCCGTTTTTTGCGACTTGAAACTCTTGTTTTTCTCTGCGCCCTCCTCGTCTCTCGGTGACCCTCTCGTGTTGACGTGGTGTCTTTATGTTTCTGACCCCGCCGGTGAGGGAACAGAGAGACGCAGACCCTCGAAAACTTCCAAGTCGCTTCGAACGGGCTATAAAAAATTCAGCGTTTGTGAATGATGCATTCAAGTGGGAAATGAAATTAAAGTAAAACTTGGAGAAGTGAAAAAAATCTGGAAAAACTTCATATTTCATGTTTTTGGATCCTTATTGGGAATGATCTGATATCATAAAGTTGGCCAGAATGTTTTTCGTTTCTTAAATCATGAACCTGAACATTTTCTTTAAGTCTGTTCAGTCTTTGAAGGATAAATCATCGCTCAAGCTCCGCCCCCAATATTTCGATAAGCCAATTAGAGAACGAGCCATCTACAGAGCGTCTTTGAAGGACGTCATCGTATTTACCATTTAAAATCTGAACAAGATAAAGTTCTCTAAAGAAATTGAGGTAAAGTCTCAAAATAGCTCATTTTCCAACTTTTGATGGTCTTCTTTACTAAAATTGGGAAGTTGTGAAATTACTCACTCAGTAAATCAAAGAGTATTCGGCCAAGTTTCAAAAATGTTCCAACCCCTAAAAGAATGACTTTGTTTATCATCTCTTTCCCTACCCACGAAAACCTTCAGACAAGGCTTCCGAAGCCAAGGAGATGGCTCTGAAACACGCGCTGCACTCGGCGATGGCGTCGACCTCCAAGACGCCGCACGCCAAGCAGCTGCTCAGCAACGCCCTTTACCTCGAAGACAGCGTCATCGAGCTGTTCGGCATCACTATCTATGGAACCCCATGGTATCTTGAAGCCTTAGGAGACCGAACCGTTCTTACCATTGGACCTGTAGGCAACCAAAAGTCGATAATTGGGCTTTTAATCTTCCCCGAGGCCAGTCGCTGCTCGACAAGTGGAATCTGATTCCATCCGGCGTCGACGTCCTTCTGACACACACGCCGCCGCTAGGTTGGTCTTCTGGAGACTTTTCAGGTTTGAGAAAGAGTTTCAGGACATGGCGATCAGATGCTGAACGGTCAGAGGATGGGGTGCGTCGAGCTGCTGAACACGGTCTTCAAACGCGTCAAGCCAAAGTACCACGTCTTCTCGCACATTCATGAAGGTCGCTATTTTATCCCTGGAGCGCATGTGCTCAAATTCTTCGTTTTTGTTTTTGCGATCTTTTCGAAACAAAGTTCTTGTCAAAAAAATTTAGTTTCACCTGAAGCTTCATTTTTGAAAAGCTGATAATATGAATTTTCTTCAGGCTACGGCTGTACAACCGATGGCTACACTAAATTCATTAATTGCTGCGCCTGCGATGAAAATTTGGAGCTGAAGGTATGAATAACGATTTTTTTAACGCAATGCGAAAAAGTTCAGAATGATCCTATAATTTTCGACATTCCCGTCCATCCGCACACTAAACAGTTCTATCTTCAGAACGTCAAGAAAATAGTGAAACGGTTCCAAAAATCTAAAAAATAATATCAAGTACTAACCGAAGGCCGTATGAAGGTCCGCGAAGTTGAAAAAGTAGGATTCAATTCTTCGAAATCAGAATAATTTCGTTTTATAACTCATTCATAATGCGTAAACCTTCAAGCGGCTTCGAAATATTTTTTTTAGAAAAACATTCCATTTTTCTTGATTATATATATCGCTCGCTTGTCACTTGTCCCACAGACTCGACCTTTCAAAAATGTATTTTTCCCAGGAAAAAAGGTGGACTTTATCACCTGCCCTTATATTTTTTCGCGTTTTTCGGGTGTCTGTGAGAGCAAAAAAATAAAGGAAAAATAATATAATAGCCCTCATTATCCGTTCGCAAACGACCTTTTTGTTTGGGTATTTGAGTAATCCAAGCTTCCGTTTCATGTAAATTGTTAACAAAGTTTCCCTGGAAAATCTATTTGCCTTGAAACCATACCATATAACTTTGCAGTTTTTCCAAGCTTCTCAAAAATATATATTCCTGTATTTTTTTTTTGGAAATTATTATTTTTTTGTGTCTTCCCATGTGTACCTGTTCCCCGTTCTGTTCATATCTCTCTCGAAAATAAAAATCCGTCTCAAAAAGTTCACGAATCCTGACCAAATAGAGTTTGGGGAAAGACGATATCGTGGCGGCAATAATATGGAAATGAAATGGCGGAGATTGGTCCCAAATGGAGGCAATGAGCAACTGAGAGAAACGTTTTTTTTCCATTTTTGTTGGATTTTTTTTCGAAATCAGAAAAGTTCTCCTTGTTTAGTTTGAACTTTTGAACCAACCCATAAACTTCTGATAAACGAAAAATAAGCATCACGGGTATAGTTCAACTAACAATCGCGCGACGAATTTCTAACCAAACACACCGATTGATACGATCCTCGGGGACGCTTATCGGCTGCCCATTTCGTCAGTCTTACGTTTTTTTTTCACACTTTCTCTTCCAGAGGTCGAGCTTCCAAATCACTCGAAAGAAAAAAAAAATTCAGATCTATGCTTTTCAAGCTTGACTGGTTGCGGTAATTACCCTGCAGGTGTTCCGAATAGCTGGAATTCGAAAATGGGACGGCGTGGGCTACTTTTGACGTTGCAAGGATCCTTTGACGTTGAAAGAAGCTCGAGATTGTAACATTTTTTTGAAGCTTTGTGATTACTGTACGGGAAAGGACGCGGACACTATCACGTTGTGGACATTTTATCTTACGCGCTCTTTCAAATTTTAGTTTTTTTTTCTTTCTGTTTCCTATCTTTTTTTTAGATTTCACATTTTTCTTGGGGTCAACTCTGTTTTTGAGCTTTTATAAACTGTTACAAAGATGATTCGCTATTAGGTTTCAGTAAACTTAATGAGAAATTTTTAAATTTTGAGCTTCGAATTTATGTTTGTCTTTCCGCTATAGTTTTTCCCGTCAATTTTTTTTAAACTACAACTCTTTTTTTAGGATTCTATTGAAGATGGAAGAACTTTGTTGGTCCACTTTTTTCATGGGAGGCAGGCGATAAGTACTTGAATATCGAGAGAAGGTTTTCATTTATTATTTTTTTGGAAATTTCGCGTTTTTCCAATGTAAATCTCTTCAAGGAAAAATAGCTGTGACTAAAAATCCTCGTTTTCCCAATTTTTGAGTTTCTAGCGGTTTTTTCAATCCGAAAATCATTCCAGTCGATCATGAAACTTTACCTGAAAAACTTTTATCGATAGCCGTCTATTTAATATCTAGGTATGATTTTCCTAATTTGAAATTTGATTTACAAGTTTCAGAATAGCTTGCTGTGGTGTTTAGAGGCCCAAAAATCAGCCAAAGCCTGAATCAACATAGAGAACGGCTTTTCGCTCCGAGGCCTTATTGTGGAACGCCCCAGCGAGCTGTTTTGTTTCAAGTGTGAACTTTTTTTTTTAAAATTGATCATGAGGTAGTTCTTTCAAAAAGCAACTTATGAGATAATCATAGGCCCAGTTCAGATTTTTTTGTGTTTTTCAACCAAAATCACCGGAAAATTCATAGCCTTGGGGTCGGAGCTTTGAAAAATCGCTCCCGTGCTCTTTCCATTTGCTGCTTCTTTTTTTGTCGCGAAACTTCATTTAAAACAAATCGCTTAAAAGTCTGCCTCGGAAACCAGACGGGGAATCACGATGTTTGGAGGCCCCATTGACTCTGAATTCGAATTGGTATTTCGAATCCGATTTCCGTGTTGCGTCGTCGTCGTTCGCCCCGTCCTGAAAGCATTTGTTTGCATTTGGCAAATTGCTGTCCCCATATCCGACCGCTTCAGTTCTTTTTTTCTCCTTCTGCTTCTTCATCCCAGCCTTACCTACCGTCCATTGGCCGGTTAGTTCCGGTGGCTGAGTCGGCCGGCCAGGAAATTAATTAGAAAAAAAAACGAAGTCGCCTTTCGCTATTAACCGCTTCCTGCAACTCTTGCCGCGTCTCGCTGCATAAATTTCTCTTTTTTCTTCGAACTTTTGCCTTTTTATGTGCCAGACGGAGAGATTGCAACGTTTTAATTATTGCTCAATTCGATGACTTTTTCATCCAGGTCTGCGAGTTGGACTGTAGCGAAAACTTGGAAGTTTTTTTTTAAGGATCGAAATTTGAAGTTTTCCTTCAACGCTTATAAATGGATGATTTTCACGTGGTTTTGCTTTCGAATAGGGACTTGCAAGTTTTTTTCGATTAGAAAAAAAAATTGAAGATTTTATTGCTTTAATCAATTAATCAAAAGGACTTTTTTGAGTATCTTCGTCTCAGACCCCTTTGAGGCCCAAAAATTGAGCATTTCAGTTTCGTGAGATGTTTTGTTAAAAGTTTCAGAAAAAACGCTTTTTTAAACTTTCACCTTTCGATCAACAAAGCCACGACAAAATTATTCCATGTAACTTTTCAAAAGTCGATGTTATGCATATCAAAGGAACTTTCTACTTAACAGGAATTTTCCAACTTTGTAGGTGTTTTCGAAGAAGCTCCTTTTACTTCAAACTTTAAAAATCACAGATTTTATGCGGTATCGAAGATTTGAAAGTACAAAGTAAAAAACTATGTCTTCGACCGACCTGTGACCATTTTCTTTTCTAATTTCTTCTTCAGAGATTCCTGAGTTTTGATTAATGTGATCCTAGTCAGGTGAAATTTATGAGAAAAAATTCTACCGTATTCTCCAAAGTTTTCTCCAGACTTCTGAAGCCTCTGGCACTCAATTTTCGGACTTAAACTCTCGAAAAGACGGAAAAACATTCGATTTCCAAGATTTTAATCGAGAAATTATGAGAAAAGGCCGATGGTTTCAATTGACTCGGGGACGGCTTCGAATTTCGGTTGGTGGCTTGTTGGAGGTCGCCTCGGATATTGCAAAATTTGCTGCTTGTTTGCCCTTCTCCGTTTACTCCCACCATCACCAACACTCGACTTCATCTTGTCTCCCCCACCCCGACGTCTTCTGAGATCATTTCTATTTTCGCCCTCCTTCTTTAATCCTTAATTTTCTAATTCGAGAAGGAAAAAAAAATCGGAAATGACGTCAACCCACGCTTTGCAGAAGTTACACGCGGCCAAATAACTTTTTCTTCTCGTTTCAAACGGATAAAAACATTGTAAAGACGTCATTTTTGCGGTTCTTGGTTCAAATTTGGACTAACGTCACAAAGTTCCCAGTATTCCTTCAAAACAATCTAGGATTTTCTGTCCTCAACAGGAAATTGGTGTCATTTTTTGAGTTATAAAAAACTATTAATTTTTGGTTTTTTGAAAAGTTTTCAGATATAAAAACAGCGCTGATGAATCAAAAGCAGTTTTGAAAGCTGTTGTCTCAATATCAAAAGCTCAATCGTTTCAGGACCTTTTTTGGAAAACATTTCAGGGGTTTTTTTTGATGCAATGGCTCTGTACAAATGTCTATATTAACAAAAAAAATTAAATATAAAAAAAAATAACTTTTTTTCCAGCTTCATCATCTTCACAGGAAATCTTTTGAGGAGAATATTCATTTCTGCAACTTTTTCTCATTTTCTGTGTTTTTTTGAGCCGGAAGTTCAAAAGACCGTCGGAAACTCTCCATTAGTTAATTATCAAAATAGCCACGCCTTTGTTTCGAGAATCCGACGCGTAAGCGGTCGCGTCGCGGCTCACCGGCGCCAATTTAGACACCTCGATTATGTTATCAGAGTTTTCCCAGGCGCTGCCGTGTCGCCTCTCTTTTGTTGACCTTTTTGAGCGGCTTAAAACTAAGATGTTGCTTAAGTGATTAATTTGATCATTGAGCGATTTTTTTTTTCTCTTCTGGCTTCCGTTTTTAGTTCTCTTACTGAGGAATTTGCTTTCGAGGTTAATTTTTTTCAAATTGTCTGTGAATCAAAAAGAAGTGCTAGATGTTTCACAAGGTTTTTCAAGTTTTTTTTCGGTTTCAGTGTTTTTTTTTTCGACCTTTTATCTGGCTTTGTCAGCCAAATTCGGTTTGAAAGTATTAATCAACGTTCAGATTTTTACTTAGTTCAAAATTCATGAGCGGCTATTTTTTCCGTTAAATCGATCGAAAAGGTACTAATGTCCCTAATGAAACGATTTTACTGTATGAAAGTTATGTTCCTTGTGAAAGGAAATTTTCCCAGGATCCTTCCTGCGCCTCAAAAAGGTTTATAAGCCTTTCGATAAGTTAAATTCAACAAACTGAACTATACCGATCGATTCAACCAAAAAAAAACGAATCTTTCCAAAAAAGTGTGTTAACATTATTTGCCCAACGGGTCATGCGCCGTTCTTGTTATCAGTCCTGAGCGAGGCTTGTGTTGCCACCTCCAAGAGGCTACCGACCGACACAAAATGTCTCGAATTTCAAGTTGAACTGCTCGGAGACGACACCGGCGATGAACAACTCGACGACCGCCTGGGACGATGACGACGAGTGCGGCACGTCGCTTATCGACGAGAATTTCGTCAGAATCCCCGTCATGTGCGTCTACGTCGTCGTGTTCGTCGTCTGCCTTCTTGGTGGGTTTTGGGGAGGTTTCAGGAGGAAAATAATACCTTAAGATTTTCTTTGTATGTGTCCGTTTTACCATAGATAATACATTGATTTAGTCTGTTGAATATCATAAAAAAGGAATTTTTATCTATTAGAACATTTTATTTTTAAGTGTAACTTCTGATGAAGCTTCAGTTCACTATGTAGAAGTTCATGAGTGAGTTCAAATTTTGATCATAAAGGAGATTAGGCGAGTATTTCGGAAAGGACTACTTGAGGAACTTTTCCTTGAAAGACTTCTTAAGTGATTTTACTGGATGTTTTCTCTCAAAGTTGCTGCAAATTGGAGAAAACTAACACTTATTGGTACTTCCAACTCATTTTAATGCTGTGCTCAAAATCATTTCCGCGAAATACAAAATTATCTCTGACTCTCCAAAAATTAGTTATCTTTTCCCCTCTCTAACGACTATTTATAATCTTGTGGAAATATTTAGATTACGGCGTAATTTTTCGTTTTGTTCCGTGATTGAAATGTCAAAGTCGATGGCAAATCAAGGAAGTTTCACGATTTTTATTTCCGAAAAGCGAGTAGACTTTCGATTGGTTCGGTTTCAAGCAAATTTCTTGATTATTTTTTCCTGCGGGTGCTCAAATTATCACAGATCAGACGATTGCTTTTTACGACGTGAATTGGCACGTGCCGCCTTTTTCGATTCTCACACAATCAGCACAATTTTTATGAGTTCTCAGACCAGATTTCGCTTTCGACAAGGAATAAAAGTCTGGAAAAAAGTTCTGATGGAACTGAGGGATAGGTCGGAGTAATTGAAATGGAATGGTTCAATTTTAACCAATCTATGTTTTTTATGGAATATTTTCAGGAAATCTATTCACGATACTGGTGATAACGACGCATCCGATGATGCGAACGGCGACGAACTTCTTCCTGGCCAATTTGGCCGCCGCAGACCTTCTCGTCGCCATTTTCTGTATTCTTCAGAATATGATTCATATTGTGGGCTTCGACCACGGCAATTGGCCATTGGGTTCGTTGGTGGAACTTTTTTCTGTGGAAAAAGTTGAAGATATGCTTCCAATTATAACTAGAATCTATTCCGGTGGGAAAAAAAGAGTCTCTTTTAGTGACCCCTATGTTTCGATATTAGCTTGGAGACAAGATTCAGAATAGGATATAGACAAACTTTTTGAAACAAGCTTTTTAAAAAAAATTTCCGAGCTCTTTGAGCACATCAAAGTGGTAACTTCCAGGCGAGCTCCTGTGCAAAATGTATTTAATGGTCCTGCATCTGGTACCGTGTACCAGCGTTGGGATTCTTGTCTGTGTTTCTTTAGAAAAGTATATAGGTTGGTTCAAAACATTCTCCTTTAAAATGTTCAGTTATTCATTTTGTAATTTCCAGCTGTTCTTCATCCCTTGACGGCGATGAAAGTGCTGACGAATCGGCTAAGGATGATAGTCACTATTGCAATTTGGATGATCTCCCTGTCATTGAACTTGCCGTTTTTCTTCCGAGCCAAACTCTACACTTTCCATGAGCATGCCGCTTGCACCAGAACTCCGTAAGAGTTTCTTTACTTGATTTTAGAAGTTTCATTTAGAAGATTGGGCAGGTATAAAATTTTGAGAAATTGCTGAAACTTGACTAAGAAGTACTTTAATTAACCTAAAATATAACCAAATTTTCACGCTTTTGAGTCAAATTATGCAGCTTAAAAGACTCAATGAATCCTCATTTTTTTCCAATCTAAAGCTTTACGACACTATAACTCGATTAAAACTCGAATTATCTAAACATTTACCATGTTTTTCGGAACTACGACTCTCAAAATTGATATCCAGTTTCAACTGTCCTTCAAAAAAGATCGGATTTTACAGCACCTTGCTTCCAAAATAATTTTACTGGGCCCTTTAACAAAAAAAAAGTTTTTCAGAATGCCATTCTGGATCACGATGTCGTTCTTCATCTGGTATATAATTCCGTTGATCGTCTTGGGCTTCATCTACTCCCGAATCGGCGTCCTTCTGTGGACCTCGGGCAGTCGAAGTGTGAGCACGAGGCAAAGCAGTGGTGAGCCGCAACTGCTCGAATATTATATTCCATCTGTGGAGTCTACAGACTCGCAAGGAAGCGCCGGCGTCAGCTGGCAGATGGCCAATGGGCGAATCGTCGTCTACAAGCAGGAGAGTCTCCTGCAGGTGCCCGACGAACGCAAGAAGGAGCCAAGAAGGCCCAAGGAGACCGAAGGGCGGAGGAAGGTTTGCTAAGAGTTGGTTTTGAGGAACGGTTCATTCGAGGCAGTTACTTGAAAATCTTGAGGAGATTGTTCAAAAATTCGTCTCGCTTTTTGAGAAGTCCTGGTAAGAGATCATTTCACTAAATTTCGTCTTCTCCAGCTTTTTTTTTTGCATTTCTGAAGAACCAATAAGGAAGCCGTGCTTTCTCTCTGTTATATCTTTGAAATGATAGCTTGAAAGTTTCTTTAAAAACATTTATTCATTTTTTGGTTTAGGTGGTCCGACTACTTTTTGCGGTCGTATTGTCCTTTGCTCTACTTACCTTGCCTCATCACGCTAGGCTGATCCATTCGGTTGGTTTTTTTTGTTTTGCTGAAAATGGGTGATTCAAAAAATATCACTCTTGTTCACTATTGGGATTATCAACAATATCGCGGTAGGACCTTGTCTCATCGGTTTGGCCTTTAAGCGGTACAAAACCGTAAGAAGAAGAAGAAGAAGAATGTAATCAAAAACCAAGGAGAAATATGGAAAGTGAGAGGAAAATCTCAGAGCTGGTCCGTCTCGGCACACTGTTCATCTGACTGGACGAGCCTCCTCCAGCCGTTCAGCTACATCTGCCTCTTCGTCTCCTCGGCCATCAACCCGATTCTCTACGCATTCCTCTCGAGGAGATTCCGCAACGCGGTCGCCGACATCCTACAATGCCGGTCCCTCGCCAAATAATTAGCTCGAAAATACAACGACATTTTTTTTCCAGAAAAGGCGTGTTCTCGAAGATTTCGAGGTCGCGCAACCGGACGCTCGTGTCCGACGTGCCGCCGGAAGAGTCGAGGTGCAACAGTCCCCATCCGATGATCCGGATGAATCGCCTTCGGTGATGCCTTATCCTATGTATTTGTTGATCTTGTTGTTTTCTTTGATAATCATTCAATGCGGGTGTGATGATAAAGTGTTTATGATCTCGTACCTCATAGGAATCTTTAAACTTGGGTGATGATCATGATCTTACTCGGAACTCGTTGGCCGCACTTGGAATGGCTCAACACGTAAATTCAAAGGTAACCGTCCAGTAACGACTTTCGCGGTACAGAATTTAAGTAGGTCAGATTCAAAGTGCGGACAGTAAAGTTAATCTTAGTATCGCAACGCGATAAGCCATTCCAAATGCGAAGTTCAAAAGATTGAACCGAATCAGAGGGAGTGACCTAGCGTTTCAAGAGATTTTTCATAGTCTGAAGTGCTGAAAACCTTAGCACTTCAGACTATGAAAAATGGAAGTGATAAATCGGCAAAAAATCTTTTTAACAAAAGCAAATGATTGAACCAGAACAGAGGGCGTGGCCTAGCGTTCCCAATATTTTTCATAGTAAAGCCCACACATAAGTGGCTTCGAATTGAGAAAATGAACACCATCGAATCACTTTTAACAAGTTCAAAAGATTGAACCAAAGAAGAGGGCGTGGCTTCTCGCAGCGCGCCGAGGATGTCCGGGAAGCTGCCTTGTCGCAAGGGACAGACGACGATCCGCGGAGATACCGCCGCGAAACGGCTGTCTCTGACCGGCCTGCGCATCCGCTGCGTTCTGTGGTCCTCATCTGACCGTCGTCGGGCGGTCGGTCGGTCGAAATGTGGGCCGATTACTCCGCTTTTTCGGCCACCCGTGTGGATACTGCTGCCTCGGCCTCGCCAAATGCAACACACACACGGCTGGCAAAGCCAATCTGACCTTTCTCGCTTTTCCGCTTCATCCAAACCGACACGTTTTTTCTGACCAAATTTCTCTCGCCCACTTGTTCATTCTCCCCTACAAGGTCGTTTTCGCTTGACAAATATTGAAAATCCACAAAAACTGGTGGTTTGGAGTTCTTCTGAAGCTTTTCCTTCTTTTTCATGATCTTTTGGTTCTTCCTCCCTATAGTGATCAAGCCGAAGATCTTTTTTTACTTTAAAAAAATAGATGTGTTTTTTTGGTTTTTTTGCTTCAATTTTAATTTTTTTCTTGATCTTATAAAAGTCCGCACTTTTTCGAAATGGTCCTTTTCGTTTTTTTCAAGAGAGGGCGGTCTTATAATTGGTTTTTTTGAACCAGTTTGCGGGAGAAAAAATTGAAAAAAAAATCAACAAGTTTTTCTCGACCTGTCTTTCGATTTTCTACCTTTCGGTATGCATTAAAAAGATTTTATCTCGAGTTTTTCTTACCAAAGGAGGTTTAACACACATTCTCCGAGAAAAGCAATGAAAAATTGAAACCTTATTCGAAAAAAAGGTAACTGAAAAACAGTCAACACCGCAAAAACTTGTCAAATAAAATCTATAAGGCTTATTTTTTTCCTATTGAGTTCTAAAAATTTCTTTTTAATGAATTGATACTTCGAAATTCCCACTACTCATCCTACTCCATCTCCGAGTCCGAATTCCCGCTTTCCGGTCCAAAGAAACACCAATCTCTGACAACTTGGCGAAAACCTTTCCCTTGACAAGGCCAAACGGCTCTTTTGCTCAGGAATGTCACGTTGGCTACCGGTTCGTCGAAATATACAAGCGCTTCGTTTTTTTCTTCTTCTTCTTCTCTATCTGCTGTCATCATCTTTCTCGAACGATTCCTCTGGTCCCTTCTTCGCTAAGTGAATTTGCCTCTTCGCATCTTTTTTTTTTCATTTTATTTCAGTTTTCCAGTCTTTTTGAAGATCGAAATCTTTCCTTCTCAATGGCAAAGGTTCATTTGTTTCGAAAAGTTGAGGAGAAAAAAAAACAGTCGATAAGGTCTCAAATAATGTGCTCGGCGGGAAAATAGAATCTAGTGAGAATTACTCTCATAATGAGAAGAAATAGGGGAGGAAGAGAAAATAGACCATTTAATTGCGAATCGGGCGTTCTAAGGCTTAGTTAGAACAAAAAAAAACTTTTGTAAATTCATTCAGATGATTCAAGTTGCCAATGGAGCGCACAATCTTCAAACGTTAGGCTATTTTTCCTGACCTTTTCCAAGCACTAAAAAAATCAATTGGTCGGTCGAAAGGGTTTTTTGAGAAAACGACTTCAAGTGAACACTTTGAGTGGCTTCTGGGCCACTTCTAAACTTCTCAAAAATTCAAATTATATAAGGCAATTGGCAATTTTTGAAAATCCGAGCAAATCAATTTTAATTTGAAAGATCCACCTACAGGATGTTTTAGACCACTTCCTAACTTTTAAAAACTCAATTCTCCTAATGAAAAGGTGTTCAAAGACTGCGGGAATCCGACGAGACAGAGAGAAATAGTGAAACGTCAGGTTTTTGTGTAAGAAATTCATCGACGCGTTCGGCCACGTCATTTCAAGACAATGTCGCCCCATCGCGAAAATGCTTTATGATTTTGAAAATTTCAACTTGATAATTCTACAGAGTGGGAATCTTACGAAAGATTGCGAACCATTTAGGGACCACTCAAGTGAAGCCACTTCTTTAGCGTCGAGTTTGAAAAGGCAAGAGACTACTTAAGTGAAACTGAATTACTTTGAGTCTTCTGCTCTTACATGGATTTCTAGAAGATCGCCTTCCCGTTTCAAATACTTGTCTCCAAACTGGGTCATTGCATTATTTGCGCCCGACTTTCCGCGCCTCAATAACCATTCTCTACGGCGCCAAGTCATTTTATTGGCTTCGATTTTCTCGATTTCGTTCGGCTTAAGCTCATTTGTTAGTTCTAATTTTTCTCATGCCTCGAGAAACCTGCTTACATTAATCCATTTTTACAAATTTCTAGTCTTTTTTGGACTTATTTTTGGAAAACTTTGTTATTTATTTCCTCATCATCGTCCTGGAAACACTCAAGATCTTTTCTGATAATGAAACCGTTCTTAACATGGTCCGATTCAAAAAAAAGCTGCCCCAAAAAGTCAAAACTGGTTTGTTAGGAAGTTTTTGCCATATGCCATTATTTCATTTCGTTTTTCTCCCCTCAAACCGGTTCAATTTTTCGTATCGTCAAGAAAAATTCGGAACTAAAAACTCCCAGGTTCTATTTTCCACTCATATTTTTGATTTAAAGCTAACCTCTTTTTTTTTCTTGATTTCAACCAATTTTGTGCATTTAACAAAAATGCTATATTCATATATCTGTGACCGGTTTGGAGAATTTCTAGTCATCTGCCTCAAAAAAATTTTTTGATATAAGTTCTTTCATTTATCGTTTCATCATGTAATGATTTCGGGAACCGTGAAAAATGAATGCAAAATTTTTTTATTTGCCATAGAGCGCACAAGTCGCGGCTATTTTTGTCAATTTTTTTCTTTCAATTATGACCGAGTAAACTTATCCATAAAGCACACAAGTCGTGGCCATTTTTCCCATTCTCTCAACTTCGCTTAATAAACTCATCCATAGAGCATACAAGCCGCGGATTTTTTTTTCAACTTTGTTCTCTAACTGCCATCCCTATCAAAGTCTCTGATCACCGTCACGATCAGAACTGAAGCACTTGCCCTTTTGCCCCCGGGGCGACAGGATCGCGAGACGTTTCTTCGTCGTCGGCCTGTTTTCCCTATCGCTCACCTGAATCTCTTCTATGGATTCAGAAAGAAAACGAGAACGCATACACACACACAAACGGCCGACAAATTGTTTTCGACACGGCTCTTTTTGAGACGCCCGTTTCTGGGATGGTCATGAAAAATTGAGTGGTGTGGATCTTGATGATCGGATGATTCAGAGCCTTACTACAAATATTTGTAATAGTTATTCTTTGATTTTATTTCTTAGGAACAAGAAATCTGCTAAAAAGGGAGGTCATCTCTGGATGAATCTTCTACAATTTGGTCAACACCTCTCTGAAGATCTAACCTCATTTTTTTCCTGAGAAAAAAACTTTTTTTATTCGAAAAAAATATTACTTTCAAGTTCGTCTTTACTATATAATGAGACTCCGATATTTCATCGAAATTTAAAAGATTCACATCTCCACAAAAAAACGTTCGAAACCAACTTCACACAGTCAAGATTATTGTAGCCTTGTTCAAAACTGGTTGAAATGTCAAAATCCTAATTTTTCATTCAACGATGAAAACTTCACTGCTCAAAATTAGCAAAAAAAGCTCATTTTAACTCCAAAAAAATGACGTAGAAATAAATAAATTGAAAAAAAGTTTGTGTTGCGTTTTAGCAAATTTCTTGTTTTTTTCTGAGGTCCGAGGCGATTGTTTTTTTCTGGGCATCTGGCCCCGAGCAAGATCTTCGAGCCTCTAATTTTTTTCTCAACAAAAAAATGAAATTTTTTTATTTTGCAAACGAGTTTTTTTGAAAAAAACTTTCCCATCAAAATCCTTATCGTTGGTTGAATCTTGTCTGCTTTTATGTTGGTATCGTTTTCTAAAAACACTTGTCTGGATATTTTGAGAGCGTCGTGGGTCGGAAACGTTTCCGGCCGTTTTAAAAAGCTTTCTTTCAAGATTTTCGATGGTTAGGAAATCGTTTTGAAACCTTTGGAATGCGAATTTTGTAATTGTTTCAAAAACTTTTCGCTTTTTACCTGACCATATTTAGTTAATTTATCGAAGCTATTTTCGCCCGAAAAATCAAATATTGATTAAAAGATTGGGTTTTAAAATTTTCGAAATTTTTTCATTCATAAAAGTCCTATCACTTAAAAATGTATTCGTTCAAAAAAATTTATTTTTTTGCCTTACTTTTTTTCAAAAGTCGAAAAACTAACAAAAAAAGGTTTATTTTCCCAAAAAATCGAGTGAAAAAAAGTTCTTTCTTCTAATTCAATTTTTTGAATCCTGTATTTCACATAACTAATCATTCCACCTCATCTTAAGAAACACGCCACCCCAAAAATCGTTCTTCGGTAGAGACCAAGTAGACGTGCCAAAAAGTCGTACCGAGAGGCTCCGCCTCCTGACTCCGCCCACCCGATTCTTTTGGTTCCACTGCTCCCATCGGCCCATGATAACCATCTACCAGCCTACCGTATAAATGCCAACTGGTATAGGTAGAAAACATAGAAATCATATACGTCTTAGATACTAGAAGACCTTCCTTGATTTATTTTCAAAAACGCAGTTTTTGTTGAATTTAATAAAAATCAAAGTCAAATTCCTCCTTTTAAAAAAATTTAAAAAAATTCAATTTTTCAAAGCCTGAATGACCTTTTTCTGGCTGATGAAAAATTATAAACTTCTAATAAAAAAATTTCATTTGTTTTTTTGCCATTTTATTACCCTTTGTGTCTACTGATTTCCTTCGATAAGACTATTGTTTTTTTAAATTTCAATATTTTCAATGTCAGTATATTTGAAGAGGTTATTCGTATAAACTTTTCCCCATGGCTCCCACCATTTTTTTCCTTTTTCCCTTTTTTTTCCAATTTTTCTTATTCCAACCTTTTTTCCCTCTGAAACAGGCCCCATCTAAACGTCACCTTGAAATGAGATAAATATTTACATTTTCCACGAAATTCCCCTCAACCTGAAATTCCAATCAGATTGTGACACAAGATGTTCACAACAACTCTTTTTATTCGATTTCGGTGATCCGGACTGGTTTCGAAATTGTAAGAAATTATCGAACAGTTCAAATTTTCTCATCATTTTTATATCACCATCTACCTATCAACAGAATATCATTTATCAATAAAAAAAAAATTATTTTTCGCCTAAAAATTTTCTTCTCTTCCTGGAGGAATCTAAGTCTGCGCCACGAACCTAAGATACTTAGAGAACTTTCGAAACGGATAGAGTAGGCGTTTTTTTTCTCTAAAAGCTCTCTTGTTTACTAGTGCTCTTCAGCTTTCGAAGATTCATTTCTCAGACGTTCTTCAGCTACTTTCTTTGATTCTCTATTTTATTGTCCGATTCCGCCACTACCTACTGTGAGGTCCGATTTTTTTTTTGAGAAGAAGCGACTGACCTGGCGGCGCAGATGCTGACGCTCGGGTTACGGCTGGCGGTGCTGGCGACGGTGCTGCAGGCGGCGTCGGCGGGGCTCGCCGAGTACGACGAGTCGCTCATCCTTCAGTTTCCTCAACCGATCCATCGCCCTCGATGACATCACTGGAAAGTGTCGTGAAAGCCTTGGCAGGGTTCGTTTTTTTGAGATTAAAATAATAAATTTCGTAATGGTTACTTGGACCTCAGTAACGCAAACGGAACGCGCTCCGTCTGTTTCTGAAGTAATTACTTAGGGGTTTGGACGCCGCTAAAGTGATCACTGTTGCTGTTAAGAAAGGCAGTTTATCTATGCTAAAAAAAAGTCAGTAAAGTGAAGCAAATATATATATGTTTTTAGAATTATTTTAAATAAATCCGAAAATTTTTTTGCCAAGTAAAACTTCTTCGCTCGAAAGACTTTCCTTTCTAGTTTTTTTCCAACTCCCTAAGAAAGAAAAAAACGAAAAAAACCTATTACTTTTCTGCAAGAGAACAACTGTTTGGCGAACTGTTATCTGATGTTGGATCCTACTTTTCTTTAGATTAATTGATTATCAAAACGAGAACCTCGAAAGAAATGAAAACATTTTTTTAAAAAGACAAAGACTTGCAGTTTTTGATGGGTCATCAAAAACTTTACACTCTTTTCTCTTTGACCTTTTTATTGGATGGGAAATGGTTTCTTCTTTCTTCGAGAGAAAAGAAAAATGACCAAACTTTTCAGGTCCATCAATACTTGAACGACTTCGACACGTTGGAAGAGCAAAAGATCTGCTACTTCGAGTCGTTTGCCACTGGTATGATGTACAAACAAGGGAAAACGAGCTTCTTTTTTCGTTTTCAGGCCCAAACAACTTGTTCCTGTCTCGCGACCAAGACCGTTGGGTGTACAAAGGTTTGTGGTTTATGTACGTGTTATGAGAAACGAATGGTATTGAGAAGAGAAAGTTTTCGAGGAAGCCTTTTATGGAAAGTTTTCTCCGGCTTCTCGTAGATCGGATTTTTTACAATTGATCCGAAAAAAAGAGGGACCTAGAGTCCACTTGAGTGGTGCCATTGCCTTTTTAATGGCTTCCTCTTCCAGGAGTTTTCTCATTTCGTCCAAGAAAAAGGTGGAAAAAATGAAAAATAATCCAGTGGTCCCTAAAGTGATACCATCGACTTGACTGTTACTTCAATCCTAATCTCTGACCACAAAAGTTCCAATTTTATCTCAGAAAGAGCTTGAAAAATCATGAGAAGTTTAGTGATCGTTTAAGGGTTCATTTGATTGAAATGAAGTCTTGCAAGTGCCAGCAGTGCATGAGATAAAGGTTATATGACTACATTTTTTTTCAAATCGATACTTTTCCTCTCGAAACAGAGAGAAAAGACATTCTACTTTCCCTTTTTTTGTTGTGAAAAATTCATTTTTTCCAGGCTACGAATGCCTGCTCTCAGCCGGAGAGACGGTCTACTCGAAAAGCGAGCACCCGATGCACTACTGCTACACGCACGACGACGACAAGGACAAGGACGTGCCGGCATTTTCCGTCTGTATCCCTTCGCCGTGCGCCGACGACAATCTCAAGGTTCGCATCGCCAAGTAACAGCCCAAAATAACACTACTTTGAAGTCAAAAAACAAAATGCGCTAACAAGATGGTCCCTTAGATGAGCCTTGAAAGTTTTTTGGACCTGTTTTCAAACTTTTTTCCGAAATTCCAAGTTCTTTTTAACTACGTTTGGTGGAGAAAGAAGATAGTGGTTGAAGTTCTTCTAAGGATCAAAAAAAAAAATTAAAACTCGCAAAAAACATTAATCTTCTTATCTAAAACGCCATTTCAAAAATATTTATCGCTCTAAATTTACAGCTCCTAAAAGAATGGAGGAGAATGACGAGACCCGAAGCCAGTCAAGAGATCACTTTCACCGCCTGTACAAGGTCTCGACATGAAAAGCAATGGTAATTTTTTTTGTTCAACTTCTCTTTGTAAAACTAATAGACTCAAGGTTCGAGCTGCCAGTTCCAATAGCTGACTTTGGCTTCAATATTCTGCTCATCATGTTCATCTTCATGGCCACGATATTTCATCATCAACGAGGAAACAACGCCAAGTAATCATTTTAATTAAACATTTAATAAATTGTAGCCTAATAACCTCTAGTTTGTCAAATTAAAAAAAATAGCCTTTTGACGCCATGCTTAGTCATAAAATATCATTAGAACTAATATTAAACAATAAATTTCCAGATCCTGGCCAGCCAAACTTCTCCTCGCCTTCTCGGCAAAGACAAACTTGAGAAAACTCATCGACTTGCCCAAGGATCCTCAAGTAAGGCTTGAAAAAATTTTTTTTATTAAAAACTACTAGTCTGAACCTAAATGAAAATTTTTTCAAAGAGAACAGACTTTTTTCAACTTTGAAAGTTCACAATTTTTTAATGATCTTTTTGAATCAGAGATTCAGCATCAGAGTGAAAAACTGCATGAGAGCTCAGAACTTATAAGAAATCACATTCAGAAATAATTTATTTTCTAATTTTTCAGGCCTGCATCACCTGCATGTTCGGCCTTCGTTTCCTCTCAATGGTCTGGACTCTCATCGGACATTCTTTCATTTTTTTGTCCAGGTATTTTTTTGTATTTATTAACTTTTTTTGTCAAAATATGAAGTTTTAGGCTTATTTGGGCAACGTGGAAGAGTTCAAAGAGGCGATGGTGAACAACTTTTTTAACCAGTGGATCACCAACTTCACCTTGTCTGTTGACGTTTTCTTGGTTCTCGGTGGAACTGTCCTGTCATACAGTTGGTTCCGGAAATGGCTCAAAAACACGACAGGTACTTTTTTTCTCTTGAAGCAGGAAAATTCAAAAGGTTATAAGAGTTCGAAGTTTAAAAAAATTTCAAGTTCAACCATGTAAGTAGAGAAACGCCAAATAAATAACTGCATTATTATCTGTTTTGGAAGCCTCTAGAGTCTAGGGGCTTGAAAGAACATGTTTCAATTTTGAACTAACGAATGCTGAAAACAGCTTTCTAACGACACGCATGTTCAAAACAGTGCTACGGCGGCCGGTGGCCGGTCAATATTGCGCCGTAAGTTTCGGAGCCAGGAAATTTTTTAAACTTTTTTTTTGTTTGCAATTTGTTAAGGACCTATTTCTCGAGGTTACAAGATAATTTACAAGTTACAAAATAACTCGTACGAGACCTTCATGAAGTTTACCGAAATTAAAAAAACAAAACTTTCAGAAGAAGAGCCTACCTGGACTTCTTTCGGTTATTGGCTTCGATTCTACCGCCACAGGGTCGTCCGTCTTTACCCAGCCTACATTTACGCCCTGGTTGCTGTCACTTTACGTATTTCAGTGAGTTCATTCTAATAAATATTTTACAACGTTTAACAAATCTAGATCACTCACTTCCATCCAATGTGGCCGCCAACTGATCCAGCCGTCCAATGTCCCAAATATTGGTACGAGAACGTCCTGTTTATCAACAGCTTATCGAACAACCGCTGCATGCCCTGGACCTGGTAATTTTATCATTATAAAAAAATCAGCAGGAATTGTTGAGAAATAATATAAAGAAAATAAAAAATTGAAAAAAAGCTTTTGACTGCGCTCTCCATGGAGCGAACTTAACAGCAAACCAAAAATTCATTTTATTTTCGACAAATGTAAATATTCAATTTTCTTCGTTTGAACAATCTTTTTAAGCATTATTTTAGTGAATTTTATGCTTTACTAAAAAGAAAGCCTATTCCATGCACTGGAACCTTCCACTCTTTAAGATGCGTAGGAAAATAGCTATTTCCTATTTTGAAATCGAAGATCTCCACTCCAATTTTTTCTCTTAAAGCTTCTTCTTGATTTTTCTCAAGTTAATCTTTCACAGGTACATTGGCACGGAGTTCATCTACTACGTTCTATCACCAATTTTCCTTCTTTCTCTTCGACAAAAGCCGAAGTTCGGATTTGTAAGTTTCTTTCGCTTTTTCTATAATTTTCATTTATCGATCTAAAGTTCGTTTTTCACTCATTTTTTTTTCAGATTTTATGCATCGCTGTGATACTTCTATCGGCCGGTCTTAACGTCGAGTCGATTATCCGCAACAACTTCCCGCCAACGCAATTCTTATGGAAACAACCAGAGATTTTCAATCCAAACTTTATTCAGGTTTTTTTTCTGAGGTTTTCAAATTTCAAGAGGGAGATTCAGCACCACATCGAGTTGTATATCAAGCCTCAGTTCCGCATCGGTCCATACATAATCGGAATTTTGCTGGGCTATCAACTGGCTCGATATCAGAGGGTTCCAGTTAAGACAGAGCGCTCCGCCAAGACTCTTTGTGAGCTTTTTCATTCTTTTTTTCAAAATATGTTGTTGATTTTGCTCAGCTTTGTGTTGGGTCGGAGGAATCGCCTGCATTTTCGCCGGTCTCTATGGTCTGTATCCTTCGCTGCAAGGCTGGAACTGGCCAATTTATCACATTGTCTATGGAGCCATTCACAGGTTGGACTTAGATATTGGAAAAACTTTGATCACTATGATAACTTAATAGCCTAGAATCGTTGCGAAGAAACCTCCTTTTTTTCTGATTTTTTGCACCTCTCTTTCAAAATAGTTCTTAAATTTGCTTATTCCTTTCTAAAACTTTTTTTTTCAGAGACGTTTTCGCGGTCGGAATCGCCTGGGTAATCTACGCTTGTCACACCGGAGCCGGTGGTTTCATCAACACTTTCTTGTCCTCCAACTGGTTCTTGCCTCTGTCGAACCTCTCCTTCTCGGTTTTCGAAGATCAAAAGTACTCCCAAATCACCAAATGTCTCAATTTCCAGGCCTACCTGTTCCACATGATCCCCGTGGTCCTGACTTACATGCTGGTCCCGTTCCCGATCTATTTCAATTGGCAGCTGCCGCTTTTCGTGCACTGTTTTGTCCAGCTGCTCATCACCTACGTCATGGCGATCATCTGCACGATGGTCGCCGAGTATCCGTCGTTGAACATCGAACGGCTTCTGCTGGCCCATCCTCGCGGCAACACCGCCACCATGCTCAAGCCGGTTCCCACGTCTGAATCTGAGATCCAGCTCAAGCCCAACTCTTCACCCAATATTTGAATCTGAGCCTTGCATTTCTGGAAATTGTCGCTACGGGTTGTTCTAACGTTTGGAGTATCTTTTTTTCGGATTTTTGTGAGCGGATAACTTGGAAGTTTAAAAAATGCATTTCTCTCAAATTCCCAACTAAACCAGCTCTCAATTGAATTCTAGAAGGTTCTTCCAAACAAAACGGGGAAATTTTGTGGTTTTTGCACGATGGGTCTTCCTAACAACATTGACTGTGATAAATCCTCGGCTTCCTCTTCCCATGAAACATTTTTTGTTGGCGTTTTTATTTCTATGATACGAGTAGCTTTACTTGCCTCCCTTTTGAGTACTTCACTTCGGAAAGCCATATATGTTCTTCTCTAAATTCCTTAAATCAACATTTTCGGCATCTCAGCCACCCCGTTTCTCCAATGCTTTACCTTTTTTTTCCTCTTTTTCCGTTGCTGAGATCCAAATGTCTTTCACATCTCTCTTTATGTAAATAAAGCGCTTTTGGAAAAAAAATTGAGGATAAATAAATAAATAAAAACCCGGGGAATAAAAATTGTACAAATAAGTTAGTACAGAACGGAGAACAGGTCAGTTTCAGATAGGTTTTGGGATAGTTCTTTTTGAATCGAGGCGTCTAGGGTGAAAGAAATTTGTTTCAGAAGGTCTTGTTTCTCTTTTGGCGTGAATTTTCCGTTTTGTTGAACCAAAACGATTCGGATCAAGCGTTGTTGGGCTTGTGGGGAAAGCTTCGGTAAAGCTTCCTGGAAAAGTTATATCATTTGGAAAGAGTTGCACGAAAACGGTTCGGATCGAGTGTTGTTTAGTGGTTTCTTCAAAAATAAAACTTTGGAAATTGAGTAGTATAGGAATGAGGGATTATACTACCATTTTTAATATTTCAGTCATTTCAATACATTTTCATCATCTGAAGTCAGAATCATCTCATTTACAACAGTTTTCTCAAAAAAATCATTGAAAATGATTCCCTTTTTCAGAGCACAAAAAAATTGAAAAATCAAGGGATATCGAAGGATGTAGATTTTATAAAGAAAGTGGTATCGTCTTTTTTCAATAAAAATACTGCTCAATAAATGAAATTCGAACATAATTTGAAACCATTAACAAATTTCGATTTGTTTTAAATCCAAAAACCCCTTTATAAAATCGACATCCTTCGACAACCCTTGATTTTCTAAAAAGTGTGAAAACGATACATTTTTTGCGCATTTAAGCATGAAAAGAGAAAATTAAAAATTAAATCGGCATCTCTACGAAAAAGTGGTCGAAAATGCACAAAAATTATTGAAAATAAGCACTTTTTGTGCTCTGAAAACGGACTCATTTTCGATGATTTTCGAGAAAACTGTTGTAAATGAGATGATTCTTTGACTTCAGAGAATGAAAATGTATTGAAATGACTGAAATATTAGAAATGGTAGTATAATCCCTCGTTCCTATACTACTAAATTGGAATGATTGGCTTTTGAAACACTAGCAAAAATAAATACGAGCAAATCAGAAATCTAAACTTTAAAAATACTCCGAAACGTATAGTTAACTAGATAAAATTTTCATGATTCTACATGAAAGAAAAAAACCTCAAATTTTTTTACTGAAAAACTTTTCTGATGACCTACTTAGGAGCTCCAGAGTGGTCCCTACAGGGGCATCCTAGAAGCCCTTGAAGGAAACCCTCTAGGGACCACTTTATCAAGCCCCATAAGCCACCGAAGCTTGCAAAAGTACTCCATGTGGCCCCTCTAGGGGTCATGCTAGTCAATAATTTTCATGAACTCTATGTGAAGAAGCATTTCCATGCGGAAAACTAACAAATAATTTTTTTTGAATGAATATGAAACACCTCTATAGGATCCTCTTAAGCTTTAGGGTCTAAGCGGGTCAGACCCTAAACCCCTATAGGGATCATCTGGATTTTACCTTTTATGGACCACTTTTTCGGCCCTTAATCCCTATAGAGACCACTATAAAATTACTAAGTAGAGTCATTTTTCTTCCATGATTCCCAAAAAAGTTTACGAAGGACCAAGAAACCTCACAAGTAACTAGAATCCAAAAGGAATTCACAAACCCGGATCCTCTGCATTCGAGCTCGCTCGTCCTGCTCCACCTGCTTTTTCCACTCTTCATGACTTTTCTGCGTCTGCTCATCGAGCCCGTCGACTACCTGAGATTTGGAAATGAATCTCGTGAAACTGTTGGTTTTTCAACCAGCCTTGTCTATTTCGGAACGTATCTGCTCCATTGTCTTGTCGCCGGCGCGATCCAATATCCTCTAAAAAGTGTTAGTGAAAACGGGGCGGAAAAGGTAGTTTGATGGAAGGTTCGATCAACATTTTAAAATCCCAAGGTAAGAAGAACTAGCGCAGTACTGTACTGCCAGTACAACAACTTCTTTATAAAGGAAATTTTAAAAAGCTTCTCATTTTTAATCGACGGATATCATGAATTTAAAACGTGGTTCACTAATGGCTGCCTTCATCTTTTTGACTTGTTCACTTTTCCAGGAACTATTTTTTTCGAAATTTAGGCCAGCTAGATCGAATGACCCTAGTATTAAACTAACAAAAACTACTTACCGCAATAGCCGCATTCGCAGCGGACGAAAGGCTCTCCTGAACTTCCTCGGCACGGACCAAACCAACCAGGAAAAGAACAAGAATCGGCGACGGCAATCGGTTCATGAATAGAAACGCGAGAAACGAGCCCACGGATCAGGGCGTTTAAATATGGGCGGCGATCGGCAGAAGCAAGCGCAAACACCGCCGGACAATGGGAGCTCGGTTTGGACAATTCCCATGGAGGCTCCTTTTTTCCGCCCCTTTTTGTTTTGTTCTTTCCTTTGCTGCTTCTTGTTCTGCTTCCTAACCAAAATACATGCCCTTTTTTGATTCAGCCAATCGGCAAAAAAGGAAGCTAAAAGTTGAGTCGATCTCTCAAAACTTGGGAAAAGGCCTGATTCGATCTTCAAAAGACCGTTACTTACAGAGATAAAATTAAAATTTTTAAAATTAACTACTCCATTCAGATCGAAAGTCAAAAGCTAGAGCTTCATTTTAAAACTGAACGTTTTGCGAAAGTTCTAATTATTCAAGGTTTTGAACTCTACCTAAAAACGTTGAACCGAGGTTCAAAAATATGAATATTTCTAAATAGATAAAATTTGGCTGGACAGCTCCTGGTACACTTATAGCTTATGACTTTCCCGGAGAAACAAAACTTCATAATCAAACAAATATTTTCATTTGAACCCAAAATGAAGGATTTTTCGGAGGGTTGCTGGTCCGTTCCACCATCCTCTCACCAAGAATCGCCAGTAGAGAAACGGCATCGCGTATCTTTTCAGCAGATAGGCCCATCTTCTGGAAAGAAGAGTTGATTTTTGTTCGACAGGAAAGAAAAATTACGCTGGTTTGGCTTGATTGAGTGGTGTCGTTTCCAAGGGTCCACTAGAGTTGAACTCAGCGAGAATTCCTTTTCCGCCTCCTAGAACGAGGGGGCAAGAGGCGTAGCCGTCGTACTGCAAAAAAAGCAAACTCAAACTTGTTAAAGATACAATTTTCCGAAAAAAATAAATCATCTTCCGTTCTTTAAAGTATATAGAAGTGGATAGAAACCACTAGAAATAGAAAAGAAACGTTTTTTCATAGTTAGATTACAGAATACAATTAACCTTGACATCCGGCTTTTCTCCATCCATAACTCGTTGTAAGTTTCTATGTAGGGTTTTCAAATGAGACGAAACTGCGGCGGCCGTCTTTGCGTTTGGTGTATTGGCGCAGTCTCCCGCCGCAAAAACGTTGGCGAACTTTTTGGACTGAATAAAAGTTTTTCAAAACTTGATGAATAGAAAACCTGAAGGGTGAAGCCGTCGACATCCACGAAACCTTGAGGATCGGCCAGCGACGAACTTCTCACCACTTCAGGCGGCAAACAAACCGGTGAAATGTGGAGCAACGAGTACTGAAAATATCACTTGAAATAGGGATTTAAGTTTAAGGATAAAAAGTTAAATAATAAAGAAAGATCCGATTTTATTGGAGTCGATTCACCACCTCAGACCTACAGAGTCACGTCCGTTTTCCGCTGAACATACAGTATTATACATACTAGACCATTTTTCCTTTTCAATAAAATGGACACGGCTGTTTTCGACATTAATAAAGTGAGAAATGACAGCAATCACGAATTTTAACTTTTAACTTACTTTTAACTAATTTAACTTACTAATGACGGATTTCTCAAACTAGGTCATTTTTTAAGACTTGCTGGCGTGTGCGAAAACTTGATTTTCAAACAAAGTTTGACTCCTTGACTGTTCAAATTGGGGTTTTCTTCCGATTTTGCTGCTTTTTGATACAAAAAGCCCGCTAATAATGAAAAAATCGGTGCATGCACAATTCAAACCTACAGTGTGCCAAGCCGGACGGGCTGAACTGATGTCAATCTTAAAGCCAAAGCTTCATCCCTTTCCAAGTTCAACTTACTGTTTTTATTTTTCTCCATTAGGTCTTCACCTCAACTTCAACTTTCTCGCCAGTTCCCTTCGCATTCCCGTCGAGTTTCTCGAAAATAGCTGTTTTTCTCCTCGTGTCAACTTCGATCAAATTATGACGAATCAAGACGTCGACGCCTTTCTTTTCGGCCACCGCTTGCAGTTCGATCGCGTATTTATCGATGCCGAAAATCTTCGATGCCAAACTATTATTCTTCTTCTTTTTTGAAGCTTTACCTTCCCTAAGCTTGTATAATACTGAAATCTGGCCTTGTTCCGGATCCCACGCTTGCGGATTATGTCTTCGACAAGGTAACATGCCTTGAAGACATTCAATTTAAGAGGAAAACTCGGGAAAAAAACTTTCTGTGCCGCTCCAGCGCACTTTGTCGGCCCGTTTGGAAATGTGAATATTGCGTTTCCACTCTTAAGTTTTTTTCTGCTTTTTTCATTTTTTTTAATAGAATTAAAACCTGGAACTGTTGAGCTTCACGAAAATTTTTCTCTGCAAACCGGGGAGAATAGTTTGAACAGACGCCTGGTGTTTCTAGAGCTTCTGGACAGCCTTTGATCTCAAAATTTATTATTCTTGAAGGTTTTCCAAATACTCTGGATGATTAATTAGAAGATATACTTCAAACTTTCTTCAAACACTTCTTTTTTTTCAAAAACCACCAAAATTAACTTCCAAGACCCAATCAAACATACCAGATCGAACCGCGGCTGAATCCCAGTGGCTACCACCAGAAAATCGTACGTGATCTCTTCTCCACTCCTGAAAAACGCTGAAAAATCACGAATTCCGAATAAAAAACCTCAGTTCAACTTTATTTTTCTCGGGTAGCAACTTCTGAGCGCTGTCTTTGATCCAGGTGCAGTTTTTATGAAGCAAGGTTTCTTCTTTTCGAATCGTGTCTTCCAATTTCATTAGGCCACCACCTACTAACGTGAAGCCTGGCTGGTAGTAGTGCTTCTTGAAATTGGTTTCCAGAATAATTTTGGAAAATGATGAACTTCCTGAGATTCAATCACAGCAACTGCGCCTTTTGGTAACGATCTGGCGAACTTGGAGCTGATCCCGCAGCCGGCAGCTCCGCCACCAACAACTGCTAACTTGAAATGTCGAGCTGAATACTTGAGTTCAAAACAAAGATGAAACGAAAAAATATTTCATTCTCCATTCTTCAAAACAGTCTGACCTGTCTGCGCTCTCTTATCTCTCATCAGCAAGGTCATAGCAACATGGAAATAACAGTTAAAAAGGAGAGCGCAGAGAAATCCATCGCAAAAATTACACTTTTAGCCATTCTACTTGCGACACGAAGGTTAATGAAGTTTATAAAAAAAGGCTCTCGAATAATTTTTGTAATTAAAGAAAAAAATGTCTGTAAAATGAAGATTTTTTTATAATCGGTCTTTTGAAAATCCTCCTTTTTCTTGAAAAATCCTAATATTTCAATCAAAACTCACCATCTGAAACAATCGTGAGCCTCATTTAGGTTCAATTCTAAAGCCAGGGGCGAAAAATTGAAGACGTTGGAAAAGAAAATTGTGGCCTCCTACGTGAGAAAAGCGAATGGGGAACAAACGGATTAATTAAAAGACTATAGTTCATTCACGGTTGGCTTGAGACGCATTGAGAAAAACATTAAGAAATGTCTTCATAACTTTTCGGTCAAACTAGCAAAAACTAACCATTACAGAAGATCGTGAGCTTCATTAGACTGAATTCTGAAGCCAAAACTGACAAGTTGAAGACGTCGGAGAGGGAAAATCAGAAGGCGTACGTGAGAAAAGCGAAAAAACGCGGCCGACTGATAACAAACATGTTCTTTAAAATGTGTTCATTTCCTGTTTCAACAAGTTTTTACATTCAAAAAAGAAAAAGGCTCAAGATTGCGTTGGCTTGTTGCCAAAAGTGAAGGTCCCCTCGCCGGTGCCCACCGTTTTCCCGTTGACGATGATCTTCTTGTTCTTGAAGTCGAGGAAAGACCTCGAGCCGGACATGGTGCCAGCCTAAAAAACAATCTTTTGAACTTTTCAAAATTTGATCTTAACCTTGAAACGGTTGTCAGTGACGGTCGGCGATCTGGCGTTCAAATCTTCCAAGCCGGCTTCTCCCTTTCCGCCGCTTCTGGAAAATAGAAAAAGGATCAACCTTGGCTTGGGAAAAATTCAAAAAAAAAAAAAGATACTGTCACTGTGTGCTTGAGAATCACCTCAAAAATTCTAAAAAACTTCTCGATGACGATTTTCGAAAGATCAATCTGTGAAATTTTCTAGTTTTTGGGAGAATCCAAGAATCGCTTATTTCAACGGATTTGGATGACCCTTTTTATCCTCTTTGTAAGCTTTTTCACCCTGAATGGCTCACTTGATTAATCTCAAGTTGGCTCCAACTGTTTGGGTGGTTTTCGTCGGCAGCATGCTGGTTGGCATTTGTGGACGTTGCTGGAAAAAAAAATTGTATAAACAGATGAAATGAGCTTTTTCACAGTCCATTTTGAAGATCTGCAATACTCTGAAGAGATTTACAGTAACCCTACATGACTTACAGGATCCATGAAGGTTTCAACACCGACCACGCCTCCAACGCCTTCTCCGGACTCTCTCCGAGCTCTAAGCCTTGAAAAATTTCATTTCAATGAAGAAACATGTAGAAATCCTCAAGCTATTCAAGTTTATAGTACATTCATACTTGTCCTGGGAGGAAATCGGGCTGAATTCGATGATTTTAGTGATTATTGTCGCATTGCTGCCCTCAACGCGTTTCGTGCCGCCGTCGACCACTCGCCAGCCAGGTGGCAAGTTGCCGACCTCACCGAGGTGCTTCTGAAATCGAACTTTCACGGAAAGACTCCATAAGAGCTGTTTTTTGAGCAAAGACCCTTTGCCAAAGGGAGAGTTCCTTGTAGAAACCACTTAAGAGACCCCTAGCTCTGAATTAATCGAAAGACCTAGAAGACATCCCTCCTAGTAGAGTCTCTTCAAACTTTGATCGTCAAGTACAATGACGTCATTCAAAAACTGGGAAAATTTTATATGGCCTTTTTAGGGTTCCAAAGTTTTAGTGGCCACTACAGTGGTCAAATTAGGAACTACCTAAGTGGTTGAAATCTAATGATCTTTTTAGAAGTCTAAGTTGTACCACTAGACTTCTAAAAACTATAGTGGCCGCTAAACAAAAATAATGGCTTTTATTTAAGTCGTATTAGTGGCAACTTTAGTGTTCTCTCCAAAAAGTTATTGAGGAAGTGGCCACAACTGTTTTTCTGAATATATCTCATTTTTAATCAAAAAATGGAGTCGATTTCATTTTGTTTCGTTTCATAGTAACTTGCCACGGATTTTTGACTGGAGGCCGATTTTTTGGTCGCTTCGAGGAATCTCTCCGGCGGCGGAACTTCGTCACAACTCGGCTGGCCCATTATTCCGCAGGTCTTCAAAGATTTATATTTATATCTTTTAGAAAAAAAGTAATCAAAAGTTACTGTCTGTCTGTAATAAACGGTCGAATCGTGGGAAAGACACTGGTGCCGGATGTTTTCAATCGTCACTGATTCTCCCAGTTTCAGATGCTTTTTGTCGTCGGTTTGACAGCCTGGGATAAATGTTGTTTTTCCATTCGTTTCTAAAAAAAAATATAATGAAAAATAATACCTTCGATCGAGTAGACGCCATACTTTTGGCACTTGTAGCGAAGATTTCCAAACTCGAAATCCTCGCCTTCTTTGAACTTTTTGCCGTTTTTGGTGCATTCCTGCGATATTCCATTTTTCACTTTGACTAGAAAATTTTTGAATTTTGACTTTGCTGTGTTCTTTTATTTTCAAAGAAACTTTGACCGCATTCTAATCCTGTTCAGCTTAAGGACCTTGGATTTATGAGAACACTTTATAAAATCGTAAGCGAGCAAGTTCAACACCTTTTCAAAGTCACTGAGGGAACGGATAAAAAAAAACTTAATTCAATGTCAACTTTACTTTTTTCTGGTGGCTTCTGACAAAGTCAAAAAACAACGTTAACAAACTATCGAAAGAATCGAAAGTAATCCGGTAAACAAGGAGGAAAAGACTCTTTGTAAAACCACGCTCCATCGCTAAATCCGGCTTCCTCAGCTTGTTCCGAACCTTCGGCATGGTGTCGAAGACGTCAGTCAGATTGAGCATGGCGCTGATGTCGGCGGCGCCGACGCCGACCACCATGACAACCATCAGAATCATCGTCGACCTCATTCCTCTCGACTCGGACGTCGTGGAGACTATCAAAGTCAAACACTGGCCGCGACACCTCAGGGTGGGGTCGCCATTGGCAAAAAACCTGTTTTTGTTTTTGTGACCATGAAACAGTATTATTCTATTGTCTCACATAGTCAAGATAGTCAAGAAAACAGCCACATTTGGTCAAGTTATTTATAAATTATAAATATATTTTTCTTGAGCATGATGTACAGGGAATGGGGAAAGACCGGTATTCGTAGGTTGTGGATGATGACGTCATTTCAGTAGAAGAAGGACTCGTCGGCGTCAAGGGAGATCTAAAAATGAATGACGTCTTGAGAGAGAGTGGTCACTTGAGAGGTTAGTCGTTATTCGTATACAATTTTACCGTCATTCTTTGACCTTTTCATCGAAAAAAAAGCTGACGGTTCCAATTTTTTCCTGTTTCTTTTCAGAAGGAATTTTTAAATACTCTTTGAGCATTTCTTTAAGTACATATCTTGGCCGCCTAAACCTTGTTTTTCAAACACATTTTCGTCAATATATCTTTAATCATTGACTCTTCATCATCAAACCTTGTTCCTGATGTTCGGCGGGAGCTGTGCGGGCTCGTCGGACGCCTGTGGCGGCTTCGGTCCGACTCCGATCGGAATGAAGCCCTCATCGCAGACGTCATCATCGCACACTTTGTTCCTGTCCTTCACAACCTCTTCTTTTTCTAAAAAAAATTTTTTTAACGAATCACAAGTCAATTATTCACCGGTTTCCCATTGTTTTCGCTTTTCCTGCTCGGGCTTCTGAAAATTTTGAGAAACTTCAAATAATTGCCTCAAAATCAACCTTGTTCTTGTTCTTGTTCACTTTTTTGAATGTGAAAGTTTTAATTTTGGGAGCGACGGGCGTTTTTTCCTTGAAGTAGTTAATCTGAATTGCTTTTTAAAAGTCTAACCTGATCATTCAAAAATTAAGACAAACTGGGTGAAGTTCAGATGCGATAAAACTTACCAAAAAAAAGCCAAAATGTTTTGAACCAAAGAAAATTACCAAAACGCTGTTTTGAAGATGTTCTTCTATTTTTTCAACTCTTTTTTGACCTGTTCAAGTACAGAATCGTATTTTGCATTCATAAAAAACACCGAACCGTTTCAGGAGAGTACCGCGAAAGTTCCTGCATTAGCTTCTTCATATTCTCATCTTCCTCAAGTTTTGTGACGGGATGGGGAGCTTCAAATTCATAGTTTTTTATCAATTTTTTTTTCTTATTTCAGCGCTGCTTCAAGTGATCCCGAAATGAAGATAACATTCCTTATAGTGTCCTAATGATCCTCTAGTGATCACTTAAGGAAGACCGAGGTCATCAAAAGAAAACATACGTTGAACCGTTGGATCACTTATTAATCGACGCGCATTTTGATCATTTTGGATTAATTCAGTTCGATTCGGTTCTTGAGACCAGAAAAGCTGTTGCTGATACGGCGATGGTTGGGCTAAATTTGTTTCTATATGAAAAATCCGAAATTCGAAAAAATAAAAACCTGCAGGTGGTCCAGTCAACATGGTCGACATCATTTTGTACTGTGGGAAGTGCGTGGAAACTGTAAACAAACTTGTAACAAGTCAGTCTATAGAAAATAAGTTAGTGGTTCCAATTAACGTTTTTCTGTAAGCTCATCCAGAAGACTTGTTTCATCGGACTTGGAAAGTAGAGAAACAAGGACCAAAATAATCTTGTTGCAAACATCATTTCACTTTTGGAAGTAAAAGTTCTACATGACCAAAAAATAAAACTAAAAGGATCTGCGCACGGAGAAACTGATGAATTAAGAAAGTCTCGATACAAATTTTGATCAAGGGGATGTTCGAAATAATTATTTCAGTTGAAAATTTTATGAAACGATGCCTTTTTATGAGTCTTGAACAAGGGCGAGTCTGTTCCGAAATTCTTTTTAGAGGTTTTCCAAGAAATACAGAAAATATTTCGAAGAGAAAAGCCGTTTTCATTCCAGGCCATGCATAACTTCTGCTTCTTCAAAAAAACCACGTTCATTTATTCTTCATTTATTTTTTTATACAGAAACCATGCAGCTTATTTTAAAAATATTGAAACATGCAACATGCGGGTGCAAAGTTTATTGAATAACAGAAAAAGTGATCACTTGTGCTCGTAGTAGTAGTAAACTCGACCTTCAGCGTCGTAGGTCGAGGCGTAGGGCTGTTTTAAAGAATATCTGAAAAATATTAAAAATCACCAGACGCTTTAAAAAAATGATAATATATGCATATAAAATGGACATAAAGCTCGAAATCTAGACACTCTTCAACAAAATTTGAAACTGATGATAATCAGCTTCTCTCGGTCCTATCAGGCTTCATGAGACATAAATCGAAAAGAATTTTGATAAATTTTGATTTGTATCGATTTCAAGCTGAAATATTTCGATAAGATCGTTAATTTCGTAGTTTTCAGGCTTAAAAATCTACTTTTTGAAATGAAGTGGCTTTTAATAAGGTAAAGCTACGGCTAAATAACAAACTCCGTATATAATACAGCATTGGACCCCTCAAAATATTTTCAAACTGACGTCGGCGCTGGTTTCTGCTGAACGATATACTTCGGAGAAGCTGCGTAAGTGAACGTAGCTTGCGGCGCTGCTGCGTAAGACGTGTAAGTTGCTGGATAAACTGCCGGGTACGCTACAGGATATACAGGTGGTGTATAGGTGTACGGTGTGCAGCATCCTGAAGCGAAAAGTTGTAATTTATACTCGAAAAGGCTAACCTAATAAAGTCCAAAGGTAGGAGTACGTCGTTGGAGCCCATAACATAGCCAATACCAGGGTAATAATCGATTTCATTCCGAAATCTGAAGCGTTTTTGGATGAAAACGAATATGGGGAACGCGTCGAGACGAGGGATGCCATGACTGTTCGAGGTTTGCAAGGACCCTACGCATTGGCCGAGTGGCTATCGCGCTCGGTTATCGAGCATAGGGTCGTGGGATCAACCCCCACGCGTGCGCCAATGACTGTTTCATGCGTGTCAGCTGATCGAAAGTGATTAGAAAACCCTTTGAGGATAACTTCTGAGGCTAACTTTTGAAATTTTGCGACAAAATAGTGTGAATAAGAGGATTTATGTCATTTTTGGCATGAATGGATCCGAGGACACGATTCAAAGCGCTTTTGGAACTTGTCGACTTCAATAATACCATACGCGGAGGACGGAAATCGCGTTCATTTTATACTTTCGATTTTCAGCAACACACACGAAAAATGACCTTTAATGTTTTTCGTCAAGTGTTGCTAAAAAAGGAATAGAAAGAAGAAAACAAGAAGATGAATGGCTAAGATTCGAGAAAATCAGAAAAAATAAATATGGTCTTTTTTAATTTTAAACTTGGTGATTTTTCAAAATAGTTCGTCGAAATTATATAAAATTCAGTATCACTGCTTAATGCAAGAATCGTAAATAATCTGAAAGAATGCGACATGTGTTCTAACAATTGATGAGTCAAACCCGAAAAAAAACTGCTCAAAGTAAATGAAGATAATCTGAACGAATGAATAAAAAAAGAAAGATGAACGTTTTGAACACGAGAAAGTGCGCTCCAATCCTAACTTGCATTTTGCAGGGAAGTTTAAATGTCGTCGATTAAAACGAAAAAAAGTCATTTTTTTGTTTCAAAAGAGTCGAAAAAGGGCTTTTCTTCAGGCAGAGTCAACGGGGGTCCGTCGGCCCGACAATTGAAATGCGACCTCCTCACAACTCTCGCAACCCAAATAAATATATTTCCTCTCTTGACTTCCTCCCAGTCGTCCGGATACTGTCTAGACAGTCTTTATGCAAAAATCGGTCTGATTTCAAGACTCCCAGTCAAGGAACCTCAAATATGTGCTGGATAAACTAATTTTGGGGGGCGCCTAAATTTTGCAAGCCTGTCTCGTGTGAACTAAAAAAGATTTAAAGCTTATGAAAAATGAGAAGAATAACTTTTAGCTTAGAAAAGCAACATAAAGAGTAGAAATCTATTTCGTGCCCGAAAAACCCTAGAGTGACCACTTATCAGACCACACAAGGCTCTGGCAGAAGCTTATTTAGATCCGAAAAAAAAAAATGAACTTTCGGTTCTTTAAACCTTCAAGACTCGAACGAAAAAGCCTCTAGGAAACCAGCTGAGACAGTTCATCTCAAGCCAAAAAAGTCCGAAAAGTTGCCCATATCTTGATACTTTACAGTCGTTTCACGAAATTGAGTTGGTCACGCTAATTAGTTGTTTTTTGTCTTCACTTCGCAAATCTTCGAACCAGATCGCGAAACGCGATAACCTTTCTAGCAAAAGAAACTTGGAAATGTGTGTAGCTTCATCTTTTTAATTTTTAACATTTTCATTAGATAATTCAAGAAAAGTACACTATATACACGCAGAGAGAGAGAAAGATTGCACGAGAGAGATGCAGAAACGGAGGAGTTATCACAGAAAATGCACCAAAAGACAACTGAAGAAAGAAAGGAAATGTACACCGGGAGAAAAAAAAAAGAAGAAGTGAAATTAAAAGAGAGAAAAACCAGAAAAAGCGATAGAAAATGTTGTATAAAAAAGATACATGAGTCCTTTTTCTAAAACAAGGAAAAATAAATGTTTGGAAAAAATCAGCAAGGGACCGCGAAAGTTTATAACTATGACATTCCCTAGAAAAAAAACAATTTTAGTTCAAATGAGCTCTATTCATCACGACTTGAAGCAGTCTGACCCGTCTGCGCTCTCTTTCTCTGACTATCAAGTCCTAGAGAGTTCTAGAAACATCATAATTGCTAGAGAGCGCAGAGAGATCAGACTAACTCAAGTCGCGAGAGTGTAGCCAATAAGACTTTAAACGTCGCGTTTGGAATATCAAAAATCCCATAAAACTGCCATATTTTCAACAGAACGGAAGAACATTTGACTTTTTGGTTAGGAATGCCTTGAAAACTGGGTAGGATAATCTTCGACATTCTAGACGAAGGTCCATAAAATCTGAATCCTCGAAATTTCCTATTTAGAAAGTTGACAGGAAAAAAATTAATCAAAACGCGTAAAAATGAGTCATTTCGGGCTTTTACCAGGAAGGAGGTTGGGACTTTCAGGACTTTCATCTTGTAAATCAAGAAGTGCTCCGACCAATTTCGGGGAAATCCAAAGCGCAGAGTAAAATGAGCATTCTCGCTAGGAAGAAGCACCAGAGGAAACAAATTGTTTATGGGTCTCAAGAGGAAAGGAAGCGCTCCAAGGTATCGAGGCCCATTAGCGAGCCGCCGTCAACGCCCTCATGACTATTGTCGTCGAGGTAACCGGGGAAGGTCGCGTTGGCGAAATCCACGACGCAGACTCGCGCCACCGTGCCTAGAAAGGAAAAAAATGACATGGAAATCCTCTTACAAAGGCCTCGTCACAACTTACGTTGGCTTTTCGAAGGGCACCGCTCGATAACGATCAAAAGAGAGGCGCCGAAAAGCCGCACACCTTCGCTTTTGGCAAGAACCTGCAACAACGGCGAAAGTTTCAAGAATCGTCTTTTCCGGGTATTTGACGGCTTGGGAACGAGTTCACATGACAGGTGGTGGTGGATCAAAAAGAGAGACCCTCAAATTAGTCCAGAAACTGGGAGTATTTAGATTCAGTCTCAAGAACCACTCGGTACTACTCAATTTTTTTTAACTTTAAAAATGCCCATAAGCCTTGAAATGGGTTCATGAGAGCTGGACCCCTACGGAACGTGTGCTCCACGGAGAAAACTATTGAATTTTCAGAATTTGAAGATGCCCATGCCACGAACGTGTTCAGATGACATGTGGATCAAAAAAAGATCATCAAAAAAGATTTATACTCAGTGGGCTCAAAAACTTCGGGAACGTGTGCTCTACGGCGAAAACCATTAAAATTTTGAATTTTGAAGGTACATGTGTCAGGAACAAGCTCAAATTACAAGTGGATAAAAGAGACCGTCGAAAAAGCTCACTAGTCAGAAAAAAAGAGCTTCCTACTCATGGGGCTCAAAAACTACAAGAATGTGCGCTTTTCGAAGAAAAATTTAAATTTTCGAAATTTAAAGATTGAATACGAGTTCATGACACTTGAACCAAAAGAGGTCATCAAAATAACGCAGAGAATAACAACGAGCCTTAGAAGTTAAGTTAAACTGTGCTCTACTGAGAAGATCCTACTTCCTTTTCGAGTTTTCGTTTAGGTACAGAAGCCATGAAAGGATTTCTTTATCAAGGAATATTAGAACTACCTGGCGGATCTCAGCGACGCGTCTGCGGACTTCGAGAGCCGCGATTGGAGATCCAGAGAAGAAGCTACGGATGGCTGCGTTCAAGGCGGACTCATCCATTGCTCGGCCTTCGTATTTGTTGATTTTAATCAGCTCCCCAGAGTCCAGGTCTATCGATTGCATACCTAAACGTGACCAACCAATTTCAGGCTAAATAAAGATAGCAAGAATCATTATATTTTACCTATTTTCGCTATGGTATCGTTTTGAATCGATTTAGTTAAAAAAAAAGAAATTTTTTTTTCGAAAACCCACCGCAAAGACGGATGCCAAGCGTGGCCGAAGTCGTATTGCGGCACTTCTCGATTTGAATGGCGGCTTTGGCGCGAGTGGCCCGATCACCATGCTGCCGAGTCCCAAGCTTCAAGTCCAATACACAGGGACTTCGAAACCCGTAAGTCATGTCGGATATGACGATGAAGTTTCTGGAAAACATTTTTACACATGACTAATGACTTTTTTCACTTTGAAAGCTTCCGCTTGTTCAAAATTGGCGACCCTTCCATACTTTCCGGTATCACAACTTCTTCCACTTGCTCGAGCTCACAAACGTCGCAACAAGTCGGCAACAGGTTCACTGAGCTTCCCTAGAGAAACTATTGTTTTTTGTGTTCTTTTAGGGATAAAACCTGCAAGGTGGAGCAACAGCGGGGCGCGACTTCTCTCAAAGCTTCCGGCATATTTTGATAGAAATAAATTTCTCGCTCATCGCAGGGCTTCAGAAGGTGTCCATGAGGTAACGCTGACAGTGGGGTGTGGCCTCCGACCTTGAAATATTATTTCATTTAACTTCTAAGTTTGTTTAAGATATGAATCATTCAAAAACGATCTAAAAGTTCATTCAAAATCACAAAAATCCAGACTCACATCAGTTTCACAGATACTGAAAAAATCTTCAGTGGCCAGATTAGGGTTTCGACGTTTTAGCGGCCACTTAAGTGGCTAAACTTTAGTGGTCACTTTGGAAATCTTATTTACACACGGGACCACTAAAAACTACTATAGTGGCAGCTAGGTCGCAAAAAAGTGGCTCCCATAGGGCTGGTTTTCAACCGTTTAGGTGGCCACTTTAGTGTCCTCTCCAAATAGCCCTTCAACCTCTTAAGTGGCCACTAGAGTTTTTCTCAGTAAGAATCGAAAAGTTCAACTCTACCCAAATTTTCCGAGTGACAGAAAGGTCAATTAAACACAGGAAAACTTATTTACCTGATGAATGAACGGCTTCAAAATGTCGGTAGTTTTGATGTCAACGGCGGTTCCTTCTAAAGAAGAAGAGCGCTTTATGTTCAGAACCATTTTTTCTTCTTTCTGTAAGGAAAAAATATATATAAATGATTTGTAAAAACGTCATAGGGAACGAAAAAAAAAGCGGTTCACATGATGTCACGATGAGGAATGTTTACACAGAAGCTTGGGGCTTTCGAAAAAAAAAGACGGAGGAATTTTGAGGAATCTGATGCAATTCCTTCATCATTTTTTTTCGAAGGTTTTAGATGTGGAATATTATAACTTTGTCTTGATTAATCTAGGAAAAAAACTTTCTTAATAAAAACATTTATTTTTTTTTAAAGCTATCAGGCTTCTAAGTTGGAAGGTTTTTGGACTGAAAGGAGCAAGAAATGGAAAATAAAAGTGTTTCAGAGGACTTTGAGTCACTTTATGTTACCTCATCTAAAAGGTCTTGTTTTTTTTTCACCTTATCTCGTCAACCGTGCAAAAACCTTTCTTGACTGATATTGATCCGAGGAAATTTTCAAACAACCTACAAAGACAAGGTGAATAAAATGAGTTTTGAAAAAGTGAAAAATATCGGCGTTTTCTGTAAAGATAGCTCTGAAACAACGAATCTAGAGAATTATGAATAAAAAAGCAAGAATTTAGGAATCAACCACCAACCGACCTGCCTTCGATCCCAGACAGGATAGAAATGAAAAAGAGCAACAACAAAACGAAACCATTAAAAAATGGCCATAAAAATGATATAAAAACGTGTGAACAACAAGGAAACGAGCAAAATCCAGTCACAGACAAAGAGGAGATTCCGCAAAAAGAGATGGGAGAACCAGCTGAAACGATTCAGCAACGGGGGGAATGAATGACGCAAAGTCAGAGACAATCAAAGCGACCAGAAACAGTGTGACAACTAGAGTTTGACCTTTTTATTTAGAAGGAAAGAGAGCGATGATTCAGGTAGCACCGAAAAAAAACCGGTGATTCAGGTTGAAACATATGTAAATATTGAGCAAAACGTTTCGTAACATTCGCTAACATTTTGAGGACCTCGGGGAAGGGTTTGAACTGAACAAGTGACACTGGTCGGTCAGTGTAGGTGTATTGATTAGTGGGTCCAAAAACCGTTGAAATCAATCAACAGCTGTTCTCACGAGAAAATGAAGACTTTTTCTTGATCTCAACTCATCACAGATTCAAGATTTGTCTTTGAACTAAGAAGGAAATCTACTTTCTGAAACTCGAAGTATTTAAAAAAGGCGTTGCCAGCCAACGACAAGCTTTATTTCGATAGCGTCCTCTTTAAAGATGTTTATGAATAAACTGAAGCTCCATAACTTCAATTTATTTATTAAAAACCGAAAGAAGGGTTCAACGTTCAAAAACCATGACTTCCAGGATTTCATTTTCGTTAAACTAAAATAAAAATACACTTTTCCATTTTACCTAACACCTTCCTGCAATAGGGATCCTAGGACTTATAATATTTATACACCCCAAAAAAAATTCAACAAAGGAACAGCGATGAATTGAGAGTTATCAGTTATCAGTACAAAACGTTCTATAAATAAAGTGTCAAATGTCCTATTGACTCACTATCACATCTACTGATAAGTTCTGAACAAAACTGCTCAATTTTAAGCGACCAGAAACGTTCAGATTGTGGGAAATTTACAAAAAACGTATTTTGATTCTAAATCAGCGCAAGAGCGGTTGAATTTCAGCTTTCAACACGAAAAATGGACGCAAATCAGTGAATAAAAATATTTTTGGGTGCTCTAATAGCTTCAAGACTACCCTCCTTGAAAACGGCTGTACCTCGAGAGAATCATAATATTTGTTTATGTTTTAAACACCAAAAGATTTCTAAACCAACTGTGTACTCTTCCAAGCTTATAACTTTACTTAAAGGAGTCTCGAACGCTCCATAAAAAGGTCCTGAAGCTATTGGGAAAAGGTAGAAATCACAGTAACCTAACCATATTTCATGAAGTTTCACTCATTTCGACTTTAAAGACTTAGTCACACCTTCGCAAACAAAGAAATCGGAGACCGAAACCAGAAATATTTTCCGGACTCGGGTTACAGCACATGGTCCGTCCTAACAAATTGCACCCACCGAGTAGTAAAGTGTCAAGGAGCCCTCAGTGTTAGTCTCCCTGTTTTCCAGGGACATGTGGTTCAACAAACAGGTCGCAGATCTCTGGTTATTGGCACAAAAAGCTTCCGGCGGGCATCTTTAAAAGCATGGAGAGGAGAAGGAAAACAGATTTTAGGTGGTTAATTGAGAAAACATGGCGTCTGGAGTTCAAACATTTCGACAGAAAACTTTAAGGTGGGTTATTGAAAAACTGGTCCAGGCACGATTTCTGAAATGTTCTATTCAAGAAATTCCGTAGTCCTTCTGATCATGCAAGGTCTTTAAAAACAGGAAAGAGTTTCTGAAAAGAAGTTCCTTCAAGGAAATAATTTCACTTTTCACCCTGGAATTCTCTGAAACTTGGCCAGCAAATCCTTTAAAGTACCAAATGAAGCTCCTTTGAAGCTCCTTAAAGTCTGAAACTGTAAAAATTTCTCATTTTCGAGAAAGTCAGGCTCAAAATGGAAGAATGGTTCAACCTACCGCGATTGATGATTTTCTCCTACTTTGAGCCTTAATTTCTCCAAGCTTACACGGGAAGTGCAAAAGGTCGAGGTATTGGAATTTAATGAAACTTGGTATATAGGTACTTCCGAACACCCTAAAACCAAAGCAGTTGAAAAAAAGTGCGCCTTTTTGGTTCTAGTCGAGTTATGGCGCCTCAAAGCTTAGCTTAGAAGATTTAGTAGGTTGAGACTTTCTGGCTCGAGATTGTTCTGGCCAATTTTCAGAAAAATTTCAAGTCAATGAACTTTTTCTACTTCTAGTCACAAGAAGCACATTAATCATTCATCCACTTTTTGGGAAAATTATAGCGAATAGGTGAGACTGGAACGAAGAAGAAGAAATAGGCCGCGAAGGATGTACGTGCAGAGCGGGAAAAAAATAAAAAAATGGAAAAAGCTTCTTGGGGGGAGGGGGGCGGATGGAGAAGCACGGGACAAGGCAGTTGACATGGTCTGTTTGCGACGACGAGAAAAGCGTTGGACAACGGCCAGACCGACCGAAGATGAACCGTTTCGTTTCTACAGAGAGAAACGAATTTGCGGTCCTTTCTTTCGAAGAACTTTCGTCAAGCCACGCGGTTGCGCTTGAATGTTCGAACTCTGTACATATGTGAGACGATTGGGCAACTTTGATGTGATAAGACGCGAAAAACCGGTTCTCGATGGCTTCCGCTTCCGTTGTTTGGTATAGTTTTACCACTTCAAATGAAAAAGAGGACGATCAAAAGAAACCAGAGTTCAAGATGAATATTTGGCCAGACTTCGTGATGTAGATTTTAAAATCTCAAACTGAAAAAAAATTTGGTTTATAAGAATTTTATAAAGGTCTCTAGACGAAAAAGCCATTTCCGGTGTTTTTTTCTCTTCATTTAGTCTTTATCGAAAGCTTTCAAAATAAAAAAGCGGAAAAATTAAGATTTGAATAGCATTCACGCTTTTTTTTTAAAAACAAATTTTAAGAAATCATTTCGAAATTTCAAACATGGGCTTTGCATCCAAGATTTTCGTGAACCTTTTGAATTTTGTTCAGACCTGATAATCCTATTTCTTCTTTAAGAAATGCGAAAACTTCCAGCAGCTACTCAATTTGGATGACTTCGGGTTCCTCGGATTCTAGACAAACTTTTGCCTCGACTTATTTTTCTCCAAAGAAGATCACATCGATGGAGAACGATAATATAAAATTTAAAAAAAACCTCATAAAAAAACCTTCATTTTATAAATGTCTACGGTTAGCTTGAAAAATTCAACTTTGAGGATACAACACCGGGTGTGAAATACAATAGGAACAAGTTTGAAAGAATGAGTAGTCAAATAAAAAAATATAACAGTACTTTTTGAAAAATTGAACTCGTATCAAGAAAAAGGTTACTCGTTTTAGAAGTACCGTAATTTAAGTAGGAGAAAGGCAATAAATAGAGAGGGAGGAAGAAGGAGCACATATAAGATTCAAGAAAGTGATAAAAAATCGGCCAGATAGATATTTTTATAAAAATGAAGGCCTGCAAAACTTTTATTTTTTGAAAAAAAGAAAAAGACTTTTGTAAGCCAGAAAAACCATGAAAAGCCACCTATACGAGCCCTTCTGAGGCTTTCAGCCCTAACTTGTTGAAAAATAAGGTTTTCAGGTTAATAATTTCAGAATAATTACTTGGTTTAAGGATTTGGTTAACTTTTAGAACAATTTCCAATCGAAAAATGAAATCATCTCCCTTGTCGGGATAATTTTATTCAGTATCGAACCAGGCGAGTATACAGCTCTTCCATTTTTCGAAGAGCCTTCGGTTTCGTCTTCTGAAAAAAAAAATTCGATATTTTTAAAGATGTCTTTGAGAGTTTACATCACAAAGAAGTAAGAGAAGTAATAAGAGATATCTTTTAAAGTCTAGACCTTTCAAGAAGTTTCTAGAAAATTTATAGGGAATATAACAGAGCTGCTGATGAAACCGGTCGCCCCGGGCGGTCCGGCCCGCGAAATCGTCAATAAAAGCCTAATTTTCTTGATTTTTTCAAAAGTTCTTTTCTCAATTATTTTCAAATTAGCAGTTAGGGTCGCCACACCGGTAGCTTTGGAATACACCCAAAAAGCGGGCTTGGTCGACCCGGGCATTTTCTCTACAAAGAAGCCTGCGCGGGCTCGGGTCAGGTGGAGTTTGAAACAAATTTTCTCAAATTTTTCTCTATCAAACATTTTTCAATTCTTAGTCCAGTTCAATTTTTTTTTACCTCGAACTTTTGTTTGGCGAGTCTCAAAAACTTCCGAATGGCGGCCTTCAACGACAAGCAGGTTTTATACTGAAATAAAAATGCTCATGATTATTTACGGTAACAGAATATAACTGTTCTCAGATATTTTCTGATGGTCAAATACTGAAAACAACGACCAGTGGAGTTCGGCACTTCCTTCATCAACTCGAGCAATTTCGGATCGCAGAGCTCGAAATAATCCTGGTAAAGCTCCACAACGTCCTACAAACATTAAGATTCTCAAACTTTAAAAAAAGGAAACTTATCGAGAGATTTAAAATTTAAAAAGTCATGGAAAATCTTAGAGTGCCTTTTTACTTGTAGAATCGAAAAAAAATTCTTTTTCCTTTCATTAATCCCTACTTGGAGCTCAGAAAGTACTTGCCTAGGCGACCACAAAAAAAAAAAAACCAATTCTTCATTTGAAAATCCTTAATCCAAGATTTATCCTCGTGCTTGAGACACTTGGGAGCAGGCTTGAACTATTTATGTTAAAGATGTTTATTTTCATTCAAGCGTTAACAGATCCCCTAGGCACTTTTTAAACACATAATCGAAATAAAAGGGAAAACCATGAGCCTAGTCTCACTCAGAGAAAAAGCCAAAAAAAAAAACTGACCGGAGGAGGAATCGGTTTATTTTCGACCTCATCGTCGTCCTTCAGTTCGGTACAAGAATCACAGATCCAACTGACAAAATTGAGCTTTTTTAAAGGAAAAACTAGAAAAAAACCCTGTCCGTCGCTTTCTGCCTGTTGGCTGAAGACACTTCCAATGGTACACCGAGAAGCATTTCTCGCACAAGACTTTGTCCTCTTTTTTGTCGCGCGAATCGCACTTTTTGCATCGCTAAAATAGGAGCTAACACAACTTTTTACTTGAAAATTTAGTTTTATTTTTTTAAAGTTATTCATTTATCTACAGACAAGAACAAAACAACATGTAGGCTTGAAAAGAAAAAATATTATCGTAGAAACCCGTGAAATTCCTCTTTATTTTATCGCGAAAACCTTCTTTCCAGCGTGAAAAGGTCACTGGTTGTACTCGCAAATCGACTTCAAATAAAAATGAAGTTTCGGAAAAAAAAACTCTCTTGAGTTCATGCTATAACTGGGAAAAAAAAATCGACTTTTTTTTCCATACGTGTTAAAATTGAAAAGTTTTAGGTCGTCGAGAATCTTGGGAATCATTAAAAAAAAATTACAATAAATAAATAAATAAATAACCCTGTTGGTAATTCCCTTCTCCCAGCAGATCCTAGTATTGAGAAGCTCGACCAAAAGATGAAGTTGTGAGAAATTTTCCGCGGCATCAATCAAATCCTTCCAATTTTCATTCAGTGCGAGATATGCGTCTTGAAAAAAACGAAGTTCAAAACCGAAATTTCCCTTTTTTATTGAATACATTGGAAAAAAAAACTACTTTCTGAAAATGGAAAATCGTAGAAAGACTCCGAAAATTATCCATTTTTGCCTGATAAAATTTTGAAATTTTCCGTAACAACGAACAGTTAGACTACAAAAGATTACAAATATTACAAAAACTACAAAAAAATCTACACATTGTAGTTTTTTTGATGCAAATTTTTGATTAATTCTGAATTCTGACGACTTTCATCAGGTATTTTTTTAAGCTTTGGAATATCTCATTGAAAAACCACGAATTGAGTTTAGACCATAAAAAAAGTTGAGTAAATTCGAAATTAAAACAAGTTTAATTGAAAAAAATGACAAAAAAACTGAGAAAAAAAGAATTATTCAAAATCATATTTGAGGAAAGTTTTAATAAAAAAACAACAAAGTCATCTGATTTGTTTCGTCCCTTCGATCTTTTCAGCACTCTAAAGTTTAAAAAAAATGGACTAGCAAATAAAACTGCAAAGGACCCCAGTCAGCTCAATAAAAAAAGGAACTCACAATAGAAATATTTTGTAGTTCTCACATTGACAGCTCCTTTGTGGATCGAATCATAGAGTTGCAAAATGTGAGTTTTCTTGAAATCCGGATTGACTTGGAGCAATTTTCATCAACTTACGATTGAATCAAAATCTTGCGCATGAAAAAGATTTTTTCCAAAAAATGTCAAACTCCTCATGGAGCACAATTTTCCAGTTTCCAGTTCTGAAGCCAAGTCCGCAATCGTCATCTTCAGCTTATCGGAGAAGTTGATCAGCCGAGAAACTCTGAAAGAAATTTTTTCTCGGAAAAAAAAATTTTGAGAACGTTTCAGAGTTGGCTTCTCGCGCCATGTTGATACTCAGTCGAATGGCGTCTTTTTTTGCTTCCAAACACTGAAAATCGAAAATTTAAATATAGTCTGCTCAGATTATTAATTTCAAGTGCAATGACGTCATTCGAAAACACTCTGTGAATAGCTCGCTCTCTGATTGGTTTATCGCACCATTAGGGGCGGAGCTTGAGCAACGACTTGACATTCAAAATCTGAACAGACTATAGCCACTTACAAGGAAGTTCATTTCACGTTTCGGTTGGGACTTTCCTGAAAATTGGTCAGAACGCTTCTTGATGTACCGGAAGCCTCAACCTGCACGGCTTCCTCGTTTTTAAGAGAAAAAGGGCTCTAAATCAAATAAAACCCTCATAATCCATTAAAATTGGTTATTTTGGGGCTTTAGGCCTTTATTTCTCCTAGAGGAGAAAGTTGTGCAGGAGACTTTCAGGATCTTCTTCTGTTACAACAAGTATTTTCTGGCCTATTCACAAGAAATCCTCAACCGCAAAGTAAAATGACCTTCTTGATAGTCACCACTTGAAGTAGTCTGACTTGTCTGCGCTCTCTTCTCCCTAAACGGCAGGGCCATTCATTGGAACATGAAAGAGCAGCTGAACTTGAGAGAGCGCAGAGAAACTAGCCTAACTCAACTACGGCGTTAATTATCAGAGGAAGAAAAACGCAAACTTTCAGAGTAGCAGCCTCAGATGGTATCCCGGGATTCATTTGCGCACAGAGGATCTCGAAATCAGATTCCGTGCTGATCTTCCACCACTTTTCGTAGGCAACCCCTTCGTCCTAGAGAATGAATCGAGACTCGAAAAATTACTAAAAACCTATTTTCTCTTAAATTTCAGTTTCGATTGCCTATCACAACTAGACCTTAAAATGGAGAACAACAGGTTCCTCAAACCCATTTTTCAATATTAATCTTTTTTTGCTTAAGATTTTCCATCAACCCTTTCTTGAAAGTTTCATTCCAATATTTTTTTTTAAATCACCTCAAGGATCCAAATTCCAGATTCCGGCAAAGTGGTAATCCAAAAGTATTTTCGTTTTTTCCTGTCTATTCCAAAGGGAAGGAGCCTTTTTCTCTGAAGCCTGCGGTTCCTGAAGACCTGCAAGCAGAAGGGATGAATATTCGTCTATTTTCGCCTTCAAACAGTCTTACTTGTCTGTGCGCTCTTTTCCCTCACCGAAAAGGTCACGAAAAAATTGGAAAATCTTCTAATCGAAAGAGAGAGAGGAAGAGAATTCAGGACTACGGACGCGAAGTTAAATATTTTTGAGAGACTTTTGGGTTCAAATCTGTCTCAAGTCTTGGCGCAAATCAGCTATGGGAAACCTTCTTTTCATCCGTTAGGCGAGCTTCTGGATCAGCGTCGCAATAGTCCAAATCAGTCTGAAAATACCATCCGGAATAATTCTTTTTGCGCCCACATGTAAACCCACCACATAGGATCCAATATCCAGAAGTGATTGGAATAGAAAATCCAAGACTTTGATCTGCGTTTTTCTGTCGAGTTCGAAAATTTGAACAGGACGATCCAACTCTGCCAAAATTTGCTCGCGCAAAGCCTGAATTTTTTTTTCGTTGTTTTTTTCACAAGATGAAGACCTGAAGAGATGGATTCAGAGTTTTTTTGCCGTTGTTCTTACCGTCGCTGTCGGGATTTCTGAACTGTTTATTTTGCTCTGCTAAATCTAGTGGTCACTAGAGAGGCGTCACGACCATAGCTTAAACTTCGAATATGTTGACCCACGTGCAAAATCCACAGGATAGAATGAAGCCTCGGCAGATTTCAGAAAGAGTATAAGGATTCAAAGTGAACTGGTTGAGCCGTGTCTCCAAATGCTCGTGGAACTAGAAAAAAAGGAAACGTATTGAAATTGCATCGAAAACGTTAAAAAAATTACTTGTCCAATGATCAAATCAAATCAAATCATTTATTTTGTTGTTTTAGTCTGATGTAATGATAATAAAAAGAAGAAAATAAGTTCAATTCTTGATTATGGAACCTCAAACTCTGGCGACTTGACAATGAAACGAAGAAGCGCCTCGTAAAGCGAGTACGTACATGACGAAAATCCGTTGAAATTATCCCCCAACGCCCCGTACAATTCTTCTTAAACCAACGAGACATGACCAAGATCACCAAATTTTCAATTTACGAATTTTGAATATATCCTGGTAATCCAGAAGTTTTCTTATGGTGAAGGCGTGATGCATGACACGGATAAAATCGCTGAGCTCGGGGCCGTCGTCAAAAAGTTGACCTGGAAGTGGGCCTGGGAGCTCCGGCCAGAAAGATTCGGTCGGCATCAAGTCCTATACAATGAATAAGATCAAAGCAAATGTACTTCATTTCAATTTTTTTGTAATTCAAACAGTTGTTCATTTTTTAAAAGCTATGTTGACTTGAAGCACTGTGAAAAATTTTTTGTAAACCTCAAAAATTGGAAACCTATTTTTCTCGTTTTTCTTTTTTCCAATCTTTTGGTTTGTCTTCATGATATAGTCGACTCATAGCCAACCTGAGACGCTGAGGGGGCGTGGCGTGTCTGCGCTCTCCACCAACCAGGCACTACCTATTTTATCATCGTGTCAGGACCCTTTTTTTTTAATGGCTCAAGCCAGCCGTGAATCAGCTATAAATTTCTCCCTTCGAGTCTGATTGAACCATAGAACTTCGGCCAAGAAATTTTTCCACTGCGATAAATGGTCATTTCATCCATTTTTGTTTTTAAATAAGTTCTTTCGGACCGCAAAGGATGCCTTTTTTGATTGTTTATCAATTGCAACGGAAAAATTCACCAGACTGCGGTTTGACAAGCTAAGAGAACCAGAAGCTTACAAAACGCGCTCTCAACTGCTTTTCGAACTCGTCGTCGATAACTTCGAGTCTTTCGCGATTCGCTTTGACAATATACGTATTCAAACTTTTGTCGTGAGACAAGCCTCTTCTGAACTGAAAGTAGACTAAGTTTCCCTTTTTACCGTATACCTGATCCTGGCCAAGTCTAATTGACCTTCATGGATCATATTGGCGACTCTGAACGCGTACTTCCGCAAACATCCCTCAATCAAATCTTCTGCCTCTGAGCCATGTTCGCGTTTGAGAAGAATCATCATTTCGAAAAACTTCTACAAATTACTCGATCCCTCTGTGGATTTTAACAAAGTTTTTCCCACCTCTTTGTCTTTTTCCACGAACGCAGAGAAATAATTCTCAACCGAAAACTGAAGTTCCGGAATGCGACGCATCTCAGACCTGAGTCGAGGCTTGTTTGTCTAAAAATGAAATCCACATCTCCAGTTACACTATTTTTGAAAGAATATCACTGGTTACCATCTCTCTTGAAAAGTTACCAGCCGGGTCTTCTGCTTTTTCTGGATCCAAAAGAATGATTGGTTGGGCTCTTTCATTTCGATTCGCAACCTTCAAATTGAAAGAAGTCAGCATTCGTTTTTGCCTCAAACTCACCACTCTCAACACGTTTCTCCCTTTTGACAATGACATTTTAAAAAATCGTGGCTGAAAAATTTAGAATATAGGCCTGAAAAACCAACTTTTTCTATCAAAGTTTAATTTTTCTTGCTTATTTCATCATGAAAACATAAAAATACTCTATGTGGCGATCATATCTGAGAAGCAAACAAATATAAATTAGAAAAAAGAAACGAATAACATTGCTTCAGATTACAGGAAGATACGCGCCAATGTATATTTCCCTCGACTCGATTTACGCAAAATTTGCACTTTTTTTGTTTTTGTAATTCTTTATTATTTTCTAGTGGCGTGTTCATCGGACAAAACAAAAATTGCTTCGAAACGCAAGAAAATTGCTTCAAAACAAAAATTAGTACTGTTTTGGAGCAACTTCGGCGCGCCGATGAACACGATTTTTCGTTTTGAAGCATGTTTCGTTTCTCCGATGAACACGCCATAAAATCTTTCTTCAAAATAAGGTTTTGAAATGATGTAGAAGCTTTAGATGGTATTTCGAAAGTACAAACCCGCAAAACAATGGGGGAAAATGGACACCAGAATATTCAAGGAAATTTATAATTCGAGAATAAATCGCAAAATGCCTTCTTTTGAAGTTCCAGAAGCGGTCAAGGTATATATTTTTTCTTCACATTATGAAAATATTTTCAAGTTTTCTTCAGGAGGTGAATGTAAAAATTTACAAAGCGAATGATCCCTTTTTGTTTGAAAATCAGCTGAAAGCGGAGAATTTGAAAGCGCAAGAGGCACCAGAAGACGCCCACAAGACGGTTTTCACATTTTTTTTAACTTCGAAGAATATTTGATTGCAGCAACATCCACTTCATAAGGAGGAGAAGGCATACATTTTCGAAGGAGAACACGCGTTCAGTGATGGGATCGCCCAAGTAATATTTCGCAAAAAAATTGTTTTTAATTTTTAATTTTCTGGCTTGTTTGTTATCAAGAAGCGTACTTCGTCAAGGACTTCCCGAGACTGTTTTGCACAATTTGGCGAAAGTTGACGTTTCTGAAGAGGCGGTAAAATTTTTGATATTCATAAAGTTCAAGGGCTCGAAGTTTTAAGAAAAAAAAAACTGTTTGCGCCTTCCAATGTTTTTTTTCTGTTTTAGAATTAAAACACAAAAAAATCCATTCTTTGTGAAGAATGTAAGAAGAAAAATTTGAAAATTTTTCTTTTCTTGATTTTCAAATATTTGATTTCTAGAACTCTGTCCTCAAATGAATAATGAATTTTGCGCTCAGGTCCGCGATTCTATACTCCACGGAGAAAAGTACGATCCATCTCTGGAAAAACTGCCGAGGCGGTTTGATCCCGTTCTTTTCTGGATGAAGCACATTCGAGTTCACGGCACGCCAGTTCTGAAGAGAAAGTTTCTCAGTAAGAAAATAAAGGTATTGATTGAATTTTTTCAGTAATATCATTCTGGACAACCTCCTGAGACACATTATCTTTGCCGCGATTCGCTCCGGAGCTTTGGGCGGTGATGCGTTGTTCCAGTAAGTGTTTCTTCAATACAGAAATTCTTAGGGTAGATGAAAAATTCAAGAATTTTTTGATATCGTTCAAAGTGGCTCTTTTTCTACTTTTTTTTTTGTTCTGACTTTTTTCACTCGAGTTCCACTATTTATTTCCAGTTATGACCGAGATGAGGCGATTTCAACAATTCTAAAAGACGAGAAAAGGCCATTCGTTCTACGGGGAATGCCTCATATCACGGTACAAACCGCGAATTCCGCCGTCAATTTGCCTTGGGCCAGTGAAGCCGAAGTTCAGGCCGCTTCGTGAGAATTCTTCCTCATAAAACTCGAATTTTGATTTTTTAGAGCCGAGCCCCTGCCGGACATTTACCCAATTGCTCCAGAGATCGACCTCCGGCTTCAGAACGTCTATAACGACGAGACGTTGATTCCGAGGCGAAAAAGCGACCTCAACCTGCATTCCTTGCTCTGGTCGAGGGAACAAGACCAGAAATACCCTTGGACGAGGTTTTGGCGGATAGAAATTATTGTTAATAAGCATTTGGTCAGAAGAAATGAGCAAAATAGAGATTTTTTTAAAAGCAAAAAGTCAATATTTCGAGTACATTTGAATTATCGAACAAGGGAAATAACGGTCATTAAGCTTTTCCTGTCGAAAAAGAACTAAAAATGATATTTTTCAGGTTTTAAAGGATTTTTTTATATACTATTTGAACGGATGATCTTTCGAATTTCGATTTTTGGATTTCAACTTGTTATAAGTTTAAAGTGATTTGTTTTTTTTTCCATCAAATTTTTTCTTTTTCGTAATATTCTTCTCTTTTTCCTCAAAAAGTAATGTTATAACTCACAGTTGTTTTATCTGAAAGAAAAAAAAACCTGTATATTTGTTTTCATTGAACTTTCGAAATTTTTTGAATTTTCCAATTGAATCACGTGTTTCTTTTTTCAACCAGACCTTAAAATTGAGACAGATTCTTAGGCGGAAATCAGCTCAAATCATCAATTCACTCTAAAATACACGTTCATAATTTCAAGAGAGCAAAACGCGGCCAACGCCATCATGCATACGTACGGCGCAGCGGTGGCGCAAGCCACCCGTAACGAAACTCCGAAACTTCCTGTTGTACGTGTCGATTCGTCTATTTCCTCATACAATTTTAGATGATGCGAGGAGTCCAATTGGTTGATGGGCGGCTAGATTTGGTCGCTTTCCAGTTGAACAGTTTGGATAGGAATGATGACTCAGTGAAGAACATTGTGTGGCTTGAGAAAGGTGAAGATTTTATATCAATGCAATGGTTTTTTTTTTCTTTGAGTATGAAGTTTGAACTATCGAAAAAAGTTTTGAAGGCTCAATTAATGATTATTGATAACCGAGAACTTTGAGTTTGAAGATAAGCGTTTTAAAAGTTTAAAATAGTTAGGATCTTAGGTGTGATTCTGTTTCGAAATCTCACTCTGTGCTCATTGATTTGCTTAATTTTCATTGAAAAATTTATTTTTCCAGGCATTCGCTTGTACAAACCAAAGCCCTACTATGAACAGCTTCAATCAGTCGAAGAGGTTATAATTTATTATTTTTGATCACCTCATACCCGATTCCAGGTGGATATGAACAGCTTCAAGAAGTTGGCAGCGTTGGTGCTGACGTTTGGAAAAGAATCATAATCATTAGTTCTTCATTTTTTCGAATTTTTAGAATATGAATTAGTAGCTTATTGTTATTGATTGTTATGTTTTTCCCGAATGAATGTATTTATTTCTTTTGTTATTTTTGCTTTTCGTTTTGTAAAAACCGTTTCTTGACGGTTTCAATATTTTGAACCATAGTTTACTGAAAAACAAAAACTTTTATTTTTGCTTTTTCAAAGTGGGTAACCAATCCGAATGAGTCAACCCACGACTTCCGTTCAGGTCGCCGCAGAGAGTGAAGGTAAATTATTTTCTGAAAAAAAATGCCTTTTTTCAGGTCTTGAAAAGAAATTGTTCTTCCGGAAGCACGTGTCTTTCCTTGCGCGACACTTGAAAGTTTTCCCGGAGGCTTATAACACTCTTGATACTAACCGGTATGCATTTTCATTTTTACTTTTATCAAAATGTAAAACTTTGCGCAAAAAAACAGTTCAGTTATGAAAAACCTGAAAATTTAACTTCATTGCAAGAACATTTTTACAGAACATAAGAAAGTCTTTTTAGAATTTTTGAATAAAAAGAAAATGGTTTAAAATTGATGAAATTTCACTTTTTCCTCGTCAAAGTACCGTACAATTGTTCCTTTTCTTCAAGTTGTTATCGTTGGCCTTCTGAGAGTCTCCAAATCAGTTTTTACCTGCAGAAAATTTTGTTTGACGTCAGTTTCGCCTTGTTACGTTCTTCTCGAAAAAAGAAAAAGGAAAATAAACCGAAAGTGATTAAAGAGTGATAAATTCGAAGAAGATCATCATCTACTTTAACATAATTTAAATATTAAGAAATAAAATAATTTAAAGAATTTTCAAATTTTTTTTTTCAGAAGAAATCATAAAACGAAGGATTTTTCAATAACCGAAAACAACCGACTTTGCATATTTCATAATTTAGAAAATGTTAGAATCGACATATATGTTTTTTTTTCAGCATCACATTATTGTTCTTCGCCCTATCATCCCTCGACGTAATCGGAGAACTCGACGAGTTGATCGATTCGAATCGCCGGAAAGAGTACATCAAGTGGATCTATAACCTGCAGATTTCCACTGGTAACTGAGCCCTCCTGATCCTCGATTCTCCTTCTGATCTCTTGATTTTTCTCCTTTTTGTGTTGTTATTGCTCTTGATTATTTCTGTTTTTTCTGTTGCTTCCCTTTTGACATCTTTATCTACTCCAAAAACTTTTCCCACCTTTCTCGGCTAACATTGACTTGGAAACCATGTGTGCGGCGCCGTTTTGCGAGCCGAAAAGACGCGATTTCGGCCTCGCGTCTTTCGGAGAACGCGGTTTCGGCGGCCTTCTGCCGGATATTTGCGATAACTCGCCGCGGACCTCATTCCTGCCCCAGTACAACTTGGAGTCGTTCTGGAGGACGGAAATCCCGCCGTTGTCTTTTGATCTTCCCCGACCGATGATTGAGCCGAGGGCTGCGAAGGTTATTCTTTGATTATTTAGTTTTTTATTTTTTTAGTTTTTATTTAAATGGTTTCACTAGAAAGTTGATTTCAAATTGATTTTTTTTTTGATTCTGTTTACAAACTTGGAAATGGGGGAGAGTCTGGACTTTACTTTAAAAGTTTTTTGGTTTAGCGCATCGTGGGAGAATACTTTTCCAATGAAAATTAGTGTTATTCTGAAGTTTTCGAATTTTGGTGCTTCCAGTTTTCAATTTGAGCTCAAAAAGCTTTTCTGGCTTTGCTCGGTATGAATTCGCTCATTTTTCCTCTTTTTCTCCCACACAAGTAGAGCTTTTTCGGTGGCCGAACGAGAACACGATAGATTTTGCAAAAATTTCAAAATTTCGTTGAAGGGTTAATTTTTTCATGAAAAAATGCTCTTTGAAAAAACTCAGGAGAAAATTCTTCTAAAAGATTATTTATAACTATTTTCCTATCTAAATTAATTACATATTCGAATTTTCAGCTCCGGCTTCTACGTCTACCGGGCTCCTTCACTCCCGAAACGCCGGACTATGAACTTTTCAATCGGAATCTCCTGACCGCAAAGGTGTTTGAAAATGAGGAAGGGTCGTATATTCGCGTCTGGACTGTCAATGAAAGATCGAACTGTCGAACCGTGGAACTTTTCGATGTTCAGGTAGGGCATACTGATACTATGGCCAAGAAAGGAACGGTTCTCTAAAAAGATTATTGCAGCTTCAAAAAAAAAATCGAGAATTCAATGGAGAGATCCTCATTTTGAAAAAGAAACTAGGAAAGAATGGGGATCGGAAAATATTCAGAAGTGACTAAAATGCCAAAATGAAAGTTCAGAAGACTTTTTTTGTTATTCAAGGCCTTCGAAATTGCTGAAAAAGCCAGTGAGTACTTCCAACACCTCATGTTTCAGTTGGATGACCGATGCTTACCGAAAGAAGAAGTTCATGAGAAGTACGATCGACGGAAGAAACTGAAGGAGGCGGTGATGGAACTCCGATATTCTGAAGTTCTCGACGATGAAGCCTCGGTTTGGGCGAGGGCTTCTCATTCGTTGGCTCTGTTTCGGGAAGGATTCGACGGAAAACCCGAAATTGTGTTTCGAGTGAGATTTGGAACGATTTAAAAAGAATGAAGAACGTTTCCTAACAATAATTAATGTACGTTGAGGCTTGTATTTACATGGTCTCAGGGATTTTTAGGGTTTTAGAAGTTTTACAAATCTGCTCTGAGTGTATTGGGACGTACAGAATTGAAATATTTCTCTTATTTTCACGTAAAAAGTGAAGCTGATCCGTAGAATAATGTATTAAGAAAATAAATTTCAAATAGCGTCGTTTTTAAAGTAACTCTATTTGAAAAGAAAAAAAAAACGTTAGTTTTTTTGAAATATATTTCATTATTGTACATCATCAAGAGATGACTTGTTGAGAAAAGAAGTCATAATTTTAGTGCCTTTTAACTTTAAAATCTCGTGTAACTCAATTTTATAAGGCGGGCGGAAGGCTACTGAGTTTGGAAATAGAGATCGATTTTGCATTTTCGAATGGAAACAGTTTCAGAAATTTAGAACCAAAAATAAGAAGAGAATGTGCTGAAATTTATTTAACAATTCTCTCTACAGGAACCTGTGCGAAGCTTCGAAGAAAATACTCTGTTTCGCGGAGAAATCGCCCTGATCGACTACTATCGAACTCTGTGGTGGGGCGAATTGGGCCACGGCCTCATGCGCCATAAAAATGACAGTTTTGAGAACGATATCAATGTAATCGAAATTAAAAGAAAAAGAATAAGAGAAATGAAATTTTTCAGTCATTGGGATTCGGAAACCATCCGAGAGTTTTGTACGCGGCTCTTGGCTCTTCGGTCAAGTCGATTGATGTTAGAACGGAAAACTCGGCGGCCGTTTCTTTTTTCGACACTTCTTCGTACGATTGCAAGGTTTTTGGGTTATTTCGAGCGGAAAAAAAAGCTCCGTTCATTTATTGTGTCTTTGCTTACTTTAGAAAAAAAATTTTAATTTTTAGTCATTTTCTTGACTCGCTTTCACACTTCTGAATAAAAAAAAGAGCGGGAAAATACCTTAAACCTTGGCTTTTTTGATCTGTTTATCAACTTCTCTTTTCATTTCTAGCCCAGAAGGCCAGATCGGAAGCAAATCATTGGTGGTTGAAAAATAGTTGAAGAAAATAAAAATTAATTTGTTAGTAAACAATACTTTCAGAGAGGCAGCGACAGCGGCTACGTGAATGAAAAACCCATCCCGACGCCGGAAATCCAGCACATCCGTCTCATTCCCGACAGTCCGCAGAACTTGATCGCGATATCATCGCACGCCGTTTACCTGTTCGATGAGCGGTTCCCCGGCCGACCCCTGATCACTCTCCTTCATTCGATCCCCTTTGGAAGTCACCACGTCGCTGTATCGCGAGCCGTTCGCGACATCGCACACGGCGGCGATATCGTCTCTTTTTATGCTCTCGATCAGCGAGTCTCCGGCATTTCTGCGACACGACTTTACCATCATCGCTCTGGGGTCTGGTCCAGCTGCCATCCTTTCCGACTCTGCGACAAGCCTGACGACTACAATCGACTTTTGAAAACGTCTTCTGTTCTGAGAAGAGAGGCTGACCGAAGCTTGGCACTCGTCCAGGGCCTCAAGTTGGATGCCAAAGATGTGGATCTGCTGTTGCGGCAACTTGACGATGGAAGCGTTTGGCTTCAAAGACTGATCTATGGAAATTTGCAAGGAGACAAGAAGAATGAAGAGCACGAGGAGAGCCAGAAAAGCATTGCCAAGTACTGCGAGAGAAATAAAATTGCCAAGTACACGGAGAAGATTGACGACGTTCTAAAGGCCGGTTCCGACGCCTTCATCAAAGTCCTGGAAATCGATGGCAGTGTTAAAGCAAAGGATTTTGGGAGAGTGGCCAACAAAGAGCTGAGAAACGCGGCCATCGGACTTTCTTTCGATTCGATCCCGCCGCCGAAGACCTTGGAACCGTTGGAGTTCGAAGTGGGAGCCAAACTTTCCCAGCTTGTTTCCGACCTCTTCGATTTTTCTGTTAGCGATGACGTTGATATGGAAGTTGCTTCTCCTCGGCCCGAAACTCCGGCTTCTTCTAGCATCGGCCTTTCTGATATCGAGTGATGTTATGTATTTATTTTAGTTGATCATCTTTTAATCGATATTATTTTGGTGTGGGAGGATACAACTGAAAATTCTTAACATCATTAAGTTTAATTATTTTTTTCCTTATAAGGAGTTATAGATTTTTTTATGATGAAAAAAATAGAGAAATTTATGAGAAATTGCTGCTTGTATACACTCTTTTACAAAGTGACCATTCATACTTTTCTCACAGGAAGTTTCTAAAAAAAACGAAAAAAACTTCGAACCAGTTGTATTCTCCTATAACTCCTGTTGTTTTTTTTTTGTTCTTCCTCATATCCTCTTTCCTGACAATCATACTGGTTATTTGTTCTTTTATGCCTTGAGATTTTTCTGTTGACTCATAGTTCTTTGATAAGAATAAATGTGTGCTTTCAATCGCTCAAGCCATTTTTTTCCATCAAAATTCGCTTAGAACTATTCCAAAATTATCTCGATTTTTCCCAACTTCCAGGCGATTGGTGTGGCTTTCGTGGATCACACGGCTGCGAAAATACCAAATTCGACGCCGCGAATCTCGCCCAAACTTACAGGTTCATTGAGTTTATTGATTTATTTTTTAAAGATTTTTTCTCAGCGCCCTTCTCTGCCTTTCAATTCTTGGCGATGATCTGAGCGGAGTGGACCGAGCAGCGATTTTGAGAACGATAACAAAGTCACAGAAGCCTGATGGAAGGTGAAAATGTTTGGGAAAATGTGAAAAATGTGAAACATTTTAATTCTAAGTATTGTTTTTGAAAGCTCTTTTATTTTGAAGAGTTCCCGATTTTTCAAATTTTAAAGCCAATATGTAATTTTTTTTTACAAGAGTCAGAAATCATTGATTTTTGTGAGATCCATCTCATAACTAGAAAATTTCTATGCACAGAGGTTTTGGTTCATAAAAACTCGTGAAAGAATTTTGTAAATTCAGGTTTTCTGAGTTTTGAGATGTTCGAAGGTGTAAGTGAATGGGAAGGTCAAAAAAAAATCTGGTCCTTTAAAGACCTAAAGTAGGTCTGAACAGCTTATGCTTTGTTGAGAAAAAAAAAACAGTTGAAGTATCAAAAATGAAGCTCTAATCAATCCCATTTTGCAGCTTCTGGGGCCAAGGAGTCGGCTCAGAGAGCGACATGCGGTTCGTCTACTGCGCCGTGACGATTTGCCACATCCTGAACGACGACGAGGCGATCGACTGGGACCGCCTCGGATCCTTCATCCGAAGTAGTCGGGGGATCGACGGCGGCATCGGCCAAGGACCCGGCGACGAGAGCCATGGTACACGACTGAAACTGTACCGAACAAGGACAAATATTTAGAGCTCCGAAAAAAAAACAGAAAAAAAACATGTAGTGCTAGGGAATATTAGAGAAAACAGGGGGATAGTTTAGGTTTTTTTGTTTTGGGAAATTTAACAGTCTGAAATTTTTTTCGATTCTACCATCCGGACGTTGCCGAAAAATGTTAATATCAATAAGGAAAGCTTTTTTCTGTTGTTTTCGTTGTTTTTTTAGTTAACTTTTCACAAAAGTGAAGACATAGAGTTCTGTATAATCCTTGCTTTTGCTCTTTTTTATGAGGTCTTTTTGCATACTATTAAAATTTTTTCTCCACAAGATTTCCGTGACTTCAATTCATCATAATTTCGCAGTGTTGTCACAAAAATGAGAAGGATCAAATCAAACTTCGAGGAAGAGTTTTTTCTGAATTTTTGAAACGGAAAGTCCATTTATCTCCTTTTTTTGAGTGCTCAGATTTTTGCCGCACTCGAAAATTATAACCTCTTTGAGGAAGGTTTTTCATCTTTCGATTCACAGCCAATAACGTTGTCCTTATGATTATAAATATTTTCAAAGGCGGATCAACCTATTGTGCGATCGCCTCTCTTGCAGTAGCGAATCGGCTGTGGAACGAGAAAGTCTTGAAAATGGAAGATTTGGACAGGTTCCTTGAAAAGAAAGGCACTCAAATATTGACTTTTTCAACTTTTAGAGTGGTGAAATGGGCCATGTGGAAGCAGGACGAAGGATTCCACGGCAGGGCCCACAAACCCGACGATAGTTGCTACGCCTTCTGGATTGGTGCCACACTTGAGGTCTTTTTTGAAGATTCTAATCAAAAAAATTGATTTTTTTTCAAGATCTTGAACCGGTACGATTGTATTGATAAGCGTAGGTTACGCGACTTTTTGTTGATCGCCCAACACTCGTTTATGGGCGGTTTTTGTAAGCTTCCCGAGGTCGGCGCTCATTCAGGTTTGTTGAAAAGAACAATAATTATTATTTCAATAACAATAATCCAGGGAAAAAAGATCTGCAAGATTGGTTTTCAGTGAACTTTCACTCATTTTGTCGGCAGTCCCAATTATCAAAAATTAAAAAAGCTGGGGACTTGAATCTTATTCGATTTTTTTTCAGGTTTCATTGGCTTTCTAGTAGTTCAGTTATCCATCAACTAGCTTCACTCACCCGGAAATTTCGTTTTAGCGGTTTCAGAGTTAGGGAAAACCCCTAGAGAATCTTTCAAAAACTACTTCTATGACGCCTCTACACCCGTGTTCTCTCTTTCTCTTTCTTGCTCCAAATTTTCAATTTTTAACTCAATAACTTGTCATTTGACGCTAATGGAGCTTCTCGTACGATTCAGTGTTTTTCTTAAAGTTGCTGATAAGGTGACGCTGACACCACTCAAGAGATCACTAAATAGCTCAGGATCGTCCAAAAAGTAAATGGCGTTCCGCATTGGTTCCAAAACATTCTGACATTGGAGAGAAAATTTTTAAAAATACTTTCTTCAAAAAATTACATTTTTAAAAGGTAAATGATTGCAGACCTTCTCCATACTTACTTCTCCTTGGCGGCGATGTCACTCCTAAAAGAGCCGCTTTTCTGGCCGGTCAACGCGGCGATGAACGTGTCCCGACGTGCCTACGAAACTATCAACTCGAACGTCTGGCGGAGGCCCCGGCTTTGAATCTCTTGAACCCAACTTATCCTTATTTATCATTTGTCTCAACTCATCACATTTCGAAAATTCACTCCGGTTGCTTGCATCAATACTTGTACTGTGCTTTATTGTCGAGCTCAATTAATTTAATATTTTGAAATATGTCGGATCTTTTCAGGCCATAAACTTGCTCTTTGTCGTTTTATTTTTTATTTTTTCTGATTTTTGAACGTGGGTTTGCGTTTGAATATTTATAGCAAGAGAAATAATGGCGCTGACATGGTTTTTTTTTCTGGCGTTATCCTCTCTATCGTATTTTCCCATCTTTTTGTTTTTAATCATTTTTCTTTGAATTTTTGAAAAAAAGGGTCTTTTCTTGAGTTTATTCAACGAGGCTCCCAATAGAAAAAAACTTTGAAATTAAAAAATAATTATTTTTGGAAAAAATTTGTGATAGTCTGTTCAAACTTTGAATATCAAGCTCAACAACTTCCTTCGAAATTCTTCTGTGCAATACTCGATTTCTGATTGGCTTGTAGCGGTATCAAAGGCAGAGCTTAATTTCGAATCTGAACAGAAAATACGTCTTGTATTTTTACTGATAAAAATTTAAAGATTCGAGCGTATGTATTGCGTGCCGCTGGTCCCGAACGATGTGAGCCAAGAGGAAGCTGATTTCAGGACCCTGCACACTATCGATGCGCTGACAAAGGTTTTTTGTACCTTTTCTGGGATTTTTCATGGAAGTGTAAGGCTTTCAGACAATTGACGATGTCTTCGATCGGGTGAATTCGCGGTTGAGCTCGTTGGAATCCGAGTTGAGCTCGATGAACCGACGAGCCGACGTCGTTTATGAGAAGTTGGAACGGATGAAGCAGGTTTGGTTGGGTTGATGGGAGAAATTGCTGTGGAAAAATGAAATTTTGGTTTTATTTTTTAGCAGTGGATGCTTTTAAAGAAATTGAACTCATTCTGGAACTTTTACAAAAATTCTTCACACTTTTTCAAGGTTGTTTCAAATTGTATGTAGAAAAAAAAATGAAATGGAGGGCGGGGCCATCTAATTATAGTTTTTCTAAAGGCGGGGCTTGAAAAGCCAATAGCGATTGAAATACGAATTTTGGAATGCCGATATCGAAAATTACTTGAAAATGTGTTTCGGAATAGCTTTTGTAGAGTTATATAATCTAAAAAAAATTCTTTACGAATTTTACTCGAAGTTTTTGTATTTTGGAATTCCAAAGATTCGCAATGCGCTTTTATCATTGAACTGACCCTCCTCTTATAATTTCTAAAAATGCAGTCAAACTGCGCCATCGTCCTACGAGTTCCTTCAACGTTTCCCTCTGCTGAGTACCAACCTTCCACCACCATTTTCCGTCACTCTAAAGGGGTCGATCATGTTAACTGTGGTTTGAGCTAAAATAACTGATCTAGGAAACAAGATGTTTTTCCAGATCGAAGCTGTGACTTTGCTGGTTTTCAACTAGGAAGGAAAGTGAAGTTTGACGTGAAAGCCGAATTGGAAGAGAGGAAAAAGTTTTTCGTCGCCAGCGCTGCTTTGAACGAGATTCGACGGAAGAAACAGAATGGTTTATTGAAGATTTGCCTTTAAAGAATTGGAAAAAAAAATGAAAAAAAGATTTTTCTTTTCTCGATTTTTTGAAAGTTATTGACAGGTCGCTATGTTTTGAAAATGCATGTTTCCAAAATTAATCTGAACTTGAATTTTTGAATTTTTTTTTTCTGAAATTTTTTGTTACAAAAGTTGTTTTCAATCCCTTTTTTCCAGGTAGAACCGCTCCGGATGGTGTTAAATCTGTCACTGAATTGTTTTACTCGGGCACATCTAGACCAGTTTATACGGACCTTGGCGGTAATTTCTCCGAAAAGTTCAAGAAGGGGCCAAGGAGCGTCAATTCAACTAAGTACGTGAATGATTTAAATTTATAATTTTGTGGGACGTGTGTGAAGCGGCCGCAATGCGGTTTTTGGCGGGAATGCGAATTTTCTGTATTTTAGTCCTGCTCAACTTTTCTATTATGGTCTGCTCAGATTTTGAATGTCAAGAAGTCAAGCTCCGCCTCTAATGGCGCGATTCATCCACAGAGCATTTTTCGAAGGACGTCATTGGAATTTACATTCAAAATCGGAAAACTTTAAAAAATTGGTTTACTTGAATCGTTTCATTTTCGAATAACTTCCGCAAAAAAAGAAGGCACACCAATGCGATCATTCTCGAAAAAGTGCTGAAAACGCGTCGCGACTGCTTTGACTTCCGTTTGAAGCCGAGAAAATGATTATTATCTTATGTTAATCATGTTCTTCAGGAGAAGCCGAGACAGGGCCGAAGAAGAGGCGTCGATGCTGGAAGAGTCGGCGATCGCCGAGTCAACCTTCGACCTCAACGACGACAAACATCCGCTCGCCTACCGTCCAACTTCCCTACCGATAGAACCCCTTGCCTTCCCCAACACTCTCCCCAAGTTGTCTGGTCCGAAAATACCGTATACCGTCTTTAAAATGCGGTGGCTTCAGGCTTCGCCGAGGACTTTACTCTAAAGGAGTACGGAATCGAGGAATCCATGCTACCGGATATTGACGACGGCGTTCTGAGCGAGTCTCGTAGTAGCGGGGTTCTGGAAAAAGCACCTTCACCCGTACCTATGGTGCCAACTACGATAGCGGTTACTGTAGCGAGTGAAAAGGTGTGTCACCTCGAAGAAACGCGGAGAGACAGGCTGGAGGACTTTGAAAATAAAAAAAGCTAGTTTTTAAAGGAATTCTTCCTAGCGAGCCCGATTTTTGTCATTTTTAGAAGAAGTCGTCATATTTCAAACTATCAAAGTAGAGAATATAAATTAAACTTTTTTCTTTAAAAATCTTTTTTTGTGAGCTTAAGGAAGCCTAGTGCTCGAATTTTTGAAATTATCACTATTACGTCAAAGCGGAGTACCTTAAAAAATTTTTTACAACCTTTTTTTTTACAACCATCCCAGAAAACCGACAAGGCGAATTTGAGACTTTCCAGCGTATTTATTGATTATTATCTTTTCAAAAAGTTTTTCTGATGTTTTTGAAGGATCATGAACCATTTTCTTGAAAATATTGAAGCGAAAAACTGCTTTTAAAGTTTTTTGAAGGACCCTGTTTCTCAAAAAGACTTAGTAAAGAGGTTCCAGGAGCCGTCAAAAGCAACAATTCCGCCAGCTCCAGTCATTCCTCAAGCTCCTCTACCGCCTCCGCCGCTCGCTCCACCTGCTCCATTAACTGTAGTGGCACCTCCTCCAGCTCCACCTCCGCCTCCACCTCCTCCGCCTTCTTCTCTGGCTACCATGTCTCCAATTTCGCCGTCTACGCCTTCAGATGGACGGTTTTGAATGATTTCCATCTTTATCTTACCAAAAGATTATTTTTTAGATCGGACCTGATGGCCGCAATCCGCGCGGCTGGAGGTGTAGGCAAGATGAAGCTCAAAAAAGCTACCGATAAGCGGGCGCGAATACAGGTTTTGGAGTAAAAAACAATAAATGAAAAAATGTATTTGTAGAGCGATAATCTGTCCGAATCTTCTGCCCTGTCGCCAGCTGCTCAGAAGGCGCCTGGCAGTGGGGATGCTGGAGGCGGAGACTTGATGTCGGCTCTGTCCAAGGCTTTGGAATCCAGAAGGAAAGGTAGAAAATCAAAGAAAAATAAAATGAATGAAAAGAGGCATAAAATTTTAAAAAGCAAAGGAAAGGTTGAAGTTCCTTTGAAAAAGTTCAGATTAACTGGAGAAAAGAAGTATAGAATCATTGAAAAAAATCGTGGACGAAACATTTTTGCGTCTTCCAAACTAACTTCTGAGAATCTTCTGGACTATATATTTCAAAGAAATTTGTGGATTAACTCAGAAAAAAATGAAGGAAAAAGGAAATCAAGAAAAATTTTTTTGTTAGAAAAAAAGGGTTGAAAAAAAGTTTGAGAATTTTCATTTATTCAAGAATTTCGTTTTTTTGAACTCGAAGATAGGCGCCAAGTTATGAACCGGATCTTCTCCTCAGAATACTCTTCTAATAAATGTTTCAGCTCTGGAAAATCCTGGAAAAGTGTTGGGGAGGCAACCAGTAGGAGGTTGAAAGTTGAATAGAAGATAAAAGGCTTTGAAAAGGCTTTGGGAAGGTAGTTGGAAAAAAAAATAACTAAAATGCTTGCCAGAAGCCATGTAGCAGGCTTCTCAATGGTAACTAGAAGGCATAGGGAAGCCAAGAAGAAGGCGTTTGACCACTTGCTGGAAAGCTTCCAAACGCCTTCTGAGGAACCGAAAGCAGAAGCAACCCAATTTTTATCTGGAATCATAAACTGTTATTAGAACTTTTCCGTTTCTAGCCATCGCCGGACGAGAAAAACCGCGGGCCAGCGGCCAAAACGACGTCTACGACAAGATCCGCAACATGATTCCTCCGCCAAACGGTCACGATGAAGGCGTCGGAAGTGGCGGCGAAGAAGAAGAGGATTGGAAATGAATGAATGTATAACTCGAAATGTACACTTTTATTATTACTAACTTAACAACTTTTTGTAAAAAGGGTCAACTCACGTGTACCTAGAGAGCCGCTCACTTACACAGATTTCTATGCAGAATTATTTGATATATGATTTATTTTTCTTATCAATAAAGGTTATTTTTTTGTAATTTCCATTATTTTCTCTTTTCTTTGGAACGTTTTTCTCGTTGTGAATATTTCGAAGTAAAGTGCTTATTTTTTTATCAATTTGCCGGAAATTGAAGCTTTCTGCTTTTTTTCTGTGTCCTCTTTTCTTTTTTTGACTCGTCCGACGAGAGAAAAGAGAGCGCAGGCAGGTCAGATTGCGTCATGTCCAAGCTGATAATTGGAAGAGAATACTAAATCTTCATTACCAACTTTTTAACGTTCTTTTTTACAAAAAATGTTGCCCTTCCCTGAAACTCTGAACCATTTTTTTTTGTTTTTCAAAGTTTTAATTATTTTCTCAAAGTCATATTCATGAAAAAGGATCTCAAATTCTGATCTCAAGAGTCATGATTTTTTAATACAGTTTATGCCGAGCTGTCAAACGAAAGAGAAAATAGTTCATGTGAAAAATCCGCTTCCATCTGAAGACATCCACCTACCCGGTCCACACCCTGCGAGAGGTTTACCCGAGAATTTTCGAATAATCTTTTGATTGTTCAGGAATTTACGGTTTTGCTCTCTACGTCTCTTCCTACTTTCTCTTGTTCGTCTATCTTTTGTGGGCAATTTTGCCGACGCCAGTTCTCAACCGTTTAGGTTGGTTTTTGGAATGGTTGAACTCAGTAGAACTTCCTAAAAAAATCTAAAAAGTTATAAAAAAAGATTCTAGGAAAAATTTAAAAAAATCTAAGAAAAAGTTTTGATTTTTAATTTAATAGTCCTCATGTGTCTTTGAGTACATATAAAAGTTTTTTTGTTTTTATTCTTCGAAATTTTAGTTCTGATTTTCAAAAAGCAATTTCATTTTTTTATGGTAAAAAAATCTTTCTCAGACATATATGTCTGCGAGGCGGTTAACAATAGAGAAAAATGTTAATAGTCTGTTAAAAATTTTTGAATATCAAGCCCCTGTGGCTACAGTATCTTTCGCTATAATTCCGCTGTGCGCGTGAAGATGATCCTATGATAGCGCCTTATTTTTTTTATCTGCAAGCTTGAAAAAAGGTCAATGGTTATCGTAGCGCAAAACTGCTTGTGTATTTGCGCTTTTGAATATTTCAGTTTTAGGGAATGAAATTTATTTCTGAAATTCGCATTTTGGGAATTTTTTATGAGGATCTACAAAATTTAAAAATAAAAAATTTATCAAAAAGCCAATATTCAAGGAATCACCTACGTTCCGGCCAAGTACTGGGCGATCGTTCTACCCTTCTCCCTGGTCTTTTCTGTCTGCGCCTACGTCACCGTCGTCTTTTTCATCAATCTCTACCGATTCGGTGGCTATTCAATCTTCGACAACGTTGGGGTCTATCAGAGTCACTTTTGATGTATCAATTTTTCTCGTTCAGCCAGTTGAACACGATTTTGGCGAGAGATCCATCGCCCTCGCACGGGAGCAAGCGAAAAAAGAGCAATGATCGGGAATTTCCATCGGAATGGCCTCTTCCGACTCTTTTCCACCAAGGCGGACATTCAGAAAACTTTAAAATCCCTCAAAAATTCCCCGAATCGAAGTGCGCAGGTTGGAAAAATTGACTGAGGAGAGAAATTTGAATATTTTTTTCTTGTAGATTAGTGAGCTGTACAAAAAATTTGACGACTTTGAACGCGACCTTATGAATGAGGAGCAGAGGTCGACGGAATTCGCAGCGACTTCCATGATCGGCGAGAATTTTTTGAAGTTTGTCCATCTTAAGATCAACTTTTGGTTTGAAAAAACGTCAATTGAAAAAGATTGATTGTTGGACTTTGAAAAATATTCATTTTCTTGAAGTTCTATTTTTCACATGGCCAGTTTATCCCTGGCGGGACATCTCTGCGCCCTCCTCGTTTCTCGGCGACCCTCTCAGATTGACGTGCTATTTTCATTTTATTCTGACCTCGACGGTGAGGGAACAGAGAGACGCAGACACTTGAAAATGACGTCTCGGCGGGAGGACTAAAATTTTGGAACACTAAAAAGTTGAAAAAGTTTTCTTGGAAAATAAATTTTATTTCTCTTGTAAATTGGACCCCCAAAAAATATATGATTTCCATATCAAGGAAATGGAAAAAGCTAGAAAATTATTTCAGAAGTTTTTAAAATTTTACCCGAGAATTCACTTCTTTCGCCGTTAATCTGTGGAAAAAAAATCTGCAGATCATGATTCTCTTTTTTTGATAACAGTGAAAAACATAACGAATAACTATTTCAAGCCGAATATACCAGAACTCTCACCCAACTTCCTACCTAAATCAATTTCCAAGCTAGTCAAAAATATTTTTAATTTTTTAGAAACGAGAAAGACTACGATAAAGTCGTGAAGCGACGAGAAAGGGAAGCGGCAGGACTCAAAAAAGAAGAGCCGAAGAGAAGTCAGACTTTTCCGCTGTTGCCGACGGCCCAGCAGGTCTTCGTCAAGCCCAATGAGCTGGTCGACGGGCAAAATGTGGAGCAAATCGATCGCGGATTCTACGTCGAGGCCGGTACCGTCGTCGATGAATACGTTGCCGGATGCTCTATGGATCTCGATCCGGGTGATCTGATCGTGTTGGTTTTTATCAGTGTTTCTAAAGCAGGAAGTTTTTACTTATGAACGCCAGAGTTGTCTCTACAGAGACCAAAAAAGCGCACGGCAGGGATAAAATTTAGGTGGTCCATGTAGGGGTTTGAGGTCTGACCCCTAAGCCCTATAGGGTCTTTAAATTTGTTGTGAATACAAACATTATCAATTCATTCTCTGTTGAGATTTTTAAATTAAATGACGCTGATTTTTCCCGATGGAAAGACTTTTTCGTCAACAATAACCGACTAGCATGTTTTCTTTTGGGTCCAAAACTACTTTAGGGACTTTCGCAAGCTTTGGAGGGACTCTATAGGGTTGGTAAAGCGGCTCCCTGGAAAAAAAAAACCTTCAAGGGCCTCTAATTTCTTTCTCATAAGAAACGCTCTGGGGTTCGTAAGTGGTTTGAAAGAAAATGAAATACTCGCTGAAACGAAGTTTTTTTAAATTTGAAATAAAAAGAGATTTTTTGTGCTTGAAGTATCCTATCGGGAAAACTGAGTGAACACGCGCTGTTTGAAGCTACGTTGAGAAATTGAAAAGAAAAAGTTAGCGAATTAGATTGAAGAAATAACAAGAAGCACCCCTAGAAAGAGCCTTTGAATCTTTTTTGACGCGTCAAGTTAGCTTTAAATGCGGAAAATGCTAGCAATGGCTTGGTTGGCAATGAAGTCTGAAGTTAACTCGAGAAAATTTACTTATTTTATCAAGAAAATTGAATTGAGAGGTTATTTAATAGAAAAAATGATTTGTTAGATTGAATTTATTATAATGCAACTTATATATTCCAATCCCTTAAATTCGGGTAATTTAAGCTCTTCCCGACAATACTTCGGATCGGAGGACGCCGTGGAGCACATTTCTTTTCAACAACCTGGTCAAAGGCTACATGAAGAAGTTTGTAACCCAAAAAAATGAGTAAAATAACAAGAAAATGTAAAGGAAAGTGTAGAACTCGAAGAATCGGCGATGCAAGTAGAAACCACTGGTACGGTAGATGAATCCAGACCCTCCAGCGATCAAACCTGTGGCGGCTGTGGAGCACACTTTCATTGCAAAGTAAAAGGAAACGTAGCTAGTTTTATAGTTTTCTCTCTTTTTTCCAGGACCCTTCCTTACCGGGCTTCCTACCTGTTGAAGTCTTTGAAAAAGTTGAGCGGAGTACAAAGAATAAAGAAGATCAGTCGATGTGCAAACGGTGTCATCTCCTTCAGAAGCACAACTTTTTGGTTTGAAATTGAAAATTACAAAAAAAAATTAACAATTTTTGAGTTGAACGTAAACGTCTGCAACGTCGACTATTCGAAAATGATGAGTGAGCTGAAAAAAAGCAACGAAATGCTGGTGTTGCTCATCGTTGACGTCACTGACCTGCCTGGAAGCATCCATCCGAATTTGGCTGAGATCATCGGGGCTGGAAAGCCGATGATTGTCATTGGTGAGAGAGAAAAAAAAGAAAATTAGGATAAATAGTCGCTATTAGGATACAAAGATAAAATGAGACTTTTTTAAGAGTTTATCTGCTTATCTCCACAATCATGGTGTGCCAGGTTTTTCTCCTTTTCCCGTTTTACGATCAACTATTTTCTTTGCGGCTCATTTATAAGCCGTTTTCGCCGCCAAAAAAAAAAAACTTTCTTCACATTCTCGACCTTTAAAATAATTCTAGCTTCCAAAACCTCCAAAACTTGTTTTTCCTAGGGAACAAAGTCGATTTGTTGCCTCCGGACGCCCGAACCGGCTACATGAGCCGCTTCAAACAGACCGTTGAGAGAACTGTGGAGAAAATGGGTCTTCTTGAGAAGTTTTCTCTAATTTAGATAAATTCTATTCGACTTTTGGATTCTAGATTCAACATTTTGCACACGGGTCTCATAAGTGCGAAGACTGGGTATGGCGTTGAAGAGCTCATTACGGTGAGTTTTTGAGTCGGATTTTGAATTTAGTCGAAGAATATTACCTGGAGGCATACGGGGACAGGTACATAGCTCAATTAATCCAAAGTGAAGGGTTGACTTACAAACATTTTTGAAAAAAAAATAGTTAAAATATTAAGTTTTAAGCCTAGGTAAGTGGAATTGAGAGAAATAAAGTCAACTTGTATTTTCAGAAGGGTACTACTTTTTTTAATCCAGGAAAACTTAGAAGGAGGGCAAAAGATCGCTTATGTGCCTTTTTGAGCTTGCTATAGTGATAACTTCCACGATTTTTTTCTTCTTATTTACGCGGAATCATTTCAAACAAGGTTCAGAGTATTTTATTATAAATTAATTTAATTGCGGTTGGGAATTTCCTAAAATTTGGCCAGAACACTCTTTGATCTGCCAAAAGAAGATTCAGAGAATTTCAACACGCGCAATTTACACTTTTTCGAGAAATAAGAGCTCAGAACCCAAAAAAGCCTGTTTCAACGTAATTTGGGGCTTTTCTTCGAATCAAAGACGGCCTTTCTTTGACTGAATTTCTTCACTAAATGATTTCCAGCAAGTCTTCTTGAAATACACGAATGTGAGGCTAGGAATGCGCGGCGACATCTACTTAGTCGGATGCACGAACTCTGGCAAATCGTAAGAAACTCCAGTCTTTCAAAGTATCGGTTTCATTTTTAGGACCCTCTTCAACGCGTTCCTTCAGTCGGACCTTTGTAAAGTCCGAGCGATCGACCTTGTTGATCGTGCCACGGCCAGCATTTGGCCGGGAACTACGGTTCTACTAGTACAAAAGTTATGAAAGAAAATTGAAGGTTTCAGATGAACTTGCTGAAGTTCCCGGTCATGAAGCCGTCGCCATATCGGCTTGAAATGCGTCGCAGGAGATTGTTACAGCAAAGGGCCTGGATGAAGAAGGTTTTTGGAAAAAATTGAGGCTTTTTTAAAAAGGAAAAATGCCTTGGGCTTTGGAAAGCAAGAATATGGGAGAATAGCTTGATTAAGCCTCACGAAAATTGACCTGGAACAAAATAATTGTGATTAGGAATAAACAATAGAAAACATTAACCCATTAATTTTTTCTTGTCCAGATACTTTTTAGGGTTTAAGAAAATTATTTTTGGCCAAGTTTAAAAGGTCGACGAAATCGCAAAAAGGAGGTCTAAATAGAACAGTTATTTACAAAAGAATCATATTTCATTTTGCGAGAAATCATATCCCCTAATTGCTTGTCAAAAAAAAAACCTCATTCTTGTACTCTCATACTGGCCAGTGTCTCAACGGCTGTACCCGTACTAAACTCGTGCTTTTTGAAGCTATTTGCGTCTCAATTGTTCTAAAACGGCTGTAAGGAGAAATAGGTGACCCGCTATGTTCATTTCAAAAATCTGGAACCCAATGGTGTTAAAACGAGGCTTCAGTTGTGGTAAAAAAAAAAAAAGATGCCAAAAGTTCTACGCGCTGCGCTTGTACGGGTTCAATTCGGGCACACCCGCTGAGACTCCGTAGTAGCACGACTGGTTAACCATGAGCATGATAGTAGCAAGCTGCAGGCCTCTTTACTTGGCTCAATGCTTCTGGAAATATTTGCTCAGAAACCCCTTTATACTTTGATGTTTCGACAGAGTGGCATTGAATAAAACTTCCAATAGTCTCGAACACGATTTCAATGAACAAACAAATTTTTTTAGGAAGTCAATTCGCGAAAGTTGCTTCTACAAGAAACCGGCGATCCACAGTATGCCATCCCCATTGCGACTATTCAGAATTCGTTCAAGGTTCAGAAAAAAAATATACACGAAAAAATAGATTTAATGTTTAGGAAGATGAAGATGAGCTTCAGCCGATGGCTCTCAACAGCTTGAAGAACCACGAAGAAAAGGAGAAGAAGAAGTATAAAACTTCTTTGGAAAGTAGAGTATAAATTCATTCTGGTTTTCAGGTCCTGGTCTTTGGATGACGCCATCTTCTCCAAGGGAAAATGGTGCTTTGATACGCCAGGAACTGTCAACGATCAACAGGTTTTTTAAATGGAAGATTGTCGTACTCCAAACTTTGCAAATCGTTTTCACATTTTGTGTTACTTTTTCTCAAATTAGGTTTATAAAAATCTTAATTTGATTAGGCAACGTATTGGGGCTTCGGTGACGAGAACCGGACGCGCGCGAGACGTTTTTGAGCACTTTTAGTGACCACTTTAGCAGCTTCAGAATACTTAAGTGTTTAGTAGAAATGAAACCTCCGATTTACGTTTTTTGGGCTCATAGTTTAGTTTTTTCGGCTCGACAAAAAAGTTTCACAAAATGGTATAGAAATAAAACGCTCTCACGAAAATTTAGACCGAACCCGCTATTATCAGTCTTTCACCGAAATTTAAGGTTGAGAAAAATGCAATGAGAAGGAATACGAGAAAAGAGGAATTAAGAAAATAATCAAAAGTAGCGGACTTTTGAAAGGACTCTCGATACTATTGAAGAAATGCCTTTACTCCTCTAAAAAATCTATCAGTTCTACCTTGCAAGGTGCTCAACCTGTTCACACTCGATGAGCTGGTCAACGTGACGCCACGACGTCTTCTGACCCCTCGGACGGCGATCTTGAAGGCCGGCGAAAGCTTGGTGATTGGCGGAGTGGCTCGGATTGACATCTGCGAAGCTGACGATAATCTCCTGGTTTCTCCATTATCTTGAAAAGAGAATATCCCGAATTAAAGCTTACGACGTTCGTCAGCGACTCCTTGCCGTTGAATGTGCTGCCGACGGAAGAAGTCGACCGTTTTTTGGCCCAATATGCTGGAACTCCGGCTTTGGTTGTACCCTGTGGAGATCAGGAGCGGATGAAGTCGTGGCCGGCCTTGAAAAGCCGGGAATTCGATTTGTTCGGTAGAAAGGTACTGGAAAGACTGAAAACTTGCGAGAAATAAAGGAACTGAGATAAATAGTTCTGGAGAGATCCCAGAGAATAAAAAAAATCTAGCTCTCTTCCGTCTCTTCGGCATTGCGGGAATCTCTCCTTGTCGCTCGGTCTAATTTAAAATCGGATTTTGGCACGATTGAGTTGAAAAAAAAAACGGTAGTTATGTAATACTTGAATTATCCTCACATTTCGCTTTTTTCTGATTTAAAGCTCAAAAAAAAAAGGAAAAATCACCTTACTACTCACACGACATTCAGGAAGATTCTTAGTCCGATAATTGGTCAGCTAGACTGGAATTTATGTAGTTTTTCTCAGGATTCCGGCTGTTGCGACATCGTCTTGTCCTCACTTGGCTGGGTTATGGTATCCAGTGAGAGGGCCCTGAAACTTGCCGCCTACACTCCAGACGGCCGTGGCCTGACCGCCCGACTCCAGCCAGTCCTACCGTACTCGGCCAATCTTCGCGGCAAGAGGATCCCTGGAACCAATTTCTACAAGGTCTTCGCGAAACTTGTCAATTTGACTGGACCCGTTGCGTTCGCGAAGCGGGTTTGGGCGAAAAATGAGAATCCTAACGTGGAAGTTCACGTTGAAGTTTGGAATGTCCAATAAATTCGGAAAGAAATCATAAGAGAGTGATAGTTTCTTGACAACAGTCTAACAGGTCTGCTCTCTCTTTTATCTCTAACCATTATTGGTTTTTTTCAAATTTTAATGAACTTTATGATTTAAAAAAAGCAAAAAAAAATGTCTGAAAGGCGAATTCGAATTTCCCGCCACAAACCGCTTCGCGACTGATTCAAATCAGGCCGCATAAACAATAATAATCTATAAATTTCAGGTTCAACCAATCGAATTCCCGTTGACAAAATGGGAGAAGAATCCAGCGAAACAGAGGAGATGGAAAAACACTTGACTTTTGTTAAACTTGTTATCCTTTCTTGTTATAGCTCAAATAAATTTCTTTTACTTACATTATTGTCAATAATTTTATTGGTATTCAACCAGTGATATCTTTTTTCTTGTTAAACAGTTTTACCTTGCCTTCAAAGGTTTAGATAATGTCGTGATGTCCGACGAGGAGACGTGGCGCGACAGGGCGAGAAAAATCGCCGCTGATCGGCGTTTCAATATTGCAGTTATTTCCGTCGTTCTGACGACTTTCTCTTTGATTGCTGGATTTGGGTGGGTTTTTAAGTTTGCCATGACCTCACTAAAAGAAAAGATTAAAAGATCCCCTTAAACTAGCTGTTCCTCTATTCAAGAAAATATATTAAGAACGTTTAAGAAATTTTTCAAAGCTCTAGTCAAACTTTTCAAAAACATTGCCTCGAAATCGGAATGGAGAGATATATCAAAAAAAGTTTATTTTTTTACTGGTTTTTTTGATTAATAAGTTAGATAATAGTACGGAATTTGTTTCTGATATTGTTCAAGTCGGAGAGTTTTACAAAAAAATGCCACAAAAATTTTTCCTTTTCATTGTCTCATAATTTTTTTAGATGTTATAATGTGATCAACGGACAAAAAAATAAAAAAATCTATATGTTCAAACTTTTTTTGCGCGATATTCAAAATAAACGTCAGGAATGGAAAAAGTTAACTAAATTTTTGAAGAGTCAGAGAGATTTTTTAATTTCGCGGACATTACTTTGAGCACGGAATAAGAGTGGAAGGTTAACAGAGTTTTTTTTTCGAATTCAATAATTTTCATGAAAACGTTATTCGATTTTAGATACATATTTAGAACCAGTTTTCAATAAAAAGCCGCTTTTTTCGTATTTTCTATGATGAAGTGTTTAAGGATTTTCCCAACATTCATTCTCACCTCCTCGCTACTTTTCGGCCTCTGGTTCTCCACCTGGATATTCCTGTCCACAAACGGCCAACTTTTCGACGCTTTTCTCTACTATATCAGTCCAACTCTACCCTTTGTTGCTCAACATGTTCCACCAACGGAGAGCGAGGAGAAGTTCCGACAAATGCCTTGGGAAGGTCTATCGAACCTTTTTGTGCCAAGATCACTAACTTTCTTGGTTTCAGGACTGACCCTGTCCCCAGCCCTGAATGAAAGTCTTGAGAATTTGCTCGACGTGATTTTGCATCAGTACGTAAATGCCTGGTACGAGAACGGGATCAGTCGGGACAAAGCGTTTTTAGATGAGATTCGGTGGGTTTTGGAGCGAGTATTGTGGAGTAAAAGGAGTCTTTTACCGTTTTTCTTAACATCTTTCGTAAGCTGATGGTCTTACAAACATAAATCAAGGCTCTTTCAGTTTTGAACTCTTTTATTGACCTTGTAACTTTGTTCTCATGTTTCTTTCTCCAGTCATTTTTTTACTTCTTCAAAAAAAAAAACGGTTCGACTATGTCAAGTTTAAAAAAAACTGGTTCTGACCTCCTTCAAGAAGCTCAATTTGACACCATTTTCGGTCTCAAACTTGGAGGGAAAGTATAGGAAACTCCCCAACCTCGGATGAAAACTTCATAGAGGAAACTGTCATTTTGAAGATACCAAATTCGGTACGCCTGCGCCAAGCTTGTTCGTTTCGCAAAAAGGGTCGATGAAGCGAAGTTTATATCGGAAACGGTAGTTCCGACGGCCATGCTCCATTTCACGCGACTGGCGGCGATAAAGCAGAAGTTGGGCAAAGATGTGAGTTCCTCACTCGAGCTCTTATAAATCGGTAATAAAATACCAGAATAATCAACGGAATACAAAAATAAAGTCATTTTGGCTTCCTGCTGCTATAAAAAAGCTCTAGCCTTTTTTCCAAACTTTATTATTATAAAAATTCTGGAATAAACGGTGATCATTTCGAACTTTTTAATGAAAAATCTGACTGTTCTCGGTAGATATCGGGACATATTCTTTTTGAAAATTCATATTTTTTTGAAAATAAAGAATTTTTTCTTGAGAACATCCCGTTGTCGATGTTGGAAGGCCAGGTTTCTGAAAAACTTGGAGATTTGCACTTGGCGATGGCTAGCCGGAAGGCTGAGACCGACTATATTCGACAGGTAATTCTAAGAACTATTGAATTTTCGACGTTCATTTGAATAAATGTTCAAAAAAACCGCGGAAAACTCGAGGATTTTCTTTTCAGATTCTTTTCAGATTTTTCCAACCGTTAATTCTCTCTAAAAAGGCTAAAACTGACCTTTTCTTGTTTTGAATAGTTCACAAATAATGCAGTTTTAGAAGTAGTTTTTTTCTCCAGATTGCCGAGGTTTTGATTCCAAGATTGCTGGATGAAACCCGACTCGCCGGTCGGTCCTACGATGACGACAGCCCGGCAATAATGTTCAAAAATCGTCATGAAGTCTATCACTCGAAAAATCCAAAAAATTTCTAATTAATCACAGAAACAATGGCCGTCTCAGTCGGCTCGCTTTTTCATCCGAGAACTAATCGCCAACGCCTTGCTTTTACCCTTTTTCGATCTCATCACTGAGCCGGACACGATCAATTATTGGCTTATATTGCTCTTCGACACGTCGACGTCTTCTGCGGAGTCTTTTGATCAAGATGAAGTCTTGGAACTCCCGAATTTTCGACCTGGAACTTGTTATTTTAGGTCAATCGGGTGTCTTTCCTGAAAGGATTCGGCGAATCTTCCAATGACGGCGTCCCTGACTCGCTCCTGCAGTTGAAGTTGACTGAAGTGAGGGATTCCAAAGTTTTTGGAGTTGATTGAAGGTCGCTAGATGGATTTTTAATGGTTCGAAAAGCATCGGATCCACCTAAAATGATTCACTTTGAAGGCCTAGATAAGATTTTTTGAGTGTGAATATGAGTTGGATAAAATAATCAAAAAAGAACAACTACGTAATGATTTTGACCTTTATCAAGGAATATCAGTGGCGATTCGAGAAAAATATTCGAACAGAGTAGAAATTATTGATTATTTAGATGCTTGATTTTTTTTTAATGAGATTATCCAGAATTTTTCTTTCAGATTCTCCGAGACGCCCGCCAGTTTTCAATGTTTCGAATGTACCTGCAGGACATCCGAGGGCCGACAAATGAGCTCAATTTTTTGGCCGAGGCCACTAGAGTTCATGAATGCATGCAGAGGAAGGTGAATGGTTGGGGATTTAGTCACTGGATCCCCAGTGAACCTTCTTTCAAAAAAATTTTGTTAAGCTCGCACTACTTCAGTGATCACTTGATAGCTTAAAGTTACCCGAAAGACTGCCTTTTTTCGATTTTGAAACTAAATTTTTTGCCCATCTCCCTTGGCTGTTTCAGAAATTTTTGTTAATACTCGCTGTAGTTCACTTTTTTTTTCATTTTCAATAATTTTGTCGAAATCTCAAAAAATGGTTTTTTCAGTCGATCTCCTCTAGTCAGTTGAGCTACGATATTTGGCAACTGTTTGGAAAATTTGTCCATGAAAGCGCCGAGGAGAGGATACCCATTGAGAAGGAGGTTTATTGATCCCAAATTTTGAAAATTTTTCAAAAATTGACTTTTAGGTGGTTGAACAATTCCAAACGGCTGTGGAAAGCAACGATTTTGACAAATTGGACAGAATAATTGAAACTGTATAACCTTATATCAATATTTTTCGATAGTTCTATTTTTAGACTTATCAGAGCATTTATCAAAAAATGCAGGTCAACTACGTCGTTCCATTCTGTCAATCTGAGTGCTTTTTAGGGTGAGATTTTGGATTTTTTAATTTCAGTATTTTTTGCATGTACTACGGAAGCCTTTGGGGATTTTCGGAAGTTTCTAATTTTTTTCAAGTAATTGAAATCAGTCAATGGGAATATTTTATCGATTTTGACGCGGGGAAAATAGTTTTTTCATTGGGAGTTTTTTTTTACCAATTTTTTTAAGTTAAAGCCGAAATGAAAACATTTGGGACTTAAGCCTTTTTTTGGCAGCTAAGATAAAAGGTCAAAGATTATATTGAGCTTTAAAATAAAAACCAGACCTTAGATGCTGTTTATTGATCTTCAAGAAGTTGTAAATCAATTGGAAGAGTTTAGGAAAAAAAAAATCTAAGTCAGCTTCTTTGTTGATATTTTCGGTCTAGGTACCTTTGCGGGAGCCCGCCGGTTTTCATGGACGAACTGATTGACCGAAAGACCCAGGAAAAGAGAGCGGATGTCACTGAACATGCATTTTCTCTTTCTCAACTGAGGTAGGAAAAATAACAAGAAAAAAGACCTCAAAAGTTTATAGAGCAAAAGTTCGGAAAGCCTTGACTTCGGCCAGCGAGGACAGCGATTCCTTGGACAGCGGTTATGGGATAACTGGAACGAATTATCGTGTCGAGTCGCAAATTAGCCAGGTTGAGCAGTTGTTTTCTAAACTTACTGAAGTGCTTGTAATTACTGACAAGGATAGTCATTTTTACTTAGGTCTGTGACCCCCTAATGAATTTTATCGTTTTCTTCGACTTCGAGACTTGTTTTCTCGAAAACTTTTGAGACTTTCACGACCTTCATCTGGTACATCAAGCATTATTCTACCCAGTTCTCAGAAATTTCAAAAACAGCAAAATGAAATTTTCACTCTCAAGTTATATTAATATTTTTTTCTTAGTTGTATTTGCAGGTCTTTGATAATTTGTTTCATCCATTTCAGGATGAATATGCAACGGACGAAACCCCAAGTTCCCTGTCTATTGAAATCTCCGAAGAAAATGACGACAGCGAAAGTGATCGGTCCGAGCCGCAAGAGTCGCCTTACGTTATTCAATCAAAAATATTCAAAAAGTCTCCTTTCTTATCTTCAGGAGGAGTCCATCCAAGCCGCAGATCGACTGGAAAATGCCGACGCTAGAAATGTCCTAATTATTGATCCTGACGCCAGGGATATCAACAATTGGCGGGTTTCCATCGGAAAAGTGGCCCCGATCCAAAACTCGATGACCGGTACTCAATACATGAAAATTGAAGAGAATCTGTATTTTATCAGGAAGAACATTTTTCGTTTTCGTGATCGAGGTGGAGAGAGCCGACGCAAAGGCGCATGAGACTAAGAAATGGTCCATCCATAGATCTTTCAACGAGTTCTACGTCCTGGAATCGAAGCTCAACGAGTTCCATGGAACGACTTTGAGATTCTCGCCTCTTCCGCCTAGAAAGGTTGTGCGATCGGGTTTTATGTTGAAGATATGAGTGGAAAAGATTTTAAAATATTTATATACGGTTGTATATGGTTTTTTTTGTTTTGGTCGATTCGCAAGAGTATAACATGTCTGCCTCCTCTGTTCCCTCACTTTTAAGGTCATAAAAAAGAAAAGATGCGCCGTCAGGGAATGAGAGAGCGCAGAGAAATCAGACTATATCTCTATGATGTCATTTTTTTTTTTTAAAACCTTCCACTTTTCTTCGAAAAAAGGCAAGAAGATTGAAACGATCTGCGCTCATTTTTCCTAAGCATGGTTTCTTATTTTTGTACTTTTTCTATTTTTGTATGACCTGGCCGAGGAGAAAAAAGGGCCCAGATAGGTCAGAATTTTTTGATTCATGGCAGAGTTTTTCTCGTCTTGATTCTTCGAGTAAAGCTTTTCAAATTTTATGGAACTCGTCTCGATCTCAAAAAAAAGCAAATCTCTAACAACTCTGCTTCGCAGTGAATATCCCTACATTTTCAAAGGATTTTCGAAGGTGGATCGTATATCGCCGTATAATCAACTTATCAAAAGATGAAAATGTTCTAGGCTTTTGTGGCGAAAGATCGGCCATTCATGGAACAGCACAGACTCATCTTCTCCACGTTCCTCTCGACCCTCTCCAAGCAGGTATTTTTCCGCAAATTTGCGAGGGCGACAAAATTCTCATGTAGAAAGTCCTGAACCGTTCGGAACTTCTTCTCACGTTCCTTTCGAGCAACGAAGAGTTCCGCGACAACTTGCTCCTGAGTGATTTGAATCCCTGGAAGGTTTATTAAAACAAAGGAAAATTGAAGAAAGTTTGCGAGATTTAGGTAATGAAACGGATGCCGAAAAAGTTGACACGTGAGAAAGGTCAGAACTTGCGGCCGTTTTTGTTGAAAACCCTTGCGAATTGCTTGGCGCCAAGCTCCAAGCCGTTGGTTGAGCCTGACGATGCGAATTCTGTTAGGTACTGTAGAGGAAAAAAAGGTTTCTCAGAATGGAGGATAAATAGGAGATAAATGAAAGGCTGATGGAAGAGGAGCCAGAGAAAAATAGTAAGCTAATTTCTCTGGCGTCTTTGGCCATTCTTTCGAGGTCTGGGCCATTGGTGAGAGATCAACGGAAGAGAGGTCAAAATATGAGAAAAGATATATGCATCTGATGTTTCCTCCTTTCAATCTCTCGCTCTGACTTTTTAAAATATGAGTCTACAAGCGAGAATTCAGCGGCGGTCTGACCAAAGTAGCGAGAGAAACAAAAGGATTTGGTGCTTCTCCAGGTCTTCCAGTTTCTCGCTTTGGCTTTCTAATAATATGTCCATGAGTGAAAAATCAACGGACTGAACAGAAGGCAGAGAAATAAAATAAATAAAAGAATTTGGTGCATCGGTCTTCTAGTCTCTTGCTTCGCTTTTTCGAAGCATCATCCAAAAATAGAGATCTAGAGAGGTCAGAGAAATAAAACAGTCTGATGTCTCTATTAAAATATACTGACTGACTGAAGAATAGAATATTGAAACTGAAAAAAAAAATCTAATGATGTCTTTTTTCTTCAGTGTCGAATCGTCTTCTGTTTTTGCGCCAGAGCAAACCTACGCCAGCAATTCAAACTACTCTTCCGTTTTTGGAAATAATTTCTCCAATATTACCAACTTTTTGATGAACTCTAAAGCAACCCTTGTACCTTGGACGAGGTACTTGACATCTAATACGAGAACTAAAAAGAATTCTTTGTTCAGAAGCGCCATGGATTCGATCCTTCTCTTGGTATTCTTCCTGTTGAAGGAGAGCACTTCTTGGATTTGTAATGTATTGGCCGTTTTGAGGTACTTTAGTGGGTTTTCAAATCAATCTTTGAAAAAGTACGCCAGGAATTGAGTTTGGGCGCTCTACGGCTATTTATGAAAAACAAATTTTACAAACGAGATTGAAATTTTTGCCTAGAGTAGCCGCAAGGCTAGGATAATATGCGCACCACGGTCAATTATAAAAAAAAATAGCTTTTTTAATGGTTAAGACAACAAGGACTGAGCGCGAGGTTTCCTCCACGCTTTTCCGGGCAATCCGGAGTCAGTCAGTATTCACTCAAAGGGTATTCCGCCACTCTTGTTTCTACTTGAAATATATAGTGTATCGCGCTTTTTTCGCTGTTTGAAAGTACATATCTTGAAGCTTCAAAAAATATCTGAATAAACTTTTCGATTTACTCCTGGAAAAAAACATCTTCAGGATTATATCGAAGCAAACAGTTGATATGGCGTTTCACAAAATCTTCAGCGTTACTTTGAAGGTTCTCTGAAAATAAATTTTGATATTCCTCAAAAAATAATTCAGAAAGCCCTGAGCGAATCAAACTTGGCCTATTTGGTCCAGAAAATGCATTATTCCCTATTCAGTGATCCGTCGTTGCCAGCTACTGATCAGGTTGAGAATATGTGATGGGAAAAAAATATTGGAGAATTCTTTCAGGAGAAAGCCATGAGAGAGGAGCTTGCAAAACGGCGGACTCTTGAGTTTGTGGAAAATTTGGTGGGTTTGAAAGGATCATTTTATCCTTTTTACTCACCATTTCATGGATCTTGAAGACTAGATTTTGATATTCCACGACATTGTGAGCTAGAGAGCCTTTAAAAATGAGTGTGCGAGCTTTTTTTAAATTCTAAACGCACTCTTGTTCAGTAGTTGTTTAGGTTCGAAGATTTGAAACCGAAAAAATCGAACGTAGACTCATTTTTAAGTTTCAGATCCAAGGAAAAGCTGGAAAGTTGGTCGACGGCGGCAAGGCGAAAATCGTCGTCCGCCAAATCGTCGAGTCTCTGCAGTTTCCCCGTCTCAATAAACAATTATTCTACGTACTTCTCGACTCCCTGATCATTGAATTGTTCCCCGAAATCTCACCAAATGAGGCCATTCTCTAATTAACCTTTCCGTGTACCTTTCATTCCATTAACAAGAAAAAACGAGTGTCGCTTGTCAAATACCTTATTGCCTGCATAATTCTGTTGTGAATAGTGAATAAATTGTATCTATTTGGTGAGGAGAATCCACGTGAAAGGCATTGCCACGTTCGAAGTTCTTTAAAGTTAGCGACTTCCGGTCATTTTTAGTTTGAGCAGGATGAGCGACTACGTTCTCGACCAGACCCGCCTGCCGGACATCAACAAGCCTCGCTGGGATCAGTCGACTTTCGAAGGTCGAGCTCGCCATTTCTTCTCCACGGCCAACCCCTTGAACTTGTTCGTCTCGGAGGCGGAGCTGGAGAAGAGCCGCCGGATCATCACCCACTACAAGTTCGAACCGTTCCCCTTTCAAATTTCACACTTTTCTAGAAATATGAATTACGCAAAAATTTTTTCTAATAATACGCAACGCACGGCGTTTCTGTTAGTGGAAGAAAATGTGGAATCGAAAATACGGAGGGCGGAGTCGAACTTACCGCCGTTCCCACGTGACGTCATGGGACGGCAGAGGTTTCGGCTCTAAGAGCGTATATGACAGGGCATATTAAAGGCGCATGCGGCCGTATTGCCAGAGGTCTTTGAGCCAATCGAATTCTCACTACAAAAATGCAATTTTTTGCGGATAGCGGCGCATCGCATTCACACAACACAGGACACCTTACGGAGAAAAAGTGGGCGGGGCGTCATCGAAAAAAACGTCGTGAACGTTCAAGAAGCATTGTTGAGACCTGATCGAAAACGGAAATTAAAAAGCATTGCTCCTAAAAAAAAAGTGAAACGAATAAGTTCTTTCATGGAACCTTAGAAAGAGCTGAAAATTTTCCGCTAGAGTTCCTGGATGATGAGATAAAATAGCTTGCGAGCGCTTTACTGCAGATCATGATAGTTTCAGTACCAGAGTAAACATTTCAGAAATGGCGTTTTCGACCCCAAGTTGAAAGTCGAAGAGCTGTGGCGGGCGAAAAGGCTCTACGATTCGGCCTATCATCCGGACACTGGCGAGAAAATGTTCCTCTTAGGACGGATGAGTGCCCAGGTTTTTTTTTCGAATATTTGATGGTATTTTTTGGATGTGCTAGGTCCCTTGTAACATGCTGATCACGGGATTATTGCTGACAATGTATCGAAGCTTCCCGGGCGTCGTCTTTTCCCATTGGATCAATCAAACGTTCAACGCCAGCGTTAATTACACGAATCGCAGTGGAAATAGTCAGGTTCGGACTTGAAAATGTAGAATCTGAAGAAAAGGGATTTTGTGAATAGAAATGAATTCTCAACAAAGTTTGCCAGCTCATTTCAGGCCTCCAACCAACGACTCTTCGTTTCTTACTGTTGTGCGACTAGTGGCGCGATGGCTGCTGCTCTCGGCCTGAATTCGTTGGTGAAGGTGCAGAAAGAGGATCTGTAACAAGAAAAATAACCCATGCATCTCTCAGAATCCCCACGGACTCGCCGCTCGACTTGTTCCATTTGCTGCCATCGCCTTGGCCAACGCCATCAATATTCCGATGATGCGCAGCAAGTGCGTTTAGTTCTAAAACTTGAAAGATCGGGGTCGCTCCTAAAACGGCTCAAAGCGTCGCGGTTTCGTTGCGTCTTCCACGAAGCTTTTAAACTGAACGACTTGCTCTGAAACTCTTCAATACTGTAGCGCGCAAGTCGTTTTGAGTCGGATGGATTTCTAATCGTTTATTGTTTAAAAACATGCTTTGAAACTTGTCTACTTATCGTTCAACAGCTTCAGTTAACACTATTTGTTGCTAAAGCGCGCAAGTCGTTTTGAGTCGGATGCATGTCCAGTCACTTGTCATCCGTGACCCGACCTTCGGCAGCTTGCTACAAGTCGTTTCGAGTCGGTTGCATTTTCCCACTTTCTCGGTTTTGACTTGAACTTCAACAGCTTTCTGTAACATTCTACGAAGCTGTAGCGCGAAAATAGTCTCGAGTCGGGCCCATTTCGAACCGGCAAGTGTTTAAGGACAGTCACAGCGAACTGAATACATATGAGAACACCAAAATCCCAAGTTTATAATGGAAAAAACCATGTTTTCAGTGAGATCAGAGACGGTATCGATTTGGAAGACGATGCTGGAAAAGTTGTCGGGAAAAGTCAGAAATACGCGGTCATTGGCATCAGTCAGGTGACGATGAGCCGCATCGGAATGGCTCTGCCTTATATGGGTGGGATTTGTCTTCTTCTGCAGCTTTATTCACTTTGAAATTGCAGTCATGACGCCGATCATCATGAATCGAGTAGCGCAGACGGCGTTTTACAAGGTTTTTTATATGAAGAAAACAATTGTTCCGAAACAAATCACCGTTTTTTAAAGGGCGCAGGTAGCCTTAAACAGAAAAATAAAATATTTTCGCTATAGGACCTTTGAAAACTCTGCCGATGCTCCTTTAAAGCCTTTTTTTTTTTTGAAAATTCGAGATATGACCTCTGTCTGATTTTCGAGCAATAGTTGGCTTTCAAGATATTCAAAGCACGGATTTAGTCTTTTTTTTTCTTTTTTGTTAATTTTTTTTAAATTAATGCTTTGATATTAATTTTATAATCATCCCGCAAACTTCTTCTTTGACGAAACTTTTTTCAGCGAAGAACTTGGATCTCGCTGCCCCTTCAGACGTTCCTTTGCGGAATCGGCCTCGCCTTCACCACACCTCTTTGCTGCGCCTTTTTCGAGCAGAAATGCCCCGTTTTGGTTCGGATTTTGTCTTTTGTCCAACAAGGAAGATCTTTTTCCGTTCTTGGATATTTTCAAGTTATGGCTCAGAAAGCCTTCAGTAGTTACCTGGATTTATAAAATTTCCCAATTTCCTATAGAAAATCCATGGAAATCAAAAAAAAAACCGTAGTATACGGTTAATGATTTCAAGTAGGCTAGGTTGAGACTTTCAGAACTTTTTTTGGCACATGTAAGATTATTCGGACACCTTTTGAATTGAAAATTTTAGAAAGACTAGACGGCAAAATATCGTTCAAACAATAGTTTCGGCTCTCTTGATAGCTTCTTTACAGGTTTCTCAGCTCGAGAAGTCGTCCCGCGAGGCGGTTCAGAAGCTCCCGAACCCGCCGACCGTCGTCTGGTACAACAAAGGCCTCTGAACGTCTTCTCATCGACGTCGTCGTCATTTTTCTTTTCCTTCTAAGTGTACGTGTTATTTTTCCTGGTTTCTTTCCTAACTATAGATTGCTGATCGATAAACAGCATTTTGTTGAAGAAAAAAGATTTTTCCTTTTTTGGCCTTCCTCTTAAGGCCATAAATCACGACGGACGTCGTCGTCGTTCCGATGCAGGATTTTGAATGGCTCTTTGCTTTTTTCGGAGGATGTATAGGGATGAAAATTAAAGTGTGATTAAGTAGTTTTGATGAAATGGTGCTCCATTGACACTTGAAAGAAGGAAATGAGAAATACTCAGACCTTGGTAACGCGAACGGGACGCGAATCGGACGTGTCGGGGCATTTCTAGTGACCACTTTAGTAGCCTCAGAACTCTTAAGGGATCCCTAGAATCGCCCAGAAACGTCCGGAGCACGTCCGTTTCGCGTTACCAATGTCCGAGTAAGATTTTTATCAGTATGAGACAAAATGTAACCGAGAGAAAATAGCCGCAGATATTCGTCGGAGAAAGCGCTCCGTGGCTAATTTTTGAAAAGTACTGTGTTTCCGTCAATTTTTTCGTTCACAAAACGTGTAAGCTTATCAGTTTTCGATCATGAGGTACAGAGAAAGTTACGCCGCGAAAGGCCTTATGGCTTATTTTTTTGAATTTTTTTAGAAGTTGTGTAATTCTAGGAAAAAAATAATCTAGCAGATTCAGATGGAATTGTCTCGAAAAGAGTAGCCGCGAAAATGAGGTTGAATTTGTTCCGATGACAAAATTTTTTGGACTGAAAAAATGAGGAAAATTTAAAATCGATCCAACTGCGAAAAAGTTCATTAATATTAGCTCTGCTTATTTTTTTTCGGAAAGTTGGGAATTTTTTCGCAATTTTCTGCCTCTCCTCCAATTCTTCTTCTGATTGGCCTTCATAACAACAAAAAATCGAAGTTTTAAGAATAACGACCAATGGGCGGGACCCTCAAAAAGGCCTCTTTTGCTATTGGGCGGCGGCTGATGAATGCGAGATCCCAGGGCCGTTTTGAGATTCCCTGTTTTGTCTCGTTATTTCCTTCTGTTTCGTTTTAATTTCCCCTAGCGCCGTGCCAATCGTAAAATGTCAGATTGAACGCTGTTTCGACGGCAAAAAGGGAGCAAATTTGAGAAAAATTGCTGTTTTTGGATAAAAAAAAGGGGGCTTTGTTAGGAAGAGTTGTCTTTGTAGTGATGCCTAAAAAAAATCTTGATGAATCACTTAAGTGGCTTCTTAAAGATATTTCAAGCAAGTTTCCTAGCAGTGTCATCATCTTCATTTAGAAAATAATCTTCTCTTTTTGAAATTTATGTGGATTTTTTTTTCTTTTTTTTTTCAATTTAAAAACATTTCTTATAGCCTGGGAATTCCGTCAAGCCTGGTAACTTTTCCAAAAGATTATTTTTAAGTGTTCTCTTTTACTCTTAAAAGAGTCTTGACTTTTTTGTGGGTATTCGCTTTTTTTTTCGGAAGTTTTTGGCCACACGTGGAATGGCTCGACGCGTGACGGCTGCGCAGCGGTTGATTCGAGACATGCTTGATCTGAAAATAACTTGAACCTTGGCTTTGACTTGGTTTGAACGCTACCAAGACGATTTGAGTCATTTCTATGGCTGAAGACTCTTATTTTTCGAAAGAAAAAAAAAGTCGTGTCAACTCTTTCTCTTGGGATTTTTTGTTCTAACTCCAAAACTCTAGCTTTTTAGCTCGATTTCCACGAAGGTGATCGCTGACCTCTCCTAGGAAAAGTGCATGATTGAAAAGTTGTGTGCTTTTGGAGCTCTCTGGGGGACCCAAAGGTTGGAAACATGTTGATTGGAGTGGTTGATGAGAGGAAGGAGCATCGGAGAATCACTGGCGAGAAGAGACACGGCTCCCTGGGGCCTCTCCTCGTCCAAGGGGCGGAAATTCCGCGAGCTTCCGCCAGTTCTGGTGTCAGACGGCCTCTATTCAGGAAAAAAAACCGTTTATTTGATCTGCGATCCAGTGATGCTCTCCTCGTTACTCGAAAAACACTTTTTCCAGGTTTGATCTTTGGTTTTTGGTTTGATTGGTTGGTATAGCCGGAAACTGTAAACTTCGTCGAAGGTTCAAAAGTTGGGTTTCTGCTTCGGAGTATACGAGGTTAGAAACACTCCAGTGATTAGTGAAAGGCTATGAATATTTTAGAAGGCGTTGAAAAGACCTAAGAGAGACTCTTCGAATTGGAGAAGTATCTCTAAAAAAGTGAAGTTTAGCCCTAGAGCGCGGAAGTCTTTCGTCTTGTGGCTATTTTTTTGAAACTAAATACAAAAAAATATTCTAATTTTTTTCTTGGTCTAACGTTTCATTTTTTTACAGTTTTATTTTTTTGACATTTTCCAAAAAGTTTTCTACAGTGCGCTTTCAAAAAAACGTGGCCATTTTTTTAACAGCAGACTCTAAAAATAACTTTTTTCAATATTTTTTGTATTTTGTACATGTTACTTTTTTCGGGTTGAATCATCGCGATTATTCGCGGCTATTTTTTACTGCTGTAATCAACTTTTCTAATCGGTATATTGCAATTTACTACTCTAATTTGATATTGACTATGTATTGAAAAAGAATCAGTAATATGATCCGTCTTGAAGATTTTCATTCTAAAAGGTTATGAAGTTCAAAAAAAACGAACTTCTCTTTTAGTTTCGTTCCAAGAAGTACGAATTGTTATTGAAAGATACTGTATGAAATTATGTAAAACGAAAAACCTCCCGATAATCGATTAATCAATTCCTTGGAGCTTGATACAAATCTGAGCTTAATTTTTTATCTCGTTTCAAATTAATTTCAAAGTTATAGCCTATCAGACTTTTCAAGCTTCATAAGAAAGTTGTTTTAGAACAAAACGACGTCGAAATCCCGAATTTCAAATTGAAAGAACCCAGATTCCAGATCTAATCCCACTAAAACAAAATGAGTGAAAACAACTAGAAAGCCGCTGCGAATCACTACAAAAATGAATCAAAAAATTCCAGGATTTGTACTTATCTATTGTCGGGAATTGTGAAACTGGCGTTGGTCGCCTTGACGACTGGACACGGCTTCCAGGATCTCACTTTTTTATGTCACATTTTCATGCACTATTTAAAAACACATTCTTCTTTTGGTTTTTTTCTCACGTCATATCTATCTTTTCTATCATATTTTTTTTCTTTGAATGCGAAAAAAGCTCATTCAAACGTGTTAATTGAATTAGCTTTATCTAGTAGGGGCAGCAAACGTTTTCTCTCTTCTTTCGACTTAATTGAACTTTTTCTGCCCTAAGTTTTTTGTAATTATCTCGTTTGGGAGTGTTATTAGGGAGTTGATGTCTGTAAATATCTAGGTAGAAACGAAAATTAGTTTTAATGGGCAAAAACGATATGATTAAAAAGAAAAGCTATACTACATAACCTTGAAAGCGTATGCTTTATGGACTTGAAAAACCACATTTTTTTCGGCCCAAATAACTGAAAAAAATTTTTTTGAACTTAATATATAAGGAGAAGTTTAGAACCTTTCAATTATAAGTCAGACTTTTTTTAAACTCATGTAGATATTCCAAAAATAATTGAGACACTTCTCTAAATTTTTTTTGCTATTTTTTTGATCAAGTTTTGCTCTTGAAAAAAAGTTTGAATTTTTGGAACCAGTTTTATTAGAAAAACTTGCTCAAGTTATCTTTGATGTACCAAAAATTAAAAAATTTTTTTGCAAGAAACTATGGTTTTCGCGGATTGATAACGTCAGGATCTTCATCTAAAAAATTGATCTAGGAAGTTTCCCAAATAGGGTTCCTTAACAAGAGATTAGTCAATGTGCTCTTTCAGCCCCAAAAAAATAACCTTTTTGTAGGGCTTTTTTTCCCGAGATTTTCACCCATGAAAAAAACTTGGCCAACATTGCTTGAAAGCCTTTCAATTATAAATATATATATATATATGGGAGTGCTGTTTTGCTCTTGCTTCTCCCCCATGCAAATAGCGCCCCCTGGTGTTAATTTGCGAATTGCATTTCCACTCACCTATTCGCCTTTCCTCAGAGAGAGAGAGAGAGACAGAAAAAGACCGCAACATTCTTTTTTTCCTCTTTCTTTTTCTCCAACTTCTTTTTTTCCTGAACTTGAATATCCCGATTCAGTAATCAGCTTACATGATCAGCATAGGGGCGGAAGATCAAAAGAACTTTCGATTTTTCGGTTCTCAGTAGTTCAAGCCTTTTTATTTTAGTTATCTTTGTATGATCTGAAGGTTCATTTTTTCATATTTTTTCACCAGTTTTGGAATAATCTGATGATGTGCTCAGGAGCTTCTATTTAAGCCGAGAACTTTGAATTTCAAGTTTTTAAGGTCTTTTTGAATTATCTTAAATGACAATTTAAGAGTTAAAACTGAGTTTTTACATTTGATCTGGTTATGCTTCAGACCTTGAATTTTTGTTAACTAGACTAATGAAATAACTGGAGTTTCCCGTGAAATAATGAAGAAATTGAGAGATTTTATTAAATTTGATTTTTGAATATCATTTTTTGGCTAGACTTTTTTGAAACTAAATATTTGTTTTTTTTTAAAGTTTCATAAGAAAATGTTCATCATCTCAGACAAGATTATAATATTTTTCTGTTTTTTCTCCTTCGAGCATTCATCATTCTCCCAGAAAGCCTCCAGATAGTTGGTGTGAATTCCTAGCGCGCCACTCTCCTTTCAAGGACAAGCTCTGAACTCTATCAGTGCATATGTACATGGGAAAAGAATTCCAGAGGGTCTCACCCTCGCAATCGATCCAGACCCTGGACTTTATCCGTTCCGTCCGTCCGTCACGTCTTATAAGAGCTTTTCTCAACTTGTCTCTGCCGATGGATGGATGGATTTGGTCGGTGCCCAAAAACAATGAGAAGATAGAGAGAAAGAGAGGAATTTTTTGGGCGGCTCGGCCATTTCCTGATATTTTTTGATACCTAGATATGTATGTAGACTTCTTCATCGACCTGTGGGCTTGAAAGTTAGAAAAGTCCTTTTATAGCTTCTTTTTGAGTTTGATACTGATCTTTACTGTAGGACTTGTTGCAGCCGCACTTTCGGGGGGAAGTTTCAAAATTGACAATTTGAGGAAGAGAAATTCAGCTTTAGATTTTGAAATTTGCTCACCTGAATAGCATCAACGGGTAAATTACAATCGGAAAGATATCAGAATGAAAAAAGAAACTAAAAAGTTCGGGTTGTCGCCAAAAGCCGACCAGCCCTAAAGTAATCACCACCTTCGAAGCCAATTTAAAGGAATCGACTTAACCTCAGTTCACAAAAAGGTATATTTCACTCCAAGGGAACTTTTGAGTAGCCTGTCTGAGTTCGAGAAAAACCTGAAAACGTTCAATTGGTGCTTTGAATAACTTTTCCGGACCATCAAGAACCGTAAATTAACTCCAAGGAAGGTATTTTTACTTTAAGTTGGTAGTTTCCACAAGATGACCAAAATATTCCTTGGTGTATTGAATGAAGATCCTGAAAGATTCTTCCTGCAAAGCTTCCTGATTTTTGAGAACGAAAGGTTCAAAATGGCCTTTTCTAGTTTTCTTCAAATCTCAAGGCTCATTTTTTGGAAACTAGGGAAATCTTTGAAGATTCTTCTTTCCCGGACTTGCATCGGCATGTCAAAGAGTATTATGATTAATCAGTAGAAACTTCCTTTACTTCAAAGCTATGATACCTTCCTTTTCATCGCGGGCATCGCCTCCGAAAACATGTATTTTTAGAACAAAAAAAAGCCAAAAATGGCCAATAAAAAGGACTCTTTGGGGCTTAGCGCGTGGAATCTCCTCACTCACTCTCTCTCTTCTCGAGAACCCTTGTTTCAAGTAGGCTGCTTCCTTTTCCTGTTTATTCGATATCTCGTACACATTTCCCATAGAAAAAATTTGGCTCCATTCGTCGCCCAAATCGCATTTTCGTCCGTTTCGTTTCAAATCCAATTTTTTGTTTGTCTCGTGTGTTTGTGGTCTCCAACTTTTTATCCTTCTTTCCTCGTCCTTTTCTCGCTTGCACTTATAATATCTATCAAGTAAGCCGAGCGAACACAAAGGCTCATTTTTCTGCACCGAGTCTGCTCCATTGATAAATTATGCAAAGTGGACTTTTCGCGGCTCTCGGGGCTCTTTCTCTCTCTAGGAATTCAATTCAAGGCGTCGTAGACTATGAAAGATCAACTTTCAATCTTCTTCTGTACTTTTTTGAAGGCTTTCCAGTTTTTGGTCTCATCAACAAAATTTGTTAAACTTCACATTGACGCTTTGACAAAATCTCCAACTTCTCTGCGCCCTATTTTCTTTAATCTCATCGTTGAGAGATGAGAGGGTACAGGAAGGTCATAGTTTTCCGAATAAAGAGCTGTAAGAAACAACCGATTTCAAGACTTTGGAGTCATTAAAATACTCTGAATGTTTAGAACTTTTTTCGAAAGGTTCCCATGTTTTTCATTTTGGGAGTTTATTTTATGGGTTCTCAAAGTCGTCGAATCTGTTCTAAAGTCTTACGGTCATCAGTTTCCTCTTCTGGTTGAAAACTTCAAAAATGAATTTGTTCTCTTCTTCATGCACACGCAAAGGTTGTGCAGAGGTTGGAAAAAAGTGAAATTTGAGGCATTTTTGAGAATAACTTTCAAGTCAATAAGATTTCGTTATATTTTATTTTCTGGTTCTTCATCAAACTGACGTGTCTTGTGCTTTATGCGAAATTTTAGAGCATAGAGAAACTTTGGAAAAAAAAATATTAAAGGCGATCACGAAAGTTTATTTTCTACCCTGATTATCTTTTTTTCTAAACTTATTCTTGGAAAATTTTTTTTGCAAACTTATTATTTGCTATTCCCCAGGTTCAATAGTTCCATTACGCGTGAGTCTAAAGCGCTTATCCCTTTTCGTATTCCGAAATAATCCTGGAGATTCATCCAAGAGGCTCGGCTTGTAATGTTAGCTTTCTAGATCGATAAGTATATTTTCGCGTCATTTTTTTCAATAAAAAAGAAACTGAAAATAACTCAGCTCACTACAAAATTTTGGATCTTTGATAGACTAAGGAAACATTTATGAGCTGAAAATAAGAAACATTTTCCCTTTTTTCAAATTTTCTTCTTTCAAAGATGAAATTTCAAACTCTTTAAGTGACCACTTTTCTTGGACTCCTTGATTAGTTTTTTTATGGTCTGTTATAAACGACCACTTCAACCTGTCTCTCAAGTCAGAACTAAAAATGACCCCTTAAATAGCCTCTCAGATTTTTTTTTTCAAAATTAATCGATATACTTCGGTGGGAGCCATCTTTATCAAGACATTCAAAAAAAAAACCTATGCAAACAGCAAAAAAATCTTCCAGCGCAATTTTCAAGCAATTCAAAAGGGAGGGCTGTTGCGTGACGCCAATGAGTGTCGGCGGCGGCACTGATTCAAGCTTATTTCCTCTTTTTTTTTCCAAAAAATCCATGTACCTCTTCTACATTACTTTCTGATGGATTTCAGTGTCTGAAAGTAGATAATGCTTTTTTTCACATAAAAGTCTTCAAAGCTCTATTTTTCAAATTTCGAACGTCTTCGGTGTTTTTCTCACGAAGAATTGGAAAAGTAGGTCAGGTCAGGTTTTGAAAACTAATATATTCTTGAAGAGAAACTGAAAAATTTGAACGGGAACGGAAAAAAATACTTCTTTGGCAATTCTGATAAGAATTTTTATCCATAGAGCACATATTGCCAGGACCTTTGTGACTCTGTTCAATCAATAATTAATTTTTTGTTCAAGTCCTAGATATATTTATCATCTAGGCGGTGAGCCAGAACTTTTTGAGCCATTATCGAGGCGATTTCTATCAATTTAGCCTCTCTGACCTTCTGTCAGAAATCTTTCCGTGGACTATTAATACACGGAGACATATACCTTTCTAGTCGGGTTCCGTTCAAGCGAAGCCAAAAAGTATTGGGCCGTGGATAACGTCGAGGGCGACCAGTCGACCGCGAATAATCCGACCTCGTCTTGCTCAGAACTAATGAAACAAGTCTCATTCCTTTCCTTGTCCTCCAGCTTCTTTTATTTTGTATTTCGGAAAAAAAATTGGTCTAACGATTGTTATTGTTTCACGGCTGAAATACTGCTTCTCAGAGATTTTTTTTAGAAGATCCTCGAAGGAAAGATAATTTTATTTTGCGGTTGGAAAGTTCTTGAAAACCGGTCACACCGTTTATTGTTCGACCAGAAGAAGTTCCTGAAACTCTCAACTTGCAAAGCTCCCTAATTTTCGAGAAACGAGGGCTCAAAGCCCTGAAATGACCTAGCTTAACGGAATTTGAGGGTTTTCTCTGACTTTGGCGTGTCCTTTCGCAAAAACTAAGAATTTTTGCTGCTTGACGCTTTCAAGATACTTTCTTGGTACATCAATTCGTGTTTTGAACGATTTCAAGATTTCATTGTAAAAGATTTTCTTCGCTTGATGATTTTTTTTGCAATGTTATCACTTCTCTATCCGATTCAGAAATTCATTCTATCAAATTATGAGAAATTTTTCAGGTCGAGGAGCAACGGAGCGGCATGGATTACATCCAGAGCTTCGACATTCGTCTCAATAAAGTGATTTTTTTTCAACTAAATATCCGAGGAACTAATTTGAATGCAGACTTCAGTTATAAATTATCAAATTTTTGAAACATTGAACGCAGTTGAACTTTTACGAGTTTCAGGTCGTGGTGAACAGATATTTATGAACTTCTCGTCATTTAAAAAAAAATTAAGCTCGCCGAAAGTTTATTTTTTTGAAAGCACACACCTTTTTTATAAGTGAGAAAGCTTTTCTCTTCAAAATTCTGAGGAAACTTACCTCTGATAGTTCAAACAGTCCAGCAGATATTTGAAAATATACCACAGAAAGTATGCAATCGATTCGGAAGAAAAAAGAGCGATTGCAGGATGTCTACTACGCCGGCGAGACTATTGCCGGAAGCGTTTTGCTGGAGAACACGGAAAACATCAAGATCAAAGGTATTCGAGGAATTGGCCGTGGAGCGCACAAGTTTTGGTTTGAAGGGATCCGGGTGCTGCTCCGGGGGAAGGTCCACGCGACACTCAAGGTGGTCAAATCCGGCGAAAGGAGGACCATGAAGGACGATCAGTACGTCCTCGACGAGAAGCTTCTCCTTTGGGGCAAAGGTGATCCGTTTCAAAACGTTTGATTCTTGATTTTACGATAAAGGCGGCCTTAAAAAAATGGTCTGCCCATTTTCTGGGAAAACTTCAACTGGCCACTTTAGGTTTTTGACCTTTAATAGTCGCTATAGTAGTCAAATTAGTGACCACTCAATGGCCTATACATTAATAACCACATTAGAGGTCTAAGTGGTACTATCAGACCACTAAAAATATCAGAGGCCACTTTAGTATCCTTTCCAATCAGTCCTCGAGGAGCTGCGTAAGAGGTCACGAAAGTTTTTGCCCCTATGTCTCCATTTAGTCTTTCACATTTCGTTTCTCCCAACCCTGATTCAGACAAAAACGATGAATCGGAAGGAGTACCAATACTGGCCCGAGGCGTCCACCAGTTCCCCTTCAACTTCCCACTGCCTCAATCGACGCTGCCATGCTCCCTGGAAAGCCGACACGGCACCATCCGTTACTATATTAAGGTAAAACTCTGTGAATTGATCAGAACTCTCGCTTTCATGTATTTTCAAATAACTTTTAGAAGGATCTTGGGAAAAGCCTTATTCCCGATTCTTGTCTATTTGTTTATGGACTTTGATCGCTTTGAAAATTCCTTGCTGAAAATTTGAAGGATCGTATATTCTGGTCAGATTTTGAAGTTCAAGCAGCTAACTCCCCATTTTTTTTTCTGCAACTCTATTGAAGGATCATCGGTATGACAAAATATCGACACGAAAAGGTACTTTACTCTCGGGAGCGTGATTAGCTGCTTGACATTTAAAACCTGAACAGACTATAGACGAGTTTCGTGAAGCTCTCAAGACGAAGAGCTGTTTTCAGAGTTAAAAAATAGTTTGCACCGTAAACGATCCTGCTGAAACTTTTGAACAGAGTTATTTTGAAGTTATATATAAAATCAAATTACAGGTGATAATCGACATACCGTATGCCTCTTCGCCGCAAGGAATCAAATATTTCACGATCATCGGCCCTCATATCGATTGTATGGAGGAGAAATATCTGGTGAGCTTCGAAATTGTTCTTTGTCATGTCTTTGGTGGAATTACAGAGCCCTCTGACAGCACAGGACCGAAAAGTGACGTGCTGCTGGTGTTGTCAACGGGGCGCACTTGCGCTGAGGATCGTTCTTGAGAGGACCGCCTATCTCTGCGGAGAAAAACATCAGAGTCCACGCGCAGGTTCATTTTTTTCGGAAAAAGTCATTATTTTTTTAGGTGGTAGAATATTATTTTTTTACTTTTTTTCCTTTTTTTCATAGAGGGGAGAGGTTTTCGAGAGATAAAATTTTTTTACAACTATAATTTCATAATTTCACAACTATAACATCATTACTGTAGTCAAGAATTATTGGATTATCGTAGCGCCCCTTTTCAGCTTTGACCTAACTAGTAGAATAGAAAAATGAAGAGGCTTATAAATCTAAAGTGCCCTATTTTATCTTCCATTGAGAAATATCTTTCAGATCGAAAATCGACAATCAAGTTCCCAGATGCTGGTCCTCCGGCTAGTACAGAACGTGGAATATTTCGTGGAGAAAGGCCTTCTCGGAGAGAACAAATCCATATCTTGCTTGGTTTTCGAGCACAAGTTGGTTAATATTCCTGATTCAGAATATGACGAACATTTTCAGGAGCCCTGTGATCCCGGCGAATTCGCAGGGAAAGTACGATTCGACGTTAGAACAGCCGATCCGAGTTCCGGTCGTGCCACCGACCCTCATCGGCGTCTGCCGTCTCATCCAGATTTATTATATTCTACGGGTTTGTCACTTCTTCGTTCTCCGAATAAATGTAATTCGTCTCACAAACGAATTGTGAGAAATCGTGATATCACCTGAGGCACTGGGTGACGCAGGGGCTAAAGTTTAACGATGGTAACGAGATGCTCGTGCTTACATCCTCAGAAGAGTTTGACCAAAAGGCGGTTAAACCTTCAAGTGTACCTGAAGCACCTCCGGTGGGACTCAGATTGAGCGGAAGTGTATATAGTCTGTTCAGAATGTCATGTCAGATTTTGAATGTCAAGTCGTCGCCTAAGCTCCGCCCCTGAATCAAATCCAATCAAAGAGCGAACCATACACGGAGAGCTTTCAAAAGACGTCAATGTACTTAACATTCAAAATGGGAACATACTATGCTGGAGTGATCACAATGAGCTTTTTTTTTCGATACAGCCGATCCATTTTGAAGATATACTCATGGACATTGTATGGTACACTTCCGATTCGTTTTTGACTCATTTATTCGCGTATCGTATGTCAAAATTACCGCGTTTTTCAATTTGAACTTTTCACCTTTATTCGGCATCATCATTCAATCTTTTTCAATTCAATTTGTTTATTTTTTTCGCAACATCGGGATGGTATGGTGATGTTGCAGGGAGGGAAAAAGACCACTAGGTGGATTAACTAACCCCACCTGTGAAGAAAAAGTTTTTTTGTGTAAGAAAAAGAAACATAGAACCATAATAAGTAGATATTTAAAAACCAAGTTGATCATGGCACAAATCTGTGAACACTTGAAAGAATATGCTCGACGCCAACATCTTCTGCATACACTAAAAAAACATGTCCTTAAATTTTTTTCTTGTCTTCCTCTGCCAATAATTCATGTTCAATGTCATTCCAAACATTAGTAATGCGATGTGATAAGAAATTGAAGAAAAACCAGTGAAGGTTTTCGTTTTTTTATTAATTTAAAACCATTTCCTCTGAGCTGACTGGGACGGTCAAAGATGTTATGTACCTGGATGGGAGAGTCTGACCAGCACTTATTATGCAAAAACTGATGTGATAATACCAGATCCTTAACTAAACGCCTAAACCAAAGAGGTTGAAGACCTAAAAGTTTTAACCGTTCATTATATTCCATTCTTGGGGAAAGGCGCTTCGTGAAACGCCTCTGGACCGATTCTAATCGATCAATATCTGACTTTGTCAATGGACACATTAGTTCCGAACCATACTCTAGAATGGGAAGTACCTTGGCCTTATAGCATGTCAAGAAGTTTTGTTTCGAGAAGCTAAAACAGCGGAATAGGTTGTTTATAATACGCATAGTTTTTTTGACGATAACTTCAATATTATTATGCATTTTGAGGTTAGATGAAAAAATAACTCCGAGATCTTTCACACAATCCTCGTTATTCACTGTTGTACCATTAAGCTCGTAACTCGCAACACTTCGAACTCGTTTCCCATAACTAACATGGAGACTTTTATTTCTCCATGTTAGTTATGGGAAATCTTTCGTGTAAACAGTTCTCCATGAGATCAGTTTTTTTAGGCATGGAGCAAATTCTCTATCATTTTTGTATACTGACAAGCGGGCGGACTTTTTTATATTCCAACACTACGATCACATAGATCTATCAGATCGCGCGAGCCGATCTCACGAACTCTTCGTAGTGAGACTCATTCCCAGCTGTTCAAAGCTCTTCGGTCGACGAGACTGATCATGAGATCGGTCGGAGTCCTGTCGGACAGGATCCTGGTGAAAACCAGGAGATTCAGTTCACCTGGTTCGAACCGAAATCGGATCCAACATGGAACCGAGGTCTGAGGCCCTGTGCTACACAACCCACAGGGACCGCGCTTAAACCAACAGAGACAAAAACCGTAAATTAAGCGAAAGCGGATCCGTGAAGGTCCAGGGTCTCACTGACAGTCACTACCCGGACCCGAGCAACAAGAAATTGTTGATTCCAAATAGGACTGGGACAATTAAATTTCATCGAGATCCGGGTCTGTTTTCAGTCTGGAGCAGATTCTCTATCATTTTTGAACAAGCGAACGAAATCCATTCCTAGGATAATAATTCCACAAAACACGTGTTTCTGTTTCTTCGAAGACTCGTAGGTTGTTTCCCGACTTCGATCCCGGTTGAGCAACTTGAGCAAATTTCCAAGAACTTCTAAAAAATGCCATTTTCAAGTTATTCATTGTTTCCTAAACTCGTGAGCACTGTTCTAATCCTCACGAAACGCCTTTCTAAATGAAAGTCAATAAGAGATTTCGCTATTCTAACACTGTTCATTCAGGTTTGTATGGAGGACGAAAAAGGCAACGAGAGTCTCCACTTAGATTTCCCTCTTACTGTGGCCACAGTACCCTACCGCATACCCAACGCTGCTCCGCCGCCTGTAGATTACGGTACTCTTTCCTTTTTATACTTTGTAATTTTTCAACATTCAGACTTTTGCTCGAATCACGTTGAAGGAGGCAAATACGTCTCTCCTGAATTCCGGCTCGGTCAGGTCTACGACGGCGAAGGCGAAGAGATCACTAAAGAGGAGGAGGTTCAGAGAGCGAAATAGAGCACAATCGTGTCCTTTTTCTTAGATTGTCTTATATCGGCCGGTTTACGCGAAGCTCGGGGATAGGAAGTTGACGTCACCACATTGTTCTACCAAAGATCTTCGGTCCGGATCGGTCAGGGATCAAGTTTGCTCGGAAAAAAAAATAATCAAATCTGGATTTCTGAGGGGATAAAAAAACGTTGAAAGTTAGTTTCAGAAAAAAGAACTATTAAAAATCCTTCGGCACCTTTTAGGCAGAAGAGGTCAGGTATCGGTCGCTGGAAGTAGAAGAGAATTAATAGAGCTTTTCTGGGACTTTTATTATTTTTGTTTCCCACCCATTTTTTACAACGCCATTCATTTTCCAACTTTGCGCGTCGGGTCACCCCGGGGCGACGGCTTCAAGTCGCAGCACGAACCGGGGCGCCCTGTCGACAGCTGCAGAATGCTTTTCTTCCGTAGCGCTTTTCCTTACGATTTCAATGCTTTTTTCAATTTCTCAACAAGGTAATAGATAATAATAAGAAAGATTTTTCTTACAGTTCACTCGGATAGCCGACAGCACGCTGTCGATGCTGACTGAGTCGAACGGAACGCGGCGGCGGAGCGTCGTTCTTTCAACGTCGTCTCCAGTGCCGACGAGGAACAGTGGCCTGCCTCAGGTCCACGACGGCGAGCAAGACCGACTCGTGCAGGACATCTGAAACTTTCATTGTGACCTTTTTCAATTGTGGTTTGTTTTTTGTTTTTTCATCTGCACAGAAATAATCGTCAAACTGGGAATATTCTAAAAAGGAGTGCAAAAGGTGGATGTTGATTATGTAGGTATAACTCATTAAATAAGAAATAGATCAGGTGGAAGATTAGAACAAGGAAATAGTATGAAAGGGGTATGGTTCTGCAGAGTTTCATGCAACGTTTCGACACAACCTACTCACCGCCTTCGTCTCGTTGTTCCGAGAGCAATGATGAAGATGTTGGAGAAGTAGTCGTGGCTAGTAGTCGTGGCTAGTTGTCGTGGCTAGTTGTCGTGGCTAGTTGTCGTAGGCTGCCTTCGGCGTGGGCCCTTGGAACAACGAGACGTAGGCGGCGCGAGGTTGTGTCGAGACGTTGCATGACACTCTGCAGAACCAGACTCCTTTTATACTATTTCCTTGTTCTAATCTTCCACGTGATCTATTTCTTATTTAAATTTTACAATGACGTGTTTCTAAAGTTTCTTGTTTCAGATCAGTTAAGACTGAGTTTTCATTTCGTTTTGTAGAAATGAAGTCTCGAAATTGATCATCTAGTATGAAAACATGCTTCGTCTTTAAGATTGGCAAACTTTGAAAACTCTACCTTTTGCACTTCCCGTGTTATTGTAAAGATACCGTCTTCAATCTGTGAAAAACTTTTGATCTTGGTAATTCTGAAAACGAAAAAAGGCTCAAAATGAATGGGGTTTCGTGCCCGTCGGAGAAGCGACTCGCGCTGGTCTTGAAAAAAATGTTTTGACTCGCAAGTTGGACGCGAAAATTCAGTCATTTTCCTCATAACCACCATAATCCCTCTTGCTCATCACGTTAGATTTGACATTTATGAAAACTCCATTCGAAACGACTTGAAACACTTTGATTTCTCAGCGCCCTCTCATTTCACATAACTTCTTTTTTTTCCCTGTGATCTGCTTAGTGAGAGGACAGAGAGCGCAGACTGTTCAGACTGTTTCAAAACCTTCATTGAAATCTTCCCAGTGACTCGCAAAAATGTGATAACCGTTGATGATCTCTATTATTGATTGTTTTTTTCAATCCCTGAAGTGATATTTGCCCTTCCATATCTTGTAAGTTTTTGAATGATTTTATTAAAACTGAGTGGCGTTTTTAGGTTACTGTAGAGTCTGAAAACAATTCCAAAATTTTTTTTGCAAACAGCTTTTTTTGGTGAAACTTTTTCTTCAAAAAGAAATCAGTTTTCAAAATGTATTCTAACCTATCTTCGATTTCGATTCATCTGGAAACGCCTCTCAGTTCTGTTTGCCCCTGATCTCTCGAAATTAGCGTCGTTATCGCGTCGGGACCAATCACGAGCTGTTTTCCAAATACTTTTTCACGATCCTTCTTATTTCCCGGCACCGTTTCCAATCGCAACCAATGCTCAACACGAAAATAACAGTGATTCTCAATTGTTTTATCGAAAGGAAAGAAAAAGTCAACAAGTTTGTTCAAAAAAGAATATTTACACGGAAGAAAAGTCGCAAACAAGTGCTGCTTTTATGCGGAGGATGAAGAAGTTATGTACAAACAGGAGAGGAATTCGCGTTACCAAGGGATACTGTAGGTTCTGAGGGAGCATCGGGTGACAAAGATCGCAGGAGGAAATCATCTCATAATGTGCAAAACTGAGAATGAAAGAAATAGAGACATTGCGGATCAAGCGCGCTATTTTACGCGCAACATGAACTAATCACGCTACGTCACGCGCAAGTTCATAACTTCAAAAAGACAAGTTTATCGATCTTTGATTTTTCTGAACAGAAAACTTCAGAAGATAAATACTGGATGCTGGAAATTTTAATTTTGATACAAATATAGTTCATCAAAGACAGTTTTTTTTTTGGATTTTGTAGGCGCAAATCTCTAAAACAAGGTCTTCCCCTGGGAAGCCGTCAGGGATAAACTATATTTTGAGAAGCTCAAAAGAAGAGAGTTGAATCATGTCGATCAAAGAGTTGAGGAGCGCGGTTTGGTCTCGACGACGTCGACGTCGACGTCTTCGTCCATCGGCTCGTCGCAAATCGAAACTGTCCGGTCGCGACTGTCCATCTCCTCGTCGACCGCCAGGACGTTTGCCGCCTCGGTCATCTCTTCTTGCGATTCTTCCCTAAAACGCACGAAATTGGTTTTTTTTTTTTGTGGAAAATTAATCTTTAAAAAAAAGCTTTTTTGCTTCTGTGAGATGTATCTAGCCAATAAAAGGCTTTTAAGACTCGGTGGACTTTATTCAATCAAGTTTACAACCATCAGAAGCTGATTAACTCAAAAAAATTTTTTTTTGAATAGTCCACTCAGGAATTTGTTTTTCCTATTTTTTTATAACATTGTAGATACGCATCATCATCACTGAGAAACAAAAACAAATAATCCCTTAAAGTCCAATATTTTTCCTCAATTTTCTGTACTTTTCTCAAAATTAATCAAAAATTTTGTAGTGTTTCCGCTTCATCGCCTTTAAACCTAATAGGAACTTCATACTTTAGGAGCCTTGATTGAAATTTCAAGGTGAATCATCTCTGATGTTTCTTAGGACAGACATTTAAGGTGAACTAATTAAAATCTTATAGTGCAAATCGACTTTTCATTCATTTTTGGATGACTCAGGTCCTCAGAAAGCTTGAGAAACAGGCAAACTTCTACTTTGAGCTAAGCAGACCGAAAGTTCATCTTTGGTTAAGATTTTAGTGCAAATTCATTTGCTATTCAATTTTTGGATGATTCAGCACTTTGAAAATCCCAGGTAACACGAACTTGTTAAGTTTTTCTACTTTAAATAGTACAAAACATTTTTTTGGAATTGTTATTCACTTTTTTTGCAAAATGACTCAGCTCCCAACGTTCTTGGGAAACAACTCGCGAAATTTCCATGACTACGGTATATGTGTACTTGAAATTTCTTTGCGAAACGCCGCGAGCCAGCTCCAAGTGATAAAGAAACGAAAGAGAAAGGCTGATAAAAAGCGCGGCATGTGACCACGGGGCGCAAAAATAAAAGATAGCCCTCTATGGAAAATCGATACTCGTGGTCAACTCCAAGTAGATTTTGGTGATAAAGACTTGAGAGTAGTAGTCGGGAAAGCGACAATGTTAAAAAGTAGGAATAGATACTTTTGGATTATTTTTTTGAAATTTGTAACGCTTTTTAGATACATTTAAAACTTACATGTTTAAAAAAAAACTGCGAAACCTTTTTGAAACCTAAAACAAGCCCGGAGACAACTCTACGCTTCAAGACCCAAAACCCGGCTATACTTCTTTCAAAATTTTAATCAACGATTGAAAAGAAGCCAAAATGTTATTGTGCTGAAAGGTTTAAAAAAAATTACGGGCTTTTTTCAGTTTTATCAAAATTCACCTCTCAAAAATCAGCAGTCGTCGTTTAAAATAGAGTCAAAAGCAGTACCAATTTTTGAACGAAGTTTTGGAGATATAGGAATAAAAAGCTTTGAAATTTTTCTTATCATTTTTTTTCGAAAAAAACAAACCGATTCCGACCCATTCTTGCCTCTCTTCTCGAATCAAAAAAATTGTAAAGCTTTTTTTCTTAGTTTTTCATCGCTACAGGTAGCGTCTAATTTTTTTTCTTCGCTGCGTTTATTCTTCATTCTTACTTGATCTGATGCCTTCGGATGTGCTTCTCGAGCATGGCGGGGCTCTTGGAGACGTGTCGACAGTGCGGACACTTGCGTGAGCCTGAAACTTTCGGTTTCAAAGTACGAATTGATAAAAAGTGCAGACCTTGGTCGATGCTCTGCGGCAGCGGAATCCCGTGCCGATAGTACTTGTGGAAGTGGATGTAACGAGCCTCGCGCGTGGTGAATTGACAGTTCGGCATGGTACATCTGAAGATTTTCCGTGAATCTCCAGTATAGACCATTCAATTATGGCTTAATGAAGATCTCAGCACTATTAAAGAAGTAGAATGAGGAAATAAGAGGGTCAAAGAGCTCTATTTCCTATAGAAATCTTCCACGCTTTTCTGAGCCAATCCGGGGATCACAAAATGATTTTAGCGCCTCTCAAGGCCTTACTTGCAAAGAAAGAATCTTTCAGTAAGTGGTTCCATCTTCTAGTGTTCTAGTGATCACTTAAGAAATGTTTAAGTGTTAACTCGAAACGTTCCACCAAATTTCATAATTTTCGTTGAAAGTGAAAGGAGTCAATACCCACCTGATCGGCGGGTTACGGTGGTAGATGGTGACGTGGTAGGACACCGAGTTGTACCGACCGTACACCTTCTTGCAGACCGTGCACATGAATCCAGTCTCCGTCTTCTCGATGTACTTCTTGTTACGGCACCAACCTGAAGTCTTCAGTTTTCATCGAGAAGCCCTTCAGAATCTTACCTTCTTTGTCGCTGCTGGGGATGATGACGTCACCCATGTTGTCGTAAGGCGCGTCGTCGCAGTCCAGCGACGCCGACTTCTTCATCTCGAAGCGATGGTCACGACGGACCTTTGGAGGCTCTTCCAAGGAACTCGAAGAGCCAGCGAGACCGCTGTTAAGTGTCATGGCAGCGAGGACCTGAAGATTGCAGTTTTGATAGGAATTGAACTGGATTTCCGTTTTTTTTTTTGTTTATTCGAAAATCTCCTAGAAGGTTAGTTGACTTTACATGAGAATAGAGCTGTGGAAAGCTAAAGATTATGATCATGGGTTCTGTTACTCTGGCCTAGGTCTACGAAAGATGATTGGTTCGGCTGATTTTCTGATTTTGTGAGCCTAGGCTTCTTCTCTGATCCCAGATTCGTTGTATGGGTTTGGCTAGAAGTTCCTATCCAACTTGGTCCAGTTCCGCTGCATCAGTTTGGCTGAAGATTCTGGGTTCCTCTGATTTTCTTTGTTTTACTGGACCTATATTTCTTCTAAGACTTGTTTTAGTTTGTCTGGACCTATTTGTACTACTTCTACTTCTTGGCTTCGTCAGACTTATCATAAATGGTCTTTGGTCGCAGTCTAGTTTTTTGATAAGACTATCTCAACCAGATGGGAATTTTCCTACTTATCCCGAATGTCAGCCCGATTTTATCTAATAGATCTGTTAAAAAAGTTTTACTCACTTAAAGTCTTTAAGACTTTTGTCTTCAAAAGGATGGAACTCAAAAAACTTCTGATGAAACCGAAAATCTCATCAAAATCCTTCTTCCTACCCAGTATCTTCTAGACCTCAGCTTCATCATTCTGAATCTCAAACTAAGAATATACACCAGTTTTCTACCTGTTGAAGAAGCTGATGATTGATCATAGGGTTGAGCATGAGGAACGGGTTGAAAGCCAACGGTGGCATCGCCAGTGGATTCTGCGGAGGCATGAAGTTTTGCATCATTGGGACACCTCAAAATGATTTGTAAGTTTTAAAATAAGTAGGAATTACCATTAGGATTGCTCATTGAGAGATTCTGAAGGATTTCTTGCAAGTTGGGAGGCGATGAAGATTCGCTCAGTGGCTGGAAACTTCAATAATATTTCAAGAACTAATGAGCAAACTAACCGAACTTGAAGAAGGACCTTGGGAGTCTGGCTCGATTGAAAAAGACATCTGAAAAAACTTTTAATTGAATTTCGTATAGTCTTATCGGGAAAAGAAAAAGGGAAAAGACGGGGGAGGACAGAGGGGCTCGCGGTAAAATACATGAAGAGCCGTTATCAGAAGGCGTTTCGAGGGCGGGCCCGAGCCTCCCCGTTATTTGTTATCACCCCGGACTGTCCATTTTCGTCTTTTTCCAACATAGTCACACACAAAGAAACGGAAATGAAATGGTCCCGGTTTTGATAAGGAATATGATGTTTTTTTGAGAAGGAGATTGTTGAAAAGACAAGTGAGATCACTTTTTGAAAGTTGGCTTTGGCCAGGGAATAGTCTCAGCTCACCACTTGACTTTTGAATGAGACAAGGCTCCCTAGGTATGGTTTTTTAATGTAAACTGAGTGTCTCCGATCGCTAATTATCAAGTAGAGCCGGGGAAAAAAAACTCGCCGTTTGAAGTTGAAATAAAGAAAGCCCAAAAAATCAAGGCTTTAATTTATTTTTTATAAGGCATGCGGACAAATTTGAAAAAAAAAACTTTTCTCAAAAAATTTGACTTTCGTGATTGAGCTCAGAAATTTTAAAATCGTCCCTATAGAGACAAGCTTAGAGACCCTTGAAAGTTCCCCTCTAGGGAAACTTCTTTACCTCCCCTACAGAGGTTACTGAAGCTTGCTAAAGTGGCCCCTCTAGTGGACATGCTAGTTGATTACTGTCAACGCAAGATGAATTGTTCATGTGTGTTTTTTTCAATCTTATTTCCGGTTTTGTCAAACGCCTCTGATTGGTTTCCACTACCTGGAAATGGGCGTGGCTAGCCAATAAGAAAAATCTTGACAAACTGAAAACAAACTTACTATAGAAAGGAATTTCGTAAAAGTAATGATTCGAAGCTGAGGAAACGTCCTTTTATACTCTGACTTCGAAAAAAAAGCGCACTTTCTTAAAGCCAAGCGGGAAAAAAAAAATCAATTTTTCAAATGTCTCGCCGTTTTGTCAAGTAGTGAAATGTGCTCCCTGATAGTTCATTCCGCGTCGATGCGTTCGATAAGCAGTAGACCGAGATTTCTTGGAAACACGGCCTTTTCGACTAGATTACAATTTTATCAGCGATTCGACGAAAGCGAGAAAATTCTGCTCAGCACATGATCATTCGTCATTGAAATTTCAAGATGTATACCAATACTGATACGGACTTTTTCTTGTTATGCGCAGAGTTATTATTTTCTCTCTTCAGCGAGTTGAAAACAAGCCAAAATGATCATCATTGATTTCGAAATGAAGCGAAAGAAACACCGCTTTGGTAAACATTTGTACAAAAACGAAGTTTAAAAATTTTTTGTTGTAAGAAAATCTAGAAAGTTTATGACATTCTTACAAAAAATGGCCTGACTTTTTTAAAAGATCTACAAAGATTTTCCATTTATTCAAGGAGGATTTTCAACTAATACGCCGGAGAGGGCTGAACTGAAATGCACATCACTTCGAAAACCTATAAAAAAGCTACAGTAATCTCCTCTAGCAAACTCTCAGAAAGCTCGAGGAGAAAATGCGGGGAAATGCCAAATACGGTCGTAAAAAGGCGGCCGCCTGGGGATGATTCATGAGCCCATTTCCTGTGTGCAATTGTTTGCCAGGACCGTGAAACAGATGTACTTCTTTCTCAAAACTAGCAAGTTTCTTTTCGACTCCATTCAAGGGAAATCTTTCTCGAAGCTGCCTTTTCTTGTAATCAGAGAACGCGAGGTTGTGACCTCAGAGATTATCAGCGGCAAGTCGAGAGAATTATCAATAGGGTAAGTGCAGGTCAAGGCAGATAAGCAGACAGCTGGCATGCAAATACAGCAAGACAAAAAGATGGGAAAGTTAAGAGAAAAAAAATTCGATAATTGATTTAAAAAATAACCTTGCAACATTTTTTTTTTTGGATTACTGTGGAACGGATGTACGCAGAGCAGCGTGGCGCACAGGGAGCACTTCATCGTACGCGAAATTTCCATCGATTCCATGATTTCTCGAAATTATCCGATTTTCTTTTTAATTTTAGCGGTAGTTTTTATCTTTTTGTTGTCGTTTTACGGTTTTAGAGCTCTTTAGTAAAGTCTTTGAGGTACTCGTGAAATTTTTAAACTTTTTTTTGTATCCAACAAAGTCGAGCTCAAAAGTTCTATCTTCGTATCGTTTTGTTGGTTCTAATTGTCGATTAGCTGTGAAGTACATTAAGAGTGTTTCGAAACGTTCTGAGACTCGCTCAGTTGCGCTTTTTGTGAGAATTTCTAGTGATAAGTCATATTTTAACTTGGTTGACAAATTTCCGTTTTTGACTGCCAAACAAATTGCAAAATGTTCAACTACCATTATTCAACCTTTTTTCTTTTCTTCTTATTGTTTCTAAGTAGATTATCCTTTTTTTAGGCTTCATTTTTGTCTGATTTTATTTTTTTCCTGTCAATTTTATAAAATTTTTCAACACTTATCGCAACCGTTCTTTTGTATTTCACTTTTCAAGATTGGTTATTGCACTTCGTATTTTGTTGAAAAAAGAGGTTTATTTTGTATCAATAATAATTTCAGAGGTATATGGAAGAACTAACAACGGAGGTGCTGAGAATGAATGAAAACTACTCACTCACATACGCCTCTATTTTACAACTGGCCAATAAAATTGCGCATGCTCGGTTGATATTCAGTTCATTCATAGAAAATTCCGGTTCTTGTAACGAAAATTTAATTGATTTATAAGTTTCCGTAAATAAGTTTTTCAACAAATTTTTCTAAGAAAGTTGGAAAAAAACGTTACTATTCCGAATTTCAATGATTCCTTTTTCAAATTTTTACATATTACAATTAAGACTTGTAATTTGAGACGGAGAAAATTTTGAAAATTGTTTTTTTCAAACTGCGATTCATAAATTTAATAAGTTCTGTTTGAGAAAAGAATATTTCATGATTTTTCCAGCAACTTGGCGATAACCAGCACACTGCATGAAGCCATTCTAACACCGGAAAAATTTTTCCACTCATCTCAACAGTCCGCTTTGGTTTTTTGAGAAAAATTTCTTTTAGTGATAAATTGTTCAGATGGACGATGATTACGGGCGTCGGAAACAAATCGCCTACGATCTGATGCGCAAAACCATTATCAACAGAAGAAAAAGCACTGGCGAAATGCCGACTTCCCTTGAGATGGTTGACAAAAAATTGAAACAAAGTCCAGAAGGCCGGAGAAAATCGGAAATGAATCCATTCACCAAAAGAAAAAAAGAATATTTTATGACAGTTAAATCAGCTTCTTTTTTCACTTCCGCTTTTTTCTGTTTTGCACATTTTTCTTTTGAAAAGAACCTTTCTAACGGAAAGCTTTGAAAATTCGCTTACTGATACTCCTTTTCAAGTCATCTTGGACTCTGCCGATGAAAAGATTGGTATAACTCAAATAAAAAAGTTCAGATCGAAGCCGACCCGACGCGAATCACCTTCAGCATGGAAATTAACAGTAAAGACTATGGCCATCTACTCAAGTTGACAAATTTGGAAGGATTCAAAAAAAAACATGGCGTTTTTTAAGGAGCGTTGATGACGTTGAGAACGTCGCAATGATCATGGCCGATACCAACACACATATCCAATTGGCAGATCGCGAGGAACTCTCTGGAAAGAGAGAGTTTATGCATCAGGTGAACAAGAAAGCAAAGTTATCATGAATAAAATTTGCAAATTATGAGTGATTCTGAAGGCTTTGCTCACAACAATTTGGCACAGTTCTAGAAAATCCAGCGTGCTCGGCGCCCCAGGCGGACACGCGCCGGGTGTCTTTTTTTTGACTTTATATTCATATCTGCTATCGAATTCCGTTTTTTTAAACTTTCATACTTTCCTTCTTATCGTGGAGCATAAAGCGCATAATAATCAGCTATAGAATTTCTAATTTGGATTTTTTTCAAATAATTGATCAAAAAGTGCTCGAAAAGGGTTTGAAAAAGAGGCCAAGATGCTGATAAGTCAAATGAAAAATGAAAAAAAGTTATATTTTGAAAGGATTTTTCCATTGAGATAGCAAAATCAGAGAAGGGGTTCCCCGCGCGTTCCCTAATAGTTACTAATATTGCACGACCTAATAAATTTATATGATATCTTTATGAATGAATCACGATTAAGGCTTAACGGTTGAATATAGATTTTCATCGTATGTGAAAAAAAGAAATCGTTTTTTTCGTTTGTTGGAAATTTCTTCTATGATTTTTTTAAAAATAAAAGTTCAAAAAAGCGTAACATTCTTCAAAACCAATTTTTTTTATAAAAAAAAATAGTTTCAAAAAGTGATATAATTTTTAGATTGGGTGGTTTGAATATTGGTATGAAACTTTATATGAGTCATAGTTCCATAATTTTTTTTTTCAAATGAAATTGTTACAGGTGACAATCACCGGAATCTACAGTGATGTCGAAAAAGCTCGTCATCGCTTGAGGGTTTTTTATTCGCGCGAAACTTTTCTCATCTTCTCATGGAAATAATTCAGCTGATCTGCCCGATTTTCGTTCTAATTGGTCTGCAAAGGTCGCGGATCAACGCGAGAAGCCTCGCCAGCATCATTCACACTGAACATTGGAACTATCCGCACGTCACCCTCGAAGTGATACACGCCGAAAACATCAACGACTTCTCGGTTTCAAAAATGGCCTTTTCGAAACATAAAAAGGGATTTGAGACAAAGCCGTTCTTGAAAGTCTCAGGCCGAATGAAGCATTTGGATTTGATCATCGACGCTTGCTCGAAATTGTCGGAAGTGCTTTTCGGCACCGACATTCCCAGCAACGTGATTTTTATCGATTTTCTATACAATATCTGATAAATGTTTAGGTATATTCGACAGAGTTGGAAGTCGCTTCGTGTCATTTGAACACGATGGTGGGAAACACCAAGAGCGCCGACGCCGCCAAACAAATTGTACGGAAGATTGCGCTCAGTTTGAATAACCCAATCGTTCCTAGTATGCAACATTAAATTCCATTTTTTTTTTTCATGCTTCTGTGGCCTTTTATATAGCCCATTCCGCGGGTTTTTATTTTCTCCAAGCTGCAGAACTCTTCCCTTCGAAGCGCGCGGCATTTCTCTGTGCGTGCGCCTTTAATTTAGCCTCAAATTCTCTTTTCAGCTGATTCACGAATACCTTGAACCGTCAAAAAAGGGTCCTGACACGATAAGAAAAGATAAAATTTCTGGCCGGTGCAGTGAGCAGGCAAGCCCCGCCCCATCAGCGTCTCGAGCCAGCCGAGAATCGGCTATATATTAAATTTGCATGTACAGAGACAGGCCGCGCGCTTTGAAGAGAAGGGTTCTGGTATTCAGAGAAAAATGAAAGCTAGTTTTGTGTCAGCTTGTCCAATCCTTTTCCTGAAAAATTACTATACCAATTTCGGCCAAAATTCGCTCCAGTACCTTTTTTCTCTCTTTTTTTTTTGCAGATTTTCAAAAAAAAGTGCCAAAAGTAGCTGTTTCCGGCAGTTTTCTTTTCTACTGTGCTTTCAAAAAGTGAAGATCGTCTTGCTCGGAAAACATTGTAATAAACCATACTGTGCATTGTTCAAAGCGACGTACATACCAGGAACTTTCATTTATTTTTTGTTAAGCTGATCATCGCCAACACGACGAACACGTTGCTCAGCTTCTCCTCCTCCAGCGATGAATCGACGAAAACTGTGACGTTTCGGGCGAGCGGAGGCCTTCAGGCGGTTCTCAAAGCTCGCAGATATCTCATGGTTTGTCTCTGGACTCATAGGAAAGCCTTCGAAAGAGAGATCTCAGGGCCTTCTACCTGCCAACTTGATGGTGAACGTCCGAGATCCGGATCTCCGACGGCCGCTCGGAGACCTCATGAACGACATTGCGAAGAAGTTCCTGATGCTCGGCGACCTTCAATCGGCCGACGCACTCGCCTGCGCACGTCTTCTCGAGTTCTACGACGGAGGCAGCCGTGTCAACGTCCGTCTGACGCCTTCAAGATTCGAACCGTCGGTTTTGTTGGCCAAGGAGGTCTTCCATGTAAGTTTTTCCCGATAGAAAACTATCTTCACTTTGGGGAATGAAACTTTTTTTTTAGGGGATTCAGGCGCATTTCTGACATTACTATACCCTTTCATTTTTTTTTTCCGAGTCTTTCAGAATGTTTTAGTCATCCTTTTTTGGAAAAAGAAGTGTCGATAATGGATATGTTTTATCCTTCGAATAGTGTTAAATTTTACCATATTTTCCAGCACTGTATCACGATTCGATCGCAAGAGTTCAACTTGGCGAGCATCTACTACGCCTACATGAGAATCATGAATGTTGGATTCTTTTTCGAAATTCTATTCATTTTTTGCGATATCCAGGTTGGAATAAACGCCCCATGTCCGAAAGACTACGACGACCTCATCGAACTCGGGATTCAAGATTATCAGTTGCAAGTCAAGACTCAGGTTTTTTTTTTTGACTCACAAGGACATGCATTTTTCTTTGCGGCTGAGAATTTCCTGTGAGGCAGAATATTCCTTGATATACCGAATGATCATCACTGCACACTTTTGTAGTTTTCAAGAAAAGATGACTGGAAAACCAGGAAAAATCAGAAACCTCATTTGTCGAAAAAATCGGAAGTTGGGCGATTTTTCTGGTTTCCAAAAAAGATTTCCTGCCAAATTCGAGGAAATCCCCAACTAAACATTAAAATGACGTCACTTGTCAGGCATGCTTCCAGAAATAACTTATTTCCATCATTACAGTGCCGCGGAGAGGCGCCGCCGCCCGAAGTGAGCTTCCTGGACGTGGACAACCGCAAGCAGTCGCGGTCGATGTCGGCCTCGAGTGCCGGGGGACTCCCGCCGACCTTCCAGAGCAACGAGATGCCTCCGGCGCTCGGGCCACTCGCCGTCTCCTCGCCCGCCTTCTTCCTCCCGCAGTTCCCGCCGGGCTCCAAGCCGAAACAGCCTTTCATAGGTGCAATTCGATGGATCTGAGTTATAAGTCGAATAAATGTATACTTGCGTTCTGATAGTAAACGGAACAACATGGAAAGCCCTTGTATTGAACGACCCCGGGGAGCATTTTTTCCTTTTCAGGGCTTTGATTTTTTCAATTCTTGCTGGAAAAGTTGCTTTGGATTTTCGCTGAATAAGTCAGGTGGAAAATTTTGGGCCTTTTCGGATTTTATTTGGAAAATGGTGAAATTGAAAGGGAAATAAGCGATTGAAAGAGGAATTTGTATCAGATCAAGCCCTCTTCATTGAAAATGTTAACTGAGTCAAGCAAAAAAATTTTAGGAACATAAAAAAATAATATACTTTCTAAGATTTTTTTATGACATCGGTTTTGAAGACTTTTCAGCTAGCTCTTTCAGTCAGTTTTGAGGATTCTGAAGTTTTCGGGCATGAGAGAAAAACTTTATAGCTTTTCTTGATCTTTAAGTTGAGGAAGATTTTCATTTGATGTAGTAACTTTCCATTGTTTTGTGTATTTTTGAATAAATGAAAAACTTTCAGGCAGTCAAAACGGCGCGGCTCAAACGCCCATGTTCTACGCGACGCCGATGGTTCCAGTTCAATCTCTCCTGGTTTACCAACCCGATGGAAATGTAGTTCTTGGTAGGTTTTGCCCGAGAGATGTATTTATGGAGCTTTTCGGCCTGTAAATTCAAGAATTTTTTCGCGGATACACAAAGTTTTTCGCTCTGATAATGTTGAAAATCGGATACCAGAGTGTACATTTTTTTATTCTGTATAAATTGTTGATTTTCATTGAATTTACATTGAATGAAGATTTTTCTTGCTGTGGTTCTTGGTTTGTTGATTTATTTTCGCATTTTTTTCACAACATTTTTCAGCCCAGTTCCCACCCAACTTCATGTACCCCAACGTTGACGCTCAACAGAATTTCAATGCTCATTCGCGTAACGATGAGAATTTTCGAGGTCTCTACTCGAAATTTTTGTTTTTCACTCAACTTTTGAATTTAGAGGAGACTGGGAGTAGGAAAACGGAGGGATTCGGTCGGAAATCGCCAAGATCCGAAGATCGTGCCGGGTTCAGCGGCAAACGCAACGGCGGCGACTCTAACCGCGTCAATTTGGATTGGCGATGTTTTTGGCCCTTTCCTTCATGTTATATTCAATTTTCGGTAAATTTCAGCTACCAGCGCCAATGGTTTCCATCGGAAAGACGGAATGCGAAAAATGGCGGTGAATTTACAGAAGATTTTAGAGTCCCCTCGGAACAAGTAGTTTTGAATTAAGCGACTTGGGAAGCTGCTGAAAAATATTTTAAGGCGCAATATCCAAAAAAAATTCGTCTAGAACCGTTTATCATTTCCGTTCGAAAACGAAAGCTGGATCCTTAATGATTAAAAAAAACTGAATCGTTTATTTTTTCTCTGAACTTTCTGGAGCTTCATGAAAGATCTTTCAACCTTTTACAGAAATGAAGACACTTTTTGAGCTTTGATGTCTCAGATTGTCCCTTTTCTCCTCAATAAAATGCTCCCATCCCAGAACTTTCAACGCCGAAACCAGAATGCCGGCGCAAACAGCCCCACGTCGGACTTTCCCAAAGAATCGCCCTTTGGTGGTACTCACGTTCTTGCCTTGAAAACTCGTGTCGAGGTCTTCTGATCTCGTATTATATCGAAATAAATTTTTCGCCTTTCCAGAACGAAGACGTGGAGCGCGAGCGGCTCTTTACACACGAAAGCTCGCAATTTCTTGGTTCATTCTCGTTAATTTCAATTTCTGAAAGCTTTTTGTAAATTTTAGACGAAACCGGAAGTTCTACGTTTGCTGCTAATGTTTCAGGTTCGTTTTTGCGAACACAAGGGAGAACCATTTTTGGACTTGGCCGAGTTGGAAAAAAACAATTATATGAATAGTTAATATAGTTATAGAAATTTTTTTCATACGTTAAAAAAATATTTATTAATTTTTTTGAGCAAAAAAATCCCGATGAAGTTCTATATGAAAAATTAATTCCATATTTTATGAGTTTTTTTTTCGAATTCTTCGAACGAAAAAAGAGAGACTACAACTTCGTTACTTAAAAATGGAAGGGGAATTTTTTTTAAAATAAAATTCGTGCATAAAATTCTATGTTGCCCACCCGCCTTCTCGAAAACTTCTTCTGAGAAACTTCATTTATGGTTACTTTTTTTTGGTTAAAATATCAAGCTATTTCGAAACTTTCGATTAGTTTTACGAAAACTGTGCGATTTCTCAACCTTATAACTTGAAATTCTAATTCAAACTTTTTTAATGGATAAAATACTTCAAGGCGGCGGCCCATCGGTGTCCAGCCACAATTCCTCGGCCGATGTTGACTACCGTACTCGCGTCAACAGCATTTCCAATGATGCGTCGGTTTTTCCGTCTTATTCTTTGTTACTTTTTTGCTGAAACTATCAGAGTGTTCCTTTTTTCAGAAAAGGTCCACGAGCCTCGCCGGTGTTTCAACGCGCCAGTTCGAGAGAGGGACAGAATTACCGAGGCGAACGGCGGATTTCCAAGACTTTTCTGGTGAATATTGGCTTTCAAAAGGAATCGCGTTGAAAATATCAATATATTCTATCCGCCGCGACTTGAGAGTTTTCGCGTGTCTGCGTCTCTCTGTTCCCTCACCGGCGAGGTCAGAGAAACATGGAAAAAACATGAGAGAGAGTTAAGAAGGGCGCAGAGAAGTCCAGCCCTTTCAAGTCGCGAAAAACGGACTGTAATGTAATATCACCGAGATTTCACGTCTGGGAAAACTTTGAAACAAAATATGAGCCTTGTTGTTATGCATAGTGAAAAGATTCAGCGCCACCCCTTTGTTTCAACCCAAAAAATGGAATATAACATGATTTAACACACTATTTACTTGTTTAGTCTAGTAAAATGTTTTAGGAGCCGCGTCAGGAACCCAAGGAAAAAGAAGAGCCGAAAGTTCAGCTGAACTGGCGCGGCAAATCGGACAATCAGGAAGAAAAGAGCCGCGCTAGCCCTGATTCGGTGGAGCGAAACTTGTCCTACGCCGACATCACCGCCTCCACCAACAACAGCTCCGTCAGGTTGGTCGTGGCGCTTTTTCCCCGGCTCTTTCTTTTCCGTTCCTCCCGCAACTTTGATTTAAGGATTGACGTCTTAGATTTGATTTATTATGCAGCCGAAGAGCAAAAAGGCCGGAAAGTTGGTTTTTCCTCGTTTATTTTTGACCCTCGGTGAGAGGTTTGGTTGAACGGATGTAGTGAGGGTGAAGCTCTGAGAGACTAGGTGCCGCTTAGGTTTCGAGAGAAAAAAAGGTTGGGTCCTGACACGATTAGGTGGAAAATCAGCGAAATTGGAAGTTTTATACAGTAGCCTTGCCTTGGTGTTCATCCGAGCGATGAGTGGAATATCAGAATTAAAATTTGGGAACGGATTTTTTTTTTCTCGAATATTTCGCTTCTTTTCTGTTCGAGGATTCCAACTTTCTCTGGCTTTGCTTATATTCCCAGATCTTGTTAGGTCAAAAAAAACTAACGCAATAAAAAAAAAACACCTCAACTTCGTGTAATTCTACTGAAAAAGTCTTTCGCGCCCTAAATTAACGCTGGAAATGGCTTTTTACGTGAAGACCTTTACGAAATTGGTCCATGCGTTTTTAAAAATTTCACAAAGAAGATAATTCTACTCCAAACTTTGAATTTTCGAAAAAACTAAAAGCGCAAGTAATCAAATTCAATATAGAGATGGAAGAAAATGACCGTATAGACGATTCACGGCTAGCTTGGGACGCAAAAAGGCGTGACCTGTCTGCACTCTCCACCAACCAGGCACTGTCTCGTCTCTTTTCGTGGCAGGACCCTTCTCTCGATGGCTCAAGCCAGCCGCGAATCAGCTATATCCGTTCAATTAGACTTTTTCGCCATCATTATTATGAATTAACACATACTGATTGTTAGCTGCAGAATCGAACTTACGCTGAGATATTGGAAGGAAAACACAGAGAATGGGAAAGAGATGAACGGTATAAGCGCTTTCCAAAGTCTTCCCTGTATTTGAGCCTTTTTCAGGACGAAAAAGACGGCCAGCGTGAAGACGTCGCATGAAACCGCTTCTGCCAAGGTATCCGGAGAAAATTTGGGCATTTCGATGTTTTATTGGCGTTTTGGATTTTTCACAGATGAGCTAGCCGTCATCAAAGTAACTCTGCGAAGTTCAAAATAAGCGTCAGAGAGTGAAAATCGAAACAATTTTTGAGTGAATAAAAGTTTCGCCAAAGCTGAGGCTTCGTAAAATAATCAATTTTTCTTTATCCTCTTTTCTTCGTCAGTGGTTTGCTAGTTCATGGCGACAGGTCGTTTTAGTATGAAGTTTAGAATATTTTTTTTCAAATATTTTTACTGATATAAATGAAAATGTTTTATTTCATACACACAAGTACTGAAATGTAGAAATAGTTATAGAAAAATGTAGAAAATACAAAAAATAGTAAATGATCATTTTTATCCCAGAAACCTTCGTCAACGCCTATGACTCTTGCTCTTCGCGAGCGAAACGGCAGTTCCGACCGGATTCCTGCAATTTCATGTTGAGAAATCGATTTCTTCTGTCTTGATCTTCAAATCATTTTGTAGATTCTATCCCCTCGGCCGCCACCCCTGATCCAGGCCAAAGTAAAAGTTAAATTTCTTTCCTTTTCAAATTTTCAAATTCAATTTTCAGCTTCCCCATCAAATGCAAATATTCAGTACTTCTCTATTGATGTTCACGATAAAAAAATAAGGTTTTTTTCTCGGATTTCTTATCAAAACTGCTCGATTTATGAAAATAACAAAATTCGAAAAACAAAATTTGAGAAAAACCATCACTTTTTGAGAAAGTTCGAAAAATTCAGACTTCCCGAAGACCGGCGCCGATGAATGTCTAATGCCTCCAACGTGAATCGAAATTACTTTTTTTCCAACTTCTTGTATACTAACTATCTCATTTCCTTTTTTAATCCTAAACTTTCTTATCGCCCTCTCACTCTGTTTCTTTGCTAGTTTTGTAGAAATCTCAATTCAATTTTGTTTCTCTAGCCATGTTCAGACTGAGCTTCTCACTATTGTAAGTCTTCCCTTTTTTTTCTCTCTTTTCGCCGTATAATCCCGATGTTTTTCGCCTACTCGGATCACGGATCCCTTCAATTTTCACACGGATTTGACATTTTTATTCCATTTCATATTAAAATTGCATTTTTTTCTCTCGGCACGACTTTTAATTTACTCGATTTTGATCATCATCTTCTTTTTTTGTGTATTTGTGTGAATTGGGATTTATCGTGATCAGAAACCCCAAGGCCGAATCTGCAATCAATTGATTTGATAACGATTTTCGCGACGGCCTATTCGTTCCCCCGTGGCATATTTATCCCTCGCATTATTTATTTGCCATCTCTTTCTTCTGTTCTTTTTTTCTTACTGGGCATAAATTTTAGCGTCTTATTCGTAATCTGGTTCAGACTTGGTTCGATTCCATCAAAAACGATTTTCAATTAGAAATTTCAAGTTTTTTTTTCAGTTTAGATGTGATCATGGAGTATGTGGATCTTCGAAAAATGAGAAGAATGGTTTGATTAAAGTATGTTTTTTTAAACAAGGGTTTGGACTTGAAGATTGTATTCTACGAAATTTGATCTTTGTAAACAAAAATGAATTTTTGTAATTTCTTTTTTTGTGAGCCCACTTCATTGATAGCTCACTTTCGAACTGTTAATTTTTACTTTTATACCTTCTCATGAAGGAATGAACTTTTTGTGATTGATGTTTCAATATTTTTTTACTGAAATTATGGCTTAATAATTTAATTTGATTTTTTTGACTTTGGAGCTTCGAGAATCTTTTTTTGTTTCCAGATCTGAAATCAGCAGAAGCAATATTTTTTCGATTTTGCATAGTACCAGGAAAAAAATAAATTCATTTTCGCGTTATATTTGTTATTTGTTTTTTGATACAAAGTTCCTAATGTTTTAAGTGTTTTTTTTTCAATCACTTTTTCCCAATGCGTGGTGCCGAAGTTTGTAAAATTTTTTCTATGGAAGCTTCCTTTTTTGAAAATTTATGTTTCCGTGATCTTTTTCCTGAAGCTCAAAGTTGAAACTTATATCCTGTCTGAGCTTCTGAGACGATGAGAAAGCACTTTGTTTTAGGAAAATCTTCAAGAAACGTTTTTTCTTTGATTAAACACTTCCCCTCGATGAATAATCTTTTTTCCTGGTACCTGATTCCCTCGAAATGCAACTAAGCGAAACCTCACAAAAGCGCCTAAGATCAGCACCAAGGGAAGTGTTGAAAGAGCTCGTCTAAACCTTATGACTTTGATTGAACGGAAAATCTCACTGAACCTTGCGGGTCTTCCCAGAACGGAGACATGAAAACAATGACCACTTTGGTCAGGATTGTTTTTTCAAAAATAGAACTTGAGAATACTTGATTTTCTGATTCTGGAAACCTTAGAAGTTTCAAAATGATTGAAAGTTTCTTTAACTTCCTATGTTTCGATATCTAAATTTCATTCAATTTTTTCGCAGAAGCAAGTCGGCAACCCTAAGTCATCGCTGTTTCTAACAATTTTTCTCAAAACTGAAATCAAAATAAAAAAATAAAAAAATAAAAAAACCTCATCCTTGAGTTTCTAATTAAATTATCGAGCTGATAAACGAGACGATTTTGAGCTGTGAATTTGAATATTAGGAATTTGAACATTTAGAATTTCTTCCGCTTATCAAAGTCTATTCATTCCGGAGTTAAGACACTATTCGAAGGATCAGCGGATAGTCACGAAATTATTCCTGGAATTATGAGTTTATTTCTATTTTTTTTTTTAGCTATTTGCTGGTTCTTCAAATAATGTAGCGACTTGACAATATTGAATGAACTTGTAGTTTCGATTTTAGAATTGAAAAATATTTTAATAGATCTTTGGAATAGGCATATTCTCAATTTGAATTTACAAAACCCTCTACTGAAGAATGCAAAGAAGTTATTTGATGAGCTTTAAGGAGAAGCCGCTGTCTTGGACGATTCTGTACCATTCAGTGATCCCTAAAGTGATGTCAGCGTCTCTATAGTGTTCACTTGTGCTTTCTCTTTTTCTGCCTAGAGCAAAAGTTCTCCTATTTTTCTCTGATTTACCAAAGATCTTTCTCGAAAGCCCATTGAAAGATGCAAAAAGCATGAATCAGAAATCCCCTCTTTTCAACAGTTTAAAATTTTAATCTCGTCGTATCGCCGCTTCGCTAACTGTTGTCGTTGCAGGATTTAGCAGGCGGCAAATCTGAGTCGTTCGTCGCCTTGTTTGGCACACGGGACACTTGAGGATAATTCGGCCCCCTCCGGCAGCTCGTCTTTCTTTTTTATTCTGTTCTCCTTACTTTTCCCGACGCCCTCGTCGTTGACGGATGGGCAGCCTCTACAATGACAAGGTGATCTTATCAATTTTTGTTTAAAAATCATAAATAGGCCTAATTTTCGTCCAGTAATTTTTTCGGTTAAGCTTAGAGCTCAGAACAGTTGTTTATTAAATTTTTTTTTCAAGAGCTGGATCTCATAGCTCAAGTAGCCCAGTAAGAAACTTTTTTTATTAGTTCGACTTTTTAATGTCTTTGATCCATGAGGATACGGTAATGACGCCTCTACCTCTTCATCTGACACACTTTTTCATTTAATTTATGTTTCATTCCTATTCTCTCTCTCAAAAAGCGAAGGTCTTTAAAAATCTCGATTGTTTCGCGAGAAGATAGCTACAGATAAATTTCCGTTGTCAGATTTAAAATTAAGTTTCAAGATTTTTTTTTTCTAGCACATTAGTTTTTTTTTTTTACTTTGTAGGTTCAGTTAGGCAGAGCTTTTATCGTTTTTCGCTCTTCATATTGTGGCATCTTAAGGGAAGTTAGTCGGAGGTACTCCTAGATGTGGTTGAACTCTAGTCTCTCTTGATTTTTTTTTTAAATCTCTAAACGAGATTTAATTTATTTTCTCGTTACACATTTTGTTGAAACTGAACTATATACAAGGAAAAGACGAATCTGTGATGGTGATGATGTCGAAAATGCCTGAAGGGAGACGACTATTCATTGAACGGAGCCAATCAAGAATGCGGCAATTTTCATCGACGGCCCGCAATTTCGGCCACTGTTTTCACGAACAAATCTCATCTTTTTGTTTTTTTTTTTCCTTCCGCGTGACTTATTTTTAGTTTTTACAAGCTTTCGAAAAACCGCGACGCCTCACGCAACGCGGCTGATGATACTGAAAAGCAGACAAGATGTTAAAGACCAGCTCGTTGAATAATTGATATAATTAGTCTGATCACTGAGCTTTGACATCATTATGAGCCAGAGAAATCTCAGGATCAAACCGCGACGCCTCACGAAACGCGTCCGACGGTAATAGAGTTTTCAGAAGAATTGAGGTAATTATTTACCTTTCTATATCATTTTAGTTACAATATTTTTCGAAACAGCTGTTAAGGTATTTTATCTCAGAAATCATGACGACTGAATTTTTTTCAACAAAAAAAAATACTTCAAGGCTTTAAAATTTCAGCAAAAATCAAACTAATTTCCTTCTCTTCCATCCAGTTTCAACATGATTTCAAGTTTTAAAAATAGCAGGCTTGTATCTCGACGTGGCTCTCATTTCTGTGAGTCCTAGGAAGGATTTTTTTATAGATTTTCAAAAAAATTTAGTGGTTTCCTGGTAATTTTTAGGTCGATTCCATTGAAGTTGCGGAAGATCAAGTTTTTGAATTGTTTTAAGATGATTGGCTTTTATGAAACGATTTCAGAAGCTGTTCCAGTAAAACTAAGAAAGTTATAAACTGGGACTTTTCACTGAATGCGGCTTTTCTTGTAGCGTAAAAACACTGTAAGATATTTAAAAGCTCCCGCTGGGAAATTTTGAAATTTGTTGAACCAAAGCGTTTATAGTGAGTTTGTTACGCAAAGTCGCTTTTTTCAACTAAAATTATAAACAGAGCAAAAAAATAATTAACTTAAACTTTGTAATTTTTTTAAAGACATTATTTTCCTAAGCTTGAACTTTCAAGTTAATCAATTAGTGTCCGAAAAGATTGCAATGAAAATATCTACAGAGTTTGATAGCTAATCATAATAAAGAAGAGAAGATCGAGCCGTGTTTGAGATTTCTAGTTTCCAGGAAGCTCAAACTCATCTCTTTTCTAAGCCGGCTCCTTGCCAATCTTTATCATCAAATCTTACAAGCGTTTTCACGTGTTTCACGCGGCTTTATCAATTTTCACGGCAGGTTCAAAGACCGCCGTGTCGGTAGCTTTTAACATGTTTACTATTTTCCTCCCTGACCTTATCATCTCACCTGTAATACATAATAATCACGACCACTTAAAGAAAATACGTCACCTTGTACCTTGCAAAAGCAAAGAAACGAAAAAAGCAAGAAGGAAGAAGAAGACGAAGAAGAAAAAAACGTTTTGGCCCACAAATGTTATTGAAAAGATCTTTTTGCTCCCTCGCTACGACGTTTTTTTTTCCTCCTCCCGTGTAGTAAATCAAATTTCGTTATTTTATTTGGCCGGTTTTTTTTCTTCCTCCACTCCTCGCCGGTCAGGAGTTATCGATGTTGGAGTGTTCATTTCGGCTGGGATAATCCGGAAAAGGCTTAGCTTTGCACGTCGGCCGCCCTTATCCCAACACTCATTCCCGGTCGTGTCCTCCTCACTTCCTTGTTTTTATTCGGAATATTGCAAAAAATGGCTCGAAGAAACAAGAAATGGCCTCAAGACCTGGACTAGGGTCAGATCTTTGCGAAAATTAGGGACCGAAACTCAAACAAAAAAGTCAGGTCAAGAAAAATTTGGGAAATTTTTTTTTCAAAATCTGTAGAAATGTTCCCCTCTGCACTAATATTGCAGCCCCTAACTTCTAAGCAAAATTGAAAAGTTCTCAATTTATGGGTATTGAAGAAAACAAATAAATGCTGGAATCTATCTTTTTCCAATTCAGACTTTTTCTGATCTTCATTCAAAAACCTCCCCCCCCTTTTCGATAGACCTTTTCGTTTCATTTCGGCTTGGGTTTTTTGTAGCCCTTATTTCTAGTTTGAACTTATTTAAATTTCATGTAGCAAATACGGAAGCAAACAGGAAAAATGATTTTTTGCAAGACGCCCTAATCCCATCAAGAGAAATTCGTCTTTTTATCATTTTCTCAGGGCCTATGGGTCGTCGTTTTATTTATTTATTTACTTTGATTTCCGACCTTTATCACAAACTTTCACCGTTTTATTGGCTCTATCCTAGTTCTGACTCGTGAATGATCGACTTTTTATCGACCGATTCGAGGAAAATTCAGCCGAAATTTGAATTCTTTTTTTTTCCATTTTTCAAGTTCCTTGTTTTGGTTCAAAATGTTTTCCATTAATTTTCCACTTTAATAGGCTTTTTTCCCTTCTGTTACCCTCTAGGTGACTAATCGTTTTAGAGAACCCTGAATAATTCAAATCAAAAAGGAAGGGAAATGAATGCCTTTTTAATCGTTTCATGTGTTTTTTTTTTCTCTCTTTTGAAAGTTTTTCAATTCAAGGTCATGAAAAGACGAGAAAACTTTTTCCTGCTCACTTGTTATCAGTGATAAATTTTTGCAATTGATAGCCACTGTGGCTGCATTCTTTTGGAAAATTCCCAACTTGGAAACTTTGAAATTTTGTTTCAAACGTGGAAAGTCTGAAGATTTTTTCTCGTTTTTCAGAAACTTGTCAAGATTTTCTCAAATTGAGCTGCTCCGTACAGTTGAAAAAAAGTCGTCCAGGGACTTTTTTTTTTAGATTTTCAACTTCTACTCGCACAACTGGGTATTCGAAGATTTATATTATCGACTTATTCCGAACACCGTTCTCTCAAAAGTTCTGAAGAAACCAAGAATCTAATGATCAGACTTTTCTCAATTTTTTTTTTCAGAAGGAAGCTTTTTTCACATGTGTAGGCAGGCCTAGTTTTGAGGCGGGATAAGCCGAGAATTTGACTCTTTTTTCTCCGATTCTTGACGTTTTTGAAGATCGTTTTAGTTGGTCAGCCCCTGGTCAAGCCTTATAAGGAGCTTTGTTCGCGCTTTGGTTGTTCTTTTTCTGGCTTAGAGCTTCGATTTGTTTCATTTTTAAATGCTTTTTGAGTGATGCCATGTAAAATTTGTCTATGGATTATTTAACTTTCAAAAATGACCTGGCCTTGAGAATGGTTCGTTTTTCGGCTTGAGACAGTCACTTTTGAGAGTCTTTTTCTAGATTTAGTCTATTTTAGCTATGAATAGAGTAATTAGCGAAATAGTGTGGAAAACCAAGAGAGAGATTAGATGTGGCAAAACGGTTGAAACTGAAGTTAAAAAGAAAGTTCTTGTGGATAAAACGGCATAGAAATGCTCGAAATTCCCTTTTTTCGCATCAGCTTTATCATTTTCCCAAGTATCGTTTGTATTTTGTTTTGCAGGTATCTTGAGAATTCAAAAGGAACAAATGCGTTTTTTTTCTTTTCGATTATTTTTCTATGAGAGAATCCAAGTTTTTTTCATTCATTTCCCTTGCTCTAATTTCTCTTCCTTGTGAGGCTTCAGTGAGAAAGAAATATGGATTTGAACACTTTTGAAACATATTTTGGCCCGTTTCCGTCTTTTTGCAAAGCTTCTGGTTGCATTTAGAATGGTTCGATGCGTTGCTCGCATGATAATTCAAAAGGTTGCTCCATGAGTTGCCCGTGCGTAAATCGCTTTGTAGTCGGGCGCATCGGCCTAGTAACCCCTTCTCAGCCATTCCCAGTGCGATGAAGCTTTCTTATTCTGTTGCGAATCAATTTTTTCTAAGATCAAAGTACCATCATTATTCAATTTTTTTTTTTGAATAATTTCCATTTTTTCAAACTCAGCAAGTTTGCTTCAATTTTTTTGATTGCAGATGTTTCCTCCTTACGCGGCATCCTCGTTGTACTTGGCGACGGTGCTGATCGGGGTTTTCGGCAACGCCTGGGTCGTCTGTTCGGTGGCGCGAAGTCGGCGGCCAAAGTGATTATTTTGAACTATTTTCAGAAATAAAATCAATTTGTAAAGTTATCTAAAGTAGAGTTTAGTCTTCCACTTTTTTTCATATTGATAAAATAGCGTTCGTGGTTTCTGCAGAGTTTTTGGAAAAAAAAAAGGAAAACAACATTTTTCGAACTTTTTGTGAAAACAGGGCTGGAAAAGCGAAAGTTATGATTTGCCAAGACTTGAAACATGAAAAATTTTTTTGCGCTCTCTTTTCTCTTTCTGGAGAAATCACAGAAACTTTGCACTTAAAAATAAGAGAAGACCGAGAAATCAATTGTTTTCAAGTTGTGACAAAGAAGACTTTTTTTCTGAACTTTTTTTAAGACCTCATAAATCTTAAAACCAGGAAATGCTTAGAATCTGAACTTTTTTGCAACCTTTTGAAACGTGTTCTGTTTTCATCAGCTAACATGTCTGAGTTGTCACAAAAAATTCAAGGATTTGTTCAGAAACCTGATCTCCAGAAGTTCGCCTTCCGATAGGTTACGAGCCTACATTTCTGTTCTGGCCGTCGTTGATCTGACTGTCCTGATGGCCCTGTTCGTCAGATCGCTCTACCTTTCTTTGCCCCATTTTATGTTGGGTTCGTTTTGGAATATTTCGTTGAAGCGTGGTTTTGAGAGCCCACGGTAGAGTATAGAGGTCAGGTAGGGCTCCTTAGGGTGCGTCTGACTTACGCACTAAACTATAGGTCTCTAAACTATAATATTTTCAGTTGGCTTGAAACTCTGCAAGCGAAATAATGTGTATCTCTGTGTCGAGCTAGTTATAAGTGTAATATACCTTTCTTTTTTGAAAGACAGAGAAAGCTCTCTCTTTCTTAGTTTTCTCTCACTCATGGGAAAATAAGCGTTCAGATATTTCCAAACTAATCAACTGACCCCTGAAGAGAACACTGTCTTTTCTTAGAGATAGGTTTTCTTCTCATTACTTTAAGATATCTTTTCTAGCTTCATATCTTTTGTTTCATTTTCGAAAAAGGTTTTCAGAGGGGAGAGAGGATTAAGCTGATACTTGAAGGCCTTTTTTGTAACAAAAAAAAAACGTTCAACACCGTGGGAAATGTCAGCGACGGATGAGAATCCTATATTTGGATCTTTTCTCAGTTCTCGTTCTTTGAAGGAGCTTATTTATGAGGTGTTCTAACATGCGAAGATTGCAATTTCGACAAAAATCTTTTTTTGTGAAATAATTTTTTTCTGATTTTTTTGAATGTAGAACTGACATAGCTTACAACTGTGATCCAAAAACTGGAAAGAAAGGAGAAAAAAATTTTTGAGAAAATTTTTCATGAAACTTTAGTCAGAAAGACTATTTTCCTGATAAATAATTCTTTTCCGAAAAAGAAAGTTTGGAATTTTGTTCTCGATTGACTTCAAGCATTTTAATTATGCATTCAAAGTTTCAATTCAACTATTACATCTATTTCGAAGCTCAGTACTTGTTTGTGAGAAAGAAAACATTTTGATGATTAGACCAATATTTATTAAACTAAGTCTTCTTCAGACACGAACAGCTGCCGGGCGATGTTCGTCCTGGAAAACTCGGTGAAAGTGACGTCACTGACAGTATTATCGTGTATTTCGATCGAGAGATACATCACGATCAGAAAGCCGTTTTGTAGTCAGGTATCTGTTACCTGATTCGTTCTGATTTGATTCATTTTTTAGGTCCGACGTCAGTTCGTCAACCTGACGCCTCTGGCCGCCATGTTCTTTGTCTGCTGCGTCGTTTCTGCGATTTTACTTCAGGTTTTCGAACTCTTTTTTTTTGGATTCAAAAACAGTTAAAGCATTATTAGAGTGAATCGTTTAAAGACTTAGGATTTTTTCTAAGATCTCATAGAAGCTTTTTAGTTCTCTAAAAGTTCCAATCGTCCTCATTCTTGATTTTTTTTTAATGAGATTTTTACTTCTACATGAAACGTGTAAGGAAGAAAACCGAAAATAAGAAACCTAGATAATTCCTCAATAGCTCAAAGTGAGTTTTGAATTTCCAGGTGACCTCGGTGAACGTCTCGACCGACGGCCTGAACTGCGTAAGGTCTTACCGAGGACGCGCGACTCCGCGTGTCGCCTCCTACCTGACTGCCGTCGCGTACCTCGTCGACCTGACCGCGATATCGCTCAACTATTCTCAAATCGTTCGACACGTCCGACGAAAGTTCTCGAAGCGGAAAGCTCGAGGTAATACCTTGGTGGCCCCCTTTTTATTTGAAACGAATCGAGAATGGTTACCTCAGCTTTTAAAACTAAATTCAATCAGTTTTGCAACTTCTATCATTTTAGAGCGTTTGGAAAAAATTCTCGACTTCTCCAGGTTCAAAAACGTATTTTCAATGTCATTTTTAGACTTGTGTGAAAAGATGTGGTAGGGAAAATGTGGAAGGCTAAGAGTTCGGTGAAATGAGATTTTTCGACATTTTTCTGGCCTAAAGTACCAGCCAAGGTAGATCTTATTTAAATTTAGGGAGGTTTGGGGGGGAGTTATTGGCCCTTTAAAAAAAAAAAAAGAAAAAGCCTCCCTTGGAATATTTAGTCATCAAGTTCTCATTTTTTTCAGTCGTAGCACACTCGCGAGCCCGCGAATCGCTGGTCAATGAGCCGCGATACATGCGCGAAATGACGTCAGCCATCGTCAGAGTCGGCGTTTTCCACGTTGTCTGCTGGCTTCCGCTCAGTATCCTCCAATTTCTTCCCGATAATGCCATTCAGTCCGAACTCACGGCTCACATTCGCATGTTTAACAATTTCAGTGATTTTAGGTAATAATTTTGTTACGTAAAGTCAAACTGTTCATTGTTGTTACAGTCTAAAGCGTTGGATGATTTTCTTCGCAAATTGGCTGACCTATGCAAATGCGGCTGGCGACTGGGTCTTTTATGCTGCCATGAACAGAGAGCTGAGGAACTTGATCAGGTAAATTTTGGGGTTTCTTTTCTGACCTGTTCTTGAATCGGACGCCATGGTTTTCTGACTTTGAAATTTTGTTTCTGGAAAAATAGGAAGTTTTGCGGTCTCACATTCTTGGAGAGGTTTTTTCAGATTCGCGACTGAGCGAAGAAAACGGTCGACGATGTCGCACGCGGCATCGCCGTCGACCAACCGAAGCCTCCGAAATCCGCTGGCGCCGTCGACCAAGGTGCTGCATTCGATCTCCTACCGCAGCAGCATGGGAGGCTCGATGGACGAGGCGGCCTGCGCCTCGTTCCTCCAGGCGTCGCCCAAGTCGTCGACCGTCAGCCAAGAGACCAACAGCCCCTACGGCGTCCGCTCTAAACTCAGCCTCCTCGCGAGACAATCGACAGATGGGGACGTCGTCTAGAAGTCGGAATATTGTCTTCTGCGCGACCTTAATGCTCGAGCTGGTCCTGACGGCTGCAAGGAAGCTTTCTGAGTCTTTACCGCTATTCTTGTCATTATTTTGATCTCGAGCGTTTCCAGTAGGCCAAAAAATGAAATCATCTTACAAAGGAAAGGTATCAGCTCAAAGAATATTTCTGAATGGAGTTGGGTCTAATTTCTCACTGATTTCGAATTTTTGCTCTGAATCGGCTAAGGAGGTCTTTGAAAAACTCTATGATTCCTCGAAGTTAAAAATACCTATTGGAATCATTTTGGAAGGTGTATGAACCTGCTCCCGTGATCACGAGAAACGGATCTTTTTTCACTTCCTCGGCAGAACTAGTTCCATTTAGAAGCCACAGTAAGCATAATTTTTGTGGTTTGAACTATATCTAGTTTGTTAAATACCCTTTTCTCGAATCCTGTAAGACTTTGCAGAAATGAGGTTTACATTTTGCTGCACGGATATTCCGCCATGTTGTAATTAATCATTTTCAATTTCTTTTCCTGATTATCGCGGTTATGAGATTTTTTCTGACAAGGTTTCCTACAAGTCGGCCTTCTACCCTTTTTATCTCCACTTTTCCCATATCACTGTGCAATTCGAGTTCTATCGATGTCTTTTTTTTTTCTAAAAACGGGCTATTTTTAATCAATACGAGTATCAAATCAAATCGGATGTTCTCAAGATTTTTTTTTCCAGATCTTGTCGTTTCCTTTCTGTTTATATTGAATAAAAGTTTCTGTCATGCTTATCATTTGTTTTAATGAATGTTTATGCGACACGATACTTCATGAAAAAAATTGGATACTTCATAAAAAATTATATTCCAGGTGAGTCAATTGAACAATTGAATGATCCTTACCGCGGTATACCGCAAATCAAAACAGGGTTTTCGCGGGGAAATTTGAATTCGAAAAAAGAAACTTGGAAGAAAGTGTGCTCCATAGCTTAAGCGCGCCGCTTTTATCGATCGACGCGCCGGAGCCCGCGGAACGTCGATTCAATTTTCTTCGCTTATTGTGGCTCTTGGCATTTGAAATTTCCCTCGTTTTTTGAGTCCTTTATCATATCTTTAGCATGAAGATATGTCCTAAGTTTATATCGTCTAATTTTGATTGAATTTGTGTTAAGGGTGGAAAAAGTTTGTAGTGAATATTCAAAACTCCTTTTTAATTCTTCTTTTTCTAAGTTTAGTACATTTTTTTCAAGTGTTATGCTTTTTAACAAGCCGTATTTCGAACGAGTTGAAGATTTGGAAAAGGTGGCCTTTTGAAAATTTGGGCCTAAAATTGAAAAATTTTAGCCGTGCAAGTTCAAAAAATAAGGAGTTTTCCGAATGACGAAATTTGTATAAATAAAAGATTAATATTTAAACGACGTGAACCTCACACAACGTTTCCAGTTATTACTCGCTCGTTTTCTTTATTGAAGTCGCTTTTTACGAAATAATTTTTTGTTTACAGGTAACTAAATCCAAAACTTATCCTCGCAAGTTACGTTAACCCCAACTTGCATATCAAATAATATGGGTAGGAACATTAGAAAGCAATTTATGTGGTAAATTCGAGCGTTCAGCATATTCTGGTGCTTACGCTGATCCTGCGGCAGGCGCAACGGATGCTTACGCAGCAACAGCGGATCCTGAGGTATCGTTCATCTCAGAAGAGTCTGAATAATTAGAAATTTTAAGGCTCACGAAGCGGCGTGGGCTCAGTACTACGCAGCTCTAGCGGCTCAAGGTGGAGCGCCACCTGGCACTGCTGATGTGAGTTTGAAAAGATACATTCCTCAGCTTGAAACTAGAGTTTTCTTTCTAAATTTAAATTTTGAAACATTCTGACTTACTTGAAAATTGGAAATTCCGGTTGAGAGTAGGTATAAAAATAATCATAATTTTCACAAACTTGTCTAAAAATATGGAGTTTTAAGTGAAGTTGAAAAAAAAGGAAAGATATTACTTAGAAATTTTATTATCCGAAGATATTGAATTTTTAAAATCTCATTGAGCGAAGGCCTGTGATCAAAAAAGTTCCTTCATTAGGCTAAGAAGATTTCGAGAAAATTTTTTTTTAAAGGCTAGCAAGAACGAGATTATTTGGTTCGAAACTGTTTTTTTCCAGTACTCCGCAGCGGCTGCCTACGGTGGTTACGGTGCTGACGGCGCTGCTCCTCCGCCCCCTCCAACTCAACAAGGCTACGGCGAATCCACAGGCTATGACAACGGCTACGGTGCAGCTGGCCGAGGCGGATTCGGAGGACGAGGAGCACCTCGCGGAGATCGTGGAGGACGTGGCGGTAGCTTCCGAGGAGGCTTTGATGGAGGCTCTCGCGGCGGCGGCTATGGCAGCGAACGTGGCGGTTATGGTGGCGACCGTGGAGGCTTTGGCGGTGATCGCGGCGGCTTCGGAGGAGACCGCGGAGGATTCCGAGGTGGTCGCGGCGGCTTCGGTGGCGATCGAGGAGGTTTCGGTGGCGATCGTGGAGGTTTCCGAGGCGGACGCGGAGGTTCTTGGACCTTTCATGGCGATAGAGCTGCGAAAATCGGTCTCTTTGTTTGGAAAGGTTGAAGCGTCGAAGATTTAGATATTGCGCGGTCGAATTCTCAATAGTTTAAGGTTCATCGGCTGTTTTTTCGCAGCTCTTTTTTCGATATATTCGAAGAATGAGTGTATAGATATAGTTTTCAGGCGGCTTCGAAGGTGGTGAGAGAAGAGGCGGAAGCCGTTGGGACAGTGGCAGCGATCGTGGCGGCTTTAGAGACGGGTAAGCGAACCGAGTACCAAAAAGCCTAGTTTTCAGTGAAAAGCGGTTTTTAATCAGAAAAAAGTGTTTGGCGGCTGGTAGATTTTCAACGGGTTCAGGTAAGTTTAAAAATGAAATAAAAGAGAATGCTTTTGTTTGAAAAGAGTGTTAAAAACGAAATGATGAAAAAAAGAAAAAAATTAAAAGTGTTCTCGTTCCGTGAGCGTTTCAAATCAATGGTCTTTCTGTTCAGCAAATGTGTGTTCGATTTCAACGGGTCGAACTTGAAAATGTCGAGTTTAAGATGGTGTCAAACGCGTGGTCTCTCTACAAATCAATCATTCCTAGTGTGACATGTCAATCTCTATAGTTTTTTTTTTTGTTAACAAAAAAAAGGTGTTGGAGTTGGAATTTTTAAAATTTGAAAAGAGAAATGGAGAGTTTCGAAAGAGTTGACATGTCACGGTGGCCGCGCGGCGTCAGATCCGCAGCGGCCACAGGAAATTCAAGCAAACTATCGTTGATGTTTCAGTCCGGGTGGTCCTCCCGGTGGCCGAGGAGGTTTCCAAGGTATTTACCAACAAGTTCAGACAATGTCGTGTAACGTTTCTCTTTCATTGAATTTGTGTCATGTTCTATTCATATATTGCTCTCTAATCGCGCTTTTTTCATGTGCAAAAGAATGAAAAATAGGTTAAAATTTGAAAAGGAAATTTCACGCCTGTCCGCCGTTCTCACACTTTTGAAAAATTGGGAAATATGGTCAAAATTAAAAGTTTATTGAGTTTGAAAGTTGTTTTGATGGGTAATGGTTTACAAATGCATTTTCACCCGGTTATTCTGGAGTAATTTTTTTAAATCTGGTTAAATGTGTGCTTGCTTAATTTGAAAAAAAACCGGAATTGTTTCATTTTCTCTTCAAAAAAAACGGGTGCTGAACAATGAAACGATTGAAAATAGTTTTGGAATGGGTTTTAGTTTTTTGGTTTTTTTTTTGTTGTGAATCAGTATTATGAAGTCGATTAACCGTCAGTCAGTCAATCGAATCATTTTTTTTTTTTTGCTTCATTTTAGTCAGTTCCGTATGGCAAGCGGTTTCGAAAAAGATTGGAGCTCTATAAAAATTTTGTTTTTCTTAAAAAGGTGCGTCAAAAAAAAAGAAAATTTTAGGTTCAGGTTCAATTGCGAGTTGTGTAAAAAAAAAGATAATTTCTTGAAGAAGGGCGTTTTAAAATGAGTTTTCCGTTAGTGCTTTCAAATATAGGTCTTTGAAGGATATAGGAGAGATTGTAAAAAAGGAACGGGTTCATAAAATTGGTATAAAAATGATCGATTTTCAAATTGGAACGGGTCTATTCCGTTTTTGTTTGGTTCGGTTAACATTTTTATAATGTACGCGGTGACTTTTCAGAAATTGTTTTTAACTTGAGTGAGGGAATTAGTTAAATGGGTTTAGAAAATTATGTATGTTTTAACAATGGGTCATTATCAAAAATGAAAGTGGTTCTTTTTTCGAAAGGTCTGGATTAAAATTCGGTTTATTAAAGCAGGCGTGACTTATCGTTTCAAAAATTGCGAAAAAAAAAGTTCTTGCCATTTGTTTTAAAGCCTTCTTGGTCTCTGCATGTAGTGCACAGCTCTTCATTCTTATAATTTTGAACACATTTATTTTTCTAATTTAACCGAATTTGATTATAGATAGACGCGGAGGAGGCTTTGGTGGCGGCCGAGGCGGCGGATTCGACGATCGCGTCGAACTGAAGGAGACGGTCTTCATCCAAGGAGTTCCTGTGACGTGAGAAGCAGAATACATAGAATTTCGCCCAATAATATGTGTTCAGGGCCAACGAGACGTACATTGCCGACGTGTTCAACACGGTTGGAGACATCGCGAAAAACGATCGAAGCGGCGGCCCACGCATCAAGATTTACACTGACCGCGCCACTGGAGAACCCAAGGTGATCCATTGGACGAGAATCGAGGGGAAACGGAATACATGGAGATGAAACCATACTATTGAAAAACAACCAAAAAACACTAACAGGTCTTCTTGAAGTATTAGAGAAAGTTGAGCACTAGTGTTTTTTTTCAGTTCTAGGAATAACTTTAAAGCTCTACTTCAATCAGTTGTTGAGAAATAAGATACTTTTTTTGAAATTTTATCATGTGAAGTTTTACACCAGGATTTTATTATTTTTTTTCAGGGCGAATGCATGATCACTTTTGCCGACGCCGAAATCGCTCAACGCTGCATAGAGCTCTACAACGGCCAACCTTTCCCAGGTGCCGACCGGCCAATGTCTATTTCCATTGCAAAGTTTAAGGTAACCATCTGAAAAATTTATTGAAATTTAAATGAGTCTTGAAGCCTTCTGCTGATGGAGGTCGCGGCGGATTCCGTGGAGGACCACGTGGCGGCGGTGGCTTTGGAGGAGATCGTGGTGGATTTGGCGGCGGATTCGGTAGGTTTCTCGTGCAGCGCTTTTATTTGCGTGGTATGGTGAAAATGCCTGAAAAATTGTATGGTTTGAAGGTTCTTCGCTGAAATTTATTCAACCTTTTTTCTAGGGAATTTTATTTTTTAGAGCGAAAAAGCTGCAATTAAAATCGATCCATCCATCATTATTTTTCTTCCCAGATGGTGGACGTGGAGGCGGCGGCTTCAGAGGAGGCGACCGCGGCGGTGGCTTCCGCGGAGGACGGGGCGGAGACCGAGGAGGATTCCGAGGCGGTCGCGGCGGAGATCGCGGAGGCCCCGGAAACGCCAATATGGAACAGCGGAAAAACGACTGGAACTGCGAACAGTGCAACAATAACAACTTTGCCTTCCGTCAGGTAAATTTTGTTTTGTCAAATTTTTGGGCTAGGCAGAATTTGGAAAGAGCTCACGGGCTTAGAAAAATATCTACTTGGCCGTGTGGGATTTTGAAAAACTTGAGAACTGGGGTTTTTTTTCGACGAATAGCTTTCCACACGTTACATTGTATTGAGATTTTCCAGTAAATTTTTTTAAATAAGAAGCAGTTTTCTTTATTGTTCACTTTTTCATCAGGCTTTTACTTTTTTAATCGAGACCTCAGAAAACATTCACATTTCTAATTTTCAGGCGTGTAATCAATGCGGCGCGGCTCGTCCAGGAGGCGGCGGCGGCGGCAGTGGCGGTGAAGACCAGGAAAGATCTCGTGGCGGCGGCGGACGTGGAGGTCCTTCTGAACGTTTCAGACCCTATTAAATCATTCCTCTCTCACCTGTTTCTACTCAATTTCCCTTGTTATTTTGTTGTGCCCCTTTCTCCTCGTTTTATTCAACTTTTTTTTTTCGCTCCGAGTCTTTGAAGTCTCAATAAACATGATTTCGCTCTGTTGATTTTTTTCCTAATTATTTTTGCTTTTGTACCCTATTGGCTGAAAAAAATCCTTGTTTTTTGAAAAACGAACTGGTTTTTGAACAATTGTTAACTTATTCATTCGATCTGTATTTTTTCTTTCATTTTCCCCGATAAACTTGAATGAATTTAATTTTTGGTTCTACTTTTATGGCAGTGAAATTGATTTATCTTTTAATACCTTGTCTTTATAAAAAAAATTTTTCAAATTAAGTTCGAAGAGAAGAGTTATGTCGCGTTCAAAACTAAATTTTAAAAGCGGTTTTCCTGATGAAAATATAATTTTTAAAATATCTTTTCTCGACCGAAAATAATTATTTCAAAATTTTTAAAATGGCGAGTCTGAGAAGGATCAAAAGTTTTGACCCCACATGTTTGGGTCAAACCGCCGCGGCCCTGGAAACTTCTCTCGAATGGCGCCAAATTATTTTGCGAAAGACAACGGCGTCATTTTTCTTTTTTTTTTCCCAACAGAGCGGTTTGCTGCTGTTGCTTTTTCGTTTTCAATTTGAATATTGCTGTAAATTTCGTTCTTATTGAGGATTATGTGGGATATTCAAAGTGGATCAAAAAATGAGACCGTTCATGTTCTTTTCGATGGTTTTCGGTTCAGTTATGAAAAAAATTCCAAATTTTGTCATCCTGCAAAATTATTTTAAGTGGTGTTTTTTGAGTAATTTTTATTATAACGGCTGTTTCTGCTCTACGATTTTCTTGGTCGGTTTTTTTTTCTGATTTTTTTTGTTTCTAGATCGAAAAATTTTTCAAAAATTGTTGGCCTTTTTCAGTAACACGCTTCTCAGAGATCTTGTTTTTAATTCACCATCGATCGTGTTTATTTCTTGATTTATATTTATACAATTTTTTTCAGGAGCGTCTGGCGTGTGCGCTCGGCGCCAGTGACGGACGGAAGGAAACGATATTTCAAGAAGATAATACTATTTTTTATTATTTGAAAATAAAATTCCATTTCCATGAAATCGGCATGAATTCGTTTTCGAGAGGGCGCACGCGGTCAGGACGGCAATTTTTTCTCCAGGTAAAATTTTTTTCAATGGTTATGTTTATTTGTTTTTTTTTTGTTGAGAAACGCACAGAAGCGTTTTTTTCCCAAAAATAATCTCAATCATTTTCAAAATACATAATTCAAAACCATCAGCAAACTGCAGTTCTCAGCGAAAAATGCATAAGTTTAAAAAAATTTTATATTCTTCTTCTCGAAAGTTGACTAAAAAGACAATTTTTTCAAATTTATTCCTATTCAGATATTTATTCCTGGGTATCAACACATGAAGCTCCATGAAATTTGTCTCGACCAACAGAACTGTCATAAAATGAAGAGTGCGACGCGGACGCGTCACAGCTTGCCACGCCTCCATCTACTGTAGCCTTTTCGACTTAGTACACGAATTCATCCTTTTTTCAACACTTATTTTTCTAATTTTTCGAAACTGTTTTTGTCTCAGTTATTTCGAATAATCAATTTCAATTCATTTTTCAAAACAGTCGAAATAAGAATTTACCCTTCCAAAGTATGAGAGGTTTGTCGTGAGTTTATGAAAGTACAAAAGTGCAAAATTTGATAGGAGTTGTGAATAAACTGTTACGCGAACGCGTCGCACACTGTAGTTTTTTATGTTACTTCTCAGTTTCTTAGTCCATTGATAAAGGAGCTTTAATTTTTTCTTCAGTTAATTATTTCAAATAGTTTTTTCCTTTTTAGTTTCTCTCAGCAAGAAAAAAAGTTTTAATTTTTTTTTCTCCATTGTTAAAGATTTGTCAAACTAGTAAGTTTCATGCGATGATACCTAGAGTTCAAACCAAAAATTTCGAGAAAAAAAAAAACTTTTTTTTTTCAGTGTTTTGTGCATGTGTTGTCCTCGGTGTGAATGTTGCCGGATCGGGATTTGGTCGGTGGCGGCGCAGAGAAAAAGGCAGTCGTATCCATCGGCTTTTCTCCGGTTCGATAGAGTAACAGAAAAGCGGAGAGCTGTAGTCTGGCGTCTCCTCGTCTTTCATGCTCTCTCCAGCCGGTTCTCAGCCGAGCATACATGCGTCTTCTTCTCTGTAAGGGAGGTACTGTGTGGCGAGGTCTTCATTTTCCCTCCAGGCTCGTCAATTCGAAGGTGGCGCTCTTTTATTGGATCGTGTACGAATATACTCTGTTTTTATTTGTCCAATCTTTGCAGTTTTAAGAAATTAGTTTTATTTTTCTGAACGGTGCTGGTTTCACTTTACTGTTAACAAACTTAAGATTAAAGCGGTTTTTATTTTTCAACCGTTAGTATAGTCACATTTTTAAATTTAATTTTTTTTTTGTTTTCGTCGTCACACAGCTTGTTCTCAAAGCTTTTTTAATTGACAGGTACAGGGAAAGTTTAGATAATTGAAAGTTTTTTTCAAAGGCTCTAGTTGATAATTAGGATGAGATTGTATTTTGAAGTGCTTTAGCTCTTACTGCTGTTCAGCGTCCTTATTTGGTCTTAGAACTTGGCTGGATTAAAATGTAGCTTTATTTTCTCTTGAACGTTTCAAAGTGATTTCAACGACGGAAAATCACCGCTAATTTTTTTTTGTGACAAGCAAGTTCGAAGCTTGGCTGATCAAATCTAGTTTATGTTTCGTTTGATTGGATCTTATCGTTCTTTTATGGTGTGATGAAGTGGGTTTTTCAACTGGATTAATAAAATTTTATTAGGCTCAACAATTGAGAGAAATCTTTTTCATTTTTTTTTTTCAAAATCTTGGACTTTTTGATCATTTCAACCAATAATGAAAGTTTACGAACTTTTTCTGTGAAAATATTAGGATTTAGAACTTTTTCATTCTCGATTTTTTTTTTCAGACTCAATATGAAAATCAACTTCTTCATATCATTGCAGAATCATAAAGTCAAATTTATCAGAGGATGAGATCTTTCGACGACTAAAAAACGAAAAAAAAAAGTAGAAACTCTAGCTTTTTTTCAGTAGCTTCACATAGGTTTGAGAAACGGGTTTTCATCGTAGCTTTTACCTTTTGACATATTTTATTACTCTGAAATGGTCAATTTTCCATTCTTTCGTTTTGAAATTTTTTTATTCTTTTCTTGGTGTCACCTATTTCCGTAAAAATGGAAGTTATTCGTACACAACCTGATATTAATCTCATGCAAATAAATGGGAATTGTTGGTTGGTTCAGTGGTTGAGGAAAGCGATTAGGAAGCACAAGACGAAGGTTCGAATTTTGATGTGAGATACCCTTTTTGAATACAGATTATCTAGGCTTTCGATTTCAATTCCATTAGCTTTTCGTCAAATATCTTCCTGTTCTACATTTGATAAGTTAAAAACGCATTTTATTATTTTTCTCGAAAACAGTTGTGTTCCTAGTAATTAGCCAAGTCCAGCTTATAATCTTCTAATTTGGTTGCTTCATGGATAATATTTTTCCTAAAACCTTTCAGTTTTTTTTTTTAAATTTCTTTCCATGAAGCGCATAAGTTAGTGGGACGTGTTGCTGATTTGGGCTATCAATTTAATTTTTTTTTTTTTGAATGGAAACATTTAGCCAGTCACAGTGTTCCAAAAGAGACGGCGGCAAGCGAAAAAAAAAGGTCGTCGCAATGGGGCGGAAACGCGAGTTTTTTCTAACGCAACGCGGTGCGGCGCGTGTCACCCCCACAAAATTTCATTCACTTTTAATACGGTTTTTCTCTTTTTTTCTTGCGTATTTTACCATTCTTTCTTATTTTTTCACATCGTATGTGTTCTTAAAACGTGTTTATCGCGTTTCCCAGAGATTTGAAGTGATTTTCGATTGTTCTCTTCACAGAAATTTGCATTAAAATGACATTTTTGATGACAACTTATTTCGCATAAGATATTTCGTTTGTTTTTTTGTTTTAGGATTTTCAAATAGACTTTCTTAAGAGAAACGCTGTGAGATTTTTCTCAAAATTTTTTTTTCGAGGCAGTATTCGACGAATTTATTCTTGAAAATGTCATTTTGGGTGACAACTTTATTCGTACAAGCTATTATGTATCTGTTTTTGTTTTAAAACGTTCAAGTGGTATTTCTTAAGAGAAGTGCTGTGAGCTTTTTCTCACTTTTCCCTTTGGAAGTTCGATTTAACGAGTTTTCCTAAAAAACGACATTTTGGGAGATATTTTGTTTCGCAAAAACTTTTTCGTCTCTTTCTTCATTTAAATTTGTTCGTTATAATTATATACACATTAAAAATCTTCGAAAACTTGCGAGAACCTAGGAAAAACATCATTTAATGGTCTTTTTCTAACCACTAAATCCACAAAACTTGACTCTCATTCCCGCGCCCCTATTGCAATAAACCGTGCCGCTGTTGCAGTCAGCCACGCCTACTGACCACAGCTGCCGCTCGTTTGGGAACACTGTGCCAGTATTTTAGTGTAGAAGTACATGATTCGTACCTTTGTCGAGTGATTTCTAGACAAGTTTTTTTTAGATATTTGCTTCGAAACCAATAATTTTCTTAATGTTCTTTTTCTACACTGACTTTTTTACATTAGCGACTTTAAAAGTTATGTTAGAAAATTTCGATTGAACCAAATGGCGATTCTAACTACTTTGTATGAGAAGGGGCGCCATCTCTGACAGTGTCTTGCAAGGTCATTCTTGTTTCTCCATGTCTTTTCACAATTTTCAAACTTGATCCTGAGCCAATTGAGCTCAAACTATTTCAATTTGATTCCGAGATCAGTTGAAAGTGATTGCAGCAAGAACTTCATCGAAAAAGTGCTGATGAAAAAGGAATTTCTAGATTTTCATTCAAAGTTCATCTTCAAGGCCATCTATAGTTTCAATTTTTGTCTTACTTTCGAGTTTTTGCGTATAAGTGGCTTTTAATTCTTTTCCGTTTCATCACAGTCAATCGCTACTTTTTCAAAAATGATAGGACAGTTCCGAAACTTTTTCGCTAGTTCGCCTAAATATAAATTTGAGATTAAATAAGTTCTTCAAAACTTTTTGCGGTTTTTTCAAAATTGCAGACTGCGATTAACTGGAAAAGACTCAGAAACCTGAAAAAAATATTATTTGAGAAAAAAAAACTTGTAGTCATTCAGAAACTAACAAAAATTCAAAGACCTTTTTCAAATGTACTCTTCAATTTTCCAGTTCAGCCTGTTTGAATTTGATCCGATTGACTTTGATGATTTGCAAGATAATATATAATGATCAAAAAAACTTTGAAGCCTTGTCTAGATGAACTTCGAGAAAAAGGTAGAAATTTCCTTAGTTTTTTTCTTTTTTTGAATTCACCAAGCCAAGCTTTTTGAACTTCAAGCTCTCGTGAACGTTTGCATCTTTGAAATCCTCTCCACTCTACTGACGTCATTGAAAAGTAGCTCAAATTCTTATTTCCAAAATTCTGATTTTGCGTCTTTGATTTTAATCGCTATCTTCAAAAAAACAAAGAATCAATGACTTTGAAACTTTGATTTATAACTTGACCTCTTATTCGAATTTCTTTTCCAGTCTTCGATTTCACGTTTTTTTTTTTTTGGTTGAAGTTTAAGTAGATTGACTGAGTGATTGACTTAGTAAATTGGAGATGTAAAAAAGTTGCAAGTTTTCATCAGAAACTCGAAGCTCAGAATACTTGTGCTCAAAAAAAAAGATTCAAACTTGAATAGCACCCTCCCGATGAAGCTCAAACTGCACGTCTTAAATGGTCTTGTGATGAAACTGAAAGAGTTTGAGCCCAAGAGGCACATGGTGAAGCTTGGATGTTGTGGAGAGACTAGAGAGGCCGGAATGACCTTGCGAGGCCCTGTCCATTGACGAGCCTGGAGTGGGAAAAGAAGCCTTGTTTGACAGGACCTTCGCCGAGCCAAGAGCCACCTACCAAAGACTTGGCCTCAAGCTCCGTTGCACTTTGGAGCTTGGGGTCAAGGCCTCCGACTCGGGCTCCACAGCCAGCCTGTGGGGTCTGAGGCTGAGGTCTCTGGCTCGGGCCCGTAAGGCCTGGGCTGGAGGCTCCGCCTCAGACAACATAGTAGGCTGCGGAGCACGGGGCCGGGGTAGTCCGACCGCCAACTGATCCGGCAGCGGCTCTGACCCTGCCGGACAAAACCAGAAAATAGGAGGGGGAGAAAACTTTATTTCAAATTTTATCAAATTTATAAGTTTATTTCTTGGAAAAGAGCGTCCGGGTCAGTGCTGACTTTCAGAGTACGACGTCGTCCGCAATCCATCCCGTCACATCACTCGACCTGAAGCCCCCTCCCCATTAGTCTCTGAACCGTCCATAACCCTGCACTGCTGAGCATCTCCTCCAGATGACTCAGAGCCGATTTTTATTCTTTGCCGACTCTTGAGCCGATGGTCGACTTAGGCTGGAGGCCTTCGATAATCATTTTTTCGCAAAGCTTCACACAAAGCTAAGAAAAAAAGCCTTTTGACAAAATTACAATGTCAGTCAAGTGAACAGCCGAAGCGTTGAGCTTGCCAAGTAGCACTAAAGCTGAGTGCAGGGCAAAGGTCCTCTGGTGATGTCATGCCAGAAGCTCTAGTTATTCCAATTAATGAAGTGATGTTGAAATTTTTTGTATTACAAGTTTCTGATGAATAAATTTTCAAAGTCTTTTTTGTGTTTTCTCGAAGTGTTGTGCAACATGGATGGATCTTTGAGTTTATCATTAATGGAAAGATTGAATTACGCTGTGTTATATATGTTTATCAAGGATTTGAGAAAAACAAGAAAAATGCAATTTTTTTAAAGTTGAAGTTCAGGCACTAATCTTATTAAGAAGAAGGTCAGAAAAAGCAACTCATAGTTGAGTTAATGGAGCGTAAGTTCAATCTCTGCATCAAGTTAAAAGTTGTCTTTAGTTCGTTGCGAGCTCACCTTTGAAAACCATAGCTCAATGGATTTTGAAATAAAAAAAATTGAAATTATTGGACTTGTAGTCGAATTTAAAAATACTCAAGCGAAAAAGCCTTCGGAAAATAAAAAAAGTTGGGATTTCAAAGTAAAAAAATATTTTGATTGCTTTTTGTGAGATAGTAAGTGTCTAGATCCAGCAAGTTGTGAGATCACTCTTGAAAAGTTTAAGAAAAAAAAAGAAGAGGACACCCTAGGCTCGAAGTCATCAGAAACTAGCAGTCGGAAAAGAAAACCAACACATCTTCAAAAACCAAAATAAACTCGGAAATTCGTCAAAACTTCCACAGAGTCCCTTCGCCATCCACAGTCAACAAGTCAATCGACAGGTTCAACTTTCATGGCGGCCTCTTGGCTGACATTGTCATTTTGCCAGAAGTATTTCTTCGGCTTTGCGTGAAGCTTTGCAGACAATGACTCCTTTTTCAAAGGCCCCAGCCACGCGACTACAAATATTCCGTCAATCAATCACGTATTTTTGCTGCATTGATTTATAAGATTATCAGAAAAAATTCTTCAAGTTTCAATAAAGTTTCTAAAAGAAGAGACATAATCTTATATCCGTTATTGTAAAAGTGACTTGAATACTTCTTTCAATATAAATATATAAGAATGTAGCATTTCTAAAAAAATCAACCAAAGATTTTTAAAGCGACCTCGTCCACGTGTGCAGGTTTCTACTTCCTATCAATATCATCCAAAATAATCGCATCTTATCAACATGCTCAACTAAAATCACAAAGGAAAATAATTACTGGAATAAATCCATTTTTGACATAGAATGAAAAAAAAAAATGAAAAATTGATGAAGAAAAACTTGATTAAAACTATATTCGTGATGGTTTAATTGATATTGGTATACTGTGACCACCACTCTATTCAATGTGTTTTATTAGTATGAAAAAAAAAACTTGAAGGGATTCAGAAGTCACTGTGTGTTTTTTGTGAGCCTCAAGCAAGCCGTGAACAGCCTTCAAGTTTTAAAAAAATGAAGCCGTGTGCCGAAAAAGTTAACATTCCGTAAATGATTTGGTTTAAAAAGTAAAAAAATTTATTTCATTTTTTTATTCCATTAAAAAAATTAAGTTATTGCAAATTCATGAGTCCATTTGAGCTTTCAGGAACACGGCATCATCTTTCCCGAATGTTCGAAGGCGCAAGGAGAAGGGAAATCTGAACGGGTGCGAAATTCCTTGTTGAATGCTCAACCAAGTCTCCTCCCTGCGCCTTGAAACACTTCTGAAAAACTATCTGGATTACTAGATAGAATGAACACTACGAGTAAAAAAAAAGTTCAAGAAATGTGGTCAATCGACGAAAAATTTGTAGTCGCGAGTGACCACAATATCAAGCGCCGCGCAAAAAACAAAATCGACCCTGGACCATCCTTTTCCAGCCAAATCCTCGAAACCAAACAACATTGAATTTTTGAAAAATTTTGAAAAAAAAAAATCACAAAAAACAACGTTCGAATCAGTTCTAAAAGGCTGAAATATTGTAGACTTTAATACTGGACCAAAAAGAACACACTGGAAAAAGGCGAAAAATTAGCCAACTGTTCAAAAATCTTCGTCTAATCTAAAGTCGTATGCAATAAATTTTGAAGACTACAATGAAAAACCTCGAAGAAAAGTAATAAAAAAAGCTTTTAATCTCGAAGTGAAAAGTGAAAATTAAAAATAAATTTCTGGTGAAATTATTTACAAAAATAAAATTCAAGCATGAATACGACCCTCAAATTTTATATTTCATCCAAACTGGGGTGTCCAAAGACGAAATATTGAAAAAAGAAGAGTTGCCGTTTTTCAGTGGAATACTTGTGCATCTTTGAAAACCCCAACGAAGAAATTTGAACGGAGTATATTCCTGAAATCATAAAAAAGTCATTGAATCCCGATTCAAACGTTGCTTTCAAGTTGAAACGGGAGGAAAGTATCAAAAAGCTCGAAAGAAAATTAAAGTATTTTTTATAAGATGTTTGATTTCGAGTGATTTGACTTAGATGAAAACGCCCAGCCGCTCGGTTATGAACGACTCTGAGTTTAAAAAAACCAACCTTAAACTTACGCATTTTCGTTGTCGCTCTCGTTGTCCTGTTGTCGTTGATTCCTGTCCTCGTCTGTCCGTGCCGTTGTCTTTTCTTCCTGTAACTAACAGTATGAAAAAAAAAGTTTATGAAAAAAATTGCAAAAAAAAAACTTGAAAAAAAAACTTATATTGTCAGAAGAATACAAAGATCCGAAGTCTCTTTCAGCGCCGTCTTGAACCGAGTTGACGCCCGACCTGGAATAAAAATTTGAAACACCAGAAACTTTCCTAAACGAAAAAAAACCTCAGATTAAAATACGTTTAATGAAACTAATCTCAAAGATATGAATCGAAAATTCAAATAAACCGTATTACATCCTGAAATTTGGGAATAAAGAAAAAGCAACAGCAGCACACCGCTTTGTACGGAGGAAAGAAGAAAAATGACGCCGGTTGTTTTTCGCAAAATGATTTGGCGCCATTTGAGAGAATATTCCAAGGCCGCGGCGGTTTGACCCAATGATGTGGGGTCAAAAATTTTGATCCTTCTCAGACTCGCCTTTTCAGATAGTTTTTAAGGTGAATTTTTCGCGTAGACGACATATTCAAAAATATTTTGAAATTTCAAGAGATTATCGATTCAATATTTAAAAAAACCTGAATTTTTTTTAAACCAAAAAACTGCCATGGACGCATTCTTTTAGGCCACCAAAAACAAATTAGACAAAAATAAATAATAGTCAATGAGATCTTTATTTAAAATGATATGATAAATATAATTAAATAATCAGCAAGCAAGAAAATAACAGAAAAAAGCATATTTATCGTCCGGCGGCGCCGACAGTGTTGAGGAATCCACCAAGACCCGACAGGAAGTTTCCAGAGCCTAAAAATAATTTTTCATTCCATTCCGGGATTGAAAAAATTCAACCTGACGACTTTTTGTACTCGGCAGCTTCTTGCTGGAACCGGTTCTCTTGCAATTTTTCGAAAGCTGCACACTTTTTGTCTTTCAATATGTTCGGGATCTGAAATAAAACTTTTCAAACTACGCGATATAAAAAAGGAAATTACCGAGTTTGCTGTGGTAGCAGCTTCGAACAACACGTTGGTTTTCACCTGATAATTGAGAAATTATTTTTTATTTTTTTTATCATACTTTGGCGCCTTCAATTTCGTAGTCGACAACTGCATGCTGACAGGCGAGAAGACGATCTGGATCTCTTTTCGAGACCCAATACTCCAAAAAGTTCAGAGTTGGTTGGTGTGTAAGATCCTTGCTGAAAGAAATAAATTAAAAAAAGGCTGCAAATTTCAAATTTAAAAAGAAAAATTTTTCATTTATTATGGAATTTGTCGTCAAGTCTGATGTTAACGTTGCAAACACACGTGGCTCACGCGACGAAATTAAACATGCTTCGAAAAATGAAGAAAAAAATAGTTCTTCGGCGTTTTACTGAATTATTGACAGTAAAACTTTTTAATTTTTAGACAAAAAAATGCAAAAGGATTGTTAAATTTTCTCTATTGAACCTACGTGCTTAAGGCTTTTTCGTTCTTTGAAGCTACTCGAAATTCAAAATCATGTGAAAAGTTTATGAAACAAATTTTTTTGAAAAATTGTTTTTGAGATATTCTGTACATACCTCTCCTATTTCGAGGTTCGAAGTTTTTTTGTTGTGAAATTAAAAATAACTTCATAGCATAAAAAACTTGATGAATTTTTTTTTTCCTATTTTTCTTGTTGCTAGATAATTTTCAATGACAAAAATAGATTCTCACATCAATAGTGTTAGCAGCGAGCCACTCGGCAATGATGGCCAACTTGAAGGCCTTGCCGAGAAGCGGATTGTCGATCTGGGCGAAGAACTCTTTCTCCAGCTGCAAAAATTTCAAATAGGAATATCAGAATTCGATCAGAAAGAAACCTCAGGACGGGTTTGTCCACGCTCGTAGAACTTCATCCAGACGTCGACGGCTCCTTGCTTTTGCCAGTAATCCTTCTGCCAGACGGATTTGGAGAATGCCGAGCACATGGTGAAGTTGGGATCTTCCGGCGGTGGGCAAAGTCTGAACTACCAGCTTTTGACTTTTTCCTTAAAAGTAAAGTACCAATAACAATGGCATATTTTCGAAGTGCACGGAGTACATGCGTATTGCGTAAAATGCAAAATAAGATAGAAAGTTATTCAAACTATTCAACTGGAAGATTTTCCACAAAAAGCTTTTCTAAGGTTCTCATAATGTTCCGGAAAGACTCTGAGGTTTTTGTCGATTTTTACCTGGTGGTGAGGCGATAAGTTCGTTCACCGGTCGCGCGGCAGAGGTTTCCATCCGTATTTTCGAGCAATTTGAGCTTTCTGAATTTTTCGTTTGAACTCTTCCGATACTACTCAATGCTCTCAAGTCAGTACTTGATGATAGCTTAATTTTTTTTTTTGGATGCGACCCTAAGTAAGACTTTGCGCCAGACTACAAAGCTACTTACTCGCTGCTCCATCTCTTACTTTTGGATGATTTTGTGAGCAGACTCTACAAGATTCACACCGGAAAAAGTAATTATATAAACTGTACCGGCTTTCCTTGCACCAATCGCAATAGAAACATTCGCGGCCGCACGTGGCGACGTCCATGCAACGGAGTTTTCCGATTGGCTGGATCGAAACGTCCAACTTCATGGCGAGCTTGTTGATGTGGACACCTGGAAACTTTTTTTTGATAATCTATTAAGAAAGAATAAAACCAGGTGGAAGAGTGACGTCGATTCCCATGTCGAAGCAGTCAGGCCAAGTCAGATGAACACTGCCGTCATTGTCCCGATTTGAAGGGTGGGAGAACTGAAAAAATTCTACTATTTCATGGACATATGAATATATTTTCCTTTCTTCAAAGTTATAGACCTAAAAATTTTCTTTTTGGCTAGAAATTTGAAAAACCGTTGGATTGGCGAGTTTGATGGCCTCGGTGCATTCCTGGCCGGTGATCTCCTTGCAGCAAGTTTGGGTCCGGGCGTCTTTCAGACGGGCGATGAACAAGTTCTTTGAAATGACCGCCTGAAAAGTTTGATGGGTTTCCAGGAGACTTTGATTCATTTTCTTGAAAACCATATATTGAATTACTTCAGTTTCTCGGCACCCTCTTCTTCCTTGTTTTTATGAAATCGAAGGCGAGGGAAAAGAGAGCGCAGACATCATAAATCGTGACGAATGTAGTACTCGTCGATTGAAAAAGAAGGAAAGAGAGACCTCGTAGCTTCGCGGGCCGAGCTTCCTCACAGTACCGGTACCGATGGGTACATCCTTGTCGTTGTAGACGACAGTGTTTCCATTTTTGTCGGCGACGACTTTGCCAACAGATTTCCCCTGAGCGTCGTAGCACTGCGAGACGCCGGGAGTCTCAGCTAAAAGTATTTCTTTTGTATTTCCAACTTCTTCTCTTCAAAGTTCTACGGTTCGTTCTTCTCGACTTGGAAACTTTTTCTTCGCTTCTGACTTCTGAAGCATTTCGCAGCTTATAGCTCTTCAAGGAGCGAGACACAAAAAAAGGTTTTTTTGAATCACCCTTTTTTTAAAAATAAATATTAGTCATTTTAAACACATTTTTACCTCCTAAAAAGGACCTTTGAAGTCATGAAAAAAACGGAAACTTTTTTTAAAAAGATTTTTTTGTCAAAAAAACTCTTGTTGGACCTGAGCCGCGTCTTGCTGAACTCAAAAAATTAGAGGTTTTTGGCGAACGACAAAGATTTCTTGGTTGTAAAAAGGATCGAACTTGCGATACCTCGAACGAATAACTATCGTTTACCCGGCTGAGCTATCGCCTCCTCAAAACTCACCAGTACAGTGGTACTGCTTATTTCGGCGGCCGAACAAGCTCTGCTCCAGATCTGACCCACCGACGCTGTCCGCCGACAACGTCGCGTCGGTCTTCTTTCCGTTCTGGGCGATCGTGTATGCGTACTTTCCATTCTTCCCTTTTTCCTGAATGAAATTGCTTAATAAACCTTTTTCACCGGTGTAACGAAGAAAAAGAGAGTTTTCCCTTTTTAAAAGTACTGTACGTGAAAGTCCGCATTCTGATTTGTACAATATGTGTGTTTGCACTTTTATTGCGTGAAGTATTGACTAATCTCTGCATTGTTTTTTAAAAGGAAAATGGAAGAATCGCTTTTCCCTTACTCACCGCCTACACGATTACATTTGAATTACACCAGCAAAAACATATTTAAATTATTAAATACTGCATTGCACAATTTTGGAAACCTTATCATTGAAGGAGATGGTTCCATCACCAGTATTGTTGTCATGAGAGTTGGGGTTGAGTTTGAAGTCGAACCGTTCGTTCTTCGCCTCGTACTCAGTTTGCTTGAAAAATCATTGGATATGCTTGTTAAATAAAACGCTTACTGAGACAGGACCCTTAAGGTCTCCCTTAGCGACGGTATCAAGCTCATACTTGCCGTCGGCCTTCAGCAACGCGTGCTGACCTTCTTCGTCGTCTTTGGTTCGAATTTGAGCTCTGAAAAATTATTCTGATTCACTCTATCTGATAGGTGGAAGTTTGAAAGTCATGAAAGCAAGGAAACGATTTCTAAATGAAAAGTTGTGTTCTCGGACATTGGTAACGCGAAACGGACGTGCTCCGGACGTTTCTGGGCGATTCTAGGGATCACTTAAGAGTGCTGAGGCTACTAAGGTGGTCACTAAGAATGCCCCGACACGTCCAATTCGCGTCCTGTTCGGGTTACCAAGGTCCGAATTAGGGAAAAAATTCACTCGATGATCATTAGAGCATACTTAACATCCCTCCAGTAAATTCATTTTTTTATTTCAATAAACTTCTAATCAGAAGCTTGAACGTTATAGGAAAAAAACGGAAGAAAAAAAGAAATAAGAATTTTAAAAAAATCATCAATTTTGTCCCGAGAAAAAAATTGCCATAAAAAAAGAATCTTCGGGCAAGAACTCAAAAAAATTTATCGTTTTCACTTTGAATTCTTATTTCTCTAAATAAAAAAACAACAACCTTTAGCGAAGAAAGTCTCATTGATCATCTACTGTAGGCTTATGGAAAAAGACAGAATCCAAACTTGTGGCCATCGACCGTGGCGATGCCGCCCTTGTCGCCAATCTTCTGGACCTGGGCGCGTTTTCCGTCAAACGTCTCCGCGGCGGCGACGTTTCCAGACGCTGACGCGGCGAACTGCTTGCTCTGGTTGAGAAGTTCGACGACGACCCGTTCGCGGTTCGACGCGTCCAAGGCAATCTAACAAGAAGCATTTTTTTTTTGATGACAGAAGTTTAAAATATCGAGTTCTTATCGCGCTACAGAAGACCCTCGAATGTTGAAAGAAAAGAATTTGAGAGGCTGCGTCCGACCCGCGGCGACTAACGCCTTCACCCACCCTCTGAACTTCCTGCTGTCGCTTGTCGAGCCAGGCGGAGTCGGCCTCGATCCGCTTGCGCTTCTCGTTGATGGCGACGTGGTTGGGCACGAGTTGGGCGACGACGACGGATGTCGCCGCCAGCAGCAACGTCACCGTCAGCCGCATCGCTTCTGCTGAGCGCCTCCTATGGAAATTCATGTTGAAGATAAAAAGTTGAAAGATGCTTACTAAAATGCTTACAGTGGGGACGCAAAAAAAAAAGAAGATAAAGTTTTACAAAACCTATACTTTTTTAAGAAGCAGTAACTTGAGACATGAGTGGTGAAGATTTTCGAACTGAAAACTTTGAAGAATCGGATAAATCAAATGACGTCATTTTCAAAGTTCATGACGTTAAAACATGTTTTTAGTGACATCATATTAGATTCTAAGGATCGGGGAGTAATGAAAAAGATGTCGGACTTGCTTTTGTTCGAAGCGAAAAAAAACATCGGCTTTTCATGATTTATCAATAAAAGCAGCATGATGACTCAGCTTTGGCGTTACAAAAATTACAGTTTTCGACGTCATTGTAGATCTTGAAAAATGACGTCATTATGAAGATACACTTGAAATGAACGTTATGTATTATTATAGATGATCGAAAATTCAAAAACTCAATCAAGCTGCACTAAACTACTGGCTCTATTTTGAAAGAAGCCTCAAAAATTGAAATAATTTTTCAATGATGAATTTTCAGTCTGAAAGTTAGGGAAAAAGCGGTTATTCAACAGATTTTGAAAAATAAATCTCAAAAAAGATGACCTTTCATTGGTTTTGTTCAAACCGGCGAAAAATGAGAATATCACGTATCCTATGTTTCAGCGTTGAGGAGCGATTTAGGAAGGGAAATCGAAAATTTTTAAGTTGCAGAAAAAAAAATCTGAAAGCTCAAACTCATTTTTCAACGCATCAAATTTCGAATCAAGACCAAAAAATAAATATAAAATCTTCAAACCTTCGTACATTTATGCTGATTTGAGTCCAGGATTACTACCGAAAATACGGCTTTTGGATCGAAACGAGTAGAATTTGATTTGAAAAATCATCAATTCAATAAGAAATGATAGAAAGGGAAACAGAAAGTGAAGGGAAAAAAGGTGATATATGAGGAGGATTGATCGGATGCTGGGAGGAGGGGAACGCGGACTTGGGATGATGGACGTCTGCGGCGACGGGAAAAGATTTGGGACGACGTCCGCTGAACTGAAGTGAGTGAGATGAGTGAGAGGAGACCGGTTGATGGTCTGTCATGAGGAGGCGGAGGAAAGGGATCACCGACGACGGCGGCCAAGAAGGAGAAGAAGGAGACGACGTCGAAAGTGAGAAGGCGCTTTTATTCCGATGGCAAGCGAGTTCTTCTTCGGCTTCTGACTCACGGCATGGAAGACGTGTTCCATCTTCAAAAGTGTATTCTTCCGCCCTACCGGTCATGATGTCAGCTTCGTTTGAACTTCCGCGCTGTAAATATGCTTTATCCACTGCCAATTGAGTTGATGGGGCAAAAAAAAAAATACAAATCAAGATAATGAGCTCACGAAAAAAGGCTGAAAACCTTATAAAAAAGTTTTTCGGTACTTTTCCAGGGACTTTTGCGCCGTCTAACGTTTTTTAACAGAATTGAAGTTTGAGAGGGCGTAAAAATATAGAAAACGCAAACAAAATCCAAAAAAGCTTCAAATGAAAGTTTTACGACAAGAAAGAGAAGAAATCACATTTACCTGGTCCAGCCCTTCTTTTTTTTTTATCCAAAGCTTCGAGCTTCATCCATTTTCTTCAAGCTTCTGAAATTCAAGTTTTCTAAGAGAAAAAGTTCATACTTTTTGATAACCTTCACGACACCACGATCCGCATTCCTTTGGGCCAATAAATTCGAAACAAAATTTTCGAAAAATCCTCGGATTCAATCATGAACTTCTTCTCATTTTTGATGCATCATCGGTTAAAAAAAACACAAAATCATGAAAATCAAGGGTCCAGAAGGTCCTGAACAATAGTTTCAAAACAATCAAACAATCAAGATAAAGCACTTTATTGGACTGAATTATCACAGATCATGGGCGTCGGTATCAAAAAATAGAAAAATAAAACGAGTTAACAAAACAAGTTGCGTTTTTTATACAATTCGCCAGGCGCTTTCTCGTTGAGATCTTCTGAAAAAGCATCCTTTATTTAAAACCATTCAAAATTGAGAACTTGAAACTTGGTATCACATAGCTTTTTAGTGCAAATCCGGTTCAAAAGGTTAAATTTTTTTATCAAAGTTTCCTTTTGAGCAAATTTTTTAAATCCTCTAGAAAATTTTTTGCGGTCACTTGAAGAGTTTTTAGAAGTCTCTCAATGTCTTTCTTCAGGTTATTTGATCAATGTCTTTCTTCAGGTTATTTGAAATATACCAGTGCCTAAAATTTTTTCTGAGGCCCGAGTCTTTTCCGAGGTCTAAGACTCTTTAAAAGATTTTTACAAAATTAATTTCCATTTTTCTCTCTTCAAATTATTTTAAAAGTTATCAAGTCTGCTGGGAAAGCAACGCGGCTGCGTCGCATTGAACCATTCCAAAAATTCACGCTTCAAGTAGAAATTTGAAATCTCAATGTAGGCTCTCTACAATTCTTCCGAAGTACCTTCTGGACTTGAGCCAGCGTTTGTTGAGCATCCACTCGTCGCACGGCTTCACGTTCTTGCCGTCGATGGCCGTCGCCATCAGATCCAGCTTAATGCCGTTGAGTTCGACGTCGGCGACGCACCCGACAAAGTTGTGCTTGAAGAGGCCGCCCGTCGACGACTCCAAGTTCGGAACGCCTCCTGGAAAGGTTCAAAATTCCGAATTTTTCGAATAATCTTCTAAAACCGATGAAAATGTTGCCGTCGACGTTGAGCATCGCCAGAATTCCGCTGCTCACGCCACGTAACTCTGGCCAATTATCGATTTGCATCAATCCACGACGACCTCGTCTGAAAAACTTACTCTTTTTTTTTTCAATTCTCGAAAACTGTTATCATTTTTTAATGGGTTCAAGGTCATTTCAAGATTATAACAGCTTTAATTTGAGTTTATTTTTGAAGCTCTAAAACTTCTACGAGTTCCTTTCTGCTTTTTTAGGTCTGAATTATGGTGAATTTTCCTAAATTTTCACAGCTTCTACTTATTTTCCGAAGTACTTTCCCATTTTTGGTTGGTTTTGCCATACAACTTGGCTCAAAAAACTCCATATTAACTGAAAACCAATTTTTCATGATCACAGAAGCACGATGTAACCACCATCAAAAAGAGCTCATTTTACGACTTTAAGGGGAAATAATTTGCCTCACCGACCTCTCGGCGTTTTTCCGTCTACAGATTCGGAAACAACGTGAAAAATTGAAAATAAGCATCCTGTCTCTTAGAAAATTTCCATTATAAGTCCCCTAGTTAGTCAGTCTAATTTATCATTCGATATTTAGGTTTCTTCAATTTTTCATAAAACTGAAGACTTCAGTAACCTTTCAAAGCGGACCCTGTGTTCCTTGCCGTCGTCGACCCGTTCTTCGGACACCAGGTGAGCCGCACCGCCGCCAAGTTCATACCTGTAAATTCTCATCTGAGCATGTGCCATGCAAAAAGGGGTCAACGATAAAAAAATAAAAATTCCAGCGTAGAAAAAAACGAGCTGCCAGAACTCTGTTTTTTTAAAATTATTGTTTCATATATTGTAATCGCCATTCGCTTTTCATATTGGCAACATGTCAAAAAAATCCCGATCGAAAAACTTTTTCTTTTTTTAAATTTAAATTATATTATATTTTTCAAAAATACCTACTAAACGCAGAATGCAGAACTTGAACCAAAACCCAATGAGAAAACAGAATTAATGATGCTAAATTTCAAATTCAAGTTTTGGCGGGCGTTAGACTCGTAGCGCTACAAGTGCATGGCAAATTTTTGCAGCTCATTTTTCTCTGGCCATTTATTCGCTGCCTCATTTTCGCGGCTCTTTGTCATAGAATTTTTCTTTTTCTAAAAAGAAGGCCATTTCATTTTGCGGTTGGGGATTCCTTGAAAACAGGCCAGAATAATACTTGTTGTAGCAGATGAAGATCCTGAAAGTATCAACCTGCGCATCTTCCTACTTTACGAGGAATAAAGGCCTAAAGCCCTAAAACAGCCCATTCCAATGGATTTCTAGGGTTTTCTTCGAGTTAGAAGCCTTTTTTCTCAAAAACGAAGAAGTTGTGCAGGTTGAAGCTTTCAGAGTCGTCTTCTGGAACAAGCGTTTCGACCAAATTTCAGGAAAGTCCCAACCGCAAAGTAAGATGACCTCCCTTGTTAGTTTCTTGGCCCCCGGAGAATCATCTTGGCCAATGGAATAGTGGAGTGAGTTCGAGATGAGGTCGTTATGAATATTGCCTACCTCATCGCAACTTTCAATCTTTGAACATTCTCCATTGAAAAGAGGTGAATAACATAGTCGACCGGAAAGGAGGATGGGGAAAAAATCGCTTACGAATAGTGTAAATGGCCGTTAACGATGCCGACCGAGATGAAATCTTCGATTTGCGCCACTGTTGGCCGTTGGCCTTGCCAAAGGAGAAGCTGCAAATTTGTCAACCTTCCTTTTGTTGGCACAAAATTCTCATCGACAAGTCAGGATTGTTTTGAAAAATGTTTCGAAAATAGAAGATTTGTAATTTTTTATTTTTTGGATTCAGATTAGTTTTTGTTGGCTTTTTTTCAAACCAATCTACTTGTTCTTTAATGTTTGCCTTTTTAAAAGAAGCTTTCGCGTCGGAAATACGCATCAGGAGATGCTCGATTACTGGATTTTCGATTTTTCCCGTTAGTTTTAAAGATCATAGCTAATGTTGAATAAATATCAGTAACTCTGATGATGCCAGTGAAAATAAAACGAGATATTGAGATAAATTTTTTTCGAATCTAAAGCTTCCGTGTTCTGGCATTTTTTCAACTCACCCCATTCGGCTGTTTGGTTTTGAACTTGAAGGCGATGACTTCGTCTTTTTCCGAGGTCAAATGAGGGAACTCGTCGGCGCTGAGCTCGATGAAGGCGTCGCCATCGAACCGAGCCGCATGTTCGATTGGTTTGACTGGAAATTTTTCATTTGTGATTGGAAATGTCCTGAAAAGCGACCAGTATTGTCTTCAAAGTACTAGATCGGAATCCTGAGATTCTTAAACGGCTCAAACTCCTATTTTTCGGGAAAGGCTCCAAATCCTTTTTTCATAACACTTTTTTGATGATACTTCCTGGCAATCTGATAAAAATTGGTCCTCTTAAATAAACTAGATTAATATTTTAAAAGTCTCAGTATGCTCCTTCAACCTCTTATTTTTCGGGAAAGGCTCAAAAACCTTGAAACCGTCTTTTTTGATTGTTTTTCTGGAAATAATAAGATGAGAAGTTCAAGATCTTCATCTGATACAGCCGATTTCTCAGAAAATTCCTAGCTTTCCATGTGAAAGTAACTCCTTTTCCATAGAAGCCCCTATTCCTGGCTTCCAAAAATGGGTCTCTCAAGACATTTTTGGCGGGCGAGATTACGTGACGAAGCCATAAAAAGCAGCAACTCATCAACATGCCGGAAAAACACCGCCAATAATATTCTCATAAATTATTCGGAGAGTGATCAAGCAGAGGAGAATAAAAAGAAATAATTGGGGTTTTTCACGGCAAAAACTAATTCATTGGGAGAGAAAAAGAAGTGGAAAAAGGACCAGGTTTTCAGGCGGAAGGAGACAAATAGGAACACTAGGAAAAAAAATCTAAAAATCAATCAAAGTTGAAACTATTGAAAAGGTTATACTGATGAGAACATTCTTCAAAAAAAAATAGTTATAAAGTATTCAAAAAACCGTTCAACTTTCAATACTACCCCTGCTATTTTTGTCAACTTTTACTAGTCATCTTTGACCAAAATTTTAAAGTTATGTCAACTCCTACTGATTATTTCAGGCCACAATTTTCCTTAAGTTTTCACTGACACTGGTCGCAGTTAGGGCCGTCGTAGTAGAGTTTGCAGCGGCACTCGTAGTGAGTGGCGTTCGTGGCGACGCAGGCGCCGTTGATCCCGCAAGAACTGGCCAGACATGGGTCCGTCACGTTGGCCACTGGGAAGCACCCATCTGAATGAAAAAAAAAAATAAGAAATGAAAATCTCAAAAGAAGGTGATGCTAGGAGCGTAGCCCGGCAGAGAAAAAAAAATCCGACATTCCCTGGCAAGTAGGGTTTTCGAAAACTATTCTTTAAACGATTTCCAAAAAGAATCCTTGTAGCGAAATTTTCTTCAGAAGGAGGAAAACCATTCAGCTTCTGTCTGAAACTACTTAAGATGAGCTTAAATCTTCAGAAGGGTTTAGAACACATTGGAGTCACTGATTTTTCGATCCCTCATACGAAGTTTTAGAACATCAAAAAGTATGGGTGCGCATTTTGAGGAACATCCCAAAAAAAATTACCAAAATACCCTACAAAGCTTTGAAATCAAGAATCTGAAGCTCAAGCCGATTCGAACACCTTAAGGGATCATTAGAGCTTTTGAACCTGTTCTAAGAGTTCATAGAAGATGCGAGAAGCGTTCATGAAGCGCAAATGTGCTTTCCAACACACCTTCAATTATTCACCAAAGCGCTAAAAGCGATTTTTTCTTGGAACGTTTTTCAGTCTTTTTACAAATGGCTTCATTCATTCTCTTTAAATTTCGAATGAAGTCGAATGTCTCGAGATCCTAAACAAGTCAACAGAAAACCCGCTCAGCTCAAAGGAGGCGGAGCTTGAGCCGAAGAGCCAGCGGAGAGGCTCATTTCTAAAGCTGCGCACAGCTCGGCTACTCCAAAAAAAGAAAGAGAAACCTATTTTTTTTTTTCGGTAATGCGTTGGTACAGTATTTTCCTGATCACCTTGTACCTGATCGGCTCGATGACCACCGTTTTCGCGAGTCGGCAAAAGTTTGTTATATTTTTATTATTTTTTATGATTCGGCCGAATTTCAGTAATCTAGTCTACTCCTAACAGCTTGAAAGATATTCGAAGAGGTTTCGGCTTGAATTCCAACAGGAAAATAATTTTCGACTCGATACCTTTAGAAAACTTTTTCATGCTCCTTTAAGCTCTTTCCAGCCAGCTGATTTTGGCTCGTTCAACAGAGAGCGTTTCAAAACGAAAAAATTGTTAACTTGCGCCCCAAAACAGTATAAGTGTATTTTTAGCCTTTGAAAAAGATTCACATCTATCCAAAAAGTCCAACTGGAATCTTTTTTTCAAACTCTTAAGAGCCCAAGTTAGTTTGAGCACCTTTTTAGGCCTAGAAAAAGCGAGAAAATTCATACTTCGATAAAAAATAACTCTTCAGAAGGTTCACTGACATCTACGGACTTCTCAATAGATATCAAAAACACCACAAGTAAGTTTCTTTTTTCATTAAAATTATTTTGCTATTTATTTATTCATTTTTCAAAATTAGACACTTTTTCGAAATGCTACAAATATCCTACACGTCAACAAAAAAAAAAACAACGTATTTTCTCATTAATTTGTCGGTAAGCCTCCTGATCCTCAGAAAATCTTTTTTTTTTTTCATCCTACTTCCGCTAGATATTAGCGGATTTTCTAGTAATTTCTGAAGGTGTTAAAAGGAATATCTTTATCCATCCTTTGAAAAACTCACATTCTCGAGAAACTCTATCCAATCAGAAACCTTTTATTAAAAAAAAAACTACCCTGATTCGCATTGTTTTTTTGAAATTTTGCGTCAAAAAAATGAATTTCATATTTATTTTTTTCCCGATAAAAAAACTTTTTCTTCAAAAAAATGGTCGTTTAGTCCGGTTCGAAGGTCTCCTTAAGGCCTCTCAACTGACCCCTGGAATGACCACTCAAAGTTTTTTTTTTCCGTAAACAGTAGCTCAGTGTGCGCTTGAAAATAATTTAAAAAAAGTAACCCAAAGAGTTTTTGAAAACGGCTTCTACGGGAATGCACTTTTTATTTTTCATGAAGCTCGAAAACAAGAGATTGGTAATGGGAAGTGAAACGTAAATCTCCATGGAAGCTACCGTAATCCGTTCAATAAACAAATGAACTCAAAGGGAAAACGGCGCGAGTACATCAGTTTAGAGAGAACGGTAAAATTGGAGAGATTGGAGTCGACTCTCCTCGTTCTACACACTATCTCTGAAGGCTTGTTCGTAAAATGCCGTTTTCTGTTCTAAAACTGACAGGTCCTCAGACAGCGTGTAAAATTTGGAGAGTTCGATTCTGATCTTTCCAATTTTACCGTGCTCTCTACACTGAAATATGCGGGCTAGCCTCCGTTTTTCCTTGGAGCAAAGAAGGTAATTTTACTTTCACTGAAACTAGGCTTTGAGATGTTCTTTCTCAAATAGCGGAAAAATGTGCAGGTTGCGACTTTAGGATCATCTGGTACATCAAGGAGTATCATAGCAAAATTTTAGGAAAATCCCAGCCGCAAAGTAAAACGACCTTCCTGTGAGAAAGCATGAAACACGGTGAATCATGTGTATTAAATTGTCCTTTTACGTTGTTGATGAACACAAAAACGTCAATTGCAGGCGCTTCAACGACGTCACGCCGTCTGACGACGACAATTTCATTGAAAAGTTTGTGGATTAATCGCTTCGCCCTTTCTTCCCTTTACAAATCCAAATTGTTGCCATTTTGCAGGCGATTCAACAACGACTTTTACAACCTTCTCGCGAGGTATCAACGTCAGTGACAGAAAAATAAATCGACAAATTAACGGCTTTTTCTTTTTCCTGACTTTCGGCGCTTAATTGAATTTTTCTTCTTCCTGTTTTACTTATTTTTCTTCTGCGCACAACTCGTAAATAAACATTTGTGTTGAATTGGAGATACTTTTCGACTTTTTTTTAGAGAGATTCGGGGAAGCGGAAAGTCAAAGTAAAGAACTTGATTCGAAATTTCACATTATAAAGCTTATTCACAGAAAGGCGAGAATCTTACTATTCTTGATAAAAACTTTTAAAAATTCTATTTTTTTTCCTAATTAATCTTTTGTGGACTATGGAAATTAGAAAATGGCCTCCGACCTTTAAAATCGAACTTTAAAAATCGTGATTCAAAAACTCGAATATTCAAACCAATTTGCACCCTCTAAACAACAAAACTTTTCATTTTCCCTAATTAGAACTTTTTTTTCTCGAGTAATCGAATTGGCAAAACTCATTTCTGACAAGGCCTCGGGACCAACCTTCAGAATCGCATTTTGTCTCGGTAATTGGCGTCGTCGTCTCCTCGGTGGCTTCAACCGACTCGTCCCGGGTTCCCTCGTCATCTATTACTGCAAAAAGATAGTTTAAAAGATAACATCTCAAAATTTTTGGAAGGATTCAAAATTTTTGTTGAAATGATGGTGCACTATGAAGGACAGCTAGCTGAAAAAGATCCCATTCCATCTTCAAAAACAAATTCAAGCTATCTAAGTCCCTTAGAAAAGCTTAAAAGTCTTCCTTACTTTCGCCATCATCGTCTTCATCCGTCGGAAGCACATTGACCGGCTCCTCCGTAGTTGTTCTCAGAATCTCCATCGGCTCGACGTCCTTCCGAATCTCGTAGAAGTGAATAACTTCTGCAGTCGTGGTGGTTGGAGCCTCGGTCGTCGTGCTTGTAGTCGTGGTCGTCGTTGTCGTCGTTTCTTCTTCCTCTAATTCTTCAGGAAGCTCCGTCGTGGTAGTCTCCAGCTCAAGCTCCTCTTCCAGGACGGTCTCAGTAGCGATAGGTTCTTCTGTCGTGGTAGAAGTTGTGGTAGAAGTTGTGGTAGAAGTTGTGGTAGAAGTTGTGGTAGACGTTGTCGTCGTGGTCGTTTTGGAAGCCGTGGTGGTAGGAGGAGGAGTTGTAGTCGTGGTTGAGGTAGAAGTCGTCGTCCTTGTCGTTGTTGGAGTAGTAGTCGGCGCTTCAGTACTTGTAGTCGTGGTCGCTGTAGATGGCGTAGTAACAACAATAGGCTCTTCGGTCGTCAGAGGAATCTGCTCGGCTTCTTCTTCTGGTTGAAGAACGGCCTCAAAATCTTCCTCATCGGGAGATCCATTTAGGGCTTCTTCACAGGATGTGATGTCGCCGGAAGAGAAAGAGGAAGCGTCCTTCAGGTTCACGTCTTCGTTATTGATCGAGATCTGAAACGAAAACTATTGCACGAAAAGCGGATCCCTGGCCTTGCGAGAAAATTGATAATTTTTCAAGGTCGGGTGCAAAAAAAATGCAGAAAAAGGAAAAACGATAAGCAATATTGGACAAAAATATATTCAAAAAGGTACTTTGAACAAACTTAAAGCAAAAAAGCAAACATGTTGGATACAGCCTCGGAAGGAGCGTTCAGCAACATTATCCGGAGTTTCGATGCCAGGAGGAAGACCACCGACGAAAAATCTCCGTTCCAGGCCGTACCTCTCCGAATCGAAGCTGAAGGATACCTTCTTCAGAAGCCTTTACATATTATAGTCGTCAAAATGAAAATTCAACCAAACGAACTTTTTTCGAAGAAGCTGTTCAATTTGAAAAAAAAAAATCCCTATTGATTTTGAAGAAAATTCAACACAAACTTTCTCAAACCATGCTTTAAAATATTCAAATATGGGTCTAAAATTTAACGAGCGCACAGTTGAAAATTTGATTTCGACGACTATACTACAGATCTTACAGAAGAGGCGACGTGTCCATTGACGGAAAGAAGCGTCTGGCCCTCTGGAGACCTTTCCAAGGCCAGTTCAACAACTTCGCCGGCGTCGAGACGTACGCTCTTCAGCCGTTCCACGACTTGATTAGCGTTGCTCAGAGTGTAGACGACGTGGCCGTCGACCAAGGAGACACTCAAGTGTTGACGGGCGTCGGGACCGTACTCCGACGCCAGGTACAGTAAGACGTGCTCGTCGGCGTCCGTCCTCGGTTTCAGAGTCATTTTTACCTGAAAATTTTTCTTTTATCCGCTTCATAATGAGCAAACAGGTTCTAAAAGACAGGACAGGTTGTTATTTGGGATAAAGACTGTTTCAACTGTGAAAATGATATGCTCAGGATTTAGATGATGAACGGATGAGAAAAAACAGCCTCTGGTCAAATAGTTCCAGAGAAAAATCCAAAAAAAAAAAAAAATTTCCTCGTTTTTCCACATTTCTATGAACTGTCCAACTTGGGAAAAATTAGAGCACAAACACTTCAGACTTTTTCAATGTACTCTGAAGCTCTTTCAAGCGTTTCTGAAAAAAACGCCCAAAAAAGAGTTTAGGCCTGGGAGGAAATCTGTGCTGTGCGTGTGAAAAACTGCTTTTTCCTCTAATTATTGTTTCATTTTTATTTTTCTTTCTGCTCGATTTTCGACTTCTCGTCTGCTGCTGAAAATTAGAAGTGTCTAAGTTTTCTCAAAAGATGCGCACTCCCAGCTGGCAGATATATCTTTTCACCATCGAAACAATAATCACTCTACCGTTTTACACGACTCTGATCGTTTCTCTCATTGTTTGGAGGCGACGAAATAATGTGTTCCGGTCGCCGTACTACACAATCACTTTAGCGCAGGTTTTGTACAAAAATGATCGTTTTGGATTCGCCAAAATTTTGCTGTTTTGAAAAAAAAAAACGTTTTTTTAGTAAGCGTCAAAAATATCGAAAAAACGCAATGAACAGACGTTTCTGCGACTCTTTCGAAGCTTGTTGTTGAAAATTAAAGGTCTTAAAAAAGAAAGAGGCAGAAAAATCGCTCCGGTGGTCTCATGAAACGAAGAAGCTTCATTAAAAATAACTTATTTCCAGGTCCTACCCGACTTTCTCATCGTAGCCACCTATCTGCTTCTTTGGATGGCCAGATTCTTTCATATAGGGAACGAGTTCGTCTTCAAATACCAGGACTATTTCTTCGCCGACTACATTATGATCCAATCCACGCTTTTACTGATAATGAAAGCGTTCGCTGTGGCGGCGATCGCGATCCAAAGATACATTTCTTTGTGCTGCCACACCAGCTGGTTGCACCAGGTACAACCGAACGAACTCAATGAAGTTGAGAAAGAATTTCTAAGAACGTTTGCTAAGCCGTTATTAAAGGAACCCTGGATAGCATTTAAAAAAAAGATTTCTCAACCAAGTTATACAGCCTTAAAATAGCCAAAACCAATCTAGCCAGCACCTTTTTTCGAAACGATAAACTTAAAACTTTGAGGCGTTGAAACTTGCCTGAAAGCCGGGAAAAGAGAAAAAAAAATTTTGCAATCAGGGTTCTTGAAAGCACCTTTCGGCAAATTTTCCTCAAATTATCAGAGCTGGATTGTTTTAACTTCTCTTGTGAGTTAATCTCAAACCTCGAACAAAAAGAGAAGACAAACAATGATAACAATTTCAACAAATTTTTTTGCTTATAATTAGAAAGCTTCAAAGTGCTCCAAAAAGTCTAACAGTTCCAGAAAATGACAACATGTCCAATTTGGATCATCTACCTTGTCATCTGGGGCCCTCCGATTTTGATTTGTTCTCCGATATGGATAATAGGCGAAGCAAAGATTGTCGATTCTCAGACACTAACCTTCATTGTTCCAGAAACAGTTACAAGGGTGGGAAAAATACGTTTAATTTCAAGAGCCAATTTTACAGATTTCTGCAATGACAAATTTGTTGACGCTTACCCCAATTTTTTTCATCGTATTTTTGCTTTACGCAAGAATTTTCGAATACTTGGTCGTCAATAGAGAGCTACTGAAAAGGTTGAGTTTGATCATGATTTTGAAGCTGTTCGAAAATTGGTCCGAAATTATCGGAAGCCGGCCTATTTCGACAAATTTTGCGGGAAAATCGAAACTTCTTACTGGAAAAACCCCCCAAATTTTTTCGTTTTTTTCAGGAAGAGTGACAAAAAATTGAACCAGGAGCGACGGCTGAGCTTTCAAGTTCTTCCACTCATTTTTTCATTCGTTTTGATTTATGCCTATGCCGTGGCTTGTTTGATTATCAACGAGCTTGGACGGGTTTTCCTTTCCACAATTTTTTTTTCATCGAAAAATATATTCCAGCCAGACCTGTTAATCGCCTATATGCACCCGAACTACCCGGTGATAATGAGCACTTTCGCGTTCATCAATCCGTGGACCCTGCTGATTCTCAACTCCGATGTCCGTCGGAACCTTTTCGGATCTTCAAACACGAACTTCCTGGTGACCTCTCGAGATTTTAATCGTTCAGAATATGATATTTTTATAGGAGACGTCCAGTCGCCCCGCTGTACAAGCCATTCGAGTCGGCACAGTTATAACCCAATCTGTGACACCTTGAAATTTATACATCATTTTTTTTCCCAATTTTGAAAATGAAAGGATTCAAGTTAAAAGCTTTTCGGTGTGGCAGAATAGTTCCAAAGAAAAATCCGAAAAAAAAAAATCTTTTCTCGATTATACTGTTTTTTCGACTCAAAAATCCGATTTTTCTGCCCCCTCCTTATTTCTCAGCAACTCTCTTTCATTAGCTCGCTTTTTCTAGTGACTGGCCAACTAAAAAAGAGAGCACAGAGACTTCAGACTCTTTCAATGTACTCCAAACATTCTTTTCTAAGAAAAACACAAACGCCCAAAAAAAAAAAAATTAGTCCTGAGAGAAAAATTGTTATGAGCGTGTGAAAAGCTGCTTTTTCCCTTGAATTATCGTTTCATTCTTATTTTCCTATCTGCTCGCTTTTCTACTTTTCGTTTACTGCCAAAAATTAGAAGGATCTAAGCTTTCTCAAAAGATGCGCACTCCCAACTGGCAGATATATCTATTCACCATCCAAACAATAATCACTCTACCGTTTTACACGACTCTGATCGTTTCTCTCATTGTTTGGAGGCGACGAAATAATGTGTTCCGGTCGCCGTACTACACAATCACTTTAGCGCAGGTTTTGTACAAAAATGATCGTTTTGGATGTTTTTGGAACGTTGCTTTTTTGACAAAGTGCGCAGAGCTCGCTTGAAGAAGTTTGATAGTCTGGACGAAGTAGTTCGTCTAGAAAAAAAAAATCGAAAACTTAGGCCGCACCCCGGGATGGAATCGAGCCGACGTTGGGGGGAAAATCCCTGCAGAAAAAAGGCCTTTTTCAAAGAATGAAGTTCTCTTTTATAGTCTTTTGTGAGATCTAGTAAACCTAATTATTTGCTGGAATGAGAAGCGCGAAATATCGCGAAACAGGCAATGAAAGGACTCTTTTTGTGGCCTTTTGGAAGCTTTTCGTTTTTCATGAAAATTTTGAAGCCCAAAAAAAAAAGAAATAGAGAGGTAACGAAAAAAAATTGTTCAGGCGGTCTCATGATAGGAAAAAGCTTCATCAAAACAAAAACTTATTTCCAGGTTCTTCCCGACTTTCTAATCGTGGCCACCTATTTGCTTTTCTGGATGGCCAAATTTCTTCATATCGGGAACGAGTTCGTCTTCAAATACCAGGACTATTTCTTCGCCGACTACATTATGATCCAAGCTCCGCTCCTACTGATAATGAAAGCGTTTGCCGTGGCGGCGATCGCGATCCAAAGATACATTTCTTTGTGCTGCCACACCAGTTGGTTGCACCAGGTACAACCGGACGAATTTAGCGTTGTTCACAAGAAAGTTCTAACACGGGAAGTCATTTTACTTGTCGGTTTAGAATCTTCTTCAAATTTGCTCAAACACTCTCTGAATGTCTAGATGAAGGTCCCTCAGAGTCGCTACCGGCGCAAACTTCTAGTATTTGAGATATTAGTTTTTAAAGTTCGCTTTTAACACGAAATATTTTTTAAGATAATTAATTTTGGAGATCGAAAAGTTAAGCCTAAAACCCATTTTTCGCAACTTTGAAAAATCATATCTCAAAAACTTGAAGTTTGCGCTGTTAGCGACTATGAGGGATCTTCACCTAGACCTTCAGAGATGGTTTGAGCAAATTCGCAGAAAGTTCCAAACCGCAAAGTAAGAAAATTTGAAGCCAGTTTTTCTTGTTTAGAAATCAGCATACTTAAGAACACCTTTCGGCAAGTTTCCTTAAAACTATCAAAGATGGACTATTTTGATTTCACTTGTAAGTTAATCTCGAAACTAACAGATAAAAAAAAAAGTGAATCATCCGTTTTTTTGCTCATGATTAGGAAGCTTCAAAATGCTCGAAAAAGTCTAATTATTCCAGAAAGTGACGAAATGTCCACCTTGGATCATCTACCTCGTCATTTGGGGCCCTCCGATTTTGATTTGTTCTCCGATTTGGATAAACAGTGAAGCGAAAATTATAGATTCTGAAACACTGACTTTCATTGTTCCAGAAACAGTTACAAGGGTGGGAAAAATACGTTTAATTTCAAGAGCCAATTTTACAGATTTCTGCAATGACAAATTTGTTGACGCTTACCCCAATTTTTTTCATCGTATTTTTGCTTTACGCAAGAATTTTCGAATACTTGGTCGTCAATAGAGAGCTACTGAAAAGGTTGAGTTTGATCATGATTTTGAAGCTGTTCGAAAATTGGTCCGAAATTATCGGAAGCCGGCCTATTTCGACAAATTTTGCGGGAAAATCGAAACTTCTTACTGGAAAAACCCCCCAAATTTTTTCGTTTTTTTCAGGAAGAGTGACAAAAAATTGAACCAGGAGCGACGGCTGAGCTTTCAAGTTCTTCCACTCATTTTTTCATTCGTTTTGATTTATGCCTATGCCGTGGCTTGTTTGATTATCAACGAGCTTGGACGGGTTTTCCTTTCCACAATTTTTTTTTCATCGAAAAATATATTCCAGCCAGACCTGTTAATCGCCTATATGCACCCGAACTACCCGGTGATAATGAGCACTTTCGCGTTCATCAATCCGTGGACCCTGCTGATTCTCAACTCCGATGTCCGTCGGAACCTTTTCGGATCTTCAAACACGAACTTCCTGGTGACCTCTCGAGATTTTTAATCGTTCAGAATATGATATTTTTTTATAGGAGACGTCCAGTCGCCCCGCTGTACAAAGCCATTCGAGTCGGCACAGTTATAACCCAATCTGTGACACCTTGAAATTTCTACATCATTTTTTTCTCTCATTTTCGAATATGAAAGTGTTCAATAAAAAAGCTTTTCGGTGTGTCAAAAGTTCTCTTTTTAGGGAGAAGTTGATCCATAATACTAGTGAAAAAATTTCAAACTCCCAAAAAAAAAAATTGTGAACATCATTCCGAATGTATCCTTTTATCGATAGAAGAATGACAACGGCGCACTTTTGAGTCGCTAGAAAATTTTAGTGGCCTCTATAAAAGTCGAATAAGGCGGCCACTTGAGGGGCTAAAGTTTAGTGGCCTCTTTAGAAGTTGGTATTACTAGACCACTAAAAACTACTAGAGGTGCCATTAAGACGAAAACTAGCGGGTTCTATAGGCTTGGTTCTAGTGGCCACTTTAGTGTCCTCTCTGAGTAGTCTTCTCTGAGTCTCTTAAGTGGCGTCTAGAGGTTATCCCATCAGTATCGTAGATCTTTTCCACTTAAAATTCACACAAAAAATTTCTTCTCTCTGAAGGTTTGTATTCTGAATCAGTTAGCTTCATTAAATGGCGCTTTTTTTTAAATAAATTTTTTCTCTCTACTTATTGTTTCATTCTCTTTTTTTTTATCCTTTATCTGCTTCATAATGAGCAAACAGGTTCTAAAAGGCAAAACATTGATATTTGGGATGAAGACTGTTTCAAATGTCAAAATGAAAGGCTCAGCTTTTGAGCTTTAATGATAAAATGATGAGAAAAAACAGCCTCTGGAAGAATAGTTCCAGAGAGAAATTCTAAAAGAAAAAACTTATTTCGATCATATAAACTTTATTCGAACCAGCTCAAAAATTTCTGCGCCCTCTCGTTTCTCAGAAACTCTTTCGAGTTTAAGAGCTATTTCCATGTTTCTATGACCTTACCAGCTAGGGAAAAGAGAGCGCAGACACGACAAACTTTTGAATTGTACTTTGAAGCACTTTTAAGCTTTTCGGAAACAAAAACACTCAAAAAAAGAGTTTGTGCTTAGCGTGTGAAAATCTGCTTTTCCCCTTCAATTAATGTTTCATTTTTATTTTCCTTTCTGCTCGCTTTTTGACTTCTCGTCTGCTGCCGGAAATTAGAATTGTCTAAGCTTTCTTGAAAGATGCGTACTCCCAGCTGGCAGAATTATCTATTTACTGCCGAAACAATAATCACTGTACCGTTTTACACGACTCTGACCGTTTCTCTTATCGTTTGGAGACGAGGAAATCATGTGTTTCGGTCGCCGTATTACACAATGACTTTGGCACAGGTTGAGGGCAAAATGATCATTTTGGATTCGCCAAATTTTTTCTGTTTTGAAAAAGTGCGGAGAGCTCTCTTAAAGAGGCTTGATAGTTTAGACAAAGTCGGTCTGTCGATGAAGGGTCAAAGTTTGTAGAAACCTCGTGAGTGCAAAGAGACCTACAGAAAAACAAGCGGAAAGGGTTTTTTTTAAAGATAAAATAATAAAGTTCGCTTTTTCTTTTTTGTGAAACCTGAACTTCTTTGCTGAAGTCAGCGCCAAAAATATCGCAAAAAAATGCGATGAAAAAAGTAAGAAGCGGCAAAAACCGCTCCGGCGGTCTCATGAAATAAAGAAGCTTAATGTATAACTGTATAATGTATTCTCTCAGAGTCTAGATCCAAGTGAACTCGTTAGGGTTCACGCTGATCTGTCAATAAATTATTATTTAAAAAAAAAGCTTCATTAAAAAAATAACTCACATATTTCCAGGTCCTACCAGACTTTCTTATCGTAGCCACTTACTTGCTTCTTTGGATGGCCAGATTCTTTCATATAGGGAACGAGTTCGTTTTCAAATACCAGGACTATTTCTTCGCCGACTACATTATGGTTCAATCCACGCTTCTACTGATAATGAAAGCGTTCGCTGTGGCGGCGATCGCGATCCAAAGATACATTTCTTTGTGCTGCCACACCAGTTGGTTGCACCAGGTAGAGTCGAATGAACTCAATGAAGTTGAAGAAAAAATTCTAAAAAATATGAAGCGAGAAAGTCAGAAAAAAGGAAAATGTTCCTTGTTAATCAGGGTTCTTGAGAGTACATCTCGGCCATTTTCATCAGCCTATCAGAGCTAGACTGTTTTTTCCTCCCTTGTGAGTTAATCTTAAAACTCGGAGAAAACTGTAGCCGTGAAAAGAACTAAACAAGAGAAGACCAAAAATGTAAAAAATGAAAAATTTTTTTGCTCATGATTAGGAAGCTTCAAAGGGCTTCAAAAAGTTTAATTGTTCCAGAAAATGACCGCATGTCCTCCTTGGATCATCTATCTCGTCATTTGGGGTCCTCCGATTTTGATTTGTTCTCCGATTTGGATAATAGGCGAAGGAAAAATTGTCGACTCTGAAACACTGACCTTCAATGTTCCAGAATCAGTTTCAAGGGTGTGAATAATATCTTTGATTCCAAGAAAAAAAAAGGCTTACAGATGTCTTCAATAATCAACTTGTTGACGATGACTCCAATTTTTTTCATCGTATTTTTGCTTTACGCAAGAATTTTCAAGTACTTGATCGTCAATAGAGAGCTACTAAAAAGGTTGATTCTAATCATAAATTGGTAGTTTTCTAATAAACTGACGAAAGAGTCAAACCGAAATCATCGGATGCGGGCCTCTATTGGCCTCTTTTGACAAATTTAGCGGGAAAATCCAAACTACTCACAAAAAAAACCTCACTTGTGAGCATAAAAAAAGTCAAAGTTCCTTAGGAACTACCGAGCGGTGTTCATGAAGGCAGCCTAAGTTCCCCTCTAGGGACAACTTTAACTCGCTTTACAGGGGCTACCAAAGCTTGCAATAGCGGCCCCTATAGAAGTTTTTAGTCAGTGGCCCACCGGACACGATAGTCAATTATTGTGAAAAATTTGTATTTTTCCTTTCCAAATATGAACAGCAAAAAAATTGAAAGACCCCATAAGGTATACTTTAGGGGCTTAGGGGCCAGACGCTCAACCTTCATAAGGACCCCTAAACCCCTAGAAGGGCCACTTTTTCCCTATATCATAGCAACGCGGTCGCGAAGCGGTCGATTTGCCACTGTTCGAACCTTTTCTCTCGAAACATTCATAGAGTGTGTAAAGGGGGAAGTGAGAGATCGAAAATATGTTATTTAGGAACATTATGCAATCTAATTTATGAAATGAGAGATAAAAGTTTGCGATTGCAACGATTGTGGGCCGATTCGGCCATCAACCTCGGCCCACATCTCTGCCTGTATGGCTGTTTTTTTTCACCTTAAAGGCATAGGGGCAGTAAAAAATGGGGTTTCAGGTGAAAGCAGTATCTTATATAGTTTTTCTTTGCGAATCGAATGGTGTACTCAAAAAAATACAGATGTGACAACTTTAGAAGAAAAACGCGATTTTACTTTCCCGCCTTTATTTTTGAAAAAAGCTTTGGATCGGCCTACGGACAAATGTTTACAGTAGCCGTGAACGCGATGTTGCGGACGTCTCATTAGACTCGCATTTTTTGAGAAATAACCGGCTCTCTGCTTCAAATTAAGGGTTTCTTTTCAGAAAAAAACGTTTAGTCAAACAAAAAACACACACCGATAATAAAGGAAACACAAATAATCGCTATCCCAATCGAAACCGATGTAAAATCATCATTTTTCACCAAAGAAGCATTTTTGCGATCAAAGTTTGCAAATTATACATGAATCGAAAGCTTTTGTGACGAAAAGAACTTTGGTGACAACAGAAAAAATTGAAAATTGAAAGAAACGAAGAAAAAAGCGAGAATCCGAAAAATGGCGGAGCCTGTTGTCCATAGAGCGACTTTACTGCAAAACCCCCTTTTTCGCGGGAACTCAAACTTTCCTCTCTCCAACTTTGAATAATTTTTTCTTCAAAACTAGGAACTTCTGTACGTTTTCAAGTTCACCGATCGATTCGCCATCAAAAGCTCTATAAATAACCGCTTTGAACTGAAACACCGTTTTTTACTGCCCCTATGCCTTTAACATCATAGGGACTACTCTGACGTTCCTAAGTCTTTCATTTTTCCACAAAAGACAAAGTAAAAACCACAAAAAAATAGTTATGACCTATCTTCAAGAGCTTCAAAGTTCCGAATAGACAATTTTTAATCAAACGTCTTCTTTTTCAGGAAGAGTGACAAGAAATTGAACCAGGAGCGACGGCTGAGCCTACAAGTTTTTCCACTCGTTCTTGCATTCGTTGTAATTTACGCTACTAATGTGGTTGCTTTGATTCTCGGCCAGCTTGGACGGGTTTTTCTTTTTCACAAAGAGCCTTTTTTATCGAAAAAAATATTCTAGCTAGACCTGATTTCCGCCTATGTGTACCCAAGCTACCCGGTGATAATGAGCACTTTCGCGTTCATCAATCCGTGGACCCTGCTGATTCTCAACTCCGATGTCCGTCGGAATCTTTTCGGTTCTCAAAATTCGAGCTTTCCGGTGACCTTTCGAGATTTCTATCGTTAAGAAAATATTTTTATAGGAGACGTCCAGTCGCCCTGCTGTACAAGCCATTCGAGTTGGGACAATTACAACACAATCTGTGACACCTTGAAATTTCCACATCATTTTTTTTCTCAATTTGAAATATGAAAGTATTCAAGATAAAAGCTTTTCGGTGTGTCAAAAGTTCTCTTTTTAGGGAGAAGTGAATTCATGGAGTCAATTTTTCCCGACTTGAAAGGCGAGAGAGACAGAGAAGTGGGCGGGACGCGTAGCGTGTGCGTTCGCGGTTCTTGGTACGAGTTCAATTCAACCGCCAGCGACTATTTAGAGAGATCGTTTATCGCTCTTTTTATTCCTTTTCATTTCCTTAATCGTTTTTTTCATTTTTTTCTTTCAATGGCGGTTGAATTGAACTCGTGCCAAGAACCGCATACGCACACGCTACGCGTCCCGCTCACTTCTCTGTCTCTCTCGCCTTTCAAGTCGGGAAAAATTGCTATGCTAGTAAAAAAATTCAAATTCCCAAAAAAACTTGTTTAAATCCTTTGAAACGTTTCCCTTTATCGATAGATGGATGACTACGGCGCACTTTTGAGTTACTTTGAAATTTTTTTTCATTGTTCGCTCGCAAACAGCTTTCTGTGAAGTGGAAGTAGAAAACAAGAAAAGTTAAATTTGTTTCCGGTTTGCATACTTATATGACCTGGTCAGATAGGGAAAAGAGAAAGCACAGACACATCAGATTTTTTCAATTTTACTCTACGCATGTTTGAGACAGCCGGTGGCCGGTCAATCGTGCGCTGTCAGTTTCGGAGGCAAGTAATTTTAAATTCTCTTCTTTTTTTATTTTTATTTCTCGAGGTTACAAGGTAAGTTACGTCACAAAAAGTCCACAAGTTTTCATTTTATTATTCAAAACCCTATCTACCGTAATACGACCGGCCGCCTTAAACCGGCGTGAATCAAAAGCACTTTCAAGCTTTTCTGAAACAAAAATACTCAAAAAAAAAAAATTTGGCTTTGTGAGAAAAATTTCGCTGAGCGTGTGAAAAGCTGCTTTCCCCTTTAATCATTGTTTCATTATTATTTTCCTATCTGCCGCTTTTTGACTTCCCGTCTACTGCGGAACATTAAAAGAATCTGAATTTTCTCAGGTTATGCTTACTCCCACCTGGCAGAATTATCTATTCGCCATCGAAACAATATTCACTGTACCGTTTTACACGACTCTGACCGTTTCTCTTATTGTTTGGAGACGAGGAAATCCTGTCTTCCGGTCGCCGTACTACACAATGACTTTGGCGCAGGTTTAATGCAAAAAATGATAGTATGGAATTCGTCAACAAGTTGCTCTTCGAAAAAAAAACACCCGAAGCTCTGATAAAGAGGTTTTGACCGTCTAGAAAAATTCGGAAACTTGATAAAAGTTTCAAAATTTGGAGAAGTATCGTGAAAGCGTAGGTCCCAACAGATAAACTATCCAAAACACCTCTTTGGAAGAATGGAATTCGCTTTTTTTTTCTGGAGAGATCGTGAAAAACCTAATTATTTGCTGGAATGAGAAGCGCGAAATACCGCAAAAAAGGCGTTGAAATTCACTTTTTGAGGCCTTTTTGAAGCTTTTCGTTTTTCAGAAAAATTTGAAAAAAAAAAGAAAAAGAGAGGCAGCGAAGCATTTCAAACGGTCTTATTAAAAGACGCAAAAGGTAGCTTTCGGAGATTTGCAAAACATTTGAGAAGTTAAAAAAATTTTTTTTTTTCCAGGTTCTTCCCGACTTTCTCATCGTGGCCACCTATTCACTTCTTTGGACGGCCAGATTCTTTCATATCGGAAACGAGTTCGTCTTCAAATACCAGGAATATTTCTTCGCCAAACACATTATGATCCAACCCACGCTCCTACTGATAATGAAAGCGTTTGCCGTGGCGGCGATCGCGATCCAAAGATACATTTCTTTGTGCTGCCACACCAGTTGGTTGCACCAGGTAAAGCCGAACTAATTCAGCGATGTTAAGAAGGGAGTTCTAACAAGGGAATTGTGGGAGGTGAAGATCTGGTCTGAACTTCTGTGGTAGGAAGTCCTAGGTATGAGTACTCGAAAACAAAAAGAATCCTCTGCGAAAGTGCTGAGAAACATCTCGTTTAAAATATACGGAAAAAGCTCGACAACTGATTATCTTTGTGTTTAGTTACTTTCTCGTGTTTCTCCTGCTATAGTCTATTAGAAAAGCTGTTTTAGAAATCGATCAGTTTTCGAGTGTGTTCCGTACATTTTCAAAGGGCTAATTCACCGAACCCAATGGAGCTTAGCAGATAATTCTTTTTGCCTTCGAGCTGCCTTAGAAGTTTGGACAAGATCTATGACCTCACACACTTTCCTTGTAAAAACTTTTGCTGAGACTAAACTAAACCGTGAAAAATCCAAACTTTAAGACGTTAAAACCAGAAAAAAATAAGGAGAGTTTTTCTCGTTTTGCAATCAGGAGCCTCCCTTCTGAGTTAATCTCGAAACTAAAACATGAAAAAAAAAAACTGAAACCGTTTTTGCTCATAATTAGGAAGCTTCAAAGTTCTTCAAAAAGTCTGATTATTCCAGAAAGTGACGAAATGTCCACCTTGGATCATCTACCTCGTCATTTGGGGCCCTCCGATTTTGATTTGTACTCCGATTTGGATAATAGGCGAAGGAAAATTTGTCGACTCTGAAACACTGGCCTTCAGTGCTCCGGAATTCGTTTCAAAGGTTTGGAGAAAGTGACTAAGTTAAGAGCAAGTCTTACAGATGTGTTCCATGACAAATTTGTTGACGCTTACCCCAAATTTTTTCATCGTATTTCTGCTTTACGCAAGAATTTTCAAATACTTGGTCGTCAATAGAGAGCTGATGAAAAGGTTATTTCAATCACAAATTTGTACTTTTTTTGTAATTTGATCAAAAAACCAGAACAAAGTTCCGAATGACTTCTTTTTTCCCAAATTCCGAATAGACTATTTTTAATCAAACTTCTTCTTTTCCAGAAAGAGTGACAAGAAATTGAACCAGGAACGACGGCTGAGCTTGCAAGTTTTTCCACTCGTTTTTGCCTTCGTTTTTATTTACGCCATCAATGTGTTTTCCTTGATTATCAGCCAGCTTGGACGGGTTTTCTTTTCCCGAAAGGCCTTTTTTATCGAAAAACATATTCTAGCTAGACCTGCTATCTACTTATGTGTTCCCAAACTACGCGGTAATAATGAGCAATTTCGCGTTCATCAATCCGTGGACCCTGCTGATTCTCAACTCCGATGTCCGTCGGAACCTTTTCGGTTCTTCAAATACGAACTTTCTGGTGACCTTTCGAGAATTCTATCGTTCATAAAATGATATATTTATAGGAGACGCCGAGTCGCCCCGTGGCACAAACCATTCGAGTTGGGGCATTTACAACCCAATCTCTGTCGAATTGAAATTCCTACATCCTTTTTTTCTCAATTTTGAAAATGAAAGGGTTCAAGTTAAAAGCTTTTTGCGGTGTCAAAAATATCGATAACTTTTTTATCATCTAAATATTTTCTAAATTCGGAGTTTCTCGAGCGAAACTCGCTGTCTCGTTGGAGGACCCAACTTCTTTTAACGTTTCCGCCAAATCACTTCAAACAAGTAGTGTTGTTTGATTTTTTTACTGATCAATAGTCATTTTTTTCTCCGCCATCAAAAATGACTAATAAATTGAACTATTCGTGTTTTTCTCATCACAACAGACAGGGAACCAAACGATGACTAATAATGAGCGTGGGAATCGCGTTGGAGCTTGGAAAAAAAAGTACACTTTCCCGGAAAATTCACTTGCAGAACTCAAAAAAGGCCAAGTTCCAAGGAATGGTCATGTCTTTCAAGAAGTCCGCGAAAAAAATTAATAGTCGGAGAGTGAGTTATTGTCTATCCTTCTCGACTTGAAATGAGCGATGGGTATACGGGCAAAGGTGAAGCGTTGCGTACGCGATGCGGCTTATTGGCGGGGAACTCGATGTCAAAGGCAATCATGGAGGAATGTGTAGAGAATAATTTTCCTATTATTCTTATATCTTATGCTTCTATTCGTTCTATCAAACCTTTGTAAGATCATAAAATTATGAAGTTATGGATAACTGTCTGAAAAGAAGGAAAAAATGTTGGCTCGCGTTTGACCTCGAGTTCCAAGCCAGAAGCCGCGCCGCGTACGCAACGCTCCACCCTTTCCAATCTACCCATCTCGCCTTCCAAGTCGGGTGACTGTTACTCAGCAGGCTTTTCGAGTGATTAGGAGCCTTTTGTGAGGATCACTCGACTAAAATGACTCGATCTTACCGATTCGAACTTCTTCGGCTTGGGCAGAGCAATGAAAGAGGTGTCGAACGAAAAGCCCAAAGCTTCTCGAGGCTCTTCTTTCTCTTCGCATCTTGAACAGATATAACATGTTCATCTTCAAATCTATATGAATCACCTAAGACCAGTCGTTCCAACGGGGCAAACGCACTGCCAAGTCTCCTCGTTTTCCAAACAAATGCCAGCATTGCAGTTCTCTGCAAAGTATTTCCATTTTTTCATGTTCTTGTTATCATTCACAACCTTCTCGGCAAGTATGAGGCCTGTTTTGACATTGGTCGCCGGTGAATCCGTCGCGACACTCGCAAATGTATCCCTGAAGCATTTTTCGTCAATATCAATCAAAGATGAACTCGGTAACGCAAAACGAACGTTTCTGAGCTTTTGTAGTGACCACTTAAGAGTGCGGAGGCCGCTAAAGGGGTCACTAGAAAGGCTCAGAAACGTTCGGTTTGCTTCACCGATAAATATGGAAATTTGTCATTAGAGCGAGTTAGCTGCAAAAAAAAGGAAATTTTCGCAAATTGAGTCAGTTTTCAATCAGACATCGAATTATTTTTTGTAACTACTTCAAATTTTCAAAAATTGTCAACTGAAAGAAAAAAGCCTCGAGAGATTCCGATTCAACTCAAAATAAACATTCGAAAATAATTTTGGTTTTCGAGCTGTAAGACTTCGAAATCATCAAAAAACAGAAAAAATGAAAAAAAAAACCTTTTTTGAAACTTCGAAACTCGAAAGCAAGACCTATCGCTAGAAATTTTCTTTCTCCAGAATCGTGAACCAAGTTTGATCGAAAGATCAACCGAGGGCATTTTATCAACATTTTATCATCAAAAAACACCTTCTGGTTGTTGGAAGCCCTGCACTTGGCGTCGTTCAAGCAGTAATTCAAGGCGCAGGCGTCGTACTCGGTCACCGAATCGGGCCGCGTGGCTTCTCCCAGGGGGAGATTGTCGCCGGAAACCGCGACGGAGCTGATGACTCCGATGAATCCGTCGTCGGGACGGCGGTCTTCGTTTTTGCCGCCGATGAAGACCGGCTTGTTGACGCCTTCAGGCAATGGACGAGGATGATGGTGTCGGATGGAGGGAACGTCGTTGTTGAGCTGCACAACGGCTGAAAATTAGGAAAGTTGTGAGATAAAGCCTGGATTCGAATCTTTGGGGCTCACAACTTGGAAAGATAGAGAGTACTGCTGAGCAAGAGAAAAAAATGCTCGATCTCTCATTTTTGAACGCTCTCTAACTTTCTGAGGTACGAATGTAGACTTGTGAAATGAAAAAATATCAAAAAATCAGAATTCAAAATTGAGTAATAGGAAGATCAGGCAATGAAAATCGTCAATGTAGATTTTCATAGAAACTAAAGTTCAGTTTTTTTGGCAGAATAATCTCTAAAAATCATGATTTTTTTCAGAATAATTCCTAATCAAAAACCAAGGATATAAAAAGTTGTCAGTTCAATTGAATTTTCTCCACAAACCTTGATGATCATTGTTGGAAATGTGAACCAGATTCCATTCGCTACGCTCCACCTTGTTGGGTGTTTCGATCACTTCTGGAAAGAAGGAAATTAAAGTGTCTCAATAATTTATTTTTCAGAAATAATTTTTAAAAAAACTATCCGCATTAACAATTAACTACTCATTTTTTTTAAATACCCAAACCTTGGTAACACTAACCGTACGCGCCTCGGGTGTTCCTGAAGATTTCTAGAAATCACTTCAGAGTTGTGACGCGAGCTGACGCCACTAAAGTGATCCCTAGAAAGGCTCATAAAAGCCCTAGGCGACTCCAGTTTGCGGTACCGAGGTCCGTGTAGTTTTAGTTACAGAAAAATTATTGCGCATAAGCGTTTATTCCACAAATGAAAAGTGACGTGAGAACTCTGCCATTTCACAATGCAGAAGCCTCCGAAGGCCGAAGAAGACTCATGGGCTTTTCAGGTATTTTCATTATCTTTGAAGGGTACAAAATCGTATAGTTTTTTTAAAAAGTATAGTCCGTTTGTAAGGGTCGGACATCTCTGCGCCCTCTCATAGTCATGTGCTATTTTTCATGTTTCTCTGACCTTTCCGGTGAGGAACAGAGAGGGAGATACAAGATGTACTGTACAGTTTCTAAAAAAAAGGAAACTCCAGCCAATCGGAGCCCCGTTTCCTGAAGCGCCGGTCCGGGTTCCCGGCCAGCAGAACCAGTACGTGGCGCTGTGGTACAAACACGGCAAGCCGATCCATGGCCGAGCGTGGAACAACGACGGCGTCGTCCAGTGCTCGTTGCCCTACAAAGGCGCCGAGCTCACGACGAAGCTACAGCTTGAGGGGCAGATCCAGATACTCCAGTACAAAGGCGACTTCAAGATCCTTGGGTTCTGGTGAGGATTCATCTTTTCTTTTTCTCCCGAAACCGAAAACTTTGGAGGTCAGAGAATAATTTTTTCTTCCTCTATGGATGGCTTCGATGAGAACCCTAAATAGCCTTTTAAAAGTTCACGCTCACCATCTTGAGGTACGAATGGCTGCCAGTAAAGCAACGTCACGAGGATGGCAACCGCGAACTCGTCAAATGCGGAAAATCGACGCCGCTGCTGATCAGATGCTCAGACCAGCAGCACCGAGTCGGCTACCTCGACCTGGACACCGAGATCGCTTTGGTCTCCTACAACAACAAGACGGAGAAGTACGAGGGCGGCATGACCGACAATTTCTTCGCCATCTTCCGCAACTTTTCGCCGCCGCCAGTTGTGAAAATCTATGAAGACCTGTGGGTCGACGTCCGCTACAACGACAACTTCCCCAAGAACGCTCTGTTGGCCGAAGATCGGCCGCTGAAGACCGAAACTGGCGCCATGATGAAGCAGTACATCGGACTGTGGTACAAACATGGCGACGCCGTATTCGGACGCGCCTATCCCGACCAATCCGGAAAGGTACAGAACGGAATAAAGATTGAAATGAGAAGAAATATTGTAGGTAAGAGCTCATTTCGGGAAGAATAATCAAGAGACGGCTGGTCCCGAAGTTGGGTCGATGCAGATTTTGACACTGCCTGAGGAAAATTTGGTGAGTCCGGAAAATCTAATAAGAGAGGTTGTTTCTGAAATTCGCTTAACTGTTTTTAAAAGACTGGGAGAAGATGGTAAATTGCAATCCGTAGGATTTATTGAATTGAAGAGAGTGGGGCTCAAAATCTATGAATAGGCTCATGCGCATGAGAGTTCCATGTGTGTTCTAGTCCGAATGTCATTGGAAATTACCAAGAAGAAGTTCAGCGCGGGATCGAATACAAGTGGATGACTACGAAGGAAGGGATGACGAGCGGGGATTGGACGATGGTCAAGACGGGCCAGTCGGCGCCGTGTGTTCTCCGGGATGCGAAAGGCGTCGAGATGGTGGCCAACCTCGACCTGAAGACCAACCGCGCTTCTGCCGGCTACGGAGGCGTCGAGAAGGCCGTCCAGGGACCCGCCGTCGCGCAACTCAAGGTGCTTTTTCAAGCGAAGGACCGTCTGACTCTTCCCACGTCTTCTTTTCATTCCTTCTCAACGGCCCAATAAATGCTTACCTCGCCCGTAGCCGACGTCGTACTCGTAGCGGACGACGCCTTCGCGGATCCGTGCCTCGTGAAGGACGATCGGCTGGCCGTTTTCGTTCTCCCTTTGCGTGGAGAACAGTATACCTGAATAACTGAATAATCGTCAAAATTCCTTAAGAGCCCCACTTTTAAATTGTTTTATAGCCTGTGTGCCACGACTTGAAACTTCACGGAACGACATTCCGCTGTTCCGCTGCGCGCGTTCGCGAAGCGTCTTTCGAATCTAGGTCACGCTTTCAACTGATTGTTATTGCTGCGGGAGCACAGGAAAGTAGAGTACTTTATTAAAAGAAAAAAAAAAATTAAAAGCGCGACCAAGGTTCGCAAAGGCGCGCAGCGGCACAGCGGAATGTCGTTTGGTGAAATTCCAAGTCGTGGTGCATAAGTTATATGTTATTTTTTCGAGTCAGAGCTTGTATGGATCTGATTTAGTTAAAACGAAGTGATTTCACTAGAAAATTCTGAACCCTTAGATAACTATTATGAAAGCCAAAAACTGGAAATAGCCTCAGTCGAATCAACAAGTTGTTACCCTGGTCGGCCGTCGTGTTCAAGGTGACGACGACGTCAAGTTGGCGTAGTTGATCATCAGTCAAAGGGGCGAATTCGATGGGTTCTACGCCATGGAAGTCGGGGACGAAATCTTGAAGAAAACATATTTCTCCTTTCCATACAGTCGGTTACCGTCAACTTGCAAGTCGACTTCCGAAATGTGTTGCTGCTTTTCTTCGCCGGCGACGACACAGTTGTATCTAAATAATTGATTTTTTTTTAACGAATTTCGTCAAAATAATTTTCATATAGTATGTTCAGTTTAAGAGTGTTAAATCAAGCTCCGCCCCTAATCGCGCGCAACCAAATTTTTTTCTATCAAATTTTCAACAGTTTTGAGTTCCTCACTTTTTTTTTAATTGAAAAAAAAAATCAAATCCTGAAGCTGAAAAGATCTTTATTGTAGTGTTTTCAACGTGTTTAATTTTTTTTTCGGTATAAATTGCCCCTTTTCCGGAAAAAAAAAACCTCGCTATTTTGCTGTGTACTAGAATTATTCACGCTTCTCAAACCGAAGCGAGACAATTTTTGGGCAAGAAAAAGTTTGAATTTATCAAACAAATGTTAAGATTCTGGAAAACTAAAGTTAGTGCTTTTCAAGGCATTTTTCTGAAAAAAAGCCATGTTCAAAAAAAAAAAACGAACACTCCTTCATCCTGTTTATGGACGGCCGGAAGGACCAGTACTCCGTGATCAACATGATGTCCGTTTGGAAGACCTCCGGAACGGTCCCAAGTCGCCTCATGGGCCGACCCGGATGGGTTGTGACAAGATAGGTGAACCTCAAGATTTTTGATCATTTTTGGAGTATTTATTTTTTCCGATACCGTGTCACCGACGAAATGAATCACGGGAAGCGCGTTTGTGTGTCCTGGAAAGAACATTTCAAACGTGTTCATATGAATTTGAAATTCAATCTGTTCAAAAGATCTCGTGGGATTTTGAAAAGTATATTGATTGGAAAAGCTCTTAGCCTTGAGACCCGGTCTCTGCTACTTTAAATTTCCAAACAAGGATTTTTGAACAGAATGAAAACTTTTCAAGATTATTCTGCACGATCGCGAGCGGTCGACGCGCAACAAAGCTTCCCCCCCCCCTTATAGGTCAATTTTCTTCTGATAATAAACGTCTTGGACTTAAAAAAAATGGAGATCTACCCAACAAAAATATTTTTTCAAGTTTCAAGCTTCAATGTCGCCCTCTCTCTCGAACGCCTTTTTTCCTCTTCTTCGTATCAAACAAAACCTTCACCCTTTCCCGTTCCCCAAAACCACACGATTAAACTTTGAATCCGCGAAACATGCAAATGCAAACAAAAAGGTAAATCAAAAAAGTTTTCGTCATGAAATTCTGGATGATTTTCGATTCCTCAGAAAGTGACAAATTAATTTTTCTAAGCTCCTCAACGTGTCTTCTCTCTATAGACGATTCACGGCTAGCTTGGGACCCAAAAAGGCGTGGCATGTCTGCGCTCTCTACCAACCGGGCACTGTCTCGTTTATTATCGTGTAAAGACCCTTTTTTTGATTGCTCAAGGCAGCCGTCTATCAACTATACGGAAATTTCAAAAGTCCATAACTTCAGTTCTTATGGTCGGATTCGGGTAAAACAACTGTTCTAAGCTCCTCAGCGTGTCTTATTTCATGTCAGTGGAAATTATGACCTCGAAAAGTCTCCCCAGTTTCGAAAAATCCAGTTTTTCTTCAATTCAAGCCATAAAATTGAACAAATTTCATAGCGTCAGAAACATTTTTTCAAATATTTTTAAAATCATGCATGACATCTGCGCCTTCAAAAAACTCGAGCGAAAATTGCCTGTGAACTTTGAACTTTCAAAACTAACTAACCTTAGACACAAACGTTCGCATGCTTTTCCAAATAATTCACCGCAATCTAAAAATAAAGATCCATCCTACAACACTTCAACGAGTACAAGAGTTAGAAAAACTCACGCAAATGCAAGAAAAAATAAAGAAACGCGAAAAAGTTTGCGAACACTTTATTTCGAAAAGGAAGAAAAGGACAACGGGTATCGTAAAGACAAGGAAAAATATGAAAAGATCGACTTTAAACGGAAAAAGAAAAGAAAACGGTATGCACAGCACCATTGGCAAAGACCCTCATGTAGCAGAGTGGTGACGTGTGTCTCGCGGTCGTCCGTCAAAAATGGAAAAAAGAAAAACTGTGAGCAAAAAGTCAGGAAAGAACTGAACACGAAACGCATGGCAGGACAGGGGACATGAGATTAAAACTGTCAAGTCTCTAGAGAAAGATCAAAAAACTAATCAGCTCATAGACATGTATGAAAGAAAAATCACTGCATAAAAACATGACAAAAATAATGGAATACGAAAACTGTTAAGGGAAAAGGTGTCGGCGTCTAAATGGTCGAGAACCAGGCGCCGAACGCCGAGTGATGCTTGGGCTCGGCGACGGCGACTGAGCGACGCTGCGACGACGCGTTCGCATGGCGACGGCGATGTCGCAGACGTCGACCGCGTCGCGTGTTCGTGTGTTTCCGCTTGCGTTTCGAGCTGCCGACGTTGAGGACGGTGCGCGTCTGCAAGGGGCCCGCCTTCGTCTTGGCGATGCAGCGATAGACGCCGGCGTTGTCCTCCGTCACGTCCGTGAAGAGCAGTCGACCGCCGGTGACCTGAATCCAACGGTTCTTACGAGTTTTGACTTTCGAAATGAAAAAATATAGATTGAAAACGGCTTTTCTATTTATGCCGCGTTCAAAGCGTTTCCGCGGGGATATAAATGAGTTCGTCAGCGAGAAAAAAAAGTTTCAGAGTCCGAAATCATTCTGAAACTTGCGAAATCACTTTAAACGCAGCATTAAAGATCTATACAATACTTATTCATTCTCAAATTTTCCACTCTCAAGGAAGTTCAATCCAAAGTTTGAAAATTTCCATAAGTATGCAAAAAAAAACTTTCTCTATGAAGGTCGACACTACTTGCGAAAAAATTAAACTTTTCAACGAACTTTCAAATTTGCAAGCTTATTAATTTAACTTGAACGAAAAAATCCGATCTTTAAATGTTGAAAAGTAGCTTTTTTCTTGAAATTTGTAAAAATTCAACTATTTCAAAGAAAAGGAAAGGGTACATCTTCAAAAGCCATGCTTCTCGTCGTTCTTTTGCGAGAAAAAAGTCGCCAACTCAAAAAAGGGCAGGGAAGTGTTCAAAAAAAGGCATTCCGAAACAAAATATTCGACGATAGAACCAAAAAATACGAACGGAACGATATTCATAAAGCAAGACAAAAACGGGCTCATTCCAAAAAAATATACTTACAGTCGAGTTACAGATGGGGTCGTATTTAATAATAGGGTACGCCTGGAATTTTTGCATGCCGGATTTTCATTTTCGAATCGAGCAATGTTTTCTTCTCATTTCAAGTTGAGTAGAGGTTTCTTTTTTCTCACCTGAGAGTTTGGCGGCAGTTCGTCGGATCCTTCCTTGGACCAGGTGATCACAGCCGATGGGTCACCGGTTACCTCAAATTCAGGCTTGTAAATCCAAACTTTCACAAGTTTAAATTGAATGACTTCCTTTCAACTGGCACCGAGATCAAAAATAATGGTTACGTTTTAAAAAAGTTAAAAATTTCCGAAACTTAAAACCTCAAATACGAATTTAAATATGAAAGCTTCTGTTTGAAATATAACATATACACCCAGCCTGGTTTCAAACATCCTATCTTCTAAATCGATAATGAAATTCGATATATCCGGTTTGAACAAAATTCAAGACATTTGTGAAATTAAAAACCTAAAAAGCCTCTCTTTTTAACCTAGAAGTTTCTATTTTTCCTTGAATTGTTGTTCACCTTGCAGTCGAACCAAGCGCGTTGTCCGATTTCGGGACTTTCCGAGGAGACATCGAGAAGAACTTGGATGATTGTGTCGGGAACTGAAAAAATGTATTGTTAAAAACTGAAAATTTTGAAAAGCCGAATCTTCGCAAATTAGAGAGCACTGGTATGAAAGAGACGCCCGCCCTCTCTTTTTTGAACGCTGTTTAACTTTTGAAGATTCGAACGTAGACCCAAAAAAATTCCTTAGTAATCACCAAAGATTTGAGCTTGAACGTATCCTTCGACGACGTTGTCCTCAAAAGTAACCTTGCAGATGTAGAGGCCGGTGGAGCTGTCGTCGAAGTTCTTGATCCTGAAGAAAAAAAACTATTCAGTCGTTTTTCGAAAATATAATCTTATTAAAAATGAACTGATGGCATTTTAATATGAAAAAAGAACCTTGTAACAAAATAAAACTGCTTTAAAAATTATTCATGAATGTTTATTATAACTTTAATGTTGCTCTATGGATAAAATCAATTCGATCTGAGTATTTCCATTTCTATGCCGTGTTCAAAGTGATTCCGCGAAATTCAAAATAGCCGTCAGAGAAAGAGAAAGATAACTAAATTTTGGAGGGTCAGAGACAATTTCGCATTTCGCGGAAACTACTTTGAACACGGCACTAGTGATTACTTCTTTTTTAACGCTCTTAAGGGATCACTAGAACTGCTGGGAAACGATCGGGGCGCGTCCGGTTTGTTACAGAAAGTTAATGGTGATCATTTCGTGAAATATTACTTGTTGTATGCCTTTCTGATAAGCACCTTAATAAGGGACTGGAAAACGGAAGTTTTTCGAGCTAATTCATCCCTACTTGTGCTGTCTCCTTTTCATAAAAACACAGTAAAATGACTAAAAATTTTCCCCTTGCTCTACCCAGGTTTTCAGCCTCATAACTCACTCAAGTTTGTTTCCAGAAGGCACGGCATTTGGTGGCAAATCGCCGGATTCGCGGCGCCACTCGACCTTCGATCCGGGGACCGTGTAGATCGGGCAGGTGAACGAGGCGTCGGATTTGTCGTCGAATTTGACGATTTGCGCGTCCGTATCTGTGGGTTCATGTTGTTTTCTTTGAAAGGAAGTAGAAAAACTCAGATTAACAATTCTTTCTAAAGTTATAATTCGCTAATTTGCACAAAATTCCATGAAGCTTCAGATTTATAGATTTCCCTTACCTGTTTTTGGAATTTATGAATTTTTTTGATTGCCTATGCAGTAGAAAATTAATTTCTTAAACATTTCAAGAATATTGAGACTCCAGACTAAATTGATACTGAAGGTTCTGAAAAGGAAATAGCTTCCAAAGAAGATATTGACAACAAAGAATTGGAAAAAAAAAATCAAAAATGTAGGATAAAAAAGAGAAATACTTTTAAGCATAGAAGTCGGCAACAGGGGGGATAAAATGTCGGGAATTACTGAGAAAAACGAAGAAAAATAAATCATGAAAAGTTCTAAATCTATATACCTTACCTTCAGTCCAAAAATTTGTGTCAAACTTTTTTATGGTACCATAAATTTTGATATTTGAGCCTTCAATAACGAAAATTTTAGATTAACACTAGCTTCAATTTCTTGCCAATAACAAAGGGAATGGGAAATGTTTCGCGTAAGAACCCAAAGATTCACTATTGGCGGGCTTGAATCCGATGGAGACGGCCGTGTAGGCGCTTCCGATCACGATGCCGTTGTCGTCTTCGACGTTGCAGCGGTAGACGCCGAAGTCGTTGTTGGGGTTGGCGTTGTTGATGGTGAGCTCGGGCTCCTTGCCGAGCTGTCGGACTAGACTCCCACCGCGGAGCAACGCCCACTTGAAGTGCTCGCCGTTCTTTGCGCCTGGAATTTCGCGGGGGTCGACGGAGATTTCAGGTTGAAGGAAGGACAACGACGAAGACGACAAGAAGACGAACGACAGGTTAGTTAGGGTGCTGTTGTGAGTGGGCAGGTCAGAATGCGAGGATGAGAAAAAGAAGCGAAGTACAAGATGCACAAGTGATGTTAAAATTTTAAGAACAAATGATCAAATCTTTGTTTTTCAATCTTCACAAAGAGTAGACCATGGGCTTTAAATTCGAATGATTCCAGTTATCAGAATCTATAGCAAAACCGTTTTTTTTCTAAGTATACTCTATTCTCTTTGAGTTGAAACAGTCTAACCTGTCTGTGCTCTCCTGACCTCTCAGAGGCAAAGTCTTTTGACTTCTAAATAAAGTTTTTGAAGATCCCTGGCCAAACCATGAAAATTCTAATTTCGTAAGAAAGTAAGCTTGTTGGGTCTCCAAGAGTTCACTAGACAAATTTCTATCGCGTTTCGTAGGCTATTGAGAGAAAAGAGGGAGCAGACATGCCAGAAAATCCCAATCTGTCGTATGATTTTTGTCTGGCTAAGTCGGTAGCGGGAGTCACTATATGTCGATAAAAGGGAGCAAAGAGGCAAAATAACTAGCTCTTTTCCTTCTTTATCGGGCAAGGGGGTCCGCCCGACTTTGCCACTGTTTAGTGAGTACTACACATACTCGAGCACATTATCAACGAACAACGATGAGAAAAACGTAACCGCCAGGCTCCTGGAGGACGATGAGCTTGGTGGCGGACCGGGGGAGCTCGTAGTTGGTCCTCTCGTCGGTGCAGTAGTAGACGCCGCGGTCGCACACGTCCACCATCTTCAGATGAAGATTTCGTTGGTTTCCGATGTTGGTGAAGTCGGTCAGCGACTCCTGTGAGTACCACCAAAGCACGCGCGTGCGTTCGTCTGCAAAGCCGGGGCGGCGGCCGGTTAAGAGGCTTTTTAAGTGAATATTCAGTCAGTAGGTGTTAGTGATCGGGAGAGGATGGCTGTAGGTTTTTTTAAAATGTTTTTTTCAGTTTCAAAAAAGAAGTGTTTTGGATTTGAAAAAGGAGCTACCGGAGCGGGATGGAGATAAAAATCACTTATTCAACAGACGTGGAAAAGTTTATCCAAAATAAAAAGAAACTTTCCGACTTTTCCGTTTTTTTTTATCAAAAAACCATATCACATTGATGAGAACTTCGTTTCAAGACCTGTTTTCAAGTGTCTCGAAGAGAAATCGCGAAAAAGTGCGTTAACGATGGCTTTTCTTTTTCTTAACATAAGTAATCATTGAAAAAATCGAAGCGATTTTGCGTGTTTTTTAATAAAAAACTCCTTCTTTTCCAATTTTCGGTTCCTACAGCCGCCCTTTCCTCTAGATACAAACCATGCATTTACAAGCATTCCAATCGAAACAACTTGCAGTTTTTTGTTAGTCCATAGAACATAGAAACATTCCAACAACTCAAAAAAGGAAATGGAAATAAACCGTCGACGGAGCACTTGAGAACGATGCTCTCTCCTTGGGAAACGACGCGGACGCGTGGCGGTTCGATCTCAACCTAAAAATGGCGTTTGGAAAAATGCTCATTATGGATTCAAGATACTAACGTTGGACGATTTATAGCTTCGATATGATCATTTTCAAAATAATCTCAGCCAGGAAAACAGTAGAGATACATTTTTTGCTGGAAAGCTGGGACGAAAATCATAATAAATTCGAGAAGACTCATGATAATGAAATCCTGTTAAACCGGCTTTTTCAGTTTGTCTCCATTGAATTTGCGCTGTCAGGTTTTAAAGAACAAGGAAGAAACTAAGAGTTCGAGACTTTAGATTTCGCAAATTCGAGGCTTTTTCCCAAAGTCCTCAAGCTAAAGATAAAGAAAACCTCGTTCCAAGTTCAAAACGCAAAAACTCAGTAGTTTCTTCTACTTTTCACGCTAAACGAATGTGCTAGTCTTCTTGAAACACGGACCCTCGGCTCATCATCAGAATCCGAGGCGGAATGGACGTGGACCGTGCTGGAGGCGATCAGCTCATTGTTGCGGTAGCCACGGCATTCGTAGTCTCCAGCGTACGAGTTCTACAAGTTCCCACTTCTTGATGAGGTCCTCTCTCATCCAAGGCAACCTTGAAGTTGGCAAAGTGAAGAAGTCCGGGCTCGTTGTGTTCCTCGACGTCGCCGGGGAGCTGATCGTCGACCTTGACCCATTCGAGGCGGTCGACGAGGGAAGAGCCGGTCGCAGTGCAGATGAGCTCACCGGGTTCGCCTTGCTCGAACCATTGAGAGGAGCCGCCGAGCACCGACACCGTCGCGATTCTCGATGGCTCGACAACTGCAAAACCAAAAGTTAAAATACTTTGGGAGTCTATGTGAGTCTTCTGAAAGTTCCAAAGTCACGTGAGATTTTTTTTTTCAATGGAAAGAAGCTAAAAACAGCTTGACGTATTTTATCGATAACTACCTTCGATGTAAATGTTCTTGGTGGCGGTGGCGTGAGTGTTGGATCCTTTGCAGGTGTAGGCTCCGGCGTTGCCGAGGCCAATGGACGGGTGGCGGATGAACTGCTCGGAGATGGTAACGGGCTTGAAGTCGTCGGGCAGGTCGCCTCGCTCCGGTCCCGGATCGTGGAGCCATTCAACCTCAGGCTCCGGGTCTCCGGGGGCGCCGATCGCCTCGCACTTGACTTGGAGGGGCTCGCCGACGGTCAGGATCAGCCGCGGTCCGGCCGGCGTCGTCTTGACGGTGAGGGCGGGGCCGATGTTGACGGATCCGTGGTCGGAAGCTTCTCCAACAGGGTTCGTAGCTGTGCAAGTGTAGTCGCCGTTGAGTTCCGATCGGCCGTTGGAGAAGTCGAGAATATTCGGCTCAAGCGCTGTAACGTCGTGCGGAAGAGGCGATCCGTCGGGTCCAGTCCATGTAATCTGGAACAGATCTTTTTTTCAAGGTCTCTCACGTTCATTTCATAATCTTCTTCAAACTTGCTCATGGACTCTCTAATGGCCTTCTTAAGTTAGTGTTGAAATTTTAAAGTTACTTATCCTAGTTAGCTTTATCTATAAAATAATGATAAGACTGGTTCAAAGTTACTTGTCGAACTAATGAACCTGGAAGCTACTCTTAACCTCTAAAAAAATCTACATTTTTTTTTTCTCAAAACTTCTCATAGTTTTTGAACCCAGTTTCTTGAAGACTCCCATACTTTTGGAGCAGGTGATCCTGTAACGATGCATCGGAATTGATGCCGATCTCCGGGTTTCCCATTCCAGACGCGTGGCTCGACGCGAGCCGTTGGTGGCTGTTCGTCTGAATATTACTCTTTTCTAAACTTCCACTCGATAAAAAATTTTCTTTCCCGGTTCAAAATGGGGTTTAAAAATCGGAGAATTCTTTTTTTGGAGCTCAAGGACTTTCAAAAAAAATTTTTCAAAGTCCTTGAGAGTTTTCAGAGTTCCAATTGACATAAATTACCTCGCTTGATCTATTTTATCTTGATTTTGATGAATTTTAATTATATTACTATTTTTTGCGAAAATAGACACCACGAACATGCACACAGACCGACAGGTGGACAAGAAAACAAAAATTGGAAAGGTGACTCGAAAAGTGATGAACGCAATTTATTCTCTTGGAAACTTCGATTATAATTTATTCGCTACATTCTTTGAAACAGTTTGACCTCTCTGCGCCCTCTTTTCCATTTTCTACGAGCTCATAGAAAAATAAGAGGATTCAGAGCAGTCAGACTTTTTCAATTTCGAATTCATAGCCTGTTCACGGCTGGCTTGATACATGCAAAAAACGCTAAGTTCCTGCCACTCGGAAAAATAATATCAAAATCTTTCCGAAATTGACTCCAGCAAGTCGTGGATCGGCTGCATCGAAAAACATGAAAAAAAAAAACAGAAAATGGAAAAAAAGTGACTCGAAAAGTGGGTGAGGTCAAACCATCGGTGATGCGGAGCTTAACTGGCTCTGCCTCGCCGGTGCCAAACTCGTTGGTGGCCGTGCAGACGTAGTCGCCGACGTGCGCGTCGTCGGCGGCGTCAATGACGACGTCGTCGCCTTCCTGCTCGGCGCCGTTGGGCAGTGGCGTGTGCGAGTCACCGAAGGTCCACTTGATGGTGGCCGGAGTGCGCGAATGGGCATCGCAGTGGAACCGTGCCGGTTCGTTGGGACTAACCGTCAGGACTGGTGGGGTGGCGACAGGTCTTGGTGGAGTGCCAGCTGGAAAGAAACACTCGGTGCCGTGAGGTGGGATAGAGAGGATAGATGTTTTTTTTTTTTGAAGATAGGGAAAAGTTCGAGTTTTCAGTTCATTCCACTGCCTTGAGGCCTCGGCAATTTCAGCTAAACAGTGTACGAAAAGACTGTCCCTAGAGCAGTCTTCGGACTTAACCTACAACATCAGCTACATTTTGATCCCGTCATGGAACAACAAGATCAACTACAAGTAGGAAAAAACCTTGCTTTTAACTTGATCAACTACAGGTTTGGACTCCTAACACGCCCGAGGTTTTTTTTCGGGATTGCTTTAAAAGTTCTTTCTCACCACTTAGTCTACGACTGATAAAACGAAATAAATATTGATAGCCTGAAAAAGGGTGCACAACAACCACACTGACGAGATTCGACGTGCAAGACACTGGGAGTGGTCTGCTTGGGAGGCTGGCCGTTCTCCGGATAGTACACGCAGATGTACTGTCCGGCGTCGGTCAGGGTCGTCGCGGGGATCGACAAGACGCCGCCGTGGTCCGAGGACCCGAAGGGCAGCGGTCGGTTGTCGGCTCGTCGGAAGGTGAGCCGCGCGTTTGGCTTGCCAGGGACTGTGCAAGTGATCTTGGCCGGGTCGCCTTCGGGAACCGTCTGACTGGGTGGACTGATCTGCGGCGTGTCATCTACTCCTTCTGAACTTTCAAGTGCTGTGAAGGTGGGTGGGTGATTGCGAAAAAAAGAGTGGCAGCGATAGGAAGACACTCAAAAACCCTAAAAAGAAGATTTACTTTACTTATTTGTGTAATTGGAGATCTAGTTTTAATTCTCACTTTTTCCGTCATTTTACGAGAGCTTGTTTTCATTAGATTGGAATTTTAACCCTTCAACACAAGCTATTCTTCCAAACTATAGCAACTTGAATCTTCATAGAGCGCAGATTACGCAGAATTTCAAAACTCAAACCCGAATAACATTAAGAATTACAATTTTTCCTCAAAAATCTCGTTTCTTTTCGAAAATAAATCTTCTCAAATACACTCTTCTGTCTACTAATAAACGCTCTTTAACAAGTTTCTCTCTGAAAACCAATAAACTAATTTTAAACTCGTATACCACTTCACAATCATCAAAGCTTTGAGGGAAAAATCACTTCACAGTGCAAAAACCAATCCGAAAAGGGACACGATAGGGTAGAAGAGGAGGATAGGAAAGCTCACGCGACTCAACGGGCTGCTGAGGTCCACTGGTGACGTGGACGGTGGCGGGTGTCGAGTCGATGGGCTGCCCGGAGGCCGGGTCTCGCACCGAACAGACGTAGTCGCCCTCGTCAGAGAACTCGGCGCGGCCGACTGAGTAGATCCCGTCGTCTTGGTCCGAGTCGGCGCTGAGGCTGCCGCCGGAGGCCTTGCGCCAGGTGAGCTGAGCGTCTGGATGACCTGGCACCCAGCATCGGATCCGGAAAGGAGTCCCTTCTGGGATCGTCTGCTCGGCTGGGTCAACCATCGGTCGGAGCGCTGCAATGGAAAAAGAGGATAGGGGAGAAGAGTGACGATAGGTGGAGAACAGAGGAAAAGTGCTTCTGCTTGGAAAAAAAAACCAAAATTTGAGGAGAAACAACCGAAATTGCTCATGCGACTCTACTAAAGCTCATGCCTAAAAAACGAACCAAGACTGAAGCCACTAACTCTAAAAAGTTTCATGCATACAATTTTCTACTCCTTCTATCAGAACTTTGTTGAATAGAGCTTGATCTTTTTAAAACTTAAAAGTTTTGACAGATTTTTTCGCAATTTCACAGATTCAAACTTACTCATTTCGACCAAATTTTCACATTTTTGCAAACGCAAACTCATTTTATTTGCTCATCTTGCTCGAAAATCGATATCAAAAACAGATTATCTGGAAAAATAATTTTGATCGAGTCTTACCAAAAATTTAGGTAATCGGAGAGCCGTGAAAAGGTCCAAGAAAGTCTTCTTTTAAAGCTTTCTCAAGTTATCTTAGACTTGGAGCATTTTCTGATCAACTTATGAAAATTTAAAATAATGCTCTAAGGAGCTGGAATTCAACAAGAAGTCGTAAATCTACTTGTCACAACCTAAAGAAAGGTTCAAAAAGATTAAGCTGCATATAAAAGTTCTGATAGAAATTTCTCGTGAATTTTTGGTATAATTTTCTCTTTTGAGGCCTACTAACGTTGGCGGACATTGACGCGAGCGGGGCTCGAATCGATCGGCCGATTCGTGTTCGGATCCGTCGCCGTGCAGACGTAGTCGCCTTCGTCGGCCTTCTGGGTCCTTGGAATTGTCAGATGACCGCTCTGCTCGTGCGCCTCCTGTGGCAACGGACGTCTTCCCTGAACGGGGTTTTTAAAAGGGATCTTTGAGGTCGTGTTCGAAGTGATTTTGTGGAGGTCAAAGTAATGGTCAGAGAAAAGAAAACCTAATTTTAGAGCATTAGAGTCTCTGATTCAAAGAAAATAAAAATCATTGAAGAGCAGCTGACCGTCGGAACGCTCAAAACTCGGCTACTGCTATCAAAAAGAAAAGCTAGATGAACTATTCGAAATTCTTGATCAACGACAGTTTCGTTAACAGAAAAACTTCAATTATCCCCTGATTCAGCTGACATTCTTCTCGAAGACTGGATAAATATGAAAAGAGAAAATTGTGGAACTACCCTGAAAACGGCACCAGAAAATCTTACACTCTTGCTCCATCTGAGCTGGACGTTGGGGTTTCCAGGAACCCAGCAGCGGATTCGCGCCGGTTCGCCCTCGTTGACCGTCTGCTCTGGTGGATCAACTTCTGGTCGGATTGCTTGTGCTGAAAATGAAAAAGATTGAAAATTGTTAAATTAGAAAAAAAACCCCGGGTCTACATTCTCTTTCGTGTTTTTCCTACTCTAACATAAAATGACTCATTTTCAAGCTTAGAAGTTTTTTTTTCGCGTTTTTCTCACCTCAACCCCTATTGAGCGGATTAAACTCAACCTAAACTTCAACTCACGTTTTCGGACGTTCAAAACGGCTGGAGGAGCCTGTTGAGGAGCGCCGCCACGTGGGTCCGAAGCCGTGCAGATGTACTGACCGGCGTCGTCGAGCCGTGACTTTTCGATTCGCAAGAATCCATCTCGTTCCAGGGTTCCTTGTGGGAATGCTTGAAAAGTACTTTATATACACAAAAAAAAAGGATTCGACACCTCGTCCGTCCTGCCGAGCCCACTGAAGTTTGGCCTGAGGGTTTCCGGGCACCCAGCAGCGGAACTGAGCCGGATCTCCTTCATTCACCGTTTGCTCCGGGGGATCAACTTGTGGTGCTGATCGGATGGCTAAAAGTGGAAAAATTGGTGTTTCAGTGTATTTTTCGAGAAGAATAACTTTCTAAGATTGGCTATTTTCCTGCGTGTAACTTCAAAGAAAAAAAAAACATACCAACGAAACTATTAAAAAAAGGAAAAGGTAAACTTGGAAAAAACACATCTTCTTCCCTACTTTCTTTCTGTATGTTGAATCAAAAGCAGTTCAGCCGGTTTTACAGGAATCCTCAAGAAATCTCCATAAATCAAAAACGGACGTTCAGGCCGCTGAAGGTTGAGACGGACGGGGTCGGACTGCTGTGGAGAGTTGTCGCGTGGATCCGTCGCCGTGCAGATGTACTCGCCGGTCTCGCGGTCGGTGGTTCTTGGGACGTGGAGGATGCCTTGCTGCTCCTGGACGCCAGCTGGGAGAGGCGCGTTGCCTGGTCGGCTCCAGCGGAGTTGGGCGTTCGGATTGTTGGGAACCCAGCAGCGGAATCGCGCCGGCTCCCCTTCGTTCACCGTCTGTTCCATCGGGTCAACCTTTGGCTTTTGGGCGGCTGAAAAATGAGCTTCAAGCTTAGGAAACGAAACTCAGAAAATAAATCCTAATCCGCGTGTCAAGACCTTCAATTGATGTAGAAAAACGCTTATATTCCGAATTTTAAAAAAACTATTCAAAAAAAGCAGAATAAAAAGTTTCTGAAAATAGACCAGAAAATTCTTTCATATTCTAAATGCAAATCCTAAGAGAGTGAGCCTGGCAAGATTTTTTTCGAATTTTATCCATTGAATATGTATAAAGTAACACTCTCTTTGCATTATTAGAGAAATCAGTCACAAAAATATTTTTAAAAAAGTTAAGGGCGCATGTGAAAGGCGCCAAATGATATCTTGACACGCGAACCGCTCCTTTTGGTAGTGTTTTTCTCTGAATACTTACGTCGGACAACATCGAGACGAGCTGGCGTCGACTGTCCGATACCGTACTGATTAGCGGCGGAGCAGATATAATTTCCAGCGTCGTGCATCTGGGCTTGTGGGATTTTCAGAGCGTTGCCAGTCTGGTAGACGCCATGAGGAAGGGCTCCGCCGAGGTGTTCCTTCAAACAAATTTCATAATTTTTTGGGGTAAATTTATAAGTTTGGATCAAGTGAATTGAAATCTTTTCTGGGAACAAAAAAATTCCTAAACCTGTCTGATGTTTTTACTAAATTTAGAAGAGAAGCTAAATACAAAAAAATTTCTGGATCTTTCCAACTTTGGGTAAAGCTGGGAAGAAAAAAATGGCCTTAACATTTGTCAGATTTTTTTCATAACATTCAGAAAAAAACGATGAAGCTACTAACGAACTACAAAGTAGAAAAAAAGTCCTATGAAAAATTCTGTTTTCACAAAAAATATTGAAAAACTTGATTTTCCAAAGAGAACTGCCAAAAAAATAAATCATCAAAGAGAGCCATTATTCCTCGTTCCACCCACTTTGTGCCAGGTGATCTGACAGTCCGGAATTCCGGGCACCCAGCATCTGAAGGCGGCGGGTTCGCCTTCGTTGACGGTGAGATGGGGTGGGTCGACGACCGGCTGAGGTGGGCGACCGCCTAAAAGGTCAGTTTTGGGTCAATCTCTCATGCTTGGCTAGTGGAGAGAAAAAGCTTGGAAATGGTTGGGAGGAGCTTTTTTGAGAGATAGAGAGAGATGGGTTTTGGAAAAAGTAGACTTAAAGTTGATTCGGAAGAGGATTAATGTTTTAATATTTTCCATTTGCCGTTTTTCGAAATCTTTTCGAGACTCCTAACGTGGAAAAAAAAAATTATACATAACGATTTTTTTTTACCAAAACCACATTGAAGGCGATTTTGAGCCCATTCTTATTTTTTTCGAGTGAACCCCAAAAGGCGCTTACACAACTCGAATAATCAGTGAATAGCTCAAAGCTCAAAAACAAAAAAAAAACCTCTTTCGAATCAACTTCAAATGAGAAGTTGCTGAGCCGGAAAATGAACATAGAATATTAGAGAAACTGAAAAAAGTAAAAGCACAAAAAATAACCAAAAATACTGATGAGCAAGCTCTTGCAAGAATTGTTAGAAGCCGTAAAATAGAGGGGGGATCAATCAATCCTCAGAAATCGCGGAGGGCAAAAGGATTAGTCGAGCAAACTTACGTGATCACTAAATACGCTTGAGTGGTCTTTAGTGATCACTTAAAGAGAGCCGACCACTCCTTTAGTTCGCCGCGAAGAACCGCGGAGTAGAAAAACGAACTTGGCTCCTGACTAATGGTTAGCAAAGCGTCGTCAGTGGCGATGGAGGTGATGGTCGTCGCGGTACAGCGATATTGGCCGAAATCCTCCGGCGCGACGTCTTCCAAGACCAGATAGCCGCCGTGGGTCTTCGCGCTCCGCGGCAAACTCGCCGAGCCGACTTTGCTCCACTCCAAGTGCGCATTTTCCAGCTAGAAATCGCAAAAACAGTTAGGGTTAGACACGAAAATATTAATGCGGGGTATTTCGATTCTGTTAGAGAAACTGAAATTGAAAATAGGAAGAACAACAACAACAATCATTTGGCCTTTTCCGACCTACGAACTGTCAATTTTTTTGAAATTCAAAACAAAATTTGCTCTCTACGCAGATCTAACAAATAAGTAATAAAAAAATGCGAAGAAATTTCGAAACAATATAAAAAAACTAAAAAAATAAATCTTTTATTTTTTTGATAGTAAATACTTAACAAGTATATTATAAAGCGCTCCTTTATCAAAAAAATAATAAAACTTCAAACCCTCTCATAATAAATAAAAATAATATAATTCGTACGGAAAAACTTCAAAAATATCCGAATTTGGAGAATTGAATGTATTTGATCAAATTCTTGATTTAATATACCTCCGGCTTCGCTCCTTTTTCGCTTGGTCATAATAGCTTGTCTCAAAATGAATAACACGTCATAAAGGTAATAAAAGAACGAAAAAAAGATTCAAAAAGGAGAACTAGATTTTTTTATCTTCAAAAAAAGGGGTCATGTACGCTCTATCGAACACTTTTTTTTTCTTTTTTTTGTCAAACGTTTTCTTTTTCAGTTAGACAGTACATGTTTTAGCCTTGATATGAGAGAAACTAAGAAAAAATAAGAAGCAACAATGATCTGTACCGTGTGGCTGACGACTCGGCACACCCAATGGACCCGATCACCTGGCTGAACGATTTGCCTCTTTGGCTCAAGGATTCGTACCCGGAGCGCTGAACCGCAGGTTGTTAAGTAAATTGTTATTATTTTTGTGCTGGCCTTGTTTTTGCTTTGTTTTTTTTGTGTGTGTGATTTCATTTTAAATTTCTGTAACGACGACGAAGACTTCACAGACAACACCAAGTAGGACGTCATGAAAACGACATTTAAAAAATGAAAAACAAAAACGACACTCGGAATAGGTTACCTCTTTATTAATAATTTTTGTAAGTGTGTGCGCAAACAGAATTGAAATGAGATATTGCAAAAAGGAAAACTCTCGCCGTCTTTTTTGGGTTATTGGGAATTGATCCGCATTTCAGAGTGGAAAAAACTGAGCCGCGGCTCAATTCTCGGTTTTTCTTGACGAGAAGAACGTGTACAGTGACGGACATTGAACAAATACAATAACACTTTTTTGATGATTTTTTTGTTTCAAAGTGCGGGTTTCGGCAGTTTCACAACGATCACCATCGATTCATAGGGATAAATTGAGGGTTTATGAAGAAAAAAACAAAATCACGACTACAAAATGGTATGCGGGAGACATAGAAAAACGAAGCCTTCTAGGAAAACTTTCTTTTGAGCTGCTGAAAATAAACTTTTTGATCGTCTGTGAGTGTGTGCTTCGTGTGATAGTAGTATCAAAATTGGCAGTATTAAGAAAAAAGACAACAACAGCAACAAAAAAGAAAATAAGGAAATGAAAAAAGCGAAGCTTCACGTACACACGGATTTAGGTAGATCATTACGAAACAGAAATTCAAGACGACGAGTCGAAAAAGACTCGTTTCTCTATTGGTGGTAGAATCGCGAGCGGACGCGAATTCGTCGCCGACGGTGCCGTCGCGGCGACGACGCCGCCTGATTTGTGGAGTCACCTTCTGGCGGCGGCGGAACGTAGGTGCGGTCGTTGGACGTGATGGAGCCGATGGGCTCGCAGACGCGTCCGGCCTGCTTGTTCGACCTCGTGTATCCAGGTGCGCATCTCAAATAATTACTTTGTCTTTCAATTTTCATTTTTGACAGAATTCTGTTTTCCGGATTAGAAAATATGAGACCTAAAAGTTGCTCGTAAAATCATATTAATAAGATTATTGGATATAGAGACAGATATAGAGACAGCAAATATTGAATCTTGAAATCTGGTATTTTAGGGTGGTATTTTACTCGGCTCCTGAAAAATTATGTAGCTTGGCCAGAATGTGCGAGGAAAAATTCGTGAAAGTCTCAACCGGGAGAACTTCTCATTTGTCGAGAGAGAACGCCTCAAAATTGAAGCAAACCATCGAAAGCTAGTAAAAGAAGCCACATCGAGCTCTTCTTTTTTTTTTTTTCAAAAGAGCATCTTTTTTAACTCTTACTCGTTGCAAAGACGACCGTCAAGGCCGGCGGGGCAGTTGCGGCACGAGACCTGTCCTTGGGAGTCGAGGTAGCAGTCGGAAGCTCCTCTGGAAGAGTTCAATTGCTAATCAACTAGTGACTCTGTTGAATTACGGGCAAGGGCAAGGAGTACAATCGTAGGGAGTTCCCTTGGTGGCGTCGCCGTAGTAGCCCTTCTTGCAGCGTTCGCAGTGGGTTCCTTCAGTGTTGTGCTCGCAGAGCTGGAAAAAAAACGAAATTAAGGAAGAAAGGAGGCGATTTTCAAACCAAGCAACGGCCGAATGAGTCACATCCTCTGGGCGAGTGGTTGTTGCACTGGCATGGTGGCCGCGTGGCGGCTGGCTGGCAATCCTGAGGAGTTCCGCGACGAGCGTCTCCGACGAAGCCAGGCTGAAAAAGGATCATTCATGCCGGTTTACAAGAAACCTCTCTCCTCACCTTGCATCGCTCGCACTGGTCTCCTTCGGTGTTGTGCTGGCACTCAAGGCAGTAGCCGTACTCCTTGTCGCACTGGGAGGCGTGTCCGTGGCACTCGCACCGTTCGCAGAGGCCGAGGTAGAGGCCGCCGCCAGTTCGCGAGTATCCCGGGGCGCAATCTTCGCAGGAAGTTCCGATGTATCCAGCCGGGCAGATGCACTGCTCGACTTCAGCCGCGGTCAGACCGCCGCCGTACGGCTCGGCGTACTCCAGAGAGGCCGAGATGAGCGAAGACTGCGAGCCGTCGTCGACGTAGGTCGCCTGTAAAAAAAATCGAATTTAAAAGAGGAACTCAAAAACCATTAAAAATTACAGAAAAAACACACGCTACTGTAGCCTCTATTTTTTTCACACCAACTGTTGGTTGTGTAGAGACCATCAGAACCATTTTTGACAATAAGAGATTTTGAAAGAAACTTTGTGCATCATAATTACTTCTACACTGATAGGTTACGATTATCTACTTTCGAGTGTGCTCTAAAAGGCTCTCACACCACTTGAGGGATCACTGAAAGGCTCAAAATATGAAAGCGAGCCTGACGCTGCTCTCATAGGTCTATGATTATCTTCATTTCTGATACCTTGATGAGAAGAGTGTCGAGGTCGGCGAGGGCCATAAGAAGATGTTCACGCGTGGCTTGTTGTCCATCAACACGCTGCCATCTGAAACTCCATCCTGATCATTTACAAATTCTCCTAGACGACTTGTCTTCGAAGATGCTCAGCTCGATGATGTTCTCACGGTCGGGATGAACAGTCTCACGGTGTGTGTACTGCAGAGTGATGTCGTTTCCCTGAAAAATCGGGATAACTTGATAAGTTTTTTGAAGTGACGAACGCGAAGAATGATATGAGGATCCTGATTGCTGCGTCCGTTGCCCGAGAATCGGAACGTGTACTTGAGGGTGCCGCCGTAGGCCGTGACCTTGTTGCCGAGGAACTTTTCTGGCAGCTTCCAGTAGAGCGTCTGACCGTTGGCCTTGATAATGTTCATTTATTAATTCTTCTTCTCCTTTCAAAAACCTCCTGAAGGCCTCGGAACTCAATCTCGCGGCCGCTGACGTAGGCCTGAGATGATGGGGTGAATGGTTGACGGCTGTCTGAGGTCGTGAGGGTGAGCTGATCACGGTCGCCTTGCCCGTAGTTGGTTTGAACCTGAATCTTTTCGGTGGTGAAGTTTAAAAAAAAGTAACAAATGAAGATCGCAAATCAAGAGATTGAGTCAGGAAGACTTGAACGGTGAGAAAAGAAAAATAATCCCATACTATTCAGAGAATTTTTGTTCCTCCCTAGCTATTTTACAGCACTGTTCAATGAAAAATGCTTTAGAAATTTACGTGTCACCAATTTTTGGAAAAGTCTTTGTCCTCATACCTTTTTTGATGGTTTCGTGAGTAAAAAAAATTCCAATTTGCAAAAATATTTACAGTGGTCCTCTTGTAGTTGCTGGCGCTGCACTGCTGGGTGACGCCGGAGCAGAAGCAGGGGATGCAGCCTTGAGGGTTCTTGGGCGAGAGTCCGAACGAGTGAGGCGCGCACTGGTCGCAGTTCGGGCCGGTGACGGAGGTCTTGCACTGGCAGCGGCCGGAGGAGCTGGGCGCGACGGCGCCGGCGCCACATTGGGCTCGTTGCTGGACAGGTACGCAGGTGCCGAGGTAGGGACCGTGGCCGCTGCGTTCGTAGCCTGGGGCGCAGTCTTCGCAGGAGGTTCCGACGTAGCCAGGTGGGCACGAGCACTGCTCGACCTGCAAACGGCCGGTTTCGTGTGGAGAATGGGGAGAGTAGAGAAAAATGTGATGCCAAAAAATGTATTCAATTGAGAATCTTAATGACCTTCTTTTCAAGTTTAATCCTACTTTTCAATTACAACTTGAATTTTTATTCAAAACTCATTTCCTATCTCTTTTTCAAGGGAATATTATCATAACTACTAATTGAAAAAAAAGTCGCAGGAAAACTCGAAAAAAAAACTGCATTTATTTATGGGAATTCAAGATTGTAAGCTTTAAGATATGGCATCATTTTCACATTATTAGGCTATTTTCCTATAAATATGCCAAAATATGCCCTTCTAAGGCGCTCTGTTCCCTTGAAAAGCTCGAAAAGTTCTTGAAAGGGCTTATGGTACTCTTTATATTTGTCATATCTTCTTCCCAACCTCAAGAGCCAATCCATCGGGCGTGTTTCGGTCGACGGCAATCTCCCAGCTGACGTCGCCCAAGCTTCAAAACCAGTATTTAATAACAGAAATTATCCCTTGAACAGGTGTAGAGGAAAAAAAGCAAGTTGCCGCGGCAACCTTCTTTTTTCTTTGAGTTTTCATTTTAAAACCTGGTGCTCAAGTCTAATTATATGTGACGGCGGGGCCTTATCTGCCGCTTTTGAGGAGAATTTAATCGGGGCCAGCGAGGCTGTTAGCGGAGTTCGGCTCGTGAGAATGCGAAAGCATTCGCCCAAGAACGGAGCTTGTTTCGTTTGTCTGTCGCCCTATTGGCACCGGAATCTGCACAATGAGCTTCTCGTCGACAAGGTCAAGGTAACAGTTTGAATTTCTCTTATAAATAATTTTTCGGTTTTGAGGTTACATGCTTATTGTATCCTTTCAATGAGATCCTGAGCTAGTAGAGAATCGAGTTAATATATTTTTAATTTCCTAAATTCCTAGCTCAATTATTAATTTTTCCATTATCTTTCCAAAAATGAAAAATAAATGACTTTGATGATCAAATTTTTTAAGAGCTGATTCCGAAAATCCAATCATGAAGCTTTTTCTCAAAATCCCGTTTTCCAGAAAGGTTTCTTCCATTTTTCGAAATAAGGTCGACCAAAGATCATGACAAAAGTCACTCTAGTAACTTTTTTCAGTGTTCCTTTTTTGCGCTGAAATTGCCAATGAGAAATTCCCAGGAAACAGAAATTAATAGAGTCATGTTTCTTGATCGTTGATCATTCATCTAAAAGCTTTTCTATGTATTTAAAGTGGACTAGACTTTTCTGGGAGATCTCAGAAAGTTTTACTTGAGTCAACTTGAACCTAAGGTGAACTAAACTATAAATCTTTTTCGAAGGGTTTTCTGAAAGTGTCAAGTTTCTTTCCTTCAAAAACCTGAACTTCCTTCTTGAACTCAAAAAATCCAGGTCATGAGCGCCTATGAGCTGGACACACTTCCACTGCTTTGGCGGAACGTCATGTTCAAGAACACGCATTTCTGCGAGCACGTTTGTCACAGTTGGCTGAGCCGATCCATGTGGCTGAAGAAGCTCAACACAAACCGTTCCTACAAGCCAGCTGGTACCTGGAAATGTTCCTCGCAAGCTAATCTAGAGTTCAGAATCGATGGACTTTGAATTTTTACGAAAAGAGGCGCTACGATTGGAGAACATGATGGACGAGGTGATGGCGATGCTCAAAAGGCGGCAGCAAATCTCCGATTGCAGAGTTATTTTAGTCTAATTGAAGAGTTATGCTGATTATCAGTTTAGGAGTACCTTCTAATCTTTGCAAATCGGACCTATAGCAAGAAAAATCAGCTGACTTGGCAGCCGTCCAAAGGTCAGAACATTGTCGGCTCGTGGTACGGTCTGGCAGAGGCGCTGATTGAGCAGTACTGCTCCTACCTGGACTTAGAAGACGTCCACGAGCGTGAACAACGTCTTCTGATTTGGAAGCACTACGCAATCGCTCTTACTCATCACCTTGTCGATTTGAATACAAACAGCCGCAAATGTTAGATTTTATGGCAGTTTATAAAATAAAACTTTGATGATATGTATTAATATCTTCCTGACATCTTTGAAGGAGTTCTACTACGTGAACAGTTCTTTTTCAAATCAAAAACGCAAAAGGTCACTTAAAGAATGTACATATAAACAACTTTTTTTATATATATACATATATATGAATCTTTGAAGAAAAAAAAACTAAGACAACTTTCGAAAAATATTTGAAAGCAAATTTTAAGCGACCCCTTGAGTGACTACTTCTAGTATCAAAAAAAAAAAATACAAGCTCCCACTGGACACAAAAAATTCGATTTTTCAAAGTTCTTTTCACTTCCTAAATGGACACTTGACAAACTTGAAGTCCTCTCCGCAAAAGACTAAATATTATATAATTCTTGAAATAAAATTACCTAGTCGACGATTGTTGAGAAACATGCGTGGCACGGATCATGAAGGCGTCGAGATCGGCGAGGACCATCAGAAGGTCTTCGCGAGTCGCAGGCGCGCCGTTGAGTTGTTCGAAGTTGGTCTGAAAGCCATTCACTTCTGACTGAACCAGCTGTTGACCAACCTCATAGGTGTCGACGGTGATTCGGACCGGGTTATCCGAAGTGAGTACGGTCTGCTGGCTGCGGACACGGTGGACGAGGATGTTCTGGTTGCCCTTGAGGACGACCATCGGCTCATTGCTGAGAGGTCCCGAGCCGGAGAACTCAATCTCGAACTCCATCTTGCCGCCGTAGGCGGTGACCTTGTCGCCGAGGAACCGTTGCGGGAGTCGCCAGTACTTGGTGACGCCGTCGGTCGTGCCGTCGAAGGTGAGGTAGCCCGTCTTGAAGAACTGGAACTGGGTGTCGCGGTCGATCTGACGCTCTTCCATGTCCGAAAGGGTGACTCCTTCGGCGTCGCCGGCGAACATGAGACGGTCCTGGAATTTCCAACGTTTGCTCAAATAAAATATGGAGTTTCGGTTAGCTGGATAGGTAGTTAAAAATACCCTATACGGTTTCTCGATTTTCATAAAGAATGTCCAAGATTTTGAGGATTTTCTCAAACTTGTCTGAAACTTATTTCAAAGCGCCACTAATACAGATAAAAACATTTCGAAAAAGGCACAAAGCCACCGTATTTTCAAGGACAATGAGGGACTGCAACACAAAGTTCATGCAGAGGAAAGGACGAAAAGTCTTTAAAAAACAAACGACGGACAAATATACATTGAGACAACACTCACACAAGCGGCGTCCTGAAAAAGACAATTATTTCACATAAAATACAAAAAATTCTGCTGATTTGAATACCTTGGTGCGGTAGTAGTTGCTGCTGCGGCATTGGTCGGTGATTCCGAAGCAGAAGCACTTAAGGCATCCCTGGGGGCTCTTCTCGGAGAGGTGGAACGATCCGGGCTTGCACTGGTCGCAGTTGGGCCCGGTGACGAGAGGCTGGAAAACGAAAAGAATACGGCGTACAAGAGTATTTTCCTTCATGTGAAAGACTTTTTGAAATATTATTTAGTTCAAAATCAGAAAGGCTTAGAAAATTTAATTGACGGTAAATCTTCGAAACGAATAAATATTTCGGAAAATAACTTTTATTGTGGAGAGAAAAATAAACTTCCATGGATTTTCAAATGTCCTCAATAGGTGTTAGGGGTGTTTCAGAAGGTTTGTTAACGGCCGGATCAAAAAACATAGTCTTCTCCAAATATTCAATTTTTGAAACCTGAGCTCAAATATGCAGAGCACTATAAGACTTTTCTCCCGTCTGTTCGTAATTTAAAATCATTGTCCCTGTTCAATGTTCCTAAAACTTCTTTTTATTCCTAATTTTTTGAAATTTTTGTGAATCCAGGGCTTGTTGAGTTCTGTGCTTGCTTATTTTTGAGCCTGAGCCAACGAAAAATGTTTTCTCTGACCATCTTCGCTTAACCGTCTAATGAAAGATGGGCTACCTTGCAATCGCAGCTTCCGTAGTAGTTGGGATAGGGCGAGACGGATCCGACGGTGTTGCAGGTCGGCTGGCGCTGTGGCTCTGGAGCCCGAGTCGGCGGCGGAGGCGCGGGGATGTCGACGATTCGGACGATGCAGTCTGGCGTCGCCAGAACGCGGCCTTTCACGTTGATCGCCTCGCAGGTGTAGGCTCCCTGGTCGATTGGTCTGCAAAATATAGAATTTTTTTTTTCCGACCTTTTTTCGATCTTATTTTCCAACAGTTCTGGAAAATTTCCTTCTAAAAAAGATCAGTGGTGTATTCACGCGATGAGGCGAATAAAAGCACAAACTTGACTAAGAAGTTAATGAAATATCCCTAATTTTTTTATAAGAATGGAATCAACAACGAAGCTCGAAAAATTTCAATCATTGCGAAGTTATGAAAACTTTAATCTCTGGCAAAAATATCAGTGAATTATCCATCTTCTAGAGCCTAAATTTTTCAGCTTTTTGAGTCCAAACTTTCAAAAACCCTCATTATCATGTCTAACTTTCTTCGTTCAAATCGAAAAAGAAACCGGTCGTTACCAATCTCTCCCTTAACATTCCTCCTTCTCCCGCTTAACGCCTCAATGAACTGTTTAAACGCAATTTAATACGAATTCATTTCATAAGCGCAGGCGTGAAGCGGCCTTGATGATTTGGGGTTTGGTCCGACGACAGCCAAACCGGTTCAAAACCACCAACAAGCCCCCCTCATTATCATTATCATTATCATCGATTGATTGACGACGTCGCTTGGAAACGACGACGTGAAAAGACGGCAGGAAATGCCATTCACAACGATGGTTTGATGGTACAACAATATTAGGGAAAAATAACCCCATAGAGAGAATTATATGCGCTCCGTGGCTAATTGCAGATGAAAGACAATTTTTTCTCATGAAAAAAATATAAAAATACGCTACATGGCTAATTTTTAAAAAATTTATAGCTGGCCTGATTAAGAACCTAGAAAATTAGTCAACGATGCGCGAAACTTCGGAAAAATTTCAAAAAATCGAAAAACTAAAAGATTAATAATGATTTTCAATTATCCGTAGAGCGCATTAGCTATAATTATGGAGGCTGTTTTATATATAGTTTTTATTTCCGGTTGATCTACAGTTTATAGTATTGAAAAGCTTCTACTCTCTAGATGTTTTCCTTGGAGCTCAGAAGAAACATTTCACCGCGGCTATTTCTTCCCAGACGCTATTCCCACACTATCTTTCAACTCACTGAGCGTTGTTGACGGTCAAGGTACCGTAACCGCCTTCAGAAGTCTGCAGACACCGTGGCGGCTCACAGACTGGTCCCCAGTTGAGACGCCAGTTGATGTAGGGCTCCGGAACGGCGACGGCCTACAAGTTCTTTTCTGATTATCAATTGATCAGTTTTTTGTCACCTTGCAGGTGAGGGTGAAGGAAGATCCTTGAGGGACTTGCTTGTTGGTCTCTGGCGGCTCAACGACAGTCGGTTGGACGCATCCTACCTGGAAAAAAAAGTCTTGAATAAATAAATTTCAGAATACTGGCTGTAAACTTGCACATTTTTGAAAATTTGAAGAAATTGAGCTGGGAGGACCCAAGTTCCACAAAAATTCGCCTCATTTTTCTCGGGCATAATTCTTCTTATAAATATTTTCATGAGTGAATTCCAGAATGATCACTTTTTCAAGCTTAAGTAGGCTACAAAAAGCACTGAAAAGAGATTTATTCACTAGTTTCAGTTCTACTTTTTAAGCGTATCTTTCTAACTTTTGTCCCTGATTTTTCGAAAATCGAAGCTCGAACCTCGTCACTTCCATCGTGACAATCGTTGGTGCCGTCGCAGTGGAACGACGTCGGCACGCATTGCCGGCCATCGTGACACTTGAATTCGGTGGCTTTGCACACGTCGCCGCTCGTCTTGGCTCCTGAATGGGAATGGTTGTCTCAAAACAAAAAAAAGGAACACAAGACGCAAATATTTAGCACCTAGAAGGCGCAGAAGTTTGACTAAACTATGACTGTTAGTATAGCTTGAATCTTCTTAACCTTCTTAGACAAGCAAAAATTTTCAAGGTGCAAACTTTAACAAAACAGATAAAGGTTTTTTTTTTTTGGAAACACAATGAGTGGAAGAGCTGATAATCTTTTTGTTCAGCCTTCATCCGTCAAAAAAAAAAGTTTCTGAATCTTACTTTCATGCAAAATTACTCCCATCGTTTCAACCCTGAGAAAAGTTTCTCTCGACTTATTTTTCGTCAAAAAATAGCTCTAAAGAAAATTAAAGATCGATAGTTTTTTTCGACCCTTGATCTCTTTTCTTCAAGGCTTTCCCGAGTTTTCCTTCATGTTCTTTTCCAAAAACGGAAATGCGACACGCCCAACGATCGTTCCACCCAGCTCCTCATCGTCTGTCCTCCAAACGCATTGATACGAACAAAAATGCGCAGAAGAGACGGCGTGATTTGGAGGTTTCGACAGAATTTTCTTTTCTCAAAAGAGAGATAGAGAAGCCGAGCGAGAAGGCGACGAAAAACCGCTAAACACTGAACGACGACGATTTTCCGTGGGGCGCAAAATTATGTGCGGAACGGTTGGCGATAAAACACAATTTACGATAGTTTTTGTGGGGAAGAGAAGAAAAAAAGAAGAACCGCAATTCATTTCGTCCGAGTTGTCGCCGCAGTCGTCGTCGCCGTCGCACAGCCACATCTTCTGCACACAACGCTGATTATTGCATCTGAAATTTCACGAATGAATCATCAAAATAATCAAATTCAGAATAAAGAATTGTGTGAGAAAGCAATTAAAAAAATGAGCAGACTATTTCTTGAGGCAGCCAAGCTTACTGAACTGAAGTCAGTACAACCTGTCAAGGTTAAGTTACGTACCTACACATAAGAAAAATGAGCTTTCAAAATTATTATGACGTAAAAATTGTTTTCCAAAAACAAGTCAGAAAAAAAGAGCTACTATAGGAAGCAACTCCACTCCGCACCGAAATAAACAAAATTCCGATAATTTTCAAACATACGCATAATCTACTTTTAAAAAACGCATCAAAAATTTTTTAGTGTCGAACCCATATCGAACGGATTTTTTTAAGCTTTGTTTTTTTTTTTGCTTTGTCACCAACTTGAAAAATCCAGGTGATCAGTTAAATATTTCCGAATAGTATCACTTTTTCGATACTTCCAATTATATAACATTTGTTATGATACAATTTTCACGGCTCAAAAAGACAAATAAATGATTAAAAAAAAAATTAAAAAAAAAATTACTTGAACTCGTTGGGCTCGCACTGGCGCAGAGCTGGGCAGTTCTGCTCATCGGAACGGTCCCGACAGTCTGGCTCACCGTCGCAAACGTAGTCGGACTGGAAAAATTGTAGAAAATGATTGAGAACAAAGTCCTCAAAAGGCTAACTCAACTGATGGACAATGAAGTAAAAAATCTAAAATATTCAAGAAAACTAATATCCTACTAGAAACGTCAATAACCCTATAAGAAAACTGCAAAAAGTCTCAAAAGCTTCTCGAAAAAAAAATAAATCAATTCTTCTTTGAAATTTCTAAAGCCTATAGATGGATTACAAAACACAAGGAACGAAATTCTGAAATAAAAAAAATTTTGGAAACTTAAAATAATGCGAAATATTCTCCGGGACACCTTTAAAAGTTGCCTCTTTCCACAAAAAAAAACGGAAAAATGAGAGAAAATGAGAGAAAATTTTTTTTAGAAAACATGAGCTTCTCTCAAGTTTCTCAGTCTCTGAAATCTATAACAGCTCAAAAAAAAAATATTTAAAATGCGACAAAAAAGACTAAAATTATCAGTTCTACGTTTCTCCGTTCTTATTGAAAAATTTCTAACGACCTATAAAATTTTTTCTAAAATATCCACGTTTCCTTTCTCATTTCAAAGCAAATTCTTCAAATACCTTGACGCATTCGTTGTTTCCGCAAGCCTTCTCGTCGGCCATACACTGTCCAGACGATTGGAGGTGTCCTTGAAGCTCTTGTGGACCATCTAAAGTTCCAAATTGATTTGTTTCTAAAATAAATGTTCCCCAGCATCATTTCAAATTTAGTTCACATTTATTTGAATTAGAAATTGCTTCAGACGATCCCCGGGTCACGCCGAACCCATTGAGAGGTAGTTAATCGAAGGGTAAACATTCGTTTTGGACGGCGGCGAATAATGGTCATATTCATGCCTCAACTTGATTGAAGTTAGAAGAAAAAAATGAGCAAATAAGGCTGATTTTTCTATATTTTTCCCCAGGATATCCACCAATTTCTGAACTATCCAAAAACCCAAATCTTGCACTTCTTAGTGATAGGAGCAGAAAAAAAGAAACGGTTTTTCTGTTTGAGGAGCTCTCAAAATGAGTAGGCGGCTTCCAACTCAGAACTGTTTGTCGAAAAACTCACACGAGAGAACGTTCAAGGTGGCGGTGGCCTCGACGGTTCTGCCGTCGTGGGTCGCCACGCAGACGTAGGTTCCGGCGTCGGAGAGCGAGACCGGGTTGAACGTCAGTCGGCCGCCGGAATCGTGGGCCGACGATGGCAGCGGGCCTCCGACGCGCGTCCATCTGAATAGCAATTGATTTTGAATGAAATCCGCATAAAATTCAAGAAAAAGTATATTCAATTTTTCTGCGAATCGAAAGGCGAGGTTGGTAGACTAGAAAAGAGGAAGCGTCGCGTGTGCGATGCGGCTTTTGGCGGGGAACAGAGAGAGCGAAGGATTTTGAAATTATATTAAAATAGCGCGAACGTTTCACTTCCTGAAAATGAACAAATTTCGAGGTGACAGCTTCTTCCTTATTCAAAAAAATTCATGAGAGATTGTTAAACGCGATTTTCAGGGAGCAAAAGACCTTTTCCTTTTTTGCAAGCTAAAAATGATTTTTGCCTTTTTTTCATTTGTAACAGCGTAGTCGTCCGGACTCGCAAGATATAGCTGGGACAAAATAAATTTGCAGCTTTTATTGCATATAAAGACGTAAAAAATCAAGTAAAAGGGTCGTTTTGCACAAATTATCTGCAAAACCGTCTACTTTTCTCACAAAAAGTTTGTAATTTCGTAAAAAAAAAGTTCTCCTAAACTGTAAGCATTTCTGTTCGAACTTTTCCATCTTCGAGTGAAACTTCTAGCCCCTCCAATCACCACTGTACTTTCAAGGATACCGACCCGCTTATCATTCACATTTTCAGCCGGAAATTAGCGCTAGAGCAGACGTTCGGAGCCATTAAAAGCCGCGGCGCTTAATAATTGCTTTTTAAAGCCGCCGCCGCTATCAACAAGAAACAGGGACAATTTCGATCGGCTGGGAAACGAAAATCAAGAGCAGATGTTCGGTCAAAATGACTTTGAGAAGGAAAAAAAATGGAAGAAATTTTCGAACCTTGTCGGTGGGTAGACGGAGTTGTCGGCGGTTCTGGCACGACAATCGAAGGAAACATCGCGTCCTTCTCGAACTTGAGCTTCCGTCGGGTAGATAGTTATTTGAACATCTAAAAATTCAAATAATCAGAGAGCGAAGCTCAATGAAAGCCCAAAATAAAGCTGAAAAAAATCTAAAACTACTGCCTAAAGTTTATTGACTTGAAAAAAATATTTTCTAGAGGATTTTTTTCAAGGTTTGCTGATAATATTGATCTGAAGTAAAAAAAGTTTCTCCTTATATATTCCAATTTGAGCAAAAAATTTATATAAGCTATGGTGATGAATATTTGGAATTTGAATCTAATCATCATCATCAGTTTATGAAACAAGAACAACCATAAAAATTTTCGATGACCCATTTGTATGACTTTTTTTGACCTGTTTTGATCTAGAAGTAATAAGATCGTTCGAAAAAAATAGAACTCAGCTTCATTTATTAATGAAGCGCTTTATAATTTAAAAAAAGTATTCTTGAAAAAAATGAACTAGAAATTTTTTTAGAACTACATATAAGCATCCAAAAAAAGTACTCAAAAAAATGTAACTACCTTTTTTTTATTTCAAAAACTACTAAAGAAAAAAACCTTCTTGAATTTTTTTAGAAAAAAAAAACTGAAAATCGATAATTCTGACGTTTATTCACGGATATTAGAATTATTCCTTTAATCGTCTTCATTTTTTCAATACATTTTTGTATTTTCAATTTTCTTTAATTGATTTGAGTCTCGAACTTTCCATCCCCCACTACTGGAAACGGGAAAAAAGAGAGGAAGAAGAACAGCTCGGCGGTTATTTGTGTGTGGCAAGTGCCATTAATCAACGCAGATACACACAGAAACTCTCAACCCATTGATCAACCGACAAAAAAAGATTCTTTTCTTTTTTTTTGTCGGTTTCTTCGCTGATTCCGCCGCCGCAAATTAAACCCGACAACAATATTTGCAACAAAAACTCGTCTACCGGAAACGTTTTGCAACATCTGGCTAATTTTTTTTTTTCGGCAATCAATCAAATGGAAAAGCTTCATTCAACTCACCACTGGAACCCTCGGAATCGATGTCCTGATCTGCAATGAAAGTGATATTAATCTCTGGTTTTTCTGTTTGGAAATATTTTTGAAATCTCTGGCTTATAAGCGATAGGAGGATAGTTTTTCTATTTTTTCCTTCCCGACCGCAAAAAACCGTAAAGTGCAGTGGTACCCTTGATAATGGCATTTCTGTGGACACTTAAGCTTATTTTCTGCACGGTTTTAATACCCGATAAATATGTTCACTGACTGTCAGTTTAGAGGTAAAAACGATTGGAAAGCCGGAAAAAATTGTGAAATGAAGTCGAAGAACAAGCAAAAATTCAAAAAAAAAAAGCCAAAACCCCTGACTTCAACTTCAAATAAAAAAATTTGAGTAAAGAATATCCCAAAAAAATGAAACTTGATGCTCTTCAATATCAACTATAAAAACTTAATAGGACCATTTTTCTGAATTAATTTCCTTAACGATCTTTCCTATATCTCAGTCCTTAAGAAACCTGGAAAAATGCAACTTCGAACGGATCCAATTTTGAAACCCAAAAAAAACCACCTCGAAGCCAGACTATCTAACTGTTTTCAGTTCACTCCACTATTTTCAGTCCTACCGTTATCCCAGTGAAATTTAACCAAGACGTGTAAAATTCAGACTCTTCTCCAGACAGACGCCAATAAAGAAACACCTCATAAAAGAGGTTTTCAAGGCAGACGCACCTAATTAACCACTTTTTCGATTTCCCCTTAACGAATCAATCCATCCAATCGACGCAATAATTGAGTCCGACTGACCGAAGGGAAAACTGTTCTCTTTCTCTCCTTCTGTGTATGTGATAGTGGTTTTGGCGGCTGGTCGAACCCGATATCGATCTTCATCTTCTGCCTTTTCTTCCGCCGTTGCGCAAAAGTATCCCCGTCCATCGGATCGGCCGCTCTTCTCAGGTCATCATTATCAGCCAAGCGGCCGCCCCACCGATGCGAAAACTCACATCTCGGCCTCCGACGACGAACTAATTTTTCATCCGCCAGCCGCTTATAATCAATTGGAATCGGAATTCGGCGGGCCTTAGATGAATGGAACAGAAAGGCTAGGAATATATTGAAGCTGTCGAGAATCGGTCCATTGATACCATCAAGCTGACAGACCAAATGCGGATTCATTCCCAATTCAAGTCTAAACTTCCACTCTTATGAAGATAGAAAGAAATTAGGTATATCAATAATGGTCTTCATTAGTACTTTTGACTCGAAAAAACTTTCAAATAGGCTCTTGAACGCCTTCTTCCGAACATAAAATCGACTTGAGCAGCGAGAATCATAGATCAGAAATGAAGATATTGACAAAATTCAAACTCTAAGGACATCTGCTCCCTACAGCAGTCCGTTTAACTGATCTTAAAAATTTATGACTTCAAAAGTTAAGGAAGCTCAAAATGAAAACTATTAAGCAAAAATAACAATCTCAGTACCATCAACCCAAATATAATTGCGAAATTGTTACCAAAGTCTCAAATTTCCTTTCTCAGCTTTTATAAACCGACTTTTTCTCTTCTTTACTCATAAACAGATCTAAAAAACGATGGGAAGATTTAAAATCAATACTCAAGAAGTTCTTTGAAAACCATTTATTCAGTTCAATAAATTAACCTTCCGAAACTCCGAAAGTATTTATCCTAAACTCCCAATTCGTATACCACTTCACTTGCTCCTGTAAACGAACGTAGAAAAAAAATTTGAAGACCCAGCTTAGTTCTTTGACCTCAGCCAAAACAAAAGCTGACAAAGGACTAAAAAGGACCAGTAATAAGCATGCCTCGGCTTAAAATTTGAGTTATTCGAAAAAAAAGGTACTTTACTCGTTTTTGTTTATAGCGTGCTCACCAACTCGTATCAGGAAAAGGATCTTAGACCAAACCCTCAGAAAACAGTCAAAAGGACACGCCTAAAGTATCGAATTTGGAAACAATACCAAAACCAGCGTCGGCTAGAAATTCAGTAACCTAAGACCAAATTTTCAACTTCTGAGAAGAAAATACCGTTTCTAAGCAAGTCATCAAGGTCATCTATCACTGAGAAGTTTCATTCAAGAGGAAAAGTTCAGCTATGCTAGAAAGAATGAAATTTTTGGGAGGCATAACCTTGATATGCTCGAAAATATATACTTTTCCGGAAACCAGTCCGGAAAATTTAACCCAACAAAAGCTCACTAACGTCTGAAAAAAAAAGAATTAATTCAAAAAAAAAAACCTTAAAGTGGATACTTTTCTAGGCATAATTTGTCTTTTAATTTTAACGTCTTCACCTTTTTTACATTCCTGATAAACATCAAGATAAAAAAAAACTTCTTTTAAATTCTGTGCTGACCCTACTTCCACTTTTGGCTAAATTCACCCGATCTGACTCAAAATTCCAGCCAAAACTACCGCTTCTTGAGTACTAGACACCCAATCGAATCTAAAAAATAACGGTCCACATAAAAAAGTCAGAGAAATCCGCGCGACCTTGTCACGTTTTTCAACAACAAAAGCAGGAAAAATCATATTCGCCTCAAAACCGTTCAGGCATACTGTATTATAGTAAGAAAAAAAGGTGACAAGCTGGCAAGGAATAGGGTAGATATAGTTCAAACCGAAGTTCAAAAAATTCCTCGAAAAGCCAACTCACAAGTCTGTCGATGCTTCCTGTTGAAGGCGTCGACGTCGGTGAGCAGCAGGAGGCACGCCACGAGGGCGGCTCCCAGCCAACTCCTTCGCTTGGCTGCCATTGCAGGTGATGGTGTTCGTGCGAGAACCTCTCTCTCTAACTCCTTTGCTAAGCTTGATCCACTATCTTGAGACTACTAAGGAGGCGCCACACACACGCAAGGCCAAGCGAGAGGCCTACCTGCCAAAATCGCACAGTTTTTTTTTCGAGTTGGAATAAACGATCGGTGAGGGGGAAAAAACCGGCGGAGCAAAACTGATAAACAACAATTGCAAAAATTTTTTCGTTGATAAGAGAGACTAAAGCGTAGACAAACAAAGTGGGAGGGAAAGCCGTGGGGCGTGGATCGGGTGTATGACGGAATTGTTGCAAAAAAGTTGGCCACGTTCATAGAGAACACGAAAAAGCCGTTCCCTAGTACTTCAAACAGTCTGACCTATCTGCGCCCTCTTTTCCCTTGTTGATGAGGTCAGAGAAACAAATAAAGAGGCGAGAAATACGTAGACACAGAGAAAACAGAATTTTCAAGCCTCGACAGAAAAGCGTTCAGGTGTGAACGAAAAGTACTTAAGAAAAATCGGCCGCGTTGATAGAATAAATCGATAAACAGCCTCAGAAAATAGGACTTTACGGCAGGGATAAAACAACGTAAAAAAATAGCCATTTCATTATGAAGAAACGCCTCCAAAACCGCTTCGATGGACAGCTACGAAAAAGTCGCCAAAAAAAGGCTTTGAAAAAATTTCAGATAGCAAAAAATTATGATGAGTTAACCGCTGTATGGGCGCCTACACTATTTAATCATGTATTCAGAGGGCTTTAATCGATGGGGCGCACAATCCCTAACGTTTCTCCCAAAAACCTAATTTCGGCAGCTATTTTGACACATATCATGTTTCCAAAATGCGGAGCTCAAAAAAGTCAGAATTTTTTCTCTCGTTTCCTGCTTAACGAGGTGTCCAGAAGAATTGGGAAGGAGCAGGGAGTTGCCAAATTTTTCAAAAGAATGAGCAAGTAGGCCTCAAAACTTTGAAACAATCTCTTTTGCAGCTTGGAATAACGTTCCAGTTAATTAATGTTGAATATGATAGGATTTCGATAAAAATATCTGAAAAATTGGGGAAAAAATCATTATAATTGCGAAAATGATCGAATTACATCAAAATCGGATCTTCGAAAAACCTTGAAATTTTCAGGTTCTGTTGAAAAATTCAATTATTTATTCTTCATGTAAATGAATTTTACTGTATTTCACAGTCCAACTTGATCGGATCGAGCTCAAAAAGGGACAAAAAATTAGTCGAAACATGAAAACGTTTAAAATTTCTTTCATTTTCATTTATAAGTGGTATTTATATTTCATTCACGGCTTGAAACACTCTGGCGTGTCTGCGCCCTCTCCTCTCTCATCTTTCCGAATTCAGTGAAAAATAGGAAGAAAATGGGAGAGCGCAGACATGTCAGACTGCATCTAATCGTGAGTCGAAAATTCAAAATTCTTTCGCTGTATTTTTCTCCGAAATTTCCTTATTTCTCGAAAAATATACAATTGAAAGATAATTATGAGCAGCGAATTTGCTATAGATTCGACTAAGTTCTCATCTTTCTGCACAAATCCAAAAAAATCCTTCCGTAGCGAATTTCTTCACATCTCCGACCCATTCTCCTTCCTTTGAGCAAAATGAAAATAAATATTGTTGATTGAACTTTTGCAAGCACACATACATACATGTACGCATACAAACCAAGAATGTGCCGGAAAAAGGCGATAAGCGACGAAAATTCCCAACGGAGGGAGGAGGGTGCGCGGTTAAAAAGGAGAATGGAACGAGGGTGGAGTAAAGTCGTTGGGAATTGTTGATGACCGTGTATACTATGCGTCGTTTCAGGCCGAGATTTACAAGAACTCTTCAGAAAGAATCATGCTCGAAAGTATCAAATTTCAAAAGGTTACACTGGAAAAAGCTAGAAAAAGTTTTATATACAGGTCAAAAAAATCGGCCAAAGTGCAAAGGGCAATTTGAAAAAAATACTTTCTCTTCAAAAATTTTTTTTCCCTAATTTGATTTTTTTAAAGACCTATCGATTCCACGTAAAAAGCTAATTCAGATGATTGAAAAATTAAAAAAATTAATTGGGAAAAATTCAAAAAAATAATTTACTTTTCAGAAAAGTAAGAAAGTTTGTGCAGAGAACCGGAATGACTCGAAAAAAAGGCGTGACGCGAATTAGTCATGAAAAAGTACGGTTCACCACGCAAAAAAAAAAATTAATTCTGAGAAATATAGAGTATTGGAAATGAGAGGGCAGCCAGACACGAGAAAGCCTGCGTCTCCTGATTATACACGATATCTAACTAACCATATTGAAAGTTATTTCACTATTAAAAAAACTTTGGAAAAAAAAAGGCTAGCGATGAAATTTAGGGCAGACTCTAAAAAAAAGATCGTTGCAGGTTCCAAAATTTTACCAGTTCAATTTGAGAGAAAAAATTTCAAACTTTTGACTAAATTTGAGAAATCTAGTATATTCTTAGGTGTTTCGAAAAATTAGGAGAAAACTTATTTTCAGAACTACACAGCTTTTAACGGCAAGGAGATAAGAAGACCATAAAGAAGCCATTAAAAAACGATTAAAAATTATGCCAAAAAACTCCCGAGAGGCCTATTCTTCAAATCATAGCCACGTAAACAGTTTCTTGACACAGAAAAGTGCAAAGGAGCCCGGATATGTACGTGAAAACGAGAACAAACAGTTTGAGGAGGGGCCATTTCGAGAGATATATCAGTTCTTCGAGAACGGCTCAAGAGTTCAATTGTGTTCGCACTTTCGAGTGCTCAGAGAAGGGAGAAGTTCGAAACGGATATGGGGTCGGAGAGCCTGCACAAAACTACATATTCTCGATTCACAGTTAATTCAAAAAAAAATTGTAAATTTCCAGGGATTTAAAACGATAAATAAACAAAACAGAGAGAATACGGTAGCACTTGCTGGTTTACTTTTTTTGGTAGCTATTTTTCTTTTTTTTGTAGAAATTTGTCGACAGGGCAAATTTTTCAAGGCTTTTCATGAAATTTTCGAAAAGAACAACTAAATCTTGTTGATAGCTCTCAAAAAAATGATCCCTAGAAATGTTGCAAAATTGAATCTCAAGGGATTCTGGGTGAAAAATGGCTTCAATCTGACAGAACGGCTTAAAATCAGCGAATACCGAGGATTTGAAAGAGAAAAAAATTTTATTAAAATTCGAAAAAAAAAAGGCAAAGAGTGTAATCAAAAGAAAAGTATCAGAAAACTTCACTTCATACGTTAAAATATATACCCTCAAAAGTTCATTTGATGAAATTTAAAATTCTGTCGCATTAGGACAGGATCAAAGCGTATTAACTGTAAGGAGTTTTTCAAAGCGCGTCCGACCCAAAACGACTTGCGTGCAGCCGAAAACAGGCCCATTAGAGCTTGTTCTCAATCGCAACGCTTCAAGCCACTCCTGGTGCGAAAAAACTTACTTTAGTTCGAAAAAATAATGAAACTTCTCAAAATATACATCATATGTAAGCTGCAAGTGACTGTTGTTTCAAAAAATGAGCAAAAAAAAAAGATAAAAATTCTGCAAACATCTAGCACTAGAAGATTTGAAAAAAGACACGTTTTCTCATAAATTTTATGATAAAACCGTTCTTCGATTTCTAAAGTAGGGTACAGATTCTCCTTCAAAAAATGATACAAAAAAGAGAAGATCAGCACATCAAAAGAAACCAAGAAAAACGACAGTGTACAGGAGGAAATCAAGCCAAAAACACACACACCGATGAAGAAGATATGTGAGAAGGGCGTGGCTCAGGGCCGACGGCGCCATCATTTTCTTCTCCTTTTTTTTCGGTGTTTCGCCAAACCATTGTTGAAAGAGGGGCGTGGCCTCGACCGAACCGGAGTGAATGAGGTTGGAAAATTCAGAATGAAGAGATGGAGAGGGAGAAGAAAATTTAAGATAAAAATTTTTAAAAAATAAGTAAAATGAAACAGAAACCGAGAGCCAAGTGACGCTTTCAATGTAAAAGTTTTTGTGCTTATTCCAATTTCTCAAGAAATTATGTACAGCCGTTAGAGAGCAGTAACCTTCGAAGATCCCCAATAAAGGTTCGCCTGGGAGCAAAAAAGGTTCAAACATGATCGAATTCTTTTTTTTTTAAACTAGGATATCAAGCAGTTTGAGTCTATCAGGACCTTTATCTGGTGTTCTGGCCAAATTTCAGAAAACTCCAGAAATGCTAATTGATATCATCCTTCCCAAAACGAAACGCGTGTTCGCCTGGAAGCAGACATGGTTTGGGTAAATGATGTGGCAGAGCAAGTGAAATGTAGAAAACAACTGGATGTGGCAAAGGAGGACAGCTGTCGGCTTGAGTCGGCGGCGCTTCGTTTCTGATCTTCATGAGGAGACTGAGAGCCCTGCGGCCACAAGTAGTGATGAGAAGCTTGTACACGTTGCGGATGGCAGGTGTCTTTGCGGGGACCATTTTTGAGAGGTGTTCAAAGTGATTGACCGACCGTCATGTTTCGTGCCAAAAGCAGTGGCGCTTGTCACAATGACCAGCAGAAGAGGTTTCGTAAAAATAAAGCCGAGGTGTTCCCTGGAGGAAATCGTTTCACGTTGTACTTCAAAACTTTCGAAAATTGATTCGACGGTGTGAAAAGGTCTTAGAAAGTTCCTACTGAACTACTTATTTTTCGAGAGCGGATGGTTCAGGAGTCGCTTTTCTGTTCAAAAAGTTTGAAGGTACACCAAAAATTATGCATTTTTGAAGTTGAGTCTATCACTACCCACAAAAAACATTTTTTGCAAAATTCGTCAACTAGAATACATGTCAAATCAAGAAAAGCAATGTGAGAACAAATAAAACGGAGAAACAAGCAACAAATGTTCGAAAAAGCCATTTGACAAGACAGTAAATGTAGGCGAAAATGCTGGGATTAGTGATAGGATGATTATGGGAAAGTGTGTCACATGCCGACATCAATTAGTCGGCAACCCTGTCGCAAACAGATAGACACAACAATCCGAGGGCAACACACATCCGAAGACAGTGTCTTAAGAAGTTCAAAAAGAAACTTTTCAAAAATGAACTTTGTTTGACTTCAACATTTTCGTCCAGAAAAAAATGTTCAAGAGTTTTAAATAAACAAGTCTAAGTTTTTATAATAGAGTTCGGTTGAATGGGTAGCCGCACATAAAGGGTTCAACGCTTCGTGAATCCTTTGAAGTTGCACCGGACCAGAACCGATTCACGCGCAATGTTCTTAGAGCAAGATATAAAAATTCAAGACCTTATTCGAACTGCACCGCGACCTCCTGCTATTGAGTGGTTCTATATGCAATTTTTGAGAAATTCAACTCATTTGAGGACTTCAACTAATGATCCTACTGGAAAAAAAAATCGAAAAGAATCAAAATTTCGAATGAGCGCAGGAAAAAAAGGACGTAGATAAAGAAACACAATTTGTTTTCTTTTAAAAGACTTATAATTTGCCTATAGACCTAAAAAGCTGTGAATAATCACTGGAGGAATCAGTGAGTTTTTGAAAAATCTTCGAACAAACCTATCAAGAAGTTTTGGCGAAACCTTCGCAGGAGACAACTTCTTTCAAAGACTTCAAAGAAAGGAGAAACTCAAAAAAGGAAACTTTCCAAAAAAAAATCTGCAAAAAGACATTCCAGAACCGACAAATGCTATGAGCTCAATCACTTCGAGAAGATTCGCCATACCAGAAAAGACTGGGAACGACCTCAAAAACGGAGAAATATCCATCAAACCAAAAAAAGCTAATCAAAAGGGAGAAAAAAAAATGATGGAAACGGAGAAAGGAGGAGAAGAAGAACTGACAATCAAATAAGTTGATTATTCTAAATTCTGAACAGTCCTTCTGAAATAGCCAGGAACTACATTGGAAAAAGATTGAAAGCTCTTAAAAACTTTTCAAGAAGCCGTGCCAGTCTTAAAGTTCTTGGGGGAAGCTAAAAAAGTTCCGAAGAGTTTCCAGGAATTTCTCTGTTCGGTACAATTTCGACAAAAAGACATGTCACATCAAAAATTTTTTCCACCAATCTCATGATAAGGATTAATATGACTATACAAAAGATCTTTGAGAAGGCCGGCCGAACCGAAGAAAAGACTAGGAACGACCTCAGAAACGGGAAAAAAGGCAACCAAACCGAAAATTGTCTAATCAGAACAAAGGGAAAAAATATGATGAAAACGGAAAATGGAAAAGGAGAGGAACTGAAGACTGAGAAGAAGAAGAAGAAAAAAACGGTCGGTTGCTGCCTGCCGTTGCTGCTGGCTGCTGTATCTCCGTGTGCGTTTTTCGTTCGTGAGCCTTTTTGCTGTGAGAGTATTTGGCGTGAGTTTGTGTGAGCGTGAGTGCACGATCAAGTGGGCGTGGTCGGCCACGCCCATTCTTGATGCCAGCCTTGTTGGTTGGAGCTGGTTTTTGGCTTGGGGCAAGTGTGAAGAAGACCAGCTTTGAATTATGATTATTTATCAGCCGACGAGGGACTTAGTTGACGAGACAAAATAGGCGGGATCAGTCCGGAGAAAGAAGAGAAAAGAAAAGTTTCAGGCCTAAAAAGGACGAAAATTCCCAAAACACATCACCGAACCTGCTTTGATCTCCCGGTGAGGCTAATGAATAAGAAAAGATCCACTAGGCGGGAATTTTCATAAGATTTGCGTAATTAAATTTTTCTTCAATCTAAATAAATTCTGAGCCAAGATAAAAATGTTTTTGTTTTTTTAAAAACCCTTTATAGGTCATAAACTTTTTCCATAGATTCGGATTCTGCGTGATAACTGCAATGAAAAGGCTCCTATGCTTTCACGGGCACTTGTTATGAAAGGAGGAGCGTAGCTCAGATAGTAAGACAGAAATCTTCAACCGTAGGCCACAAGTTCCTTCCGGAGATGTTGCAGAAATAGAACTTCAGGAAAAAGAAACCTTTAAAAAAATGGCACCCCGAAATCCTACAAATAAAATATTATTTTCCTTTAACTCTTTGAATTACCTTAGAAATGCTTCTTAACTTGTCTTAAAAATGCCTCCTGTTTTCCTAAACTAATTCTTTCCGTTTGAGCCAGGACCATACCCCACACAGAAGATGCTCTCAAAAAACAAAATATCACCAAAATTTGAGCCAATCAGGCAGTCGCCATTTCCTCCTCGCTACCATAAGCCAGAGACTTCCATTCTAAAGAAAAAAATTCAGAAAAAGGCGTACCGATGTGGTTGTGGGTTGGTACCGGCGGGAGAGTCGGAGGATGAGCTGGAGCAACTTTTTCGCTGCAGTTGAGCTCGTCCGAACTGTCGAGGCAGTCGGGACGCGTGTCGCAAACGCGACGTCTGGAAATTCTTTTTTCACCGAAAAATTTAAATTTTCTTTTTGTTTTATTTCAAGGCAAAATTATTACAATCGAAAATGAAAAATGAGATTCCTCTAACAAAGAATTATTTTGCCCATTTATCTTCAATTTGATTTATTGATTCTCTTAAAAATTTCTAAATCAATCTTTACATTCCAAAAATGAAAAATTCCCGTGTTTTGCACGTTCATATTTAATATTGACACTTCACTAAAAAAACTTTTTCCAAGCCTTTTTATCTAATAATGTGATAGAAAATAGCTTCTTTCTGCCATCTCGGTTTTCCTTCTTAATTTCTTTTCATTCCATTTTCCATTTTTTTTTAAAGTTGATTTTCAGTTCAATTAAAGACGAAGTTTTCAAGCAACTCCAAGTTTTTATTGACCACCAAATTTTTCGAAAACCATTCAGCAGCAACTGCAAAACTTTAAACTTTCTGTTTAGCTAATAAAAAAGCTACAAAATAGCTTCTCAGCACACATAAATTGGATGAAATGAGGTTCTATAAATTTTTTTAAAGTGAGGGGACAGCAAAGTTTTTTTTGATAAAAAAATATTTTTATTTTTCGATTAGCGACGATTTCGATACAAGAAAAATCGACTAAATTTAAGCCTCAAAAATTTGTAAAAAGCAGGAAAAAGTCGAGAAAGTTTTCAGTTCAAAAACTAGGAAAAAAAAAATCGACTGAGACACTATGAGTTTCTTTACAAGACGGAAAAATGAAGGGAATTTTTGGTTCGAAAACTATGAAATTTTTTCCCAACCTATCGAAAACTAAAAATTACGTAAACCGGCTGAAAATAATATTCTCTTGAACTGAAGAGAGAGTTAGGTACTTCCCCGGATAAAAAATTAAATAATGATATATTTTTTTCTTCATAAAAACCTGTCGATGCATTCCCCGATGGCGCACTGGAACTCGTGTTCCAAGCAGCCTGTAGACTCCTCGTCGTACTCGTCACGGAAAACGATCTCAGCCGAAACTCGCTGTTGTTCTTGGGTCTGTTGCTGTTGTTGGACATGTTGCTGTGAATGTTGCTGAGCATGTTGCTGAGGTTGCGGCTGCGGTGCCTAAAATTTAATAATCCCTCACAAAAATCCTTATAAAAATGAACTAGTTAAAAAAAAATTGAGAATCTTCAAACCCTTCAAAGGTACTTGGGCCGCATTTTTGAATGGCTAAATTTTTCAATTTTTCGCTGAACTACACCCTATCATGAAACGACTCGAGCTCGATGGCCTTGAAAATCATTGTATCAAACTTTTGCGGATGGAAAATTGAGAAGAGACTTTGAAATTGTATAATAAATGATCTGGTGCAGTTTTCAAAGATAATCGAGTTCCGTTTTTTTCAGAATATGCATCCAAATCCTTTATCTAACACTGAGGTCCCTAAACTTTATAAAACCAAAAATTTTTTTCTCATTTCAACTTCAAAACTTCCTATCTCTCACAGAAATCAATTTACTGTCCAAAAACCCATTTTCTTCTCGAAAAATTTGTGAATAAGCCAACCAACTACCAATCTGCAACAGTTGACTCATTTTCATATCAAAAAACGGCCGAATGGCCTGGGCCAACTGTCCGGTTCCGGCTCCTACGGAAGAATTTAACAAATCGACAGAGCAACAACAAGAGGATAGGAGAAAAAAAACAACTGGACTTGATGATCAATCGCCGAGGGACCACCACATGTTGTGCCCGGAAAGTTGTCGGCTTTTGCCGAAGGAACATACAATCGTTCAGTTTTCATGTGGCTCGAAGGAGGACACATGCACCAGATGGCAGGTGGCTCTGCTCGTTTTTCTTTCGTTTCTTTGTTTTTTTATGGGTTTGATACAAGGCTTCAATTTTTTGGGGATTTTAAAACGGCGGATTCGTATAGCGCAATGAGTGTATTTCGATGGGAGACTCTTTGAAAAAAGAAAGCCTGACCTTTCTGCGCTCTCTTCTCCCTCCCCAGTTAGAGTCGTGACTTGAAAAAAAAGTTCCAAAGTTTTTTCAAAAACTTTTCTAATGAGAAGGCCACTTCAAGGGTGTGAGCTTATTTTTTCTCTCATGTGATAGAGATTTTTGAAGATCTAGCCAATCACAGATTTCTGTTAAAGCCATGCTCACTGGTTTTATTTTTTATATGCAAGATGAAGGTCCTCTGAAGTTCTACCTTGCTTATTTTCGAGAAAGGGCCCTTCAAAATCAAATGGACCGTCGAAATCACGTAAAGTAGCCCTTCGACTGCGAGATTTTGAGTCTTGCTCAAGAATAGAGAGCCTATCAGGAGTTTCTATCACATTAATCTACCCGATTTTCAGATTTTAAATTATTTTCAAAGCTCATTTCTCACCGGCTGAGCTGGATGACGTTGCTGCGGCTGCGGCTGCTGCTGCTCATGACGACGTCGTTCTTCTTCCCGACGTCGTACCTCATCTTCATGCCGTCTTCTGGCCTCTTCGCTCTGCCGAAGTCGTTCCTCGTGTTGCCGTCGAGCATCATCTCCGTTGCGTCTCTTCTCCTCCTCTTCTCGTCTCTGTTCCTCCTGCTGTCTTCTCGCGTCATCTCCGTTCCTTCTCTGCTCTTCCTGCTGCCTCCGAGCACCTTCTCCATTTCTCTGTTTCTCTTCTTCTTCACGTCTTCGCTCATCATGCTCTCTTCTCCTTTCTTCCTCCTCTCGTCGTCTCTCCTCCTGTTCACGACGTTCAAGCTCCTAAAACTTCCAAAAATAGTTTTCATGATCTATTCACTATACATCGAATAAGCATGATATCTCTGCACCCTGCCATGGGCAAAATGATTACGGGTAGCTAAAAAGAACGATTTTATCGTGGAAAGTGACTGCTCGAAAGTTGAAAAATCAGGAATTCTGAGAGACAAATTGAGGCTCAAAACAAGTTTTTATGCGTTGAGAGTACTGTAAAATGTAGCGCTCTCCTGTGCAAAATCAGAAATTTAACTAACTCGGACGTCCTTTTACAGTAAACGCAACGTCGAATAACTTTTTCGTTTTGAGACCTAATATCTTTATGGAAGTAACTTTGAGAAAAATTCTTTTTGAGGAAATTGAAATCACTTTTCCTACAGTATATTTGTTCTTACGTCTTCAATGGTGAAAGAAAAGAGGGCGCAGACAGGTCAGACTGTTCCAAGTCGTGAACATTGCTTTTTCCTACCTGTTCGCGTCGTTTCAACTCCTCTTCTCTCTCGTCGGTCCTCGGCTGCGACGCCGCTTTGAAGTACTCTGAAAAACCAAGAGTTGTGCTGGTTCGTGTGAGAAAAGCGTGCGCGTGAAAATCAGTAATATATTTTCCCACACTCGAGGACCTTACCGCATTCCGTTTCGTCGGTGCCGTCGTCGCAGTCATACTTTCGGTTACAGTGGAGGCTGAGGTCGATGCAACGGCCGCTGTGGCAGCGGAACTGCTGCGGAGTACATTGGCCGGATGAAACTGAACTGGAGGCTGAAGGCGCCGGGAAAGCGCCGTCGACGTCGTCTTCGGTCGAGTCACAGTTGGTCTGAAAAAAACAAATTCTGAAGATTGAGCGAAAATCTGAAGTGAACAACTTTGAGTTATCACGAGCAAAAGTCAAGTTATGTCTTTCTTCCTTCACAGAAAAAATACTTCCAAGGACTCCATTTTTGGGTTCAGATTAACTTTTTCAAAGCTTCTCGCCGGCCGAAAGGCCAGAAAACAAGACGATTTGTCACCGAAAAAACGCACTATTTCATGACTTCCAAAGACACATCAATATTTCTTCGCGGCTCTTTTTCTTGTCCTCCTCGACGTTACACTAATATAGACCATATGCATGCGACACATCTGGCCTATTTCCCTGCATTTCATGCAAAAAGCAAAGAAAAATAGGTTGAAAGATGCGAAAGGATTCAGTTTCAATAAGTTGAAAAGGGACCTCATCACTGCCGTCGCCGCAGTCGTCGTGGCCGTCGCAGAGCTTGTCGTAGTGGAAACATTTGACGACCTCCAAGTAGGGGCAGCTGGAAAAGCCAGGCAATTTTTCGCACTTGCTAATCCTTTTTCAAATATCTCCATCCAAGTATTGAAGTTGTTATTTTTCAGCTCTGAGAACAAAGCAACTAAGAAAAAAATTTTCATTATCTAACCTTGGGAAGTTTTCAAAATCTTCACACATCTTTTTATCATCTAAATCAATCTTTTTTTTTTCAAAAATATGTTAAGATATAAACGTCAAATTTTACACAATGAGAAGTTTTCATGAATCCACATGAATTTTTGAATTGTTTTCCAGAACCATAGTATAAAAGGGCCGTACCGGAACTCCTGATCGGTGCACTGTTTCTCTGGTTGAGCTGAAGCCTCTGTTGAATGTTGCGAACTTTGACTGTGTGAAGCATGATGGACACCTAAAGATCGAAGACTGCAGAAATGATGTTTACAGGCTGAAATCAAGTGTCACTTGTGGAGGAGGATGAAAATTGGAAGATAAAACTCATAACTGTGTTCGATTATTTTACAACTCTCTTTGAAAGGAGACACGAACCGAGCAGTGCTGAGAAATTTTAGAAAAATCGATAAAGAAGCTTTTTTTGTAGAATTCTGACATAATATGAGCATTTCTACTTTTATAGCTTTTTTGAGATGAGGAAACTCCTATAAACGAAAATTTTTGGAAATTGACGATTCGAAAAAAGCAATAAAAATGTATTGTTTGAACTGAAACATGATCACTGCTGTATTTTTAATTTTTAAAAAAACACTTCATAGGCTTCTGATGGTTTTTCTTAACACGGCGAACATCCTAAATTTTTGGGTTAACTCCTGAAAATTTAAAAAAATCCTATATATTTAAAACTTTATGAAGCAATCCTTTTAAAGGCACGGAAACTGTCAAAGTTTGAATTCAATACAACTTTGGAATAAATTTCGGTGGATGCTTTTAATAATCCGTTCGAAAACTTGAAAACTGAAACTGTTCAAAGTTATCTGCCCATTTCAGAGAGTCCTTTTACAACGATTTAAAGATCCAGTTTTTGGAAAACTAACCACCTTAACGTAACATTACGTCAATCTGATTTTAAACGAAAAATTTAGAAAGATATAAATAAACGCCACAAAATGTCCAGTACCCCTCGGTTCAAATCTTCTCCATCAAACTTTGATTTTTCTTTCTTTGAATTTAGTGTTGATCAGTCATCATCGTTAGCCGTTGGTTATCAACATTATCACATCAAATCTTCGATCAGAAAACGGTGCAGTTTTTCGTGTGTGTGTGCAAAGATTCACCGTGATCAAACTTACAGTTCACGTCGGTTTGCACAGCCGCTGCAAATACCGGATTCCCAGTGTCAAAAGGTGCAGAGATAAACAAAACCAAAAAACTGACAGTAGAAGTAAGAAAAAAGCACAAAACTATCGACTAGACGTATCAAGACAAATATAAATATTAGTATTACCATGACGCTCGAGCTCGGGCGCTTGGGCAGCTTGGGCCACCGGCTGAGCAGAGTTGATGTCGTTAGATTCGTTGTTTTGATTTTGCTCGTGGTACTTCTGGACGGCAAGATAGTAGTCTGAATGAACAAATATGGACTTGGACAGGTTCAATCACATTTTTTAGAGCTCCACCTCTCTGCGTCCTCTCACTTTTACGTTATATTTTTTCTATAACATGCCCGGTGAGGGAAAAGAGTGCGCAGACAGGTCAGAGAGTTTCAGAACTTCAGAAGGACACCACTATACAGATTTACTCTTGAAAAAGAAACAAGGACTTTACTGACAAAATGGAACAAATATCATTATTTTTTGACATTCAAGTTGATTCCTCTGGGGAAGGACCGAGAAAAAAATCTTCGGACATCAACATTGTTTAGCGCTTGTCAGTCAAGTGATGAGAGGAAAAAAAAGTCTGCCTTTTTCGAAAAGGAAAACATTTGAAAGCCTCTATTTTCAAGGGACGAAAAAAATCACAGGAAAAATCCCAGAAGACCTTTAAAAAAAAGCTAGAAAATTTCTTCAAAATCTCCTAGAAAAGTACAGAAAAACTCCAGCTTTTCTTTCCCAAACTTCCAAGACAGGAGATTGAAATTTAAAATGAATAAAATTCATAAACATGCTCTCGAAAACAAAATACAATTTACTTTTCAAAAGTTGAAATAAAGTTGAAATGTAACGCAAGGTTCTATCTTTCCACATGTAAAAAAAGTATTCGGTATAAAAAAATGATACTTTTTTTCAAACTTCAACTGAAAAATTGAAAATCACTGATACCAAAAAAACCATAGAAGAACTCGTAATTTGTTTTAAAAGTTCTTTTCATCTCAAAAACAAATTTTCGGGTCTTTTTAGAGGCCGTGCACGTCCTTGAGGACAAGCTTCACTCTTCAAAACTTAGAATAAAGTTTCACCGTCTTAAAAGGCATACCGAAGGTAAGTCCTACAGATTTTTTGACATATGAAAACAAACTTCAGTACTGAAATTTTTTCTCCCACGACTTACTTTTTTTTCTAAAAGTTCTTAGAAACTTTGAACATCCTTTATTACGAACTTTAGTTTTTCAAACGGTAGATAAAGCTGATCTTTCCACTTAGAAATCCGAACTTCAGTGTTAAAAAGTTTGTTTCCGTTCTAGAAAACTTCTTAATGTCAACATTTCTCGCTGACTGACCACGTTGGGACTTTTCCCATGTATAGTTGATACGTAGCGTAAGCATCCATTTCAAAAGATTTCAAAAAAATCTTATTTAGGGTTTCGAGAAGCCGAAAAAGTTACCACAGGTGGTCTCATCGCTGCCGTCGGCGCAGTCGTAGTGCCGGTTGCACTTCTTGTCCGCCGCAATACATTCGCCGCTCTTGCAGTGGAATTCCTCGGCTCCACAGTTCTCCGCAGCCACCGAACGCTTCTCATTTCCTGAAATTTGAAGCTCCATTGAAAATCCATTGAAAGTTTTTCTCAAAATACTTGATAAATTTGTATAAATTTCCAAATGGCCACCACAGTAACCAGTTAGTACTCGTTTCAGGATTCTATAAATGGCTTTACCGTATTTGTTTTTTTGTGAGCCTTGAAAGTGACGAATAATGTCGTTAAACTTGAAACTTAAGATTAGAATGAAAATCAACCCAAAATCACTAAATAATGATCCTGAGAGTCAAAACTTGTCCTTCTCTCAAGAATAAAAAAAAGGATGTGATTTTAGGTTGAAAAAAAAATCAGAATCTTTCTTTAGTAGATCAAAAAAAGTTGGGGGCAACTTTTCGAAAATCCTGGATTTTTTCGAAGGATGAACTTATAAAAGTTTGAAGCAATTTTTTCTTTTTTCATAAGTCGATCCTTACTTCTCTCAAACTTTCAGATCGCACCAAAATCGGGCCCATGCAGAAGAAACCGTCCGGGGAAACTATTAATCTTTTCGCTTCCTATTAATCTTCTCCTTGTCTGTTTTTTAATTACATCTCTTTCCGGAAAGACGACACAATATTAATTGTTATTGGTTGGATTCGTTGTGTTTCTCGAGATTTATGCCATTAACGGGACAAAACGAGGTCAGGATTCGGGCAGACTTGCTTCAAACTGAAGAGAAAAAAAAGCTGTGCAAGATTGACAAGAGTTACTAAAATGAGGACAGGAAACAAAGGGAGATTGTTAACTTCGTGGTGTAAGCAATTCGTTTATTTATTAAGCTTCATTTTCTCATTTTATACAGAGCAATGAACTTTTTGAAAATAAAAAATGTATTGATTTTTGCAAGTTGTCTTGGCCAACCAGGCTTAAAGCAACCTTTTCAATTTTGTTCAGGTCTTTGAAATGCTTTAGATCCCTTCTTTCTTTTATTATTTTTTTTTACGCAAACTATGCTTCCCAAGATTACTCCGAGCTTCCCAATACAAGCAATCCTACTTTAGGAATTTCTCGCGACTCTTTCCCCTTCTTCAGTTCAATTCTAGAAGTAGAGGAAAATAATATTTGCAATACGTCTTTTGAGACCCAACTTCTGAACTTCAGACATAGCTGAACAGCTGTATTTTCACTCGGATACAAGTTGAAACCAGAATCAGAGGCGGAAAACCGCGTGCCCAAACAGAAAAAGGGCGTCCAATACCTTGGACGAGTGCGAAATTCGCGCAGCGAACGAATGAAAACTTTCGTTGACCCCGTTTCGCCGGTGAGACCCGGCTGGACGGTTTGGGCAGCCTTGGCCAATGACGTCTTCTTTGCGCCGACGGCCCTTGTTTCAGTATCCGGCGATTGTAGAAACTCCATTATGCTTTGCAGTTACTATTGTCACCATGACCTACGCCTGGTGGGGCGTTTACCGGTTAGTTATCGTTTATTGTGCGATTAAAATCGAGTCTCCTTTTTTCTCCTTGAATGAATTTAATGAATTACTGAAATTCTTTCTACCAGAAAAACTTTACTGAAATCAAATATCTCGTTTTTTTTTGCTCTAAAAAGGTGTAACTCGTATTTTTCAGCTTTTTTTCTTATTCATAAAATTTTGAAACTACCAAATTAAGTTTTACTGACGACTCTTACTGGCAAGTCTTCTTCAAAAATATAAGTTTCAGCAACTCGAAATAAACCGATTGACCTATCTTTTCAAAACTTTGATTCAAAGTTGTCGATTTCAAAATAAAATTGTAAATTAAAACTATACTTTGGTGTTTGTGATAAAAAAATTTCTTCAAAATAGAATAAACTTTTTGTCATAAATGTTTAGCAAATAACCTGTCGTTCTTACATAAGATTCATTTGGAAACTTTCCCAATTCCAAGCTTCCAGGGCAAGCCAATCATTCGAATGGAAAATGGGTGACTATGGAATGTGGAGCAAGCCTCCGATCATTGGAGAAACGACTGGACATTTGATGAAGGTAACCTTCTTTCGAACTGATTTTTTATTTTGATCCTTTTTCTTCGTTTAAATTAGGCTTCTGGCTTGCAAAATTCGGTAGCTCATACCATTTCGAAGCCACTTTCCCTTCCTTACCGAATTCATAGAATCTCAGATTAAAATTCTACTGCTCTTTTTGATGTATTTTTTCAGCGGACAACGTTTTGACAAGTAAGACCCAGAAGCTGCAAAAAAAAGAACTCTGTAAAAACCATGATATTCTCAGGACGTGACCAACTGGGAGTGGTCCCGATGGTCGCCCTTCGCCTTGTCGTACTTGCCGGTCTTCCTGGGACACGCCGTTTTGTTCAACGCCGGCTCGGCCTTGCTTCCAGAGAAGTTATTCGTGCCACTCTACACGTTTTCTTCAATCGGTGCCGTCGCCTACTATTTTACTCCATTTTTGGTCGCCGTTTCCTTGCTCCAAGGCACCGTCGTCTTTATAACTGCCGCTTTCGTCAAGTTTGTTTCGTTTTTAACTGTTAAGGAAAGTAGGAGTGAAGACTCACTCAGTTAGGGCTTTTTTAGGACACTGATTCGGTTCTTTTTAGGTTTATCAACCTTTCATACATCCGATTAAGTTTTAGGTGAAACACTCGTGGCTTCTGGTTCTTACAGTTTTTACAAAGTCGTCTCTTAGCTGTTAGCAGCGATCTTAAATTGTTCTGACCGATTTTAAAAAAGGCTCAATTTTTCACGTTGATTCTGATTTTGTGCTTCGAGCTGAAACCATTCTCTGATGGGAAGCAGTAGTCTTTCTGAGCCGCAGAATCTTCTACCGTCAAGCCTCGTTTCAACTAAAAACTGAATTTTTCAGAAAAACAGCAATCGTCTGGCTCAGCGCTTTACCGGTGCTCTACCTGACGATGCACCAGACCTCCTCCCTCAGTGACGATCCCTTCCTAATCTTCACTTTCGTCTCCTACAGCATGCTCAGCTACGTCTCCTACTCGCTGGAAACGATGCACACCGCCGTCCGTCCAGAAGACAATACCCTGCCTAAGCGTTACCTCCGAATGTTGTTCTACACCTACTATCAGCCATATCTTTTCTCCCTGATCGTTCTTTATCCAGACTTTGAGCGTCAGATTGCCGAGAAGTGAGTTTAGCCAAGTGAAAAAATTAGAATCTCCTATTTTCAGATCCAAGAAAACACGCGATTGGAAAAAGTGCATCTTCTTCGCTTTTCGGATCGCCTTTTGGTGGTGGCTGATGGAAACGGCTCTGCATTTCCTTTACTTCGAGGCGATTCTCAAGAACCAGCCGTACCTCTACTCTCTTCCAAAGGACCAGTTTGTCGCGTTGGGAATGGCTCTAGGTGAGAACATGAGTTAGTCTCATTAATTTGAGTATTTCCTTGACAGGAATTTTCTTCCACCTCAAGTACGTCATTATCTTTGGATTGCCCTCGTTGTTTGCGCACGTCGACAGCATGGATCCGCTACCGCCGCCGATTTGCCTTATTCGGGTCACGCTTTACTCGAAGGTAATTCAAAAAAAAAAAAAAAATTATACTGAAGCTATTTTTTTTTGCTTCAGGTGTGGCGAGAGTTCGACCGCGGACTGTACATCTTCTTCAAAAAGTACATTTTCATCCCGATCTGTGCTCCGACGTTTTCTTTGCCTCGGAAAATCTTCGGCGTCTTGGTTTCCTACAGCTTCGTTCTTCTGTGGCACGGCTTCTATCATCATAACATCGTGGGCTTTTCCTACTACTTGATTTTTGCATGACTCAGAATTATCAAAAATATTTAGGTTGCGATCCTTCACAATAACATCGGCAATTTTCAATTATTTGACTTTTTTTATTACTTATTTCTCACAGTAGAATATATTGTCAGTAGAATATATTTGACGTAGAATATATTTGACGAACATTTTTTTTAAATAATCATAGTTTATTAAACATTTTTTTTATGTAGACGAGTTCGATAGAACTGAAAAAAATCTCCCGTGTCTGCCTTTTTATTTAAAAAGTCCCGTAAGTTCTAAATAAATATAGCTCAATCATAGATAAAAAAACTCAGGTTCGAACTTTCAAAACCGAAAGACCCCAATTTTTTCCGTATCTCAAAACCATAATCTTCATTATGATACCGCTTTGATACCACACAACAAAATCTACAGCAACCCTTTCGTAACGAATTTTCAAAAAACATTTTCAAAAAGCCACAACATGCATCACTCCTCCCAAAAACTTCCAAATCCAGAAACCTCCAGGTCTGGATCGGACTGAACATCCTCGCCCTGTTCCTGGAGATGAGCTCGAAGGTGCTGTACACGTTCGACTCGGTTCGCCTTTTCCGGGAGAAGCACCTGACCGACGAGAACTTCCGGCGAGTACTTGCCTGGCTACACATTGTGCCATTTGCCATCGGTCTCTACTCGAACTTCTACTTCCTGGGCGGCTCCGAGGTCGGAGCAGCCTTCGTACAGCGGTTCCTGATCGAGGAAACCATCACCGTGCGGTGAGCCGAAATGAAATGCGACGCCTCAACGAGTCTCTCGAGTGTTTCAGATGGCCGTTCCTTCTCATCATCACGCTCGGCTATTTCCATGCAAACACAGCGATCGAGGTCGACCGACAGAACGCTTTAAAGTCCAAGACGGCGTAGTATTATCCGATGATCAATCGTTGATTAATTCTTGTAATATATATTGGGTAATAAAGAGTGCTATTGTACAAGTTATTTCTTGAACAGTATGGATGGAAAATTATTAAAGACCCGAACTTCTTTCAGAGAATGTAAAGAAATGTTCAACTCATTTGACACTGACAAAACGATGAAAAACTCCTCAAATTTCACGGGTTTGAAGATTTTTTTGGCTGATTTTTTTGAAATCAATTCTCTGAAAAGTCATCGGAAAAAGAAAAATAAACTTTAGTTTTTTTCTTCGATTTCTTTTTGTTTGATGGACAGGACATGTTTTAAAAAAATGCGGTGCTTGTTGAGGGTAATAATGAAAATATACAGATCGCAAAAAAATTTGAAAGTTTGGAAGAGTGCCAAAAAAGAAATTTGGCGATCATTAAAATACAAAGCCTCCTTCCAAACTACCGAAGGAAAGAAGCTCAAAATCAGTTCCTTTGTGGAAAAACGATTAGTTTTTTTTTTACAGTTAGAGCAATTTCGTTTTTTTAATCACCATCTATTTCTAAAAGATGAAAAATAATAGCCCAATTGACTCGTTTTGGCAACATAGTTGGTATGAATCCGAGCGTGGATTAAGTTTGAACCACCTACAGCCAAAAAAGTTCAAAGATATTTTATCCCGGCTTTACAGTCCCAGCCTTGCTGTTTACTTCAAAAAGACAAGAATATTCCAACGATTCCGTGCATGCCACCCTGAAAAAGGTGCACTTTCCCGTACCACAGTGTCTCTCGTCGCCAGAATCGGCGCATTGGGGCGTCCCATCGCATCGCGATTTCCACTCGAGACACGTGCCGTCGAGACATTCCCACAGGTGCGAGGGACATTGGCGTATCGTGCTGTTCGCTGCAAGACCACGTAGAACGAAGTTGGTTAGGTGTGACAAGGTTGGAAAGGTGGGAAACAGGTGGTGCTAGACTTTCGGTTAGAGACAAAGGGAAAGAGAGAGCATGCGACATTGAAAAACAAAGAAACGTATTTAGAAATATTTAAAGGAGCACAAGGAGCATTTTCAAATGAATTGTCAAGGCGATAGGCCGTTTTCAACTTTATTGCAGCTCATGCAAGCCTTCTGCGCCTTTAAACACAAAAATTCTTCAAAACAAAAAAATACAGTAAGTCTAGTTTCTGTATTTGTTTTCAAAATTAATCCTTTTATTTATTGACGGAAAAAAATCTCGAAAGTTCGCACTAGAAGAAGAATGAAAAGTCCTACGAGAGAAGGAGAAATTTAAACTAATTTTTCCCATTTTCTTGAAAAGATAAACCTCCCTCCGGAAAGAAAGAGAGAAAGAGCAAAGAAGTAACCCTAAAACAAGAAACCCGAAAAGAAGAACCGATAAAAGTTCAAACAGAAGCTAAAACTAACGTCCGACGGCGCAGCAGAGTCCTTGGACGCAAGCCGTTGAAGACGGACAAACCGAATTTGACCAACAATACGTCGAGCCGTGTCTGGAAGAAATCCAGAAAATTTTCAGAGCTTTTATCATGCCAAAAAGTATCAAGTTTAGAAAAAAGTAAGAATTGAATAAGTTCAAAGTTTCAGTTTGTGTCACATTAATTTTTTTTTTTAAACGTTTTTAGATCTATTGAGACGACCAACCTTTTTTTGAATTCGAATTTTAACTCTTGATTGCGACAATATCTTGAAACAATTTTTCTTTTTTTAAAATTTAAACATATAAATAAAATTTTTAGAAATCAGGTAACAAAAATTGAAAACTAACGAAAGCCTGAATGATATCGCCCTAAAGCCTCTTTTTTTACATATACAAAAAGTTTTTCAATTTCCTGGTTGCGACAGGATAAATTGAATCGACATATTCGGACCCTTTTTGAGGCAGAATAAAGAAAAAAAAAACATGAATTCTGTGAAATATGATGTTCTGTTTCAATTGAAAAACTCACAAGCTGTACTCAGGAGTGCTGCCGTCCTCGCAGGCGACCGTCAGCCGCGAATGTGGCTTTCTCTGGTGTTTTCCATGATGCACTTTCTTGTGTGCCTTGTGAGCTTCAGTGCAGTTCTGCAAAATCCTTTCGTTCAGTTTCCAAAACATTCGATTGGCGACTTTCCTTATATCATGAAAAGTATACAAACACCTGGCATCGTAATTCCATATACGTTATCAAAAGACCGACATTATTCAAAGATTATGAAGACCTAACCTCTTTGACATTTGCTAGTAGGAAACTTCAATAAATACGCTGATCATGAAACTTTCTTCCGGGTACGTTTTGTCGAATTTAAATTTAAATTTGAAATTTTCAAATAAAAAAAACATTCAACAATTTTTTCCTCTTTGACAAAGAAAGTTATTTTGATCTTTCTGCAAGGTCAGAACACACCGAAAAGCTAATTGTGAGGTTTTTTTTTGTCTAATTGTGACACTCAACTCTTTCAAAAGTCTAGCGGTGTCTACACTGGGGTTCGTTCTGATCGGTGGTTCTCTAATAGCTACCGGATAGCTGCCCAGTAAAAAAAGACGAACGTCAGGTAGCGATGGTATCCAGGTGCCTCTTCGATACTATCCAGGTATCATGTCTATGGTATCAACACGATACTTGTTAATTAATAAACGACAACCGATTAGCTTACGTCAAACGATTTTGGAGTAGCTACCCGGTACCCACTTGTAATTTTTCAGATTCACGTATGCGTTTCATGTAATATTCAATCTTTTTCGTTATTTATTGTTCTTTTCCTTCTATCCCCATTCTGGTTTTGTGAATTTTTCCTGAGACCTTCTCATCGGAACCGTCGTGACAGTCCCTCCAGCCGTCGCAGGCGACGGTCAACGGAACGCAGACGTTGTTCGCCTCGCACAGAAGTTCCGACGACGTGCATTCGACGCCTGCAAAAGGGACAGTTGGAACGTGGGAGAAAGAGAAAAAAAAAGTAGATTTGATATATAAATGTATTCCGAACACGCCGGCCATTCTATTGTCGCGGCGAAGCAATCGAGCTGCGTCATTGGCTGAGGGCGCCCCCTTATTGAAAAGAATCGAAACGAGCCGTGAAGGTGGGTTTGGGCAACCGGATGAGTCACGTCAGCCGTGTCCCAGACACGTTCAAAAAATCCAATCAAAACTCGACAGTTTGGGCTTTTGAAAAGGAACTGATTGTCGAAAAATTACTCAGACTGCTGGCGACTGTTCGCTGAACTGATCAAACTCCAAAAATAGAAAAAAACATTGGAAGGTTTCTCATTCTACTTCTCAATGTTCATCCATGTTTCAACTTTTATTTTCTCGTGAAAGTATTTGAGAATTCGTAAAAGAAAGGTTGAAAAATGCCTCATCTTAAGAAAATTCTAGCGCCCGGAGGTTAGTTAAAAAAAAAACAAGCGATTTAAAAAAAAACCTCTCGAAGTTCTATTTTCCTTATTAAATTGGGCTGATACTACAACTTTTAAAAATAAGAATTAAAAAAGATTTCGATTAATCGTTAAACAGTTGAACTCAGGTTATTTATTCCAGAAATGTTTTAAAATTACTTTTATCACTCTAATGATTACTACGACATCCTTCTGCTACTTGAAAGTCTATGTTTTTCGAGTCCCCTAATTTTTTCATTTTTTTTTTGTCAAAAACGAACTCTTGGCACCTTCAGCCGATTTCATCACGAAGAAAAAAAAGACCTAGAGCAAGTCCGAGGTGATTAAGAGTGAGAGAGAAAAAGCATCCTGTCTCTCGACGGTCGGAGGTGAAACTTGGTTGTTTGCAGAGTCGTCGCAAAGTGCACCCGGATGGTTGCCGCGGCACACGGCTCCGCAAAACAAATCCCCTCACACAGAAGAGGAGAAGAAGCAAAAAAGCTTCTCAATCGGTGGTTTTGCTTACCTTTTAACTTTTTTCTCTGTGAAGGACAAAAAAAATCCGTCAAAAGTCTCTTGATTGCCCAGGCGAACGGGAGGAAAGGGCAAAATGACAGGAAGGAACGCAACAGTGTCGGTCGAGCAAATAAATAAATAAATCGAGGAGAAGCTCATGGTATAGAGGGTTTGCGTTGCGTGACCGGCACTTGAGAGAAAAGATCTCGTATCTAAAATTTACATGGGCTAACTAACTTGCAGCATGCGCCGATCCATTTCAAAACGCGCTATTTGACCTGATTTGGTGCAGAGTTTCACGAATTTTTCGGTGCAACTTAAAGAAAAAAATTTTGTAATTTCATTCTCAAGCCAATGACGTAATAACAGAACTACGAAAAAACCTAAAAGTTTCTATGTATAGGGTAAAAAACCGCCAAAGTGACCTCTGAAGTAAGCTTTTTTCTCGAGAACAAAACATTCTTAGCGTTTAAAAACAAAAAAAAAAGCTTGAGAAAAATACGTTGAAAAAAAACCTTTCAGAAGTCAAGAAAATGCCTTTTTCCGACTTGATTGGATGATGATAAAAATCATAACTTCCTCATGAGGTATTTCTGTCAACGCTATACCAGGACGCGCCTTGACTTCAAAGGAAACTTACGCGTGCAGGAGACCTCGTCGTCGCCGTCAGGACACTGAACGGTCCGGTCGCAGAACTGCGAGACCGGCAAGCAATGGCCGGATTTGCAGGCCCTCTCCCCTTCAGGGCAGCCTTCTGATTCGCCGGCCAGCTTGTCCGGCGTCACGTTCACCTGCAAAATTTGGTTCTTCTTCTAGGAGCCGTGATAGCGAGAACCTACTTCTTTATTCCTACCATTATTTACCCAAAATCTTCTTTGAAGACTGAACAGAATGTAAAATATAGGAGTAAAAAACAAGAACACTTAAAAAAAACACCTACAAAGCTTTTAAAGTTTCTCATTTTCCCATGGGCTATCTGATCTCTTCAAAATTGGTCAAAAACTCAAAACAACTTCAAACCAACCGTGAAAGAAGCCTCAACATTCATTCCCTCGACCATGATCTTGTACTCTCCCGCGTCGCCGTCGGTGGTGTTTTCGATCCTCAAGAAGTACTGGTCCGAGGTGTGATAGACGCTCAATCGGTCATCATTTCCTGTGGCTAAGGTTCCCTCGCCGATCACCTTGCCGTTGCGAGACCAGATCACCTTAAAGAGAAGATTTACGAGGCTTTTTCTGACTTGGAAGACGTCAATTTACCACTTGTTGAAACCTTTGGCATTCGGCCCGAAATGCGACTTTGAACCCTATCGTGGTAAAAATGAATAAAGAGATTTTTTTTACAACTAAGAAAACAGTCGGAAAAATACCAGAAAAGTGAAATAATTAGTTTAAAAGAGCTATTATCCGCCAAAAGCCGCGTCGCAACTGCTACAACTTGCTGTACCAGTTTGAAAGTGTTCACCTCCACCCATTACAAGAATCGAAAAGCTAATAAAATTTGAAGCTGTTCCATATACTTACTTAGCTTTAAAAAAATCTTCCTAATACTCGCCGTTTCTTATAAATTTATCGAATTTTATACCTCCTCCCACCTGTAAGAGACTAGACTTAATCATATGAAAATGAAAAAAAGTGAGAAACTTTACATTTCAAGAAAATTTTAAAAATTGGACCATGGACACTATAAGATACACGACGTCTTACACAGAAACTTCTTGATTCTTAATTATTTTATCATCTCTTGTGACCTCGCCGAAGAGGGAAAAGAGAGCGCAGACAGGTCAGAGTGTTCCAAGAGAAGGAAATACCTGTCGGCCAGCCGGAACGTGGTCAATGATCGCTGAGAGATGGACGGTCCCGTGTTTCGGTGTACTGACTTCCTTCTCGGTCTGCAGGATCAGTGGGACGTGTCGCTTGCATTCAGCTGAAGTAATTTTGATTATTTCCCCACTTCTACTCGCAAAAACCATGCTTGCGGCTCTCGTCCGAACCATCGGCGCAGTCTCTGCGGCCGTCGCAACGTCGGTCCGCCGCGATGCAGCTTCCGTCGAGACATCTGAATTCCGTTGGAGCGCAGTTGGCGTTGTCGTCTGAAAGTATTCATTTTAAATTTTCTCAGAGACCCTGTATGCAAAAACTGATTGTCCTTTCTAAAAAATATATTTCTTTTTTCTTCGTGTCAAGACACTTCTCGATGGCTCACGCCAGCTGCGAATTGGATGTATTGATTCTCATCAGAACTTGATTAAAAAAATCTAGAAATCTTTTTAAATTCATAATAAACGATTAAAAAAACTCGGAAAAAAACTTTCCTTAAAATTCAAAAAAAATATTTCGATTGGAGTTCCCAGCAGCTCGAAAAGTTTTAACAGCTCAGTTGAAAATGAAAAATGGACTTGAAAAAAAAAAATTATTTTGAGGTTTTATTCGCCTTGAAACATCATAAGGAGTGAAAGAGGCCAACAAAAACCGAAAAGTTATAAAAACGATTTGAAACAAATTGAAAGCCCATCTAGCCCAAAAAGTTGATGAAAGCTTCTGAAAATGGTCAGGAAAATCTCAAAGCTTTCAAAAGGAAAAATCTCTTCAAATCTGCCTAACCTAACCCGTTTTTCTCCGGAATATGTGGCTTTGAGACCAAGGATTCAAAAAACCCTCAAAATATAGCCGCATAGAGGAATTCGCCCTTATCAGTACCCGCTTTACTCATTTCTTTTCGATAAAAGTTGCGTCAAAGACTGTTTGTACGGCCGGAAAACCCCTCCAGGCGTCTCACGAACATTATGCAAGAGAGGTGGGAGGAAAAGCGTATTCATGTGCAAAGTGGCTTGTAAAAGCGCGTAAAATACACATAAGACACAAGCACTTCAAGCAAGGCGCAGCAGGCCAGAAAATGCTCGACGCAAAACACGGCGGCAGTACTGATCAAGGCATGAGACCTTATCGTTTATCAGTTGAGAAATAAGAAACTTTTTTTGTGAGAAAAAAAAGATTAAAATTCCGTTTTTCTCAGAACTTCTTGTAGCTGTTGATTTTTGAGATAAATTTGGAACTGAAAATTCAGAACGAACAAAAAATTCTGGATCCAGACATGAGGATTTATCGATTATAAGTTGGAAAAATGGATTGAAGATCGCTTTCGAAACTCTCAGAACTTCTTTAGTTCTTTCAATTTGGTTTTTTAGAAAGGAACTGAAAGAACGTTCAAGACGATGACTAACCGAAAGAAAGTTTTTTCCTGTTACAGAAACGTAACCAAGATGTTTCAAAACCTACTCCACTCAAAAGTAATGAGTCATCATGGAAAAAAAAAGCGAAGAAACAATGATTTCTATCAAAGAGAAGGGGTTGAAAAAACTTCTTAGATCGATAAATCCGAAGTTAAGAGATGAAAATTTTGAAAATTCAGACAAGCGCCTTTGTTAACGTGATTTGAACTGGCAAAGAAAAAATACAGATTCCTGAAAATTCATAGTGCATCACGACACAAACAAAGTTTTCACAATTAGTGATCAAAAATAAAAGTTTGGAAAATGAAAGTTTGCAACATTGAAAAAAAGAAATTTCTAACAAGACAAGAATGGAAATGTATTTGAAATGCCGTTCACGTTAACTGATAAGTTTCTATTTCGCTTGACAAGCTGCTTTCGAAAAAAACTCCTGTTAGATAACATAAAAAATCACGGAAAACAACAAAAACCGACAAAAAACGGACAAAAACGACACACACACCTTTGATGACGTGGACCTCGAATCCTTCATTGGAGACGGCGAAATCGCCGATTTGGCCGTCGTGTGCGGCGGCGAGCAGGACGTCCCTGACTCGCGGACTTTCCGAATCCGTGTAGACGTCGACGTAGGCCAAGGTGCCGATGATTTGATGGTACCTGACAGAAAATCACAATCACAATGACGGAGACAACACGTTTACTGTAACTTTGCTAAAACGTTTGAACTTTTGGTCACACTGGGAATGGCTCAATGGGGTAGCGCCTACAACGGAAAAGACTTCTGCGCCTCGGTCTACCTCCTTCCATGACTTGAAAAAAGTCTGCATTCTAGCACTCCTTTATTATATTCTAATTTAATCGTCTCTAACCTTAACTGTGAGAGAAAAGAGGGCGCAGACAGGTCAGATTGTTGCAAACCGTGGAAACCATAAAAATTTGCCAAAGGTTTGCCATGATGACTTGAACCGCAGCTCGTTGAGCCATTCTCAATTCGATCAAAACATTTCAAACCGTGCCGAATAGATTATGTTAGCTGAGCTTCTTCATTTTCACATCCAAAAATCAAAAGAGGAAGATCCCATTTCATTTTTGAACTTTTCTTCTTTTTTTCAGTTCAGTTCAGTTCTTCAAGCACTTGAGCAAACTATGATGTGCAGGTTTGCAACATCCCGTTAACAAGCGGTCTAGACTCGGATAAAAAAAGTGGGAAAGATGGATTTTTACTATTTATAGTTAGTGAAAATCTCTCAAAAATTCAATTTGAAAACGATTTTTAGCAATTTGCAACACTTTTTGCCGTAAATATCCTGCTGCGAGAAAATCCTAATTAACCTTAATGCTTGGTTAGAAAATAAATGCATTCGAATTAATATAGAAAAATGACATTGAAAAATCTCAAAAAAATTAGAATATCGAAAAGGGAAGATCGATATGAAAAGTATTTTTGATAATCAAGAAAAAAAAATCTTTTAAAAATTTTTAATTTACAATTTTGACTCTGACAAATTCGAAAAAAAGTGGAAAAAGAAATATATGTTTTCCCATTTGGATCCGAGGAAAAAAAAAGCAAAAAACTTAAAAACTGAATAAAAAAACAGTAAAAAAAACGAATTTTGCTGGACTATTTTATGAATGGAAACGAAGCTGCAAGTACAAGAAAAAAGCCAAAGTCGTCCGAATTTTTGAAGTTGAAAGTCAAAATTTTTCAAACAAGTAAAAGATATGAAATAAATGAACGAGCAATAAATTAGGTTCCAATTGAAAACTTAAATTCAGATTTTGTTAAGGCACTGGAACTTGAGAAAATATTCCATAAAGTGTGCAGAAAGAGAGATGAATCGACAATGTAGAGGCCAAATAAAGAAAAACCCTACCTAAAGTTTTTCGTCTGAAGCCAACCACTTACTATATAAAATAACCAAAAAATTTCAAATTTTTCCGGTCTTTGTCTTAATCTAAAAAGGAAACTGAACGAAATAATCTTTAAAGTTTGAAGTAAAGAATCAAACGCCTTTTCCTGTACCAGACAACGGTGAGCGAGAAGAAGGACAAAAATCGGACCGAAACTGAAAGACGGAGGCGCGGTGTTCACCGGGCAGCTCCACCAAGAGCTTGTCGATGGCCTCGCTGAGCTCCTTGGAGGTCTTCAAAAATTCGTCGGAGCCGACGCGCCGCAATTCGTGAGAATAGGGCAGGTCAGGGAGGTTGATGGTCAGTCGGTAGATGACCGACAGCGACAGCGCGGCGAACAGCGAGAACGCCATGGCCGTCTTGCTGCTGCTTCAGAATCACAGAAGACGTGCAGAGGCAGAGCAACCCCGAGGCGACTGTATTTCTGGTTAGTGCAAAGGCGGAAAGGGAGTAGGGGGAGGCGAGCAGCAGCAGTGGACGACGGTTAGAGGGCGGCCGAAGTTGAGATTCGCCCGCCCCTCTTCTCGTTTCTTTGCTTTTCTTATTTCAATTTCTATGCGCAAAATCTCTCTCGGCCCTCCGACCTTCTCTTTTTTTTTTCTTCTTGCTTCATCTTTTGATTTGACGAAAATTCTTGAGACAAAAATTCCTTTTTTAAGACAATTGGAAGAGCTGCGATTCAAAAATCAATCAAAGACCTTTTCGCTCCGTAAACGACTTTCAAGCTTCAAACTCGAATAAATCGGCAAACTAATGCTCAGAAATTCTTCATTTGATCATTCAAAGCACTTATTTTTTCTAAAAACTTCTTTTAGAACAAAAACTTTGATTTGGAAATAAAGGAATTTATGGTCGTGAAAAATGAAAAAAAATATCATAAATTCAAAGTTTTAAAATTATTCGTAGTTCAAACCTGCGCTGTTAATTTATTGAACATTCTTTTAAAAAAATCGTGTTCATTATTTTTAAAGTTAAATAGTTAATTTGATACAATCCGTCGAAACTTTGAAATATCCGGTTCGAAACGTTTCCTACAATTTTTCTGCAGTTTTTTTATTTTCACTGAACTGAACTCAAATTTAACCTGAATTCCTTGGAGGATCAAAAATTTTTCAACTTTCATACATTTTGTTTTTTTTTTTCATGTATCTAGGATTTTCATTCGACTCTTATTATAATTTCAAAAGCTTAACGTTCAAAATCAGGATTTTTGAAATCCAGGAAAATTGGAAAATGACTCCAAAAATTTGTTCAAAAAATCCTTCTACGCTCAAAAATTAAAACAACGATCAGCACATAGACAGATTCCGACCGCATTAAATAAATCAAATCCAGATCGGACACCTTTCTATATATTTTCAAGCTATTTAAACTTTTTCAATGTTTTGATTCCATCTTTACGGCAAAAAAAAATACTTTTTTTTCTTTCTTTCCCAATATTGAACGGTGAGAAAAACAGGCACTTGACGCAACCTTTCAAAGATGAAGGCGGAACACGAGAAAAAAAGAACGGAAAGAATGCCGCAGCGAGAACCAGTCACACCAGTTGTACTCGTTCGAATGTTTGCGCACTGTTGCTCATGTTACTGATCTCAAGTGTGTGGGAGGGAAGCCGTTCGGTTTCATGTAACACAAAAAGTTGGATCAAGGTCCAGACATTCTTGGAAAATTCAGGATATTATTGAAAAGAGGTATGGGAAACGGCGGAAGAGAATTAAAAAAATCGCATCAAAGGTATTTTTGAAATGTTGATAACTTTTTGAATAATGCTAACGGTTTGCAAAAGTAACAAGTCTCAGGGTTTATTCAAAAATCGAGTCAACCATCGGTGGTATGAAAAAAACACCAGCGAAAATTCAAACGGCGACTTTTTCCGATTTTTTTCATTTCGCTAGGGAACTTTCCGACGGCCACCTTTCCGACGAAACTTTTTCCGACTTTTTTTTCCCTTATGCTTTTCGGTTTATAAAACATCTATGAACATTTTTTTCTTCCTATTTCTTTGTGTTTTTAATTATGAAAAAACTACCTACTTTATATAGGAAGATGTAAAACAAAGAGTTTATCGAGAAAAAAAAGTCGGAAAAAGTTTCGTCGGAAAGGTGGCCGTCGGAAAGTTCCCTAGCGATATGAAAAAATCGGAAAAGTCGCCGTTTGAATTTTCGCCGGTGTTTTTTTCATACCACCCAACCATCAACTTTATGTACTAATTGAAGAGACAACAAGGAATCATATAAAAAAAGTAAAAAAACTTACAATCCAGTGAATTATCCTCAAAATAAGAGCTTAGGAAGTTGATCGAATTCCTTTGGAAAAAATAGAATCCGGCAGACCAAAACTTAAAATTAACCCTGAAAGAAGGTTTCGGCTTTACGACTTGGGCAGTATTCATAAAGGGATTTCAAAAAGAGAGAAAGATCGTGAAATGAATCTGATCACGCTGGTTCCAAAAACTGTGCTTGACAGAGATCTTATAATTATGCTCAATTCATTTGAAAAAACGTTTGGATCTTCGTGATGACTTCCAAGAATTTTGAGGTTTTGAGTTAGCTCAAGATTTTTGATTACGAAGAGCGAAAATAAAACGGATTGATAATCAGTTTTTGAGCTCAGAGGTTCGGAAACGACGGGACAAAGAAAGGATTATGAGGAGATGAAAAAAATAGTGGAAGATGTTTCTGATTAGGAGAAGATGTTTCTGATTAGAGAAGATGTTTCTGATTAGGAGATTACGTCTTGAACTTTGATGTATGTATTTTTTCTGCACTGAAGTTCATATCCTGAAAATAAAAATTTGCGAAAAATTCGCTCGAAAGAACTGTGGAAAGAAACCTGTAAAATGATACTTATCAAAAAATGTTCTGGGTTCTCAGGTTCTTCGGATAGGAGCAAGATAAGTCGAAGAAAAAGTCGGAGAAGTTTGACCATCTCTATATTCAAAACTTTCCGGCCTCACAGAAAAAATCCGGCCAAAAAACACATTCGCAATACAATCCAACTTTTCAAGCGACAAAACATGGATAAGAAAAAAACGACTCAAAATCCAACCAGTGAGAAGCTGGACCTCGCCATCGGGCGGGTCCGGTTCGGCCTCCAGAAGCACGGCGCCAGAGCCTTCGATCGGCGCTGCTGTCAGCAATCGGGTCGAGATCAAGCAAAAAGCAGTAAATAATCGAGTAACAATCATCATCTCATTGAATAATAGTGGGGTACGAGTGGGGTTTGTGGTGGGAGGCGCGACGAACCGACTGGCGGCCGGGGGGCACAACAGATGTTGCCTCGCACCGATAACGTATCCCTTATCCGCGTCCTCTTCACGAGTACTTCTGTTAAACTTGACGCCACGACCCCGCGCATTACTCCTGCCGAATAGGCATGTCTGTCCGATCGCCCTTCGTGCCGTGTCAATCAACAATTCCTCTGTTTTTCCAAATTCCGAGCTTTTTTTTTAGTACGGCAGCGATTTTCGTTTCTCTCGATTCAATATTGGAGCACATTCCCCTCACAAGTCAGTTTTTTTGCGGTTGGTGATTTCGTGAAAATTGGTCAGAACACTTCTTTATGTACCAAAAAACATTATGAAAGTCTCAGCCTGCACAAATTTCCAGTTATTGAGAACGGACATCGCAAAGTCAACGAAAACCTTAAAATCCGCTGATATGAACATTTTTTGGACTGAGCCGTTATTTCTCAAAACTAGGAAGTTTTGCAGGGTGAGACTTCCAGGACCCTAATTTGGTACTTCGAGAGATATTTTGTCAAATTTACAGAGAATTCCGAAACTACAAAGTGAAACGACCTTCCTTGTCAGGCAATTCTTGGAAAGGTAACGGGAAGAAAATGAGCAGGGGGTTGGAAGGCAAATACGAAGAAGTTGAATATGGTAGGAGCCGGCGGTTTTGAGGAGGCATTTGGAAGGTGGTCAGAAGGAGATAAGAAGATCCTTAGAAGATTTTTAAAAGAATTGAAAAGTCCGGACAGCCTGCTAGAACAGTAATCAGAAGCTTCCGAAAACTCTCTTTAGATTTTTTTGAGTCCGTTTGAATTTAAGCTCAAAAGAGGCTAATTCGAGCTATGGTAACTCCTGCGAAGTTCGTAGAGCTCTGTGAAGTCAGTAAACAGATTGAATCATTAAAACCGTCAATCAGTTACGATCCGTCTATCCAATTTTACTAGACTGAGCTTATCTATCGTTGAGAAACTGGTAGTCTTCATAGAAAAGTATGAGTAGATTGAATAGAAAAAAACAGTTAAAAAACAATACATTTTCGAAAAAAAAACGTACCTTTTTGTGAAAATCTGTCTCTTTCCGGCTCACGATGTTTTTATGAATCTTTATCCAATGTTCGGTCATTCTTTCGCTCTTCTAAAAATGTAAGATCTGACAACGAAATAGCCGAAAAACTCAAAAAGTCGCGTAAAAAAATTTATATTGGAAACAAGATAAAAAATATTCAAAACAAATAAAGCATTGAACATTCTGGATCTACTCAACATGAAAGTCTTTTTATCTATCGAGAAAAAATGCATGTATTCAAAAAAGTTGATAACGAAAACTTTAACTCTTCGTAATTTCTAGCCATATTTCATTGCAGTTGACAATAAAATGAACTTCAAGTGCATAAATACTGTAAAAAGTTTCAAAAACCCGAGTTTTTGAAATTGGAGACCTACAGCTGCGCGTAAATTAAAATGCAACTTCCGAGGTAAAGCGCCAGTGCGTACAGTAAACTTTTATTCCCTCAAGCATCTTTCAGAGGTGTTTTTCGTATTTCTATGAAAGATTTCTCCGTTTTGTTTCAGTTTAACTTATAGCCGTCCGCTTTATATTTTCAATGAGTCATTCTTTGCCAATTAAAGGAGATTCTATTGTAAAAATCTATTTTTCTTCAAAATAAAACTTTGCAAAACACTTCATTAGCATTAGATTTTATTAAAATGGAGAAAAATGTGATTGGAATAAATATTTAAAGCACCAAATAGGCTCAAAGGCTCACAACTGAAAAAGGCGGGTTTACAAGGATTTTTGAACTTTCATGAGGGAGTAAATGGTATAAGAAGAGAAATTTACACGTGTTTTTTCAATACAGTGATAAGCTACAAGGTAACATGTAGTTTTATCATTCTTCCTTGGACTTCTCCTTCTCCTGGCTGTCGGCCGTCGCTGCGTCATAGATCTTCTTCAGCTCCGGGACGATCTCCTCCTGGGCGAATTCCGACGCCGCCGCCGCTTTCTGAAACATTTCCAATTTATTAATTTATTGAAAGACTTTTCATTGACCACTTTTTCAACGCAAAATCTATGAAATTCAGTTTCTTCACCTCAGAAACCCATTCGCGGACAACTTTGTGAGTTTCGGGGTCCTGAAGCTTCTCCTTGTACTCGTTGAACTTGTACCTGGAACTCACAGTGAAATTATTTGTTCTGAGAATGTTTAAAAAAACCACAAAAAAAGTATGAATGATCGTTGTTTTTTGAAAAGTTTAATAGTTTTCAAACTGATAATTGAAGCAACCGATACACTCCGAAGTTCCAAGGCGCCCTGATTTTTCGCAAGAAAATAGCGGACTCTTGAAGAGAGGCCGGAGAAGCGACGCATCTCTCTTTCTCTGGCGTCTCTTCAGGCTTCCGCCCATTTGACCTTTTCCGAGTTCTAAGTCTAATTTACGACAGTTTTGGTATCACTTCGAAGAACTTTTTGCTTTAACTTCACGAACCTGACCGCTGGACTAGCCGTATCCTTCACCCAACCAGCGGCGCTGACGAAACCTTCGCTCACCTGAAAATTATTTTTTATAATTTCAAAAGAATCATGTAACTGCTCAAAAAAGACAAAAGACTTTAGGAAGGTTCAGAAAAAGCTACGAGCCTTCTTTTACCACTATTTTGAATAAACATAATGGAAAGACAAAACTGACGCTATCCGTCAAGGAGTCCCACCAATCGGCGCGAACAGCCGTCGATAGTCCCACGATCAGCAAAACAGCCAACGAAAGCTTCGTCATCTTTTTTGACCGCCTATAAATTACTTTTTACTGAGAAATTTGAGTATACTCCGGATTTATTAGATTTTGAAAATAAAGAAGACATCTGAAAGTTTGGAGAGAACCAGGAAAAGAAAAACATTTTTACTCGAAACCTACTTGGCACCTGGCCAAAATAAAAGACTTCCTAGGGCCTTTCAATGGCTTTTTCTTGAGAAGGTTTTCGTTAAAGAAGTAAAAAGAGGTTGAACGAGACCAAAAAAAAATCCAAAAAGAAGTGACTCCCGAGATCACTAATTTTTAAAAAGTAAATTTATATTCTTATCGAAAGTCGTGGACTTATTTCGTCAGCCAATCAACAAAAAAAAAGAATCGACATAGGGAGAAAAATGAGCTGTTTTGTCGTGTTCTAAACAAAGCGAACAACAAAAAGAAAAGTTGAACGTTTTGATTTGAGAAGGAAAACAAGACAAAACATGAGGAAAATGTTATGGGAGCGGCGATGAGTAAGAGCGAAAGCGACAAAATCGATAAATTAGGTTCGTCTTCGGACAATTTGGAGCAAATTGGCCACCATCGTCGCCGTCGGAGTGATGGAACGACTCGACAGGTGGCATTTTCCGCCTAGCCACCAAATGAGTCACTTTCTTTTTTGGTTCTTCTATTGGCAGTACCTGGTTTGATGAGTCATTCTTAGATTTATTCGTGGAACAGGAAGAATTAACTTTGGTTAATTAAAAGAGAGAATTAACTTTGGTTAATTAATTAGTGATCCATCAACTGTTGTTCACCTTTTTTTGAGCCAGAAGTTTTACAGTGTGCTGGAGGTGTGAAGGTCCTGAAAATTTCGAACTGCAAAAATCCTTCTTTTTTTTGAAAAAAAACCTCGAAGATCACTTTCTGGGTATTTTTTTTTTGCAAGAATTGAAATCTAAGCCTCTCAAAAACTAGGAAGTTTTGCAATTCGAGACTCTCAGGATCTTTACCTAGTACATTGAAGGTCAACTCGGCCTAATTTCGGAAAGTTCTGAAATCATTGGTTGGATCATCTTCCATGGTAGGATAGGCGCCTGCATTTCCTGAAAAAAATTGGAAAAAGGAGGAATTTGGAGACCGATTGAGATTCTCAAATTTCGAGGCTGAAAGTGAATTTTCAGATTTTGTGAAAAAAAAATTATGCTTTTGTTGTCATTGACTTTTTGATAAGCAGAAACGGAGAAAATGACAAATATATATCCGTAAAAAAAAGTTTTAAAAGAGATTTTCTCAATTTTAAGCGGTTCAACTCCGTTTGTCCATTTTGACAGTGATTATATTGACAATCGACAATTTAGTCTTTTAAGTCTGAACCTGAGTCCGTAAAAGATCTGGCATTTTGGGAGAGCCAATTGAAAACCTTACAAAATAAAATTAAGAAACTTGTTCAGAAAATGGAGCCGAAGAAGATCAAACTTTTGAGCGAGGAAGTCAGGTCAAAGCTGAGCTCAACCCGACGGAAAAGTAAGACGAGCTCACGCTTGAGCCAGACTTCTTAAGTAGACAAGTGAAGTGGAGTGAAACTGACTACGGACAAAAGGCTGGACTGAAGCGACACTAGCAAAGGTCAGAAGCATGTTTGGACTCGTGACAAGGGCCGAGTGAAGTGGAGAGGGTTGTTACTTGAACCCGAAGCACACCTGACGCGAGCTTGTCGGATCTCTTTGATGTTGAAGTGGACTTTTTACTTTGTTTTGGGTGGTTATGAAAAAGCCTTTTTTTATGACTCATGGCTATTTTGAAATGTATACAGATCTTGTCTTTAAAAACAAAGAATAAGCAGAACAGTGAAATCGATCTGACTATCAATAAATCTTTCAATAAAGGCGGCATTTTCGGTCAAATCAAGGTCCCAAATGTTTTCTTGATGATTTTTTCTTACAGATATTTTGATAAGTGAACCACCGGACGATAGTTTCACGCAATCGCACAAAAAGTACGTCGTTCCCAAAAATAGTAAGGAGAGATACTATGCCTTCAAAGTTTTGATTTTTAACAACCTATTTTATGGAGGGCTGCGCACCAAGTCTTGAAGATCTTCAAAAAATCTATAAAAGGCCTTTTGAAGTTTAAGAACGCTCAGGAACCTACGCAGAGCAGAAATGGGAAAACCCGCAAAGTCAAGAATAAAAAAAGATAACTGTGAAAAAAAGGCAAACAGACAAGCCTTTTTATGGTGTTTTGAATCGGGTCCGCCTCCTTCAGCGAAGATGACTCACCGTTTACAATATCACATCGGGATTTCGGCAGCAAAAAAGCCGCCAAGCGAAGAAACAGGACGCCGTTGGCAACTTTTGTGGCGCGGAACGGCGAAATCCGACCGGCTCGAAATCGTTGCAAATTGCGGCTTTTTGCCCTCAAAATGGTTTTTTTTTTTCAATGTCAGACAGCTGAAATGAACATTTACCTAACTTTGGAAACCTCAAAGACATTTTATCGAGGATTCTCTATGACCAAGGTAAACTAAAAATCATTATTATTGATTTTAAAAAAACTTTTTAAAGGTCACTATAAAAAAATTAAGACACGATACGTATTTTTAAACCTTAAAAAAATGAAGTTCTAGCCGATATTTTGAATAATATTAAAAAAAGAAAAACTGTCCTTTTCTAAATGGTAAGTTGAAAGATTGTATCTTAGTTTTAGGTAATAGTTATATTTCTAGGAACAATAGTGTAAGTTCAACAAAAAAATTAAGTCATCACCCTGATGATCCCTATTGGAAGTTGATAATGAAACTCAGAACTTAAAAAAATTTGAAAAAAATGACATCTTTTATTCTTTAAACTAGTAAAATTCCTTGCTTTGTATCCCAGCTATGAGCCTTTCATAACATCAACCATTTTGAATCAAATAAGGTTTTAAAAACAACTTACGCTTCAAGAAGCTCACGACTTGTTTGACAACTCCCTGATAAGCGGTACTTCAAAGAAAATCGCCTCAAAACATTAAATTCAACTAACGCTTTCAATCAAAAATTACAATGTACCGCCAGGACCTCTGAAGATTAATCGTTTTCCATTATCGTGTATATTTTATTGGCGAACGCCGAAAAGCTGTCACTCAAATCAATCAATTCGCGGCTCGGCGGCGACGTCTTGTGTTAACAAGATTTCGCGCCTCGATCTTGAAATCATATAACGATTCCTGGGGTGAAAATTGAAGGTAAGAGGTGCCATGAAAGTTTAAAATTATTAAACATTTCAAAAGTTGTGAAATCAAATGACGCGATTGAAATCTCAGGCTCCTCGTGTGATTCATTTTGAAAATTTGAAAAAAACACCATTATATACGAATTTTTGAAATAAATTTCACCAACTTTTGAGAAAAGAAAAAATAAGCTAAATTTTAATTCGCGTGATTCATTATTACTCTTTTTTTACCAAGAAGTTTAAAAAAATAACCACTTGAAAAGCATCAAACCATCAGAAATATTCCGTTTTCGACTACTTTACATAGTAAATCATGCAAAACTTCCGCTTTATCAAAAGCACAGCGACACAGGTTCATTGAATAAAGTCTCATTATGAAATAAAAAAAACCCCAAAAATCATTGAAATATTAATTTTTCAACGGAATAATCTCCATAACGCTTGAAGCAGAAAGGAAAAGCTTCAAATTGCAGTTCTTATCTTCCAAAAACCGCGATCCAAAAAGCGATACCAGCAAGCCGTGAAACTTTTGAACTTCTCAAAGGCTTGCACTATTTCCTGGGGCATTGTTGGTATAATAGCCGATGAGAACGGTGGGGGCGATCATATCAGCCGCCTGAACTGAACAAACACGCCGGCCACAAACTTCACACTGACGGCGGCGGTTCGCTTATTTGCATATTGGTTGCGCGGCGACTTCCGCCCAGCTTGACGCGTTTAATGAGCTTCAATCGAACCGATCAAACTGGACCAACAAGTTTGATTGCGGGGACAAGAAATTCGGTGGTATGAAAAAAACACCAGCGAAAATTCAAACGGAGACTTTTCCGATTTTTTTATATCGCTAGGGAGCTTTCCGACGGCCACCTTTCCGACGGATCCTTTTCCGACTTTTTTCCCTTATATTTTTTGGATTATAAAACATCTATAAACCTTTTTTTTCTATTTCTTTGTGTTTTAATCATGAACCAACTACCTACTTTGTATAGGAAGATTTAAAACGAAGATTTTATCGAGAAAAAAAGTCGGAAAAAGATTCGTCGGAAGGGTGGCCGTCGGAAAGTTCCCTAGCGATATGAAAAAATCGGAAAAGTCGCCGTTTGAATTTTCGCTGGTGTTTTTTTCATACCACCAGAAATTCGAACGAAAAGGGAGGGGGAAACTATAGGAAAAATTTAAAAACAAATCACTATTAGAAATAAAGAAGCCGCCGGTATTTTTACAGCTTACCTCACGTAAATTGATAAGAGATTTGTCATTGGTGCGCTCTTTCCACGCCTCTTCGATTCATTTTGTTTTCTTCTATCTTCTCGGACCTTGGTAACGCGAAAAGGTCGTGCTACTCTAAATTAATCATTACAAAATATAAAAAAATATTATATAGGTAAATTACCTCTAATCGAATAAGCATTAAGAAATATGAAATAATTAAGATAGAAAGCAGAATTTTAAAAAAACCTTTTACGGCGGATTGTTTAATTCAGTTCGAAAAAAACCATCAAAAAAACTAGAAAAAAAGAATGTAATTCAGATTATTTATATTATAAAAACTACAAACTGCATTTCCTGATTCAATTTGGCTCTGAGTTACGCGAATTAAGTTACTACAGGAGGACAAAAAAATGATACAAAACCGCGGGTAAAAAAACAATTAGATTCCAAAAATCCAAAAATTAAAACTTTAAACTTTGAAAATTTTTTCAGTGTCTTCACTAGCTTTACCTTTCACGTGATGACCCAGAATTTTATTCAGAATAAAATTTAAAAAATAAAATTTCATTTCTTCAAAAAAAAAAACGTGAACTTCTTGGCAAGGCGTCATTTTCTTGATATCGAAAAAAATAAGACGTACAAAAACACGTGGCAACGTGTCATTTCTTTTTGTATGGCTTGGGTACAAAGGTCGTTCTTGCTTCCCTCACGTTTCGTCTTGCTCCAGGATCCTGAATCCAACTTCAAGATGAGTTTTTAACTTCCAAAAAACTTCTAGTTTCCACAATAAGTTTCTGAGTTGTAAGCGCTAGTAGATTAGGCCCGCGGGACTCCCGGAGTGCCGATCCTTTTTTCTTGCAAACTGGATACGCAAAGTCACGCCGAAGCCCATTCCTGTGGCCGAGGCATAAACTGTTGGCAGCGCGATGCTGACAAAGCGATGATGGGACCCCCACGGAAAATGCCGTCACGGCCTTCGGCGTCTAGGAATCTTAGTTCTGACAAGGCCGCGCGGAGCTCTAGCGCACCGCCTAGATAGTTCTTTTGACTTTGTAACTTCCCTAACTAACTTATGACTTTACATAGCTGATCAGTAAAAAAACATTGCGAATCTTATAATGAATATTCTACTTGCTTTTTTTCAATTTTGAAATTCTTGCAGGAAGCTTGCAACAAGTTTTTTTCTGATCAGTCGATGGACATTCGAAGACAACTTCAAATAGTACAGTTTGATATCTAAAAAAATATTTTTCAATTACTTTTCCTTCAGAAAAAAACGACTGCAACATTCGAATGAAAATTGGAAAAGAATCAGCGTAGTGAAGACAAATCTACAGACTACTACGGGAAATATTGATGTGAGGTTTCGAAGTCTTCAAATTGGAAAAGTTTTATGATGATAAAAAAGAAGGTTTGACCTTATTAACACTGAATTAAAGCCAGAAAAACCTTGATCCGATATCAAAGGCAAAGTCGCAAGGGTGATAAAAGACTATAGAAATGCTCCTTTTTTCTGCCTTTTTTCGTCATTTCATAGGATCTTATGCACCATTTTTTGCTGCCTCTCTCTTTTTACATTATTTCTTGAGCCTTTAGAATTTTAGAAAAAATGGGATGCTCAATAAAGGGACTCTTTTGGCTCCCTTTCTGCGGTTTTTTTTTTGAGCCTCCTCTTTTTAGCGGCCTTTAAACATCATTTCGACTTTGCCTGACACTGAAAAAGTCGGAAATGCGGAAAACGGCTCCAAAAAAGAGGAGTGACTGCAAAATGGCCGCTTTAAGAGCTCCGTTTTACATCCTTTATTGAGCCTTTCTTTCTTGGTGGCCTAAGAAGCCTCAAAGAAGAGTGAAAAAAGGGTGAAGAAAGAGTGAGGGTGCAAAAAGAGTTCTGAGTCTCGGCCATTATTGTTTGCGATTTTATTACTGTAGCACATTTTGGTTCATACACAGTCACTAATATAAATTATTCTCAAATTAATAAAAAACTTTTTTTTTCTCAAAAGGGTCCGGAAAGGGTGGATTACGGCCGATGAAAGGACAGAAAAAGGCAGTAAAAAGGAAACCGTTGCCATCCGTTTAGAAACAGTTAATGGAATGATTTTGATCCAAAAAGTACGCTCAAAAAACCCGTAAAGGGTCCTTCCGACTCTGCCTATGAAGATATATAAACATTTAAAAAATGTGGTTGTTAGAAAATCTCGCGTCAGACTCGGCTATTTTATTTGGTTCGTATAAATCATTGTGATAATCTATTATGATTCGAGGCCGCAAACACGCTGGCTGCGGAAAAAATAATTCAACTTTACGAGCAGCTCTGTTTAATTAAACTTTTCTACTTATATCCTATTTTTCCGCATTTGAAAGTTTTTAATCTCTGAAAATTCAGTTAATCGCGAGGACACGAAATCGTCGCGAAGACGTCTTCAAACAAGATCCATGGCAGACGTTGGATCAACTGCGTGGCCGTCAAACAATAGCAGGTACCAGCCCAATGCTCTTAAAAGCAGCTGAGGGTTTTTTGTTCTGTGTTAAATTGCAAAGGAGGAATGAAACAGATATAAATTTACAATGACTGCAATCGCCCCTACTGTCTGACCGTTTTTTTTTTTTTGAATTTTGCGGAATCATTTCGGAATGGGCATGAAAACTTCCAAAAAGAAGAAAAAACGCAGACATTGGTAACGCGAAACGGACGTGTACGGACATTTCTAGTGACCACTTTAGTAACGTCAGCATTCTTAAGTGATCCCTAGAATTGCTCAGAAATGTCCAGAGCACGTACGTTTGGCGTAACCAATGTGCTAGAAGATAGTCTAAGAATACACCAAGAATAACTGCCGAGATAAACGAGAGGTCGGTGGCGGTACATTGACGAACTCGCAAACATGTCGCTTTTTTCTAGGCGCGAGCTCGCAATTCTCTCGGCGCGACCTCGAATTTTTCTTGGCGCCATCTCATTTATCTCGCACTTCGGAAATTTTCAAATTGCAAGAGAAATGCGAGCTCGCGCCTAGAAAAAAGCTACATGTTTGCGAGTTCGTCAATGTACCGCCACCGCCACCGACCTCGCGTTTATCTCGGCAATTATTCTTAGTGTATCTTCTCGCATATTGGAAACGCCAAACGAACGTGCTCTGGACATTTCTGAGCAATTCTAGGGATCACTTAAGAATGCTGACGTTACTAGAGTGGTCACTAGAAACGCCCGTACACGTCCGTTTCGCGTTACCAATGTCTGCGTTTTTTCTTCTTTTTGGAAGTTTTCCATGTCTCGGCTTATAGAAAAAAAAATGAAACAAAGGGGGTGTGAAAAGTGCGCCCCAATGATGAATCTCTTGTCAATTTACTTGAGGCAAGCATAGCAAAGACCGGAGGCTAAATAAAGTATACACACTTTTGAAGCGAAAATCAGGTGGTGCATTTGCCATCGAACAGTATATGCTTCTCAAATTCCATCCTGGACTTGATTGAAACCTGAAAAGTAATTTATACATTTAAAAAAAACGAAGGCACACGGCGTTTCTGATGCCGTGTTCAAAGTAATTTCGGCAATTTCAAAATTAACGCGTTATTCGTTTAAAATAATTTCGGGAAATAGGCAGAATTGGTATTCCGAGAAGGCGAACAAAAAGTGAGTTCTACAACGATATATCGTTGTAGATTTCGCGAAATGCAAAATATCCTTTAGAGAAAGGAAAAGGTCACTAAATTTTGGAGAATCAGAGATCATTTTGCAATTCGCGCAATCAAATTGAGCACGGCATGAAATTTCAGTAGAAAATGCCGAAATAACTCCAAAATTTTGAGTTTCCGCGCAGAAGTTACAGCAGTAAAAATGTTATATTTTGCTAGACAACGTAGTTGTTGAAGTAAAATATTTATTATATTCTAATACGTAGAAACGATCACATAGCTTAACCCAGTTTGCTCTTATGGACTGAACTTTAAATCCGGCGTGGACGTGATCTTATCAGATCGCGTCAGCCGATCTCACGAGCTCTGCGGAGTGAGATTCATTCCAACCAGTTCACGCTCGAAGGACAACGCGGCAACGGAAGGTGAGTTGTCGGGGAGCCCGCCTCTCCAACAGAGGCAGGATCCCGGCAAGAGCTGAGGAGGTCTAGGAATAGATCACCCGGCTCGAAGCCGAATCGGAAACGTCGAAAGTTTCCACGGTCGGGTACAGGTCAGACATAGACAGTACCCTCGCTTAGACCATTGGATACAACCTATCCAAAAATTAAGCGACAGACCAACTTCGGGGGACGTAACCCGGAGGGTCTGAAAGACCAGACATGAGGTCGCATTCACGCTGAAACATTTCAGAAGAATGGAAGAGATAGAGCAAGCTCTACTCGGCATACGGTCAGAGCGTTCGTCCTCAAAATCATCGCTCTCGGATGAGGATGACGAGACCAAGGATTTGTCCCCAGATGAAGCAGGCCCACCAGGCCCAAAGAAGCTTTTCTGCGGCGACAAGATCCCGAAGTACTCAGACTTCAGGGACGCAGGTATGACTATAGGTACCTGGAACCCAACGAACAGTGCATAGGGGTCACGATCCCACCGCCTCCGCCACCACCGGAGACCACGCGGAGACTCCGCGTTCGCCTCTCGGAACCCATCGCGGTAGAAGCGAAGGGATGGCTAGAGGGCATTTTTAAGCCCTTTGCGGAAAGAGAAGCAGCCTACAAGGCCGTAAGGAACCTCATACTCATGCAGAAAGAATATGAGCTTTCAGATTCCGCTGATAGCGGAGATCACGGCCACGGCTCCAAAGCTGGACGGAGTGTTGGCAGGCCAAGTCGACTTGGGGACCAAGATCCAAGTCGGCGAGAATATCCTCATGGGTTTGAACGAGGCGATGACAAACGCGTTGAACGCGCTAGCGTTCGGGATCGCGTCGCTGGATGAGGACAAGGCCCAAGCTAGGGAGTACCTGCGCCACGTGGGGACCTTCTTGGCGTGGGCCAACTCGGACATTGTCCTCCTCCGAAGATATAGAGCACTGCGGTAAGCCTAATAAGAGCAAACTGGGTTAAGCTATGTGATCGTTTCGTAGTATTCGGAATATAAAGGCATATAAAACGATATATCGTTCTAAGACTTACTTTTTCCGCGCCTTCCCGGAATACCAATTCTGCCTATTTCCCGAAATCATTTTAAGCGAATAACGCGTCAATTTTGAAATCGCCGGAATTACATTGAACACGGCATGAAGGGAACTCGCAGGCGAGCCGACGATGCGTGTCATTTTACCCTTGGAGCGTACTTGTGCAACACATTTTGTGCACAATTTCTTAATGCCGTGTTCAATTTGATTCCGCGAAATCACGGTGTTTTTTTCATTACGCAAGGTCAAGACTTTTCGTAAATTATGATGCTTAGGGTGTAAGCACACCGAGACGCACTATCGCATACTCAAAAATGTTTTTCAATTTTAGAATTTGCGATTTCAGGATAAAACTCCTGAAATATTCGAAATTTGTCAGTTTGAAGAATATGATGTGAAAAAAACATTCACTTACATTAAAAAAACATTTAGGATTATTTTCGAAAGAAGAAAAACTCTAAATTACTGATTACAAAAATAAAAAAACAAAAAAATATTATGTAAAATGAATCAGCTCCCATTGAATAAGCATTTATAAATACGAAAAAAATATTGAAATGAGGAAAAATTCGAGGAGCAAATGAAAAAACATTTTATATACCTCGAAAAACCTAGCTTCACACGGGAAGTGCGAAAGGTCGAGGTATTGGAATTTAATGAAACTTGGTATATAGGTACTTCCGAACACCCTGAATCCAAAAAAGTTGAAAAAAAGTGCGCCTTTTTGGTTTTAGTCGAGTTAGGGCGCTTCAAAGTTTGCACGCAAAAATTGCATTGGAAGGGAGGAGGGAACGTGTTGCGGCGGCTAACTCTAGCTGCCAGCAGGCGGCGTGGTGTAGTGGCTAGCGGCTTTGCGCTGTGAAACCTATGATGCAGGTTCGGTCCCTTTTTGGTGAAATTTTATTTTTGCCAATTTTTTTTATTTGAAAAATAAGGAAGTTTTGATGATGGAGTGAAAGAACAGCACAAAATTTTGAAATTCACCATTTTACGCCCATCTTAAGAAGAATTTCGACAAAAAATTTTTTTGCTCCATTTTTCCTTGCCTAACCATAAGGCTTATATTATGGTCGACCCATTCCTTCAAAAAAATTTCTGATGAACCAATAAAATCAAAGTTTTATGAGATTTATTCTTCTTTTCTTCCTTTATGACGTTGTGTGTGTAAAAATGTGTATCAAAGTCCAGCTTCACTTTATTTTCACAATCGAGATGATATGGCGAGGCTGGGAATGAAAAAAAAGACAAGGAAAAGGGTTAACTAACCGCCATCTTTGAAGAAAAAAATCGTTTGATGAATAAGAATAGAAGCATAGAACTACAATAAGTTGTTATTTATATCACAAACCTATGAACTCTCGCAAGATTAATCTCGACGCCCAAATTTCCTGCACAGAGAAGGACAAAAAAAGACTAAAAAAATTTTTTTGTTGAAAGTCTTTCTCAAAACGACATAAAATAGTGAATTTCAACACTTTGAACAGTATTTTTTTCGTTCCATCTTCAAAAAAATTCATCAATTTTTTTTCGAAAAAAACTTCATGGCAAAAATTTCACCAAAAAAAGGTCCGAACCTGCATCATAGGTTTCACAGCGCAAGGCCTCTAGCCACTACACCACGCCGCCAGCTGGCAGCTAGAGTTAGCCGCCGCAACAGATTCCCTCCTCCCTTCCAATGCATTTTTCACGTACAAACTTTGAGGCGCCCTAACTCGACTAAAACCAAAAAGGCGCACTTTTTTTCAACGGCTTTGGATTCAGGCTGTTCGGAAGTACCAATATACCAAGTTTCATTAAATTCCAATACCTCGACCTTTCTCACTTCCCGTGTCAGAAAAACAAGTAATGGATAGAAAGCAGAAATTTTAGAAAAAAAACCTCGTATGGCGAAATTTTTGTTTAAATCCGAAAACCATCAAAAAACTAGAAAAAAATATATAATTTAGATGATGCATATATCAAAAATCATTAAACTGCATCAGCAAATTCAATTTGGCTCTAATTTACACGAAACCGGTTTCAAAACTACGTCAAAGGAACTAGATAATAACTTTTTATTATTAACTGATTAAATTAAAAAAACTATAGTTTCCGAAATAGAGTTACTCTTTTTCATGTCGCGAAACAGATTTCAAAAATTTTTGAAAAAAATTAGGACTTTTCAGAAAAAAATCTTCAACTATTTTGAGAAAAAAAGTTAAAGATCTGAAACCGGTTTAGAAAAAGTGCGCAATTTAAAAACTCCACAAAAATGTACCCATAGAGAGGCGGATCACATAAATGCAAGAAATAGAAAAAGTAAAAAAACCAATGAAAAAAAGTGAAGAAATTCAATTTTTTTGCATCAGAAACGATGAGAAGGGCGCAATGATGCGCCACGGATAATATGCCGCTGGGACCCAAAATTTCGCATTTTTTTTCATTGCGCGGAACACCGTGAAATGCAAAATACCCGTTAGAGAAAGGAAAAGGTCACTAGATTTTGGAGAGTCAGAGATAATTTTGCATTTCGCGGAATCAGACTCAAATTTAACACGGCATAAAATTTCGCTTTTATCTTTTGCTGAGACGTTTCGATCGAATGTAGAGTATTTTTTTGTGTTTCCCGATGTTTCCATGGGATACTGGAAGCTTTCAAGTCGTAATGAAGCAATTCGATAAAATTTCACTGGAAATTATCCGTATAATTGCTTCTCAGCCTTCAAATCGGTTCTACGAAAAATTTTCAGCTACAAGCCTATTGTATTCATTGTTTAAATGGTAAAAATAATGATAGGAGAACGTCAAAAAAATATTTGAATATTCATTCGAATGAATATTGTTGGAAAGTTTCAACAAAAATCACATCGAATGTATGGAGTAACACACACTTTTTATACGTAGTTCTGCGTACTTTGCAGGTGGTGAAATTTTTCCAATATTCTTATCAACCAAGTTCTTTTGAATGAATTTGTGTGAACATTTTTAGCTATTGAAATAAAATATTGACCGACACACCAAGTTTTAGTCTTTCGCGCGGATAACCCCCAAAATTTGACAAAATGTCATGAAATTCAGTTTAAAAATTCTTTTCGCCGATAAAGCTTTTTTTTTGAAAAATTTAAGGCTGTTGAAAAACACATCCTGCGCACGAATCAAGCAGAAATAAGTCGAATAAACGGCATAAAAGTCAAGAACTCGTGAAGTTTCGTTTTTCTTTTTTCCTCAACTAAAGCGGTAAACGGCAGAGGAGCGATATGACACAACCAACTTATATGAAGTCAGAGCTGACGTTTGTTTGTTTATTCACAGGCTCTGCTCGAAAAACGACGAATAGAAAAGGGTGGGAAAATACGGAGAAGTGAGATTTTTTTTTTTAGTAAGACTTTTCCTTCGAGACAACTGTCGTTGAGAAGTTTAACGTAGAAAGTTAGATATTTGTGAAATGATCCATATATAACATTCTTCTCATTTTTTTTTCAGCCAGCAGCACATCAGAGAAGATTGATTTTATGGTCGGATACTGGTTGTGCTGCTCGTAAAGTTCTTGCTTGTCGGCCGCCGGATTATCGTTCCGCCTCGAGGCAATCCGTCGACACCTTTTATGGCGTTTGTCTTGAGGCGAAAAATGGGATAATTGGTTCGCTTCCTTTTTTTTGCTGTGGTTTTGCGCGAATTTTCTTTTTTGCGCCTATTTACCGAGTTCACAAATTTCTTTCACTTTCTAGGTCTTGACGTTTTAGTTTAGTCAGGAATTGAAGTTAAAATTTCTATTGAGCAGAAAGGAGAATGGAAGCAGTAGCCAAGAAATTTATTCAATGTTCTCAAAAATGGAGATTTTTGAAGGCACATGAATCTTTTAAGTACTAAAATGACATGGAGCACTACTTTTCGCCACGATACTTTTTTTTTTGGAAAACAGTACTTTAAAAGTCTACTAAATGATTTTGGGCGAACTGTGACATTTTATCAATTTCAAACCCTTCTCTACTGCGAGTGAAGCCGAGAAATTAATTCTTCCCTTGCTCGGATTTGTGTTGGTCCAACGGACAAAGGCCGATATTTTACGGAGACTTTTAATATGCGAACGGCAGCCTTTTCTGGTGTGGATGGTGCGCAATTCCCGCCGCCATAAACTCCCTCTCACTTACCCTTGAACTCCACTTTCCTTCTTTGATTGTACTTGGCTGCCGCTCCTTGCGCAACTGTCCTTGGAGGGGAAGGAGAAACGAGAATCAGTTGGTGCTCATCTGAGAGCCTTTTTATGGAACTATTTTCTGCCATTGGAACTTTTTTCTTTCATTCAACCCTCAGTTCTAGAAGTAATTTTTTTGGTAGGGAAGTTGAAAAACCCAGATACGAAATCCTCGGTTTTTTTCTTTTTTTCATATTGGATTTTTCAGAAAGGCGCGGAAGAAAAATTTTTTTTTCTAATATCAATTTTTTTATCCTAGTTTCATTTATGTCGAGTTCATTGGAAAACTTCCTGCTTTTTTCTCATCTTTTTTTTAATAAAAAAAACTAATCTTCATAGACTCACACGACCTGTGGAAATTTCCCTTTGGTCATACAATGGAACCAGTAATCCGTGAAGTTCAGTTCAATTGGCATCGAAATTGTTCTGAACCCCGCCTAATTCGCGGCGAACTTCCTTGAAATCGTGCGTCGAAATGACCAATAAACCTTAATTTTTTCCCATTGGTTGGCCAAATATTAATGAAAAGGTACATAAACCTTCAATATTTATCCGAGAATACTAAACCAACAAGAAAAGAGTAATTTCAATTCCTCGAAAAAAAAAATACTCTGTTCCATCAAATGGTCGAAAACCCTTGATATTAATCCCAAAAACACAAAAACTTCAAGAAAATGCAATTTTACTTCCGACCACCTAATCGGATCAGAAATTCTTCCAAATTCAGTTCAGGCCGTACCGAAAGTGTCCAGCGCCCCGCCTAATTTGTGGCGACTTTTTAAAATCGTTTTTGCTTTGAACTTCCATCAAAAAGTCCGAAAAACCTTCAAAGTTTACTAAGGAAGACGAAGTTTCCCTTTTTGCCGACGCTCAATTTTCAACTGGAATCCCATGGAATTCAGCTCAGGTCGCACCTAATTCGCGGCGACGACCTCTTGAAATCGTGTGGCTATCGGACCTAATCTACACACCCAAATTGTTTCTGTCGCCGGGTTATCGATAACTCAACTTGCAACAGAGTGGCCCCTGGTCGACATCTTTGGATGGACTTGACTCTGAACCGACCAGAAGTGGGTCACGGACGCCGCCGTTCTTCCTTAGCCACCGGCGGCGAAGAGAGACCGGGTGAGAGATGGTAACTGTTGGGGAGTGTGGTTGACACGCGCTGGAAAGTCATCTCATCCGCTTCTTCTTTTTCTTCCATTTTTTCCCTTGGTCGATTCTACCTCCGCCCACCACCTCCTTTCCACAGCCAGACTCGCCTCCAGAACGACTTTTACCTTGTTTTTCCCGCGCAGACCTAGTTACCTCCATTCAATTATTTTTTCCGACTTTTTTTTGGTTCATACACGATAGGTATTTGAACGGTTTGTTATGATGGAGGTCCTGGAAAAAATGAACAATCGAAGCGAAACTTTTGGAACATGACTTTTTCGATATCTTCTATTCCTCGCTTCATCGTAATGTATCTTTTCTGACTTATCAACACAATAAAAAATAAATTTTTTGTAGATCTTATCAAAGTCGTTTTCTAAATAGCGATTCTCAAATAGAAAATTTAATTGACAACTCTTCGAGTAAAAATTTTTTTTTTCGATAGAACTCACATGATGAGTTATTATGGCTAGGTTTTACCATGGAGCACTTTTTTCTAGCTTGAAATAGATCAAGTTTTTTTTGGAAAAGTGAAACTTATCCCAACTTTCTCCTTCTAAAATCGTTCCCAACCTTTCTTGAGTCACCACCTGTTTTTTTTTTCGTCTGTCTCCGAAGACTTCAATTAACGAACTGCGTAACAGAAATTTTTGAGGGAGCTTCTTGGTTCTTCCAGTTTTTTCGACTGTGCCTTCTTTGAGGGAACAAATCGACCTAATCTCATAATACAGCGATGGGCCAAAGTTGGCCTCACTAATTGGCTTTCAGCTTTTCGAGTTTAATGTTGAACTAACAGGGTGAGAAATGTTGGGAAAGGCATCTTTTGGTTCTTTTTCTTGTCCCTTCTTTCGCTGTAAATCGGTTTTATTATTTTTTTTTCAAGGTACAAGTTCAACTCTTAGATTATGTTCTATGATGATCTTGTTCTTAAAGGTCTCCACCTCCCAAGTTCTTAAGATTTCATTCTGAAAAAAATTTTTAATCTTCTGAACTTGAAAAAACGTTCTGTGAGTTGAGGCTGTCATGACCTTCATTCAGTCGAATTTCAAAAAATTCTGAAGTTCCGATTAGGATATCCTCTCATGTAAGATATTTTATAAAAAATTGAAATTGTTTTTCTGGATGCTCAAGGATCAAGGAATCTTTTTCTCGAACCAAGAAAAGTCAGCTGAGGATCTCGGCTGAATCGCTCATTTTGCATGGCCCTGGCCGAGTGACGCAACCCCAACTAGGTCAAACAGTACAAAACCTCATCGGAGTGACCTCACCCTCTTCCGAAAAATTTGGCTTTCTTTCAATTCTTTTTTTTTCTTTTTCCTTTGAAAGTGCCTTGACGCCGATTGTTGTGGCCTGGATGACCAGAATATGCGGCTCTTACTGTGTAAAACTCCGCCCAGGCAACAAAATTATTACGAACGCTCCTTTAGAGTTTTTTTTTTCCATTTTTGGGGCCCGGTAGGCAAATTATATAGAAAAAGCTTTACCTTATTGATTTTGACCGTGGAACATCTTTTCCTCATTCTAAAGATTTTCGTTTTTTTTTCAGTTGATAAATTTCCCGTCAAATTCAGATCTCTATTTTGATATCAAAGTTTAATGCGACTGGACAGAGTTGATTTTGGCAGTTTTGTAGGGTTGCTTCGGTTCTTATAAACTCCTGAGCCCTTTCTGAAGTTTCTAGCTCCTTCATCACACAAAGTTCTTCTGAGCTTTCCAAACTCTCATTCCTTCCAAAAAGTCCCGATTTTTTATTTTTTTGGTAAGAGTTCCTCTCCACCTGGTTGTACCCGACATGACTCTCTACCCGACTGTCCAAATATTCTCAACCCCGATTCTTCCGACCGACAGAGCTGATCCACTAATCTCGATGAACAGCCCAGGCCTTATCTTCCTTCTCGAGCCTTTCTTCGGCGGTGTTTTATCTGAACGCCGGATCGGCCTTGCCCCGTGCCATTACTCCCTCGTTGCGGTATAGCCACCGGCCGACGAATCCGTTTTTTTCCTCCTTCCTCCGACCATACTTCAACCCTACTTTTCTACATTAGCCTCAATCGGAGGACGGCCACATACCTCTCGAATATCTGGTCGAAATCGCCATGTTATTTGGAAAGGCGTCGTCACTTTTACCGGTTCTCCTCATGCGCGGCTTCTCCTTTTTTGACATGACCAATGATTCTTTTTTTCGTTTGAAGATGCGGCTAGTCGTCGCCGCGGCGGTCGTGCTGGCGGTCGTGCTCGCCGAGCACGGCGTCCTGGCTCACATCAGACTCGCTTTTCCGCCGGCTCGGGCTCCCGCTCTCGACTTCTACAGCAGCAGCAACAGTCCGCCGCCCTGTGGCGTTCCCAAACCGCCAGTTGGACGAGGTAGGACGATTTTCTTGCTTTTGATTTTTTGATTAAAATAACTGCAAGTTTTGAAATAGTTCTTAAGACCTACTCTCCGAGCAAAACTCAACTGAACAGTTTTTCTTTCTTTCCGAGTATGGCTATGAAAAGTTTTCTGTTTCTCGCTAGCTTCCGAACTTCTGTGTCTACTAAAGTCCATTCTATAACCTTGAAGGAATTTTTCGAAATGTTACTCTAGTTGACATTTTATAAGCATTCCTCCGGTTTTCTTCCTCCACAACCAGAACTTGTGTGTGAGTGCGAGATAAATATTGATTTATTGGAATTTTCTGTCATTTTCCAAAAATGAGAAACTCTTTGTGAAATCCATTTTCGAAGCTTGACTCTCTTTGATTTTTAACGTTATCAATTTTTCCAGCTGATTCTTAAATTAACTTTTATTTTTCAAAACTAATTTCATTGATTTTTGAAGTATGATTTTCTTTGACTCTTTCACTGAAACTGGAGAGTTTAACATTGCCGCTGCTTTTTCGTTCTCGTTCCTAATTTCTTTGTCCGATCCTCTCAAGATAACCCATGTCTTCCCATGGAATATGCAATTATTATGCGCGATCCCATTCAGAGAAACAAAAACTCGTTGGTTTTCTCTCTTTGTTATCGTTATCGATATGATGGGACTTGTTCTAGCTGATTGTGGCGTTGAAGCTTGCCTGGATTACGGGATAATGGAGGGATGGGGGTAGTAGGAAGTATGGAGACTGTAGCTGATTGGGTGTTATTAAATATTTGATGAAGGCAATTTTATTGAATATTTCGAGGTTTTTTTCAAGAACAAAAAAATAGGTATTTTTTTAATTTATTTCAAGCTTTTTTTAAAAGTTTTCTGCTATTTGAAATTCATAGCTTCGCCGTTAGCAATTCCTAGAGGGTTTTTAGACACCAATACAATTGTTCACAGCTCCGCGTCTCATTTGGGGGTTGCTAAACGTTTCGAAAAATTTTGAATTTTCTCACAATGAAACCGGTGGGAAATGAGTAACTTGAAAGGTTAAATTTCGAGAAACATCATGAAAAACGAAAAATCAGTATTTTTTTCTTTTTAAAAATTTTATATTTTTTTCAGGCCTGAGGACGTTTTTTTCGAAGCCGGATCAACGATTGAAATTTCCTGGTGGACTCCCGTTCCTCACATGGTTCGTTTATTTTTTCAAAATCTGAACGTGTCTATTTCAATGTTCCTGGGAAGGTTTGAAAAAAATTTTTTTCGAGCTTCATCTTCTCATTCTTTCCAAAAGGGTCCTTTTACGAATTTCTGGCACTTTTTTTGAATTTATCTTTGCACACTTCTTTTTATCACCATATCAAACACATTCAAGCTTTAAAAAGGCTTTTTTTTCCGAAATTGGTCGAAAGATGTTATTTTAATTTACTCGCATTCGCTTTACATCTGCTCATTTTTCACATGTTCCAGTGACCTTTTTTTGACTTCAAAGATCGCTCAGTCTCTTTTTTCAAATCTGACATGAGATCTAATTGAGCGCCAATTCAAGTCGACCGTTTCATTGCGGGACGTCGACGACCGCAATCGGCATTTGACCTTGTCCGTCTTGATCGACTTTCCATTCCAAAAATGGCCAAAATGAACAAAAAACCGAATCAAAGGAATGCCCTACTAAAGACACGCACTTGAGATTACTGAGTTCAACTAGCCATATAGGAAAAATGAACAAAAAAATTTTTTTTATTGGATAGTTTGAGGTTCATACGGAATTTTGTGATCAGTCTCCAGGCGAAAAAATCTTTAAATTGAGCGAAAATAGAAAAAAAAAGCTGAGCTTATCAATATCAAGACAGTTTCAGAAATTAGCTATTCTTTTCCAGAATTTTTTTAATGAGGTGCTTCTTTTTTTCTTACAAACTAAAAATTATTTCTTTTTCGATTATTCCGCTTCATAAACCTTCATATTTTTTTCCCAAAGATTCTGTTTGGGAAAAAAATCTTCAAAAAAACGTAAAAAAATGCGTTTTTTTGAAAGAAAACCCTGTCAAAAACGATCTTTTGCGGCAAAAGTTTTGCCTCGTATTATTTTTTTTGACGGATGTGTTTTTCCTTTTCTTGCCTCCCGCCAAAGCCAACCGGTACACAGTGTGACGAATCCCAGCTTTTCAAGGGATTTTCCACCAAAATTTTGACGGCTTTGTGACTTTTTCCTTGAAAAAACTAGTGAAACCGTCGGCAATTGTTGCTTGACTTGAAAAAAAGTGGAACAATTCAAGATTTCAAAAAAACTTTTTTAAGGGATTTCGATGAGAAGGATTTTTTTCCTTTCGGAAGATTGATAAAAAGGATCTTTTTCGCCCCTTTTAAAGATTCTCTTGAGAAGAAATGAGGTTATTATCTAAAGTATAAAGACTCAGGAACTGGTCCCAAGTGGTCCCTACAGGGCTGTCTATTCCACTAACCCCTATAGGGACCACTCTGGCGTTCCTAACAAATGTCAGGCTTCAGATCTTTGTCAATATTCTCATTTATTTTCCAGGGAGCTATCCGGTTGGAAGTCCTCAACGCTGTCGATGAGCCCATCGCCATCTTCACGAACTTTAACGATCCTTACAACTTGACGTGATTTTTCAATCCGCTTACAACTAAAAGTGGATATTTTGTAGTGAAACAACGAAACAAGTCGAGTTGCCGGAAAACTTTGAATGCGTCAATTGTGCGATTCGGATCACGCACCAGGCCACCGAGTACAGCAACGAATATTTCTTCTACTCGTGTGCCGATGTCAATATTCTCAAGTGTAAGATAATTTTCCTCGAGTTTTAAGGCATCGTGGTTAGGGAAAAATCGGTTTAGCTAGAGTTTTTCTAGCATTCAGAATGCTAGAAAAGAATGAATTCTGCATTCTTCCACTAGGAATAGTCTCCAAAGTGAGCACTTTTTCCCGCTGTAGAGGCTGGTTTTCCTCTTACCCCTATAGGAACCACTCTAGCCTTCCTAATCCAAAGAAATAGTTTCATTTTTGACACGAATTTCGACAAACGAAAAGTGGAAAACTTTAAAAACACACCGTTTTTCAGCGATTCCTGACGGCGACTCCTGTCTCGGAAACGGCAACCGCGTCAACGGCGTCTGCGAATGCAAGAACGGCTTCAGCGGCAGCCATTGCCAGACCGAGAGCGAATGCGAGGCCGACGGCGACTGCGGCGACGACGGCAAGTGCACGACGACGGCCGATGAGCCGCGACGACAGTGTTTCTGCGACGCGTCGCGATTCGGACGCCAGTGCGAGAAAAGTCGGCGACTTCTCCAAGAGATTCAGAATAAGTTATTTCTTCAGAATCCGAAGTGATGACGTCCTTGTCGCAGTTCGATGAGTCTGCCTACGAACGTCGCGAAGACGCTGGAAATGAAATCTTCTGGCGGATAATCAAGGTAACGACAAGGGTTTTATAGTCGTTGGTAAAACTGGAAAGGAACATTTTTTATTCAAAGATGCAACATTCAGAGATCTTTCTGCATTTGGATCAATCAAAGAATTTTATCAAAAATACATTTTTTTTTTGTTGCAGGATGAGATTGAGTTTGTCCTCCGATTCCCGGGCGAATCCTGGGCGGCTATCGGGTGGAAGACGCCAGACGCCACCTGCGCGGAACTCACCAATCCAGGAAACATCCTCCAGCACGTCGCCTCGACCGCCGTCCGCCCCAAAACTCCGGCAGCCAAGCCGCGAATCCCACTGGCTCCGGTTTCACTGGCCCCAAATAACGTTACTTCCTCTGATTCGGAAGGTTTCTTGGAGTTTCCTACCTGTGAAACGACCTGAATTCAGAAGAATGCGGACCGAACGAGATGTGGACCAAGTGTCCCGAGTCCTCGCGCGAGTGTGAGCACAGTTGCGACTGGACCCGCTTCCCGGAGACGACCCCGAATTGCCCCAGCACTTGCGGAGCTCCGAGGTGTATCTGTAAGGAAGGCTTCGTGAGAATGTCCAACGAGGAGGACGCCTGCGTGCCTTTTGACTTCTGCGATAAGGTGATTCGTGGCTTCAAATCGTACTAAAAATCATGCTAGGTAACTTCAGACTAAGCTCAAGATTCAGTTTTATTCGTTAGATTTCAAAGTATTTTTACGGGTTCAACTTTCTTCATTCAGTTATTATTATCCTTTCTGATTTCAAATCTGTAACTTAGCTCACCAGGTTTTCAAAGGGCAACAATCAGGAAATTTAATCTCGAATTTCCCCGATTTTCGATCATCTTTCCATCAATATCAGTCTACTGATAGTTTTATAATGGAAACTGATTTGGATCATATGTGAGCAAGTACATGATTTCATTAGCACAGGATACGAAGGTTGACTTACAAAAAATTCAAATATAAGCGCTGTAGGTAGTTTTGACAATAATAAAGATTCGACCTCCATGAGGTAGTTTTGACTCTAGTTCAAAAAATATTTTCGGTCTTCAAAATCACTTTACCCGTGTATGATTCGAACCAGAATATGAAATACTTTTTGAAAAAATATGTTGAAATCGATGTTCTCAGACTGCCGAAGAGGAGCAATGTCCAGCTAACGCGACTTGGGCCAAATGCGGCACGGCTTGTGAACCGACCTGCGCCAACATGTACGACACTTCGCCTTGTCCGGCGACCTGTGAGAAGGCGGCCTGTACCTGCGCCGACAACTACGTCAGACACGACGGCCGCTGCATCTACTGGGGCGATTGTCCTGGTTCGTTTCGTGAAGAGTTCCCTGAAGAGGAGTTTTTGGAAGAAATGCTATGGAGCTCGTGCGATTGTTTTTTGAGCAGGGCTCACTTGGAATCATTCCATGTTTTCCAGGATTTTACAAAATCGATTCAATCATTTTGAAGCTACGTAAAATTTTATAATTAACTTTTCTTCTGCGAAGTTGAAAAGAAATGTTTGGCCTTCACTTTGAGAAATCTTTGCGTATTTATTCGGTCCATTATATTGCTTTTAAGTTGCGTAATACTGTTGCGTAAATACCGAGGTCAAGTGAGAGTGCCTTTAATTAGATTATTTGGTAGATGAACTGTTGAGATATTCAGAACTGAACGAGAAAACCGAGCAGAGCAATGACGTCACCTCCTCTTCTGAAGCTTCGACGACGACCAAGGCTGCTAAAACGAGTGAGGATAAGTTTCGAATAGACTTCTTAGAGCGAAATTTCACTATTTGTACTTTTAAGTCTTCCAAAACTTCTTCCTTTGTCTGTTCAAGTAAAATGACGTCATTCGAAATCGCTCTGTGGATGGCTCGCTCCCTGAATGGTTAGGGGCGGAGCTTGGGCGACTTCAGAAATGATTTTCGAATACACTTCTTTGTGGAAATATCAATTCAAAGGTATGATTCAGCGGCCGAATCCACACCGACGCTGACGGCTACCTCCAAACCAAAGACATCGAGCTGCGCGGTCAACGAAACTCTCAACGAGTGCGGAAGAGTCTGCGAGGCCGACTGCGTGACGATCTTCACGCGCAGCGACTGCGAAGACTGCGGCGCCGCCAGCTGCGCCTGCATCCAGGGCTACGCAAGAAACCCGCAAGGCGTCTGCGTCTACTGGGGCGATTGTCCGCTCGAGGGTGGAGAATCCACGACACGTCGACCGGCTCTTCAGACCACCAAGGCCCCGCCGACCGTCAAGGCTGGCAAACCTAAAGGTTTGGAATGAGGATTTTATGTTCATATTCTTTGCGTACTGTACTTGCCCAAACTCGACAGCAACGGTACTTTCAGTGAGCGGCGACGTCTGCTACGGCGAATACCGTTATCCGGCCGGCTGCACCGACTGCGACTATAAGCTCACCTGGAACTACGTCGACGACCTCGACGAGATCGAATTCTCCTTGGAGACGCGCGTTTCTGGCAACGCCTGGAGTGGCGTCGGCTTCAGCGCCGATGGAAGCATGGTTCAACGTGAAAGTTGACATCTCGTAGAATGAAACGTTCAGACTGACGCTGATATGCTCATCGTGAAGGCCATGGATGGAAAATTGTCTGTACACGATATGCAGGGCCACGGTTACTCTACTCCGGCTGAAGATCAAGTTCAGAATGTTGTATCTGCTGAAACGGTTTGAAATGAAGGAAATTCAAGATTCATAGAGGAATTTCAGATTGGAACACAGGCGAACGGCGTCCTGAGAGCTCAGTTCTCGCGAAAACGCAACACGGGCGATCTGAGCGACAAGCAGTTCGATGATAAATGCTGGAAGATGTTGTTCCCGGTCGCTGGCGGGAAATTGGACGGGGTATATTCATTTACTGTTTTTTTGACTTGAAGAAAGTTCTTACACAAAATGAAATGAGGGACTGCTTTGAAAAAGGGTAGTGCAGGAGATCAAAATAACTTCAGCGATATATTAATCGTGAGATAGTGAAAAATACAACGTAAGTTTTGGAGAGCCAGAGATCATTTCTACCTCGCCGAAATAAATTTGAACGGTCGTAAACTCTTTTTTCCAGAATGGCAACATTCAAATCCACTCGAACACGCCCCTCGTCTCGGAACACGACGTCTGCATCAGGTCCTGCCAACAGAAGCAAACGACCAAGGCCGTCCCCTCCAACACTTGCACCAACGAGTATCGCTATCCGGCGGACTGCAACGGCGAAACCTGCGAATACGTCGCCCGATGGGAGTACGACAGCGCTAAGAAGGACGTCCGCTTCGAAGTGAGCAGCTCCGGCGTCGGCCGCTGGACCGGCATCGGTTTCTCCGCGTAAGTTTTTTTTTTCATCATGGCTTGATTGGAATGTGGAGTTCAGTACCGGCGGCATGACCAACGCCGACATTTACACCGGCTGGGTCCACGAAGGCAAGGCCTACGTCACGGACAGATTCGCCTATGGAAGACAGCTGCCGGCGATTGATCCAAGTGATCGGCAGGACATTTATGATGTTGGCGGCAACGTCACCGATGGAGTTCAGGTGAATAAAATTTTTTTAAAAAAATAAAAATTGAAAAATAGACCTTTTTTTCCCCTGAACGCCATGTTGTTGACTAGGGCTATCTAGTTTTGAAGGCTCAATCGTAGAAATATAATGCTTTACATCATTTTAGTACTTTTGTATTAAACGAAAGTCTGTTTATATTTCGAATGTCTAGTAAAATGACATCATTCGAAAGCGCTTGCTTGGATGGCTTGCTCTCTTATTGGTTTAACGCGCCATAAGGGGCGGGGCTTGAGCGACGATTTGACATTCGAAATCTGAACAGACTGTACCATTAAATGAAGCTTGGACTATTTTTAGTCTCTTTTCAGACGATTTGGTTCCGACGAAAGCTGACCCCGAAAGACACGACCACTGATTTGCCTCTGGATCAGTGCCAGTACTTCCTCTACCCAGTTGGTGGCGGTCGCCTTTTGGCCAAGAAGAATTCCGACCTTGCCAACCCTAGAACTCCGATCGGTAACCTGAAACCCGAAAAAAAGCAAAAAAGGAGATTTTCAGGATACCACGATCAATTCCAGCCCCAGGTTTCACCTAACAAGATTTGCTTGTGCGACTCGACTGGACAGAAAGTGGCTCGCGATTCTTCAGTCCCTGTCAGAGTTCGAGTTCGTCGTCAGGCTCAGCAAAGTCGAAAAGATATTCACGAAAGGAAAAATGAGAAAACTCCAGACCATCCAATGTACTGCACGGATATGGTCGTCGGCATGGTGACCGGTGGAAAAGCCCGAGTCAAGGACTTCTTCTCGCCTTCTAAAGCAACTCCACGACCGGACTCCTTCTTTGGAGGCTCGGATTCGCTCACCTCGGCCGCTGCCTTCCAGCAAGACGGCGTCACGACGATCGTCTTCAGGAAGAAGCTTCAGGGTGAGCAGGAGATGATCTATTAGGACGTTTATTTGAAAGAGAAAAGGAGATCTTTAGATTCTAAGACTCAACAGGTCGGAAGTCTTTTAGGCCAAGACTAAGGAATTTTTAAAGAGTAAATTCATGACTTCAAAAAATAGCTGTAGCTCATACTTTGCCACAAAGTCTTGCAAAAAAGACCATATACCAAATTTGGTCGATTTTCGCTTCAAGACCTTTGTTTTTGCAGTCGTCTTCGCGGTTTTGTAGAGCAAGAATGCAAAAAAAAAAGTGTTTACGGTAATTTTTTATGTCCTTTGAAGCTTACGCACGGAAAACATTTTGAAGTTGTCTTCGAAGTAGCCTAACTAATTTCAATCACTCCAACTGATTTTAGCCACGGAAAAATGGGACTCGAGCATTATCAACGGGCCGATGACTGTGATCTGGGCCAAGGGAGCCGATGCCAATCACTATCAGCACACGACCGGCGGAGATCCGATCAAGAGCGATCCCCTCTTCTTCCCCGACGACTCCTTCAAGTACCATGGACGCAACCAGCGCGGAACCCTCAACATCAACTTCTTCGAAAGTATCTCAAAATCCAGCTATTCAATAAAATCAATCTTCGATTTTGAAGGCCAAAAAGAAAAGAAGAAGCCGGAGACGGTCCACGGCATGCACATGGACGAGAACACTTGCACTGGGGAATATGCCTTCCCGGCTGGATGTTTGGGAGTCGCCTGCCAGTACCGCGTTTCTTGGATCAGCGACGGACAAGTCGCCAGATTCGCTCTTCATGTACGTTTATTTCAGAAGGAACTGTCAGAACACAACGGTTTATTTGAAAAATGCTAGATTTTCCAATTTCAGTCCTCCCTGTCGACGAACCAATGGACGGCGCTGGGCTTCTCCAACGACGGCAACATGGCCGCCTCTGACGTCATCATCCTGGGCGTCAGCCACGACGAGAAGCTCGACTCGACGGCCATCACCGTCACCGACCAATTCATGCCCAACTACGGCCGTCCGATAGTCGATGAACAACAGGACATTTTCGACGTCGATGTACATTTTTCTTCTCGTCTGTTCATTGTATAGTTATGTCGTTCAGACTTCCTACGTCGACGGCATTTTGACGGCAAACTTCTCGCGCGAACTCTATTCTGATGACGAGCACGACGTCAACCTTCAAGAATGCGTCTACCTCCTTTACGCGCCTGCTGGCGGTGTCATTGAGAAGAACGGGGAGATCCGAAAACATGGCGAGACTCCGGTCGCTAGCAAGACTAAGGTAGGCTTTTTTTAAAAATTGAACCTCTATATAAATGGGAACACATGAAAATTTCCTCACAAAACGGTAAGAAATTAGAAAAAAAACTGTGAAGAAGATCTTTTAACCCCGGAAAACGGAGATTTTCAGATCTGCCTCAACACCTGCGCCGAAATGCCGAGCCGAGGTCGTGTAAAAGAAACGACCACCACTGCCACCTCTACCACGAAGACTTCGACCACCACGACGACGACGTCTTCAGAAGCCCCGACCGTCACCAAGAAGACGTCGACTGGAGTCCAGATGCCACCGATGAAGACGAACAGTACGGAAACGCTAAAAAACTTTGACAGGAAATCTGAATTTAGAACCATATTTGGTCTACGAACCGGAGGAGCAGGTCAAGGCGCGGTACGGCCTCCGAGTCAGAATCCTCAACAAAGAGTTCGTCCCACAACTCACCGATCCTCAGTCTGTCTACTACCAGTCGTTCACCAAGCAGGTCACCTCGGCGGTTCGTTCAAGAACAGGCTCAAAGGAAAACTATACTTTCCTGCCTTCAGATCGACCAGCTCCTGGAGAAACGCTGGAAGGGAATGCGCGTGTCGAAGATTGTCGGCTATGAGAAGGGCTCCGTCATCGCTGAGTTTGAGGTAGAGGAAAAAAAAGTCCAAAAAAACGTTCAGCAAGTGGACTTTCCTGTTGTAGCCTTGCCGAAAATTTTTTTCCATCGATTGAGCAATCAAATTTTCCAACTCACGCAATAGTTCAATATAGCCAAAATTAACTTGAACTTCATCAGGTCGTTTCGATTGGCGACGTGCCAAGACCCGTCGAAGTGAAGAGCATGGTGGAAGAAAACGCCGTTCGAGGACCGATCAGCGGACTTTCCATTGAGCCATCCACTGTCAAGGCTTCGGAAATTGGTACATTTTTCAATCTAAAATCAGAGGGTGACTACTAATGAACATAAAGAGTATATAGTTTTTTTTAACTTTCTGTTGCCCTGGAGAGGGGAGAAAACTTATGAGAGCTGAAAGTTTTTAAAAAGAGCTGGATAAAATCAGTTCAGGCTTGCTCAAGCATGTTGAAGACTGGGAAAGCGTGAAAGATCAAATTTGAGATTGTAAAGTCTTCCAAATGATACTTTTCCGTGACCATTCTCGGAACTTGGTAACGAAAACCGGATGTTAATGAGCATATCGATAAATCGATTAAGTGTTGACGTTATTGAAGTGGTCCCTAGAGACGCACACGTCTGGGGCGGGTCTAATTCACGTTGTCAAGGTCCGAGACGTGGCCTGCTTTACCATTTGAGGATGAGCTCGATCTGAAAAGTTTTTTTTTTGCTGATAAGTGAGCACCTCTAGCCTTTTTTAGGGATTATTACGTCGATTTCTGAGTCTAGATTCGAAATCGCCGTAAAAATCGGCATCCTGGTCTCATTGTGGAAAAACCTAGAAAAATCAACTAGAAGAAATATTCAGATGCCTCGACGCAAGCCCCGATCGAAGAGGCCATGATGGACGTCTCCATGTGGCGCAACATCGGAATCATCGCCGCCTGCTCCGCCGTCCTCTTCTTCGTCATCCTCATCTTCTGCTTCGTCCTCTGCCGATGCCGAAGACGTTCCTCCTATGTAGGCCACCAACTTCGTTTTCCAAACCTTTCAATTAATATTAGCCTTTGAAGGCTGCCTACCCCGTCGCCCATCCTCAACTCGCCTACGGAAACCGAATGCGTGAGTTGAAGATGGAAGGTTCGAAAACAATTCTCGATTCAGTTGGAGAGAAGAAAGGAATGGCTGGATTTGACAACGCGATCTACCACAGCGGCGGCGGCGGCGGAAATAGACATTTGTCGCAGACGACGTCCGCCTCGACGAAGCCACCGATGGAGCCGAATGCGGGTGAAGACGTGCCGCCTGGAGGTGTCGGCGAGACCACCTACCAAGAGTGGTATAATAAGGTCAGTTATGAATTTTTCTTTATTCGGCTGGGGCTTCTAGGAAAAATTTTGATCTAAATCTTTCGTGGTTAGGCGCTTCTGAGGTTCCTAATTCGGTATACTTTACTGCCTTTTTAGTAGTCTGATTTTGTTTCCTATGTTTTCATTTTAACGGAAATCGGTTGCAAATTGAAATTATCGGAATACCTTCTGATTAGCTTGCATAAACTGAAAACGGTTTTCGCTTTGAAACCATGAGGCTTTAACGGGCTTAATGACCCTTAGAAAGATTTACTGAACACCATCTCTAGAGGCTTGAAGCAGAGAAAGAAAATTCAGGTTGGATCCAAAGCAGCCTCGCAGCAGCACGAAGAAGCTCCGATCGGCAACGTTCCGTCGCGGCCTCCATCTGCCACGCCGTACGTCTCCTATCCGAACGATCCTTCTGGTTACTACACCCTCGGAGGCCAACATCGCGCTTCCTCGACCTCTCAGCCACGATACTTTAAGCCATATTAATCTTTCTCTTTAATATCCTTTCTCTTCATTTTTGTTTCGGTCGATTTTTTCTACAAAAAAACTTTGAATCGGCTTCTTACTCTGGGATCCCAGAATTTCACGTTTCTTCCTTCATTGTGATAATCTGCGATGAAACATAGTCCGAAATTAATTCTAATTAGTCACAATGAATACTCCACCCTTTCATAATTGTTTAACGTGTTTTTTGTGCTCTATCTCACGTGTGTCTTTATCATTTGCCTTTTATCTTTCTTTCGTTCCATTTTTTTAAACCGCCCACTCGACTTGAGAGAAATCAAGAGTACCGGTTTCTACTTCATAAGATTGACTTTAAAAGAAATGTATCGCTCTCTCCGTGCTTGTAAATTTTTTTTGTCCGATGCCCCTAATTGTTATGCTGTGATTTATCGTTTTCATTTGATTTTTGAATTATTTGCAGAGCTATAATAGTACAACTATTATATCAGTAATAAAGCTATTCGAAACTCTGTTTTTGATTTCATTATGTTGGTTTTTTTATAATACCTGTTTAAAGAAACGGAGTAGAAAATAATTATAAGAATTTTAAAAAATCAAACGTGTTCCGCGCAAGCTTGCGCTTCGGCGAAATGATGTGTCGTCTTTTGATTTCCCGCCAAAACTAAGATCAAAATTTTGTTTTTTTTTTCTTTTTTTTTCCGTTCATGAACGTGCACTTTCTTTTTTTCAGCTTTCAAATGGATTTTGTTGTTTTGTGAAAAAAATTTCAAAAGTGGACACTGTTTTATATTATTTCTGTTTTTATGCCGTGTTCAAAGTAATTTCCGCGAAATGCAAAATGGTCTCTGACCCTCCAAAATTTAGTTATCTTTCTCTTTCTCTGACGGCTATTTTGAATTTCGCGGAATCACTTTGAACACGGCATTAGCTTCAAGGAAACTTGAAAAAAACTCGAAAGCAAAAAATAAATAAATTTTTCCAATTTAAAGTTTTAGATCGATTGAAACTTTAAAAATTCGGTTTTGCTACCTTATAACGTTGGAATATCGTCCATAATCCATTTTTTTCTCGAATTTTTCAAAATTATCTTTTAGCAATGCTCGGAACGATTTCAAAAGCAGTTTTCCACAAGGAGTCATACGCAGTTGATGAGCCTGGTTGGAAAGGCGGTCCAGAAGAGGAATTAGAACCTTTGGATCCGGACGCTAGCTTTTTATCAGAAAATCTGGAGAGTAAGTTTTTAAACACAGAAATTTACTTATCGTCAGCTTTTTGTTACGAACTTGACTTCATGGCGACCAAATGTAAGGATAGTTTCGTTCTATCTGATTCTTATCTTGTTTCTGGTGTAAATTTCGTTTGAAAAAACCTTATTAAGTTTTAGAAATGTTTTATTAGGCCAAAAATTAAACTATAAAGATCAAAAATAAGGAGATGGGCTCGCAATTGTGTCGAAATTCGAAAAGCTCAGCTTCCGATTGGTAAAATCTCACGAACTTCTTGTTTCTTATTTCGATTTAAGTTTATTTCATTTCAGGAAAGGGAAGTAAAAAGTACGGCAAGTATAACGTCTCGTTTTGCGAAGAAGTGACCCCGTAAGTTTTTCATGGCATCTTTTTAAATTAGTGCTCCTGTTTTCAGAATACCGATTGAAAGAAGAAAATCAAAGTGTCATAAATTTGCGTGTCTGTTCTGTGTGCTCTGTTCGTTACTTATCGTTTTCACCGGTCTACTTTTCTCCGTCATTTACTTTTCATACATCCCATTTTACCCTTATGCAGAACATCAGCGTTTTTGTGAGCATTTTTGGATTTCATTGATTTTTTTTCGTGCTTTTTTAGATTTCAAATCCCTCGCACCTGATTGTTCCAACAGAACGGCCGATAATCTCAAAGAATTTGAGCTCTATCACACTGGAGAGTTAGTTTCTGAGAAAATTGAATTTTCGAGCCGTTTTCTTCCAGATTTGGACATTCTTACCAGTCTCAGTGGGCTGTATGCGAAGGATTCATGGCGTTCAACGAAAACAGACATCGAATCGATGAATACAATAAAAATAATAAAATACGCTTGTTGAATTCGGACGCTGCCAAGTTTGGCATCACGATATTCACCGATTGGAATCGGGAGAAACGAAGAACGGTTCGTTTGGGAATTGCGGAAACAAATTCCGTTGCGAGTTTTTGAGAAATCTTTGATAGAGAAAATTTTTTTTCTCGAAAGTTTCCTTTTTTGTTGAGATTTGTTTTTTATACAGTTTGATGTTATTCTAGATTAGTTTCTTCATCAGTTTAACGGATTTTACGAACTTTTTTGTTTAAAATTTTCTTGTACGCAGAAGATTACTGAGACCTTATTCGTTCAGAAACTTTCAAAGGATATAAACTTTTGTTTCCATTCTCAAATTTCATTTATTTTTTCTGCTCTCTGTAGTAAAATACCAAAATAATTTTTAAAATATTCTCAGTGAGTTCAGCAAGTGTCCCCGAGTGAAGAAACGGCCCTGCCGAATTCGGCACCCAAAGCCGAAACCATCAACGGTCGTTATGGAGTCGCGGTTCCCGTTGATTGGATGGATGGCTTGTACGGTGGACAAAGATCCGAGGATGCCACGAATTTCCGTCAGTTCATTTTATCAGAGCTGTTCTCAAGTCGGGGCGACCCCGGCCGAGGCCGCCCCGACCCGACCGCAACGCGCCCCTGAGCGCCCCGGCCCGCGAAGCGGTTTTCATTCAGGCCCCCGAAGCGAGCGCGAGGACTTTTTCCGTATTTTTTGTTTTTATTTTAGTTTTTTATATTGAAAATGAACTTTTAAGTTATTTATGATTCATGAAAAATTTTAATTTTATTGTTTTTTTGACAGAAATCGTGCTTTTTGATTTCACTTTTTTTCGCATCTTTTTTTCGTTTTTTTCTCTTTGTAAATAAATAAAATAATATTTCAAATAGTGGTTTGAATGAATTTTTTTGCAAAAAAATGAAATTCCTTATGATGTGAAAAATTTCAAATTTTTTTATTTATTAATTTGTTTTCTCTAGTTCTGTAAATTGTTCTGGCCACTCAGGAAACTATTGAATTTTTTTGGATTAATATCTCATTTCATCGGTTTTTCTCTTTATGTGCTCGATAATAAATGTTTTTTTGTTTCACTTTCATTTCAGTAAAACTTGCGCTTTTCATAATTCGCAAAAAACCGGGAGTCAAAACAAAATTTGTATCTACGGGTCGACCGAGTTGACCCTTACCAAAGGCTGACCGCGGCCGCCCTCGAATACGCCGCAAGTCGGGGGGCCCTCGGTCGCCCCGAGAACAGCTCTGCATTTTATATTTGAAAAAAAGTCATCTTATTCTGAATAATTTCAGTGCGTGGCGATAGACGTTGGGCGGCGGTAGCCATGCTTCAAAAACTTCAGTTTGCCGCTCGCAATCGCAGGTTTGGCTCAAACATCGAGAAAAATCAACGAGAATCTTTTCAAGCTTTAACGTAGCCCTGGCCAACCCCGACAAGTATAACATGACGGATAATCCGCGATTCGAAGAAGAACAAGATCGCTTGACGCTTTACTCGCCGCTCTTGATCACAGATGGCAATTCGTCTTTCGGGGATCTCTCCCCTCCGAAGCTCTACAAAGGACAGCTGGACCAGCCAGCGATATTCTCTGTTAAAGATTCTAGAAGCAGTTCAACGGAGACTGATTTGCTCACCTATGTCGCCAATTATGGACCCGCCCTGTCGTGTTAGTAGTTTCTATCTCTTTCAAGAATATTTAAATCTGTTGAAAAATCGTGAAAATTTTAGCGATCTGCGTTCCCGAGTTTCTGTTCGACTACACGACCGGAATCTTTTCATACGATCAGTGCAACTCGACTGAAACCCTTGGATTCATCCCCGTCATCATTGTTGGCTTTGGTGAGTTATTCATCTTTGTTTCCTATAGTTTTCCGTGTTCTTTCGCATTAATTTTCCATTCTTTTAAGCCTTGTTCAGAGTAATTTCCACGAAATTCAAAAATATTTCTGACTCTCCAAAAGTTAGTTATCTTTTTCACTCTCTGTCAGCTTTTTTGAAATTCGCGGTATATTGTTTTTTAAAATATATTGTTTTCAGGCGTCGAGGACAACGTCAAGTTCTGGAAGGTTCTCGGCTGGTGGGGCACGAATTGGGGCGAACATGGCTTCTTCCGAATTGAACGAGGCCGTGGCGCGTGCTGCTTGGGCGTGTCGGCTCCGATTATGGTCGACCGAGAGCCGATTCCTCGCCGCAGCTGATCTTCTTCTTTTTCTAAATCTCTGTTACGGTTACGTTCCTCCCTTTGATCTCTATATATATATATATATAGTTGTTTCGCTTTCTAAAAGCCTTTCGAAGTCTTACAAATTTCTATTCACATGTTCTTTTTTTTGTCTTTGCAGATTTATTAAATAAATATATTTCTTCAAGCTATATGATTATGGGGTAAATGAGTGAATTTTTAAGATCTAAACACATTGAGTTTCTATCATAACTTCATTCGTCGTGAGTTGAAAGCTTCCAATTTTCCGCCCACTCTTGTGCTTTCAACGACTTTTTCGTTCAAATGAAGTAGAAAGAGCAAGCAGAAAGTTAGTGTTTCAAGTCGCGACTGATAAATACTTTATTCAACGCTAGCTTGAGAAGAAATTGAGATTAAGATTTTCAACTTTTCCGAGTAAATACCTACTAAATATCGTCTCAGAACAGCGGTGAATGAAAAATGAACTGAATTTTATCCAACAACAGCTGGACCGCAGTTTACAAATAATTAAGGAGAAAAAGGATACTGTTTCATTCGCTACTGTTGCCTTCAAGCTGTTGTTGTTAAATAATGCAATTTGAACACGAAATTGAGAAAAGATGACGAAAAAAAAAATCAGTTTAAAGCGGTGTCTGGACGCCGGTCTGAGACGAGGCGACAACGCGGTCGTCCTCCTCCTCCCAGTTGAACGCCGATCCTTCAAAATTGACTTCAATCGATATTTCGTTGATAGCTTCTGAATATATTTACCTGCCGATCCTGGCGAATGCGAGAGTCTGTTCGGCCGCTGACCGTGCGAAATCGTTTGCCTAAAAATTGAAAATTGAAGGGTTCATTGGAAACTTATAAGGTACTCACATAAGGGTACGGTCGCGGAACAGGTCCTGACTCATTTTTCGGTGATTCGCTAGATTCAGGTGGCGGACAATCTTCGGGTTGTAGCACTTGGGGTCCGACACCATACGGACCAAGAACGATCTGCGATTTTCCCTTATCTCGAAAACCACTAGAAGACTAGTTTATTCTGCGTGTTGCACATGCAAAAAGAAGTGAGGAAAGGTGCAGTAAGAAGGTTGGAGATATTAACAGACAGTGTCGAAAAATAGTACAAGAAGTGTAATAGATGTACTTACAACAGAAATATTGAATAAGCTACAAGGATAAAAAGCTGTGCTGACAAAATAGACAAAGGGATAATTACAAAACAAAGATTATTTTAGTGGTAACTCCGATAAAAGGGAAACATGGTTAGATTCTTTTCAATTTGGCCAAAAAAGGCTCAAATAACCAAAGTCCGGAACTTTTCGAGAGACCCAAAATCACTAAGAAGTGATGAAAAGCTTTAAAACCTACTTTTAGAAAAAAATAAAAATGAAAATACGTGAAAAGAATACGGTTATTTTGCGAAGGTTTGAAATATTTGATTTTTGCGCAGGTCTTCATCAAGACCTCCATAAAGTGCGATTTAAATTTTGAACACTTCGAAAATTCCCACAAAAATAACCTTTTTCGGCAAAAGTTCAGCAAGTTCTAGTTATTTGGATCTTTCTTGTCAAACTCTAAACACATAATTGAGATAGTTGATAGAAGGTACATCAAACAACATACAAAACACAGAAACAAAGCATTCTCAGCCCCTGACGACATTGAAAAGAGGACTGCCTCTGAGGGAGTCCGTAGACGACAATTTCCGTGACAACCTCTTCTTGGCGAGGCTTTCCTGCTGGCCGCGCGCCGCCAGAAGCTCTTCTTTGGACAGTTGACGTTCTGGCATCGTGTATGAACCCTAAAAGTTTCTGTCAGAGTTATCAAATAGTGAATTTTTCATGACTGGCAAACCCGAGTGGTAAAACGAATTAACATTAAAAAGAAGTTGAAGGTGTGCGCCAACATGTATAGTTTACAGAATAGTCAGAAGAAAACGTGAAATTTCAAGTGATGTTAAGGTTCAGAAGCCTCGTTGTTAGCTCAAGTCCAAAAGTCAGTGAGAGAAAAAAAAAAGTTTAGTGACGTTGGTTATTTTTGGACGTGGCACAGTGTGTTGAAGACACTTTCAATACGTCATTTTCGGCTGGTCTGAATTGAAAGAAGATTTTTTCAACGGAAAAGTGTATTTCTACTGGGAGAATAACTCGGAAAACTTTGTGGAAGTCCTTTCATTATATTTTTCCAGCTAGTGATAAAAGTCTAATCCTTAATCTTCTGAATCGGAGAGCCTTCCCCATGATATACAAGCTTCTCCGACGGACGCAATCTATTGGGGCTGGGAAAAAGTTGAAAAATAGACCCTGCGACCGGTGGACAGTGGCTCTTCCTTGAAGACGGCCGTGTGATCCTCGTCCTCCTCCTCCTCCTCAACGATCGCCTCCTTCGCGTTCTCACCTGTTCAACGTCGTCTTTTTTTGCCGAAGATTCTCCGAAACGAACGCAGAATTTGCTGGGCCGACTGACAAATGATCTCGTAGGCCGTGTCAATGTCCTTGTCGCAGGCGTTTTCCGCGCACACGCAGAAACGGATCACGAAACGCTCGCTCAGTGAAGCGGGAACCTAAAAGGATACTTTTTTTCCCTAGAAAAGAGTCTCGAAAATAATAACATTTTTGAATTAAACGTAGGCTTAAATGGACTAATTTAAATAAAACAGACGTGCAAAAAGCCATTTTCAGCCATCTTTGAGCTCATGGAAGATTAATGCCGTGTTAAAAGTTATTTCGAGAGTTTCGAAATAGTCGTCAGAGATTGAAAAAGGAACTAAATTTTAAAGTCAGAGATAGTTTTTAATTTCGCAAAAGCTACTTTGAACACTGAATATACAACTGTTAAACAATTCAACAAACCTTTTTTAGAAAGATAAATTACAAAAGTTTCCTTCAAAAATATAGTCTGTTCAGATTTCAAATGTCAAGTCCTCGCTGAAGCTCCGCCCCCTAATGGCGCGATAAACCAATCAGAGAGCGAGCCATCCACAGAGCGTTTTCGAATGACGTTATTCTCCTTGACATTCAAAATCTGAACAGACTACAAGCTTGAGCAAGTCACAAAACAAAAAAAAATGATTAAAACCTTGAACTTCTCAAAATTCTGATCAAAAAACCATAAAATCAGTTCTTCAAATATCATTTATGTCTCAAACTATTTAATTTTCCCACCTTATAGCGGCATTTGAACTATAAAAAATTTTCTTCGGAAAATTGGCTAAATTTTCGAACCATATGGATGCGACCCGACGAATTCAGGCGCATCAGTAGTTTCTGGTTCATCTCATCCGACTCCTAAAATTATTTGAAATAATTAATGTCAGAATCCTGAAAAATGACCCTCATTCTGAAGCAAACGAGGCCCATGACGACGTCATTGACAATTTCGAAGTTTGAATCAGCGCGAAGAAGAGATTCCATTCGTTTGGCCAATCGAACATGCTATTATTATTTTTGAATTGTCTCTTTCAGAGCCAAAAAACCTCTCGAATATATTTTTGAAGGCCTTCGACGCCGTACATTCGGATCACGAACCACAATTTTAAAGAGCGGAAACGACGGCTCAATGGAATGCCCCAATGGCGGTAATCGATGGATTTGTCTTGAAAATTGGCAAGTTTTTAAATTAAGTAAACATTTAAAGAAGTGAAAATTCTCCATCTATTTTCGAAAAAGAAGTTCATTATAATAAGAATAAATGGAAAATAAATACTAAAACGCTACGTCAGATCACTAACAAAAAAAAACCAAACTAAAGTCGTAATAAGTCGAAACTCAAAAGAGAATACTAGAATACAGTTCCAGTCCGAACTGGAAATGACTTTTTTTTTCTCCTATTTTAAGATTGGAAAAGGGCCATTAATCGTTTACTGGGAAGGTAGCGAGAAGATTAGGAAAATGGTACACAAACAAATTCCTTTATTGTTTTGAGAAAATATGAGATTCAGAGCAAAACACGCAGTTTAGAAAAACACAACGCAACAAAAACCAAATTTCAAACTCTTTCTAATGTTTCAAATTTACAAGAAAACTGAAAAAAAAGAAGGAATATCGCTCGAAAATAAAGCTTTTGCCTATTTCATTACGGCTAATTCTGGCTTGAGCTATCGAAAAAAAGGTCCCTAAGACGAAGAAAAGAGAGATAGCGCTTGTTTGGTGGAGAGCGCAGGCAGGCCACACTTCCAATCTAGCCGTGAATCAGGTATACCTTTTCCCCTCGAAAACTTGAGAAACCAGTTTGCATTTAAATTAGCCAGTTTCAAACTTTTGAGAATGTGATTTTCCAGAGTTCAATTATCAACTTATAAACCAACCCATCCAGCTGTGTTGTAAGTACAGCGGATCCACAACCAGAGCCTGTGTCAGTTTGAAACGATCGCGGACCCTTGAAAAATGATAAATCTTCCCGAAGAACTATCATTTTTAAACCACATGGTGCTGCAGTCGAAGTTGATGAGCATCCACTTGTTGGGGTTGGTGTTGAACGACATGGCGTACTCGATGCCGTTGAGAAGGTACCGGAATTCGGGACAAATCATGGCCGATCCAGAGTAGGCCGCGTCGACGTGTAGCCAAAGTCTGAAAAATCTTTGAATAAAAAGAAAAAAATTTCAGGAAAAAAAGTCATGAAAAATATTAAAAATCACACATCCGTTTTTCGAAAGAAAAAATAGGACTTTCGGACAGCATTAAATGAGTGAAAATGACATATTTTCGGAGGCTTAGTTGATACATATTTCTTCGATTCACTATACCTAATTGATACATTAGAAAAGAAAAAAATAGAATTATCATTTTTATTTAAGCGACGTTAATCAACCATTTTTGAAAAATTCAAGAAAATTATTTTCTGGAAAAATTATGATACGCTCGTTATCAGCAAAATTCCAAGTCAAAAAAATCGTATTCCATACACAAAAAAACGTTCAGTACAATCCCAATGATAAAAACGAACTCGTTCTCCTCGCAAACGGGGCCGATCTCACTGAGAACGTCGAAAGAGCAGCATGATGTCGTGCCGAGGGTCGTCGAGACGTAAAACGGTATCAGACCTAAGTTGCGGTCTTCCTTAACTTTTTCGAATTTGATCTTTTGAAATTCTCTGAAAGCACCTGAATAGCGTTTCGTAACGTCTCGCCTCTCAATCTGTATTTTGAGTCAGTTTCCAGGATTCGAAGCTTAACCATTCCAATCATGCAAGCTTTCTCGACCGACGAGTGGGCCTAGAAAGGAAACTATTTTTTAGACATGGAAAATCGAACAGAAGGAATGTATTCAATTTTTAAATATAGTCAAATAAATAAAATTCGTTCTAGTCATTTTAATTGAGCATTAATAAAGCGTGAATCTTGAAAAAAAAAATGGTTTTTTTCTGACAAAATCTGGCGTTTTTCCAAGTGAACTCCAAAGAGGCGCTAACAATCCTCAAGTGATTAGTAAAGGGGTCCGAGTGTCGGAAAAAAAACTTAAGGTTACTCAGATTAACTGGCGCTTCACCAAGTGAGCACTAAAGTGGCGCAAAATGTATTTTTATAAGATTGAATACAAAATTCCTGAACTTTGTCACTCCTTTTTCCTTTACCTCCTTGGAGCAGTAGGCAATCAGCTTGGAGAGCAAAAGTCCCTCCTCGACGAATGGAAACCGCTGTCGGAGCTCTTTCATCACTTCGAAACGGGCCGCCAACAACGACACGAAATTGCATTCCGAAGCAGACGACTGTGTTGCGAAATTATTCAAAATTGTTGCAAGTCAAGCTGGTGGGAACCTGAATAACCCCGCCACCCTTGCCGCCTTCGGTCAGGGGCAGAAACTCCTTGGGAAGGCCGATCATCTTGCCGAACCAGTCGAGCATGATCAACTCCAGCTCCGTCATTGCGGGACATGCCGCCTAGAAATGTCCAACTTCCTTCGAGTAATCACAACGGAGATCAATTCCGTTTCAAACTTATAACTTCCTATTGAAAGACGTCTCCTGTCCGTAAATCAGCCTTGAATATCGAAAAGAAAAGCTTCGGGAATTACCAATTTTAAAAGATTTTTGAACCTCAAACCCACATAAAAAAACTACGATTTTTTTAAATTAAAAAAATGATATTTTTTTGCGGTTGCTCACCCAGCTGAAACCCAACGCAGCCGAGCGCGTCGCTGAGCATATCAGCCAAGATGGAAGGAAACGAGTTTCCCGCGGGAAAGTAGGCGTGGAACCGCGGGTGCTGCCAGTGCGTCACACCGGGCATGATCAACTTCTCGAAATCGTCCATCACGGACTCGAACGAGTCCGGCCGGTTGGGCGCCTCGCCAGGGATCAGGTCCTGACGAATTTATTTTTAGATGGAAAATGAACAAATGTTAATAAATTGGTATAAAAGCTAGTAATAAAAAGTTTTTTTTCTTATCTGGACGACTGGGAAAAACTGTACTGGCCTCTTAAGGTGTTCCTCTGGGACTACTTGGAGAGGACACTAAAGTGGGCACTAAAACCACCTATTAAGGAGCCTATATTCTGCGTTTTAGTGACTACTATAGATCTCTTTGATGAAATAGCTATACCGCTTCGACTTCTAAAGAGGCCACAAAAATAAGCCACCTGAATGGCCACAAATTCGACTACTATAGTGGCGACTAAACGTCAAAACCCTAAAATTACCACTACAATTTTCCAATTATGAGTAAATACTATCCTCGATGGCACCAGCTGATTCCTTTTTTTTAACCCGGTGGCTCTAGCTGATTCACGGTTAGCTTGAGCCATCGTTAAAGGGTCTTGACGCGATAAGAGGTAGTGCCTGTGTGGAGAGCGCAGGAAGGCCACGCCCCTTACTAGTCTACTACTATCAGAAGTTCTTGATCAACGCCAGTTTTGAGAACCGAAAAAAAATGTTCAATTATCCCATGATTCAGCAGGGAATTCCCTCTGAAAACTGAATAAATGTGGGAATGTAAATAATCGCTTTCTTTTAACAATTAGAGGAACCAAAAGACGAGAAAATTGGGCCTACCTTCAGATATCCCGGCTCGATGGCCGGTACAACTCGACGTTTGTGAATCGTTTCAAGATAATCGGCAATGTAATCCACCGTTTCTTTACCGTAGCGACGGAATTGCGTGCGGCTCATTCCTGGAAAAACTCCGTTGTATATTCTCCCAAAAAAAAGAACTTTTATGCACAAGCTTCATATTTGAGTTAAAAGTGCTAAACTAAATTTCAAAAGTCACCGTAAAATTCGTATTTCGCGATATATCGTCGTAGGACGTTTTTTTTAACAGATCCCGTAACTCCTATTTCGCCTATTTCGCGAAAGTCATTTTGAATGAATAACGCGTCGTTTTTAAAAACGCCGAAATTGCTCTGAACACACCACAAATGTTCCGAAGTTAATATAATTGAAAGATCTATAAAGGCGAAGACTAGGATGGCCGTCCAAGAAACTTTTATTCGCCTTTTCAAGGTTTTTTGGAGTTTTTCTGTTCACTTATGAGTTGTAAGAACCCTATTCCTATTCTCGGCTAAACTGGGACCACAAATCCAAGTTGAACCGGACATCCTCCATCAAAAATTGCAACATTGGTGGCGCGACAGTGCAAAAAAAAAGAAAGGAAACCCGTATTCCCGTCGGGCATCGGATCCTCGATGGATGGCGTTTTATCCATGGTTGGTGGCGACGGAACAGTTGTCGGCGAAGATTGATTGGAGGTGGTCGGTTGGCCTCAAGACCAAATAGTTTCATATTCTCAAGCGAGAAACAACAACTAACGAGCCGGTGAGAGCGAATCGCGGAGTCGAGTCGTTTTTTCCTGGCAATAAGTGTTGAGGTTTTTCAATGCGTCCGTCAGCCCATAAACCATTTGGTGTCGGCGTGTTAAAAGCCCCCCAAAAACGTCGTTTTCAAGGCGGTTTGACCTACGAGTTTGCCTACTTCCTTGAAAAAGTAGATTAAGATCAAAATACCTTCCTGGAGTGTATAAAAAGCATAAAATCAACATTAAACGATTCATACAACCTTGTGCTTCTCCAAACAAGCCAGAAGGAGACTTCAAACATATTATATCGAGTAATTGGACACACTTTTCTCATAGACTTCAAAGAAGCCAAGAGAATGGTATCATTAGCGAAACAAACAAAGAATGGATAGAGTAGAAATAATTATTGTTCGATAAACCTCCGATTTTATACTCAAAGTAGCTTCAGATCAGTTTCGAAAACGAAGAGCTTTTCTCAGTATTTTTCAGAAAATCTGCGAATTTGAACACCTTCTCGAGGATTTTTGAACATACCGTGAAACCAAGTGTTTCTTTAATTTTAAGGGGAAAAAAAAGATTTAAACTTCTCCCATGCCTTTTTTTGTACGATTTTTTTCTAATTAAAAAACGTTCACAAAGAACAATAGATTGTCACACTAATGGAAAATGACACAAAAATTCTTGTTCCCAATCTTATTGAAATGGGAACAAAAGATTATCCTAGTGATACTGTATTGATCACAATTTTTTTTAAGTTTTTCGAAAAAAATTTCAAAAATACAACCATTTAAAAAAACGAAAATGGTTCGAGTAGCTTTTGAAAAAATTCAAATTTTCCATTAACGGCCCCAAATCAAATAAATTTTTCAGACTGTTTTTTCGGCAAGAGTTCGATCGAAAATATCATGAATAGAAAGGTATTCAAAATTATTTGACAAACATGGGATAAAAACATTATTGATGAAAAGTGGAAGAAGTTTTCAAGGCGCAGAATTTTTAAATGACTCAAAATTTCACAGATACCGCCATAAAAAAATTTTTTTGAAAAGATGAATTCAAACAAAAAAAAAGTAAAAAAAATAAAATTGAATGATAGGGATTTGTGCGCCCTATTGATAAGAAAATATTCAAACTGCCGCCAGAAAGTTGATCTAATAAAGTATTGACTGCAGGTCCGATATTTCCAGCTTTTCGACGATATTATCCTTCGAATGTCGTTGAAAAACGCTTGCAGATGTAAACTACCAAAACAGCCTCAAAAATGGCTTTTGACCTTATTACCTTTAGGAAACTCCTTTAAAACTCCAGCAAAGATTTTTGAAATTATTATTGCCAAAGAAAGAGAGATTCTTAAAAATTGAACATCTCTATTTTAAGCGAAGAATAAAAAGGCGCAAAGAAGTTGATGGGAAATAGGGAAGAGGTGGGAATAGATGGGGCGTACTACGGTAGGCGTCTGCAGCTGACGTTTAGCCTGGCACTCGAGAAGGATTGCCGCTAATAGGCTGGATGATGACGCTCTCGAGAACGAATTGGATTTCGAGGGCGTTTTTGAGTTTGAGGAATCATTCCTGGAATGGAAGTTGAGGAGAAGCTCGGAAGAAATGTTTATTTTCGACACGGAATCCATCAATACGACAAATCGAAGGCGTCGACGTTGATGTACTGAGGAGCGTCCTTGATGGCGATCGCCCAGTCGGTCGGCGTCATCGAGACCTTCACGTTGTCGATCAGCTGAAAATTTCAGTTTTCTTCCGGAACTGTATTCACACAGTGTCTTCAAAATGCTTTTAGGGGTCCGAAAGCCCCAGAAGACCTCAACTAGTGATAAAAAAAAAGCTACTTGATACTTTAAGAATGTTTGTTGAATGCTTTGATTTTCGAAACTAGAAAAACTTTCCTAATAAAAGCTTATTTGAATTCGAATTCCACTTTCTGAGCGGGTACCCTCATCTAATAACTTCTGCGCCTTTTCACACGGAAAAGCAAACTAATCGAAAATCCGCTAAATATATAATACAAATCAAAAAAAAAAGTGGAAAAAAATCTGATTTTGAAAGAGCAAAGCCGAACCAATTGGCCGAATTCGACGTTCCAGTACTGCTGCAGCCTCTCATAAACCAAGGCGCTGACCTCGTCCATCGATTTTCCGCTCTTTTCGGCTTCTCGGAAGTCGGCTCTGTCCTAAAATAAAACCTATATTCTTTCATTGAAAAAAAGTCATACTTTCTCCAAAGTTGGTCCGAAGAACTTGTGAATTGCGTCGAGGCCACGGAACACCAGAACATGGACCTTGTCGAATCCGCCGTAGCTATAAAGAGAAACTTATTTAAAAATAACTTATTTTCTTTTCTACCTATCTTTAGCTTTCAAAAGCGACGCCTTCGCTTCTTGACGCTGCTCCTGGGTCATCACAGCTTCCATGGCGTAGTAACAAGCTGAAAAATTTGACCTTTAGCATGATCTGCTCAAAAATGATCTTTTTGAATGTTAGACCATTCAGAACGACCTGGAAGGAAAAAAATATCACGACAAGCTGAAGCTGGATGAGCTATATCAACAGCGAAAAAGCTCTTTGTTTCGGAACCTTTATAAATTTTGCCTGTGCTCCTTCTTCAAGCGTTCCGATTTATTCATTTTTTACTGGAATTTAAACTGAGACAATTTCCATCGAGAGGAATAATCGGCAGAATGACTTTAAAAGTCTAAAACTTACTCCCTTCAGAGCTCATCGAACGCTTGCTCAAAAATATTCAAAGAAGAGCATATGATCAACGAAGGAGTTTGGAAAAGTGGAGGACCAGACATCTGTGTACTATTTTTGATCCAAGATACTCACCTGGAGCCATTTGAATCATAGTTTTGTTCGAGTTGAAAATTTTCCCAAAAGTGACGAAGAACTAAAAAAAAGCTGATTGAACTTCGAACTTTGAAGCTAAGCAACCTCAGTGAGCTGAGTCTTGCTCAGGAAAGTCGTAATTTCGGGGTTGACCTGGTCGACGAGCTTGGTCAGTTCATCGGTGGCGCTGTTCAGAGCCACCGTCGCTTGAGCCACCAAAATAGCCACCAACACCGATTTGAGCATTTTCAAACTGACAGAAAGGCTTGTAAAATAAATTTATGAGAGAGGACAGTGGAACGATAGAAACAACACATTGACAAGGAGACCCATAAAATGATGTTTTGCTGATCCGGCTCAATCGCTGGTGGCGACCGAGTTGATCCGCCGCCGGACTAATTGGTCGATCGCGACGAATAACGATTCGCCGGCGACGCAAATCGCCGGAAAAGCGACTACTGCCGTGAAGGTCCACGTTCGCAGGCTCGCACAGGCGACGCTCCTGGAAATAGGTTGCGATTTATTTTCTGAAGAGGTCAAAGGGGAATCTGATTCTCAGAGGCTAGTAATAATAGGTGAAGCATTGGAAAATATTATCGAAAAAAAATACAGCTCCGTGTAAAGTCGTCATTTTTCTATGATCATTCTCATTTGGAGGCTATTTCGACTAGAAGTTTGGACTTCTAGTTCGCCAAAGGCGGTGTTTCGGAGCTGCTCAAAAATGTATTGCTCAGCGCCATCGATAACTTCAAGATTGAAAAATGATTGTTTGACTGATAGATCCAGCTAGATATATTGTCAAGTAGCCTAACTTTCAGCAAAAATAACTTTTCATTGCCTTCGAGTTAATAATGTTCTTCAATAAAACTCAACTAAAAGTCTAAAAAAACGCATGAATGAATATTGATATAAAAACATATATGTAGAGCTCTTGTGGAAGTTTGACGATTTTTCCAAACAGATTGATCCAGCAAACTCACAGTGGATCTGTTGTGGATCCAATTGCGGTCAAGTTCAAGCTAGACTCCATGGCTAAACTCGTCAGATTCCCAGCTCCTGAGCCGGACAGGTAATCCTGGCATGGAACACTCAATTTCGGGAAGCCGCCGTTCTCGAGAAAAGCTTGAAGAACGATAACTGGCGCCAGTTGTTCGGCAGGCTTCGTGAACAAGGCCTTCAGCGTGAAGATCATGGTTGAAAGTGGCTTCCTGAAAAAACAAATGATTTTTGGAGTAGGAAAATTTTTTTCCTAAGTTGTTCCCATTCGGAGAAGTAAGAGAGTCAAAGTCAAAAGCTCGTAAAAAAATAACCTATTCAAAAATTATAATCATCTTTTCTTCATCAAAAAAGAGAAATTTTGAAGCTTGTCACTTCTATAAACTTCATGGGCCATATAAGGATCTAAAATGACCATCTTTCAAAATTTCTTACTCATAATTTTTCTCCACTTTTTACTGATGCATCACAATTTCCAGTAGGTTAGAAATCCGGGAAAGGTCTCGGAAAGACTTTTTTCCAGTCCTTGATTTTTTAAAGCTTCATGCGTGTCAAATTCCCTTCAACTATACTTCATTTTTTGTTCTTTTCTCTTTCGAATAATCCCTCAAGTGCCCACTTGCGATTATTTTGAACGACGTCCGTGTCGATAACCTCGCCGGCGACCACCAAGTAGAAGCCCTGCCAGCCACAGCGAGTGATTGCACTAAGAGAAAATATTTTTTTCCTTTCTTTATAATTCCTCAAACTTTTCAATGACCAAGAAGACGCTCAGACATAGTAAATTATTCTGGCTAAAGGTCAAGGCGACCAGGATATTTGCTATCGAAACAACGTTGAGCGCTTGGATGACAGCTTGGCTACCGAATCGGTTCGTTGGCATCCATAGCAGCAAAAATAGGATCTGAAAAAAAAAATCATGTCAAGAAGACTTCAAAATTGTGAAGGTCTGATTTTTTTTTTAATTTGACAAGTTTTAAATTTTTTTTTTTCAATAGTCAATAGCTCACGGACACATTCCGTGGGTTCGATGAAGAGAACCACGGACATTTTTTAGTGGCCACTTCAGGGTTTTGATTTTTTAGTGACCGCTATGGTAGTAGAATCAGTGACCACTTGATTGGCTATAATTTAGGGGCTGAGTGATACTACTAGACCACTAAAAACTACTGTAGTGGCCACTAAGATGCAAAACAGTGGCTTACATAGGGGTTGTTTTAGTGGCTATTTTAGTGTCCTCTCCAAGTCTTTTAGGAACTTCTTAACTAGAGTTTTCCCTAGTGCTTGAAGATGCAAAAGCCTACACTTCCACTGGACCGCAAAGCCACGTAGTAAAGACCTAGGGAGGTCGTCTCATTCTGGAAAAATCCGCCTTCGACGAGCAAAGTGCCGACGTAGATGAGGAGGTAGTTTTCGTTAGCCATGAACCTTGAATCCAACTTTCTTTCACACGAAACCTTTAAACTCAACCTCATGATGCGGAAGAACTGAGCTCCGACAAGGCAAATGAACCGCGGCTCCTTGATAATCTGCCAGGAGACCTGAAGAGCGTGCTTCGAGGAGCTGTCGCCTTTGAGATCCTGCTCGTCGCCGAGCTCGTAGGCCTCGTTTGTCGGCCTTTCTATCCGCATTTTTGAGCCGGAAAAAAGAAGAAGGACGGCGGCCATGACGGCGATCGCCACGCAACACGATTGGAACATCCAGAAGTACTCCTGCGAGTGCGGGATCCGTTCCAGTGGGAAGATTAGTGAACCGCCTAAAAATCCGATTTTTGAGGCTTTTTCGGAGTTCTTTTTGGCGTCACAACTTTCTTCAGTCGTCGAAAAAGACCAAAACTGTTGAACATGAACTGAACTGTACTGATGTAATGAACATTTTCTTGCCTTAAAAGGGATTAATATACGATTTAATTACTATCAAATGCAACTTGCCGTGCTGATTACCAATTGCACAAAAATACCGAAGAAGTTTTTGAAAAAAACAAAGATGGACTGGTAGATTTTTTTTTGCAAAAGACTGCTAAAGTTCTTTTTCTTTCTAATAAGTTATAAATTTTATGAGGAAAAAGCGAAGGTTCAAATAAGATGGAAAAAAACTGCATCTGGGTAGAAATTCATCGCCAAGACGACTTTTTCAAGAATTTCCAAGCAAGGTATTGTAATATATGAGAAACTCTTTTTCCTTCATAGGTATACGTTCTTATAGTTAATATATACTTTTTGAAGAAAAGGCGCACCCAAAATAGTAGCGACTTCGCCGTAAACGAGGATCCTGACGCGGTCCTGATGCTTGCCGCTGGCCTCGACGCAAAGGCCGCAGTAGGCCGAGAGGACCAAGGTGAAGAGCGTGTCGTAGATGCACAACGAGACCAGCAAGTGCAGGGCCGTCACCCAGCCGACCGTCGTTGACCAAGGGAACCAGAACAGCAGAAAAGAGGCGCATAGAGCTGGTCCCGCGTACAAAACCACTTTCCGTCGGTCCATGATCCATTTCATCCCACAGCCGATGTCCTGAACGTCTCATTCTAAAAGCTTCATCCAGGTCTATTCAAACCTGCATATAGCCCATGAGCGGATCATTGACGGCATTCCAGACGAGGTAGATGATTTGAACGATTTTGAGGTAGTTCGATGGCAAATGGAACTCATCGAAGAATACCTAGGAAATTTGACTTTTTTGAGCAAAAAAATAGTTTCTATAAAGTTTGCAATTATTTTTTCTCCTGCGAAATTTTTTGATGGTCCCTTTCGGATTTTGGTTTTTGGTGGCTATTATAGTAATCGCTTTAGCGGCTCTCAAGAGGCCAAATTTAGTGGCTTTTTTTAGAAGTACAAGCGGCGCTACGAAACCACTGAAAACTACTATAGTGGCCACCAAGACGGAAAATAGTGGCTTCTATAGAGTTTCCTTTAGTGGCCACTTTAGTGTTCTCTCCAATTGGCCCTTGAGTAACTTCTTGAGTGACGACTAGAGTTTCTCGCAGTAAATTAAATAATTTCATCCACATAAAAACTCGCTGTGGTGGGAGCCTTATAAACCTAGAGAAAAAAATAAATTCGAAACTTCAAACAGTCCTTTTTTCAAACCTAAAAAATTCTTATTCTTCAAAATTCAAAAAAACTCGTCTTCTCATAATAGAGGCTAGAAAGAACCAAGATCAATGCACTTTTTCCAACAAACTAGAGAAAATAACAAGGTCAAAGAAAAGTTCCGATTTCTCCAATCGATTATTTGCGCGACTGATAACAGATGGGCAAAATATGGAAACAGTGCGATTCGAGTCCAATTCAAGAAACTTTTTTTCTCCAAAAGAGAAAAATCGGTAGCCTTCCCATTGGTCAAAACAAAAAATAACAAAAACTCTTCAGAAAATAGGAACAAACAGGCAAAAAAAATTCATTTTGAGACATGCTTTTTCCTGAGATTTTGACCAAGATTTAGAGAGATTACTCGAATAAACTGAGTCGATTGAACGGCAATAACGGCAGAAACTGCGATATGAACTAAAGTGATCCACCAGAGGTCGCTCCGTTTCATTTCCCACGGAAAGAGAGAACACGAAACCGCCTTTTTGTTGATACATACCCACAAATTTATTCAATTTCAATGATCATCTTCTTTCAAATATTTTTGGGAGCGCAAATGAAGAGTTGTACGAAAGAACGGCTTAACAATGGAGACTATTGTTTGCCTGTTTTGAAGTTTATTTTGTGAGCCTAGGCGACGAAAAAACAACAATTTTCGGGTTTCTTTTCATTAAAGTTGAATTGAGTCACCCATACTTTTGAAAAAATTAGTCCACACTTCTCTTTTTTTTCCAAAAATTTTCAGAAAAAAAAAATCACTTTCCACAAAACAGGTTGAACAAAACATTATTTGCCGTGGAAAAAAAAACAACAGGAGAATCAGAAAAAAAAACAGAACAGAAAGTGCCACGAAAAATAAAGTGAAAAATCATATGGATTTGGCCTAGACCTCTTCAGAAAGCCAACAAGGATTTACAATAACTTTTGTCCTTCAAAGGAAATTTTTAGACCAGATTTTTCGAATATAGTTCCTTCGAAAAAATTTTGTGAGATTTTTAGAAGCTCATGAGCCTTGCAAGACCCCAAAAAATCACTGAAAAATGCCTTGATATTTATGATTCTATAATAAAAACTCAGTTCTCAAAAAAATTTTCGAGACTTGTTTTTTTCAAAGTGATTAAAAAAAGCTTTTGGTGAGGTGTTCAAGAGCTCAAAAACCTTGAAAACCCCTGAAAACTGAAAAAAAACCTTGAAACGCTAAGAAATTAGCCTAGGCTTCTTTAAAGACCCAGCAAGAATTTTATAATAAAATATTGTCCTCAAAAAGTCCACGCAACTCGGATCGCCAATATAAACTAGACTACAAACTACAAGCTCAAAATTTTTGTTTCTACCAATTAAAAAAGCGAAAAACAACGAAAATAAAGGTGAAATGAACCTTTATGTAGTAGACACTCTGAACGGACAACACCAGTCCCAAGCCAAATATGGAAATAACGAGCAACAGCGAATTTGTGTGTACCGACGCCATCACAATTGTTATCAGCTGTGGACCGGCCCAACCGACTTATCACCTCCCCAGTGTCTTATAATTTTTTTTTTCGTTTTTTGTCCCCATTGTCAGGTGGTAAAAGCTGATAGTGAGCTTTTCTGAACAGGTACTTCTAATCCTTCGACAAGAAAGATTATTTTACTTTGCGCTTGAGAATTTTTTGAAAAATGGCCACAATACTCCTCGATGATGTTGATCATGAAAGTTTCAACCTGCCCAAATTTCTAGCTTTTGGCTTGTGAACGGACATCTCAAAGTCAAAGAAAACTCTCAAAGCCGTTGAAAATAGCTCTTTTAGAGGTTTGACGCTTCATTTTTGTAAAACTAGAAAGTTTCGCAGTTTGAGACTTTCAGAATCTTCTTTTGGTGAATCAAAGAGTTTTCTGACGGGAATTTTCCAATCTCAAGATAAAATGACCCTCCTTATGAGGTATTATGAAAATAGAAAGCCTAAAGAAAAGATTCATTTCGAAATCGGGCAATTAATTCATACAATTGGGTATAGAAAGGCCTCAAAACATTACTTTGAAAAATATTTTTTCTAGTTTTGTAGTTGCTTCAAGCGGACCCGTATTAAATACACATAGTTTTTAAGGCTTGAAACCAAGATGTAAAACGTAAACTTCTATCATGAAAGCTCTAAGAATTATCTTATTTGTGTACAATACTTCAAAACCAGTTTTTTTTTTTGGGAAAAAAAAGCGGACCTACCTTCTCGAAATTGCTAGATTCGCTCTTTTCCAACGAAAAAGTTGCTCCATTTCCCTCGATTTTTTGTCGTTCTTCTGAAAATCACTAACGAATCATGTTTCCTTACGATTTAGAGCTCCTAGGCGATGACAACTTTTTGAGCAAAAGTTGAAAATTGTAAAATATTCAAGATTGCAATTTCAAGCAATTCCTGGTTTCATAGACCTTTTTGAAAAAACCAAACAAACAAAAAAAAAAAAAAGGCTTTATTGCCGCCCGTAACGGATATCTACACAAAAATATGTACAAGAAACAGAAGTGAATATGCGCAATGATCATATGTAACAAATATCAACAATAAAGCTGTGAAAGCTCGTTTTTTTCGTGGTTTCGATAGCACTTGGAATGCAAAAACATGATGTGGATGTGAAGAAAGAAAGACACATTGAGCGATGGAAAAAAGAAATCAAATAAACTTTGGAAGTTAGTAGAAGGTCTCCGGAGGGCACTCAGCCGGTCGCGGCTTCAGATAACGGTCGCAGAGGAGCTGCCAGAGATCGTTCTCGCCTTCTCGAACTCGGACGCCGTTTATCATGATCCATGGCACCTGAAATCACAGTTATGAGAATAAAGTTTCCAAAAAAACTTTAGAAGAATTTTTTTCAAGTTGAAATTTTGTAAAAAAATGAGAGGTGTTTTTGATATATATAATCAACTGAAAAACTTCTATCACGGAAATTGTGAAAAAAATTCAAAGCGAAAAAGTGTTTTCAAATAAATTCCGGCTTTTTATTTAAAATATCCGAGCTATGGATATAATGGAACCTTTTTTTGATAAATATTTCACTGATTATGGTAGAACAAATATTTTTCAAAAAAACTCTTGAATTCATTCCAGTATTTTCTATCGAACAGAATGACCTTTAATCATTGAAGTTTACGCAGCGTAAATACGAAATTTTCCCAAAAATATTTATTCAATTAATACTGTCCTTCAGTACTTCCAGCTTACTAGAAATGCATTAAAATTCAAATACACGTTTTTTTAAAATATAATTTACGATCTCAAGTTCACGCTACGTATTTTAAGACACTTTTTCCACTATATCTAGCGAGGTTATTCCAACTTTTAGTGCGCTATTTTTGTTATACTTTCCTTTTCCAGTTACACCGATCATGCGGCTATGTGTTGTCCTCCTAGGTCAGTAAACAATGATCGATTTACACAAACTTGGAATGAATATGAAGATACAAAATTAACCAGAAAAACGTCAACAAAAATCTCTTTTTTTTCGTCTAGTTCTTGATCATCAACTAACCCAGTGAGTCTTCTCGGCGTACTTCTTCTTGATTTCGCCCTGGAAGTGGAGCAGTTCGCGGCCTTTCACGCTCGTGGCGCAAGCCATCATTCTGAAAAAGGCAACTAATAACTTCTGAAGATCCAAAAGTTGAAACTCACTCTTCTCTCTTGAGAACCGAGCCATCCGGGAAGCAAATTTCAGCGGCGACGTCGACGTTTTCCCTTCCTTGCACACAAGAGACTGTAAAAATTTATCATTCGCCTTGTCAATTATTCATTTCGGATCAAATTATTGACGGAATCGAAGTAATAAAAGCTACTTTTGATCAGTAAAAAGGTTCAATATTTTCAATTTAGTCCAAAAAATGCGCAGCTTACACTAGAAACTTTTATAATCTCCGTTTTGAGTACTAAAGATTTATCTAACGCTCACCAAAGGGAAGATGATCCTCGACTTTCGGAAGATGGTCGATGACGCACGACTGCAGTTGATTCAGAAGGCATTCACGTTCGCCGTGATGGCACTCGCATCTGAATTCCAGACGTCGTGGAATTCCAAAGAATTCAGAACTCACGAGACGTCGCCGTCATCCGTGCAGGTGCAGGCGCTCTTCACGCCGAACGGGTGATAACGAAGCTTGATTCGGCCCGAAGACTTGCCGAACTTCTCCCACATCGGCATCAGGTGCTTATTAAACCAACTGGAAAATAATTTATTTCGAAGAGGAGTTGAAAAAAAGGTCTTGAAAATCGTCGGCACCTCAGATACTTCGCAAGGAGAGTGGAAGGCTCGAAGTTATCTTTTAGAGATTTTAGAGGCTTGAATTAATTTTTCCTACTGAAAGCTGACAAAAAGCGATATCATACTGAAGAAAAAAAGTAAGAAGCTCTGAAATTTGGCTTTTAAAACTCATAGTAGCCACTTCACGAAACTTTCTGTTTCTAAAAAAAAGAAGACAAGCTTTAAAAAGTCCTCAAAAGTAGACTCTCTTTTGGAAAGCGAGATAAAACATGATCGAAAAACGAACCGAGTGGTGTCGCGGCAACGGCCCTCGCCGAACGCTTCGACCTCGACGATGTTGCCAGGAAGGATGACGTCAGCCTCGTCTCCAGGCTTCATCGAGCCCCAGGCTCCGGAGCTCAGAGCGGCAAGGAAAAACAAGACGGTGAACATTTTTCGCGGTGAAATTGGTCTGATGAAACACGCCGCTTCTCGCTTTATATACTAGTTGGCTTGAGTTCAACCCGAAGAAGGGGGCGGAGCCGTCTTATCTTCTATTTCGGGGACCGAAGTTGGAAGACGTGTTCACGTGCGCTTTCTGATCGGATTCTTTCTTTCCTTTTTTCTTTTCGATCTGCATTCCTCGAACAGCGAGTGGTCACTACGGGGTCATCAATCATGTCACATGTAGCACTTATGTCCGCATTGTTTGGGCAACGGTTGGAAAAACAGTAAATATATCGGTTCGAAACATTATTCGTTTGGGTACGATTTGGCAACATCCAGACATTTTTACGATCGTTGTTCAAAGGGAAACCGGTAGAAGGAAAAAAAACCAGGAAAAAATTTACGCTCTCGATTTCACTTCCTCATTTTATTTCGACGTTTAAAAGGTATTTAAATTTTTTGAAACTTTTCCATCTGGATGTCATCAGGTCTATGAAAACTACCAAACGAGGAATTTTTCCAGGTTCACCATAATTATTGAACCTTTCCCCTGCCTCCCTCCAATTCTTCCGTTATTCCAAGAAATCATCGAAAAAAAGGTTTGTCTTCTTGCGGGTCGGCAATCAAGTCAGATGATCCCTGACAAAAAAAAAACTGTTTTCACACATATTAGTCCCAAATTCTAAGAATAGACCGTATCCCGATGGAAAAAGGAACCTACATAGTTTACCTGTTATTGCCATATTTCTTGTGCTCTTAAAATCAGTGTGAAACATTTATAGATGCTCTAGACTTATTGAATGATATTACTATTTATGAAAGGATAAACATTTCGATTCAAGTTCCTTGTACATATGACGCTGTGTACCTTTAAAAAAACAATTCAATTTTCAACTTTTTTGAGGACTTTTGTTTTGGTAAATGAAGTTTTCTGATGTTCTTAGGGCACAGAAGTCATCAAATAAAGTGCTTCTCTTACAAAAAAATTTTGAAAATTGCACTTTGAATGGTGAAAAATGAACTTAACTCTATCTTTATCCAGTAAACCGTACTTTTAATTTATTATTTTCTGTAGTTTGAGTCTACATCAAAAATTCAGCTCAGTCACTTTTTTTCAACTACATTGAGAAACTCAAATGCCTTTTTCATTGACGAGGTTAACATTTATAAGTTTTCAGCTCTTGAAAAAAATTTGGTAAACACTATTCAATTACCTTCTTATGAATCCTCTCAAACCCGGAATCTCCAGAAGTTCGGCGGAATTCCCACAAGGAAAGCCTGTACCCAACCGCTCTCAAGTAGTTCTCTATACTTAGAACTCCCAAAAAAGGCACTACAAATCAGTGAAGAAACTGGTTTGTCAACGTCATGTTTTGTTGACGAAACTGATGAAGAGGTCACTTGTCTCAGGACGAACATGCGAAATATCAAATTTATTACTAACGACAAAACGACCAAGAACCTTCGAGGATAAACAAATATCGGTTAGAAAACTAAAAATGGCAACGCAAATAAGCCCACGTAAGCGCGATCATTTGGAGGAGAATCAGAGCTTTCTAGCGGTTATCAGAAAAAAATAAATATACATCAAAACGACGTGCTTTTTTTTGAATAATTTTCGCCCTAACAATAACTTTTTGAAATTGAAAAACCTAACCGGAAAAAGTTTTAAAAAAATCAGCGATAAATTTACAAAAAAATGCTTTATACATACTATGCTAGTTGAGCGGGGAAACGAAAGGTGGAAGGAAAAGATAGCAACGTATTTCATTTCAGATCTCTAACTGCAAAAAAACTTTAGTGGTCACTTAAGATATTTCTCAAGAACTACTTGAAAAGGAAGCTAAAGTAACCAATAAAAAAACCTTCATAGAAGCCGATTTTTCGCGTCATAATGGCCACTATAGTAGCTTTGTCGGTACCATATAGACTTCTAAAGAGGCCAACCATTTTTGCCTCTCAAGTGGCTACTTACTATGATGACAGCTACAGCGCCCACTAAAACGTCAAAACCCTGAAGTGACCACTAAAAATTTTCCCACAAAGACATGAAAGAATTTGAGCGACTACCAAGTTTCAAATAATACAGCCGAACCCTTAAAGAAGTAGGAATACCGTGTTTCAAGCAAAATTTCCAAGACTAAACCCAAAAAAGGCTGGAATAAACTAGAAAGTTCGCTCATTGGCGATGAACAAGAGACCGTGGGCGATGTAGAACAAGATGCGGGACCAGGTGTGGAGCAGAATCGTGTGCCGTGTGAAGGAGTTCAAGAGGAACAACATGGTCGACGTCCACGAGAGGATGGACCCGAAAAGCCGCAGGAAGGACGCCTTTAAGATAGGAATTCTTATTAGGTTGTTTAATTGAGAAAGGGTTCAGCTCTAAAAATCTCTCTGAATGTAAATATTCTTACGGCGTGAAAGAAATAACTTGCAAGAGACATTTCACTTTGTGGTTGGGAATCCCGTGAAATAACACTCATTGAAGCACCAGAAGAAGATTTTGAGAGTCTCAAGCGGCAAAGCTTCCTAGTTTTAAAGAATAAAAGGCTTTTTGATTGAGACTATCAAGACCTAGATTCAACTTTCAAGGATCTGCAAACGCAAATTAAAATAACTTACCCTGATAAAACCCGCTCATACCACTGTACTTGAAAGTCTTAAAGAATTCCTGTTATTTTATCCTTTCTCGCTCAAATTTTGTGAAAACTCGTGTCATTTTCTTCCTCCATACAAAGAGCTATTTAGGTCTAATGCTCTTTCGAAAAATTTATTTTCGAGACTTGAAAAAATCTGTTACCTTCAGCTCAAAGCTTTTAAGTTTTGTTCATATTTTCATTTGATCTATCAATTTCCAAAAAAGGAAAAGCTTGTTTGAAAAATACCCCATGAAAAAAATACTTTGGAAAAGCTGTATTTCAGCATATTTTCTTCGATTAGTCACCGATTTTTGATCCATTTCGACTCCCATATCGCTTTGAACAGAACTGGTTTCTCAAAAAAGTGACCAAGACGTTGGAATGTATCAGTATCATCCTTGTCACAGAATTCAGCGAGTCAGACTTTTCGGTTCCACGTGAGTTATTTGAAGAGATAGGGGCGTGGAACGTCTGAGAGGCGAGGAAAGGTCGGAGAATGATCGAATAACACAGATTTTCGACCTCTCGTAGTTTTTTTCTTCATTCAAACAGTGGAATTTTTAGGATTTGTTCAACTCAATTAATTCTGTGTTTAAAAATAAATTTGGGATTATTTTTTTGTGAAGTGGAAAAATTAACTTTTTAAATTTTTTTATAAATAACATGAAAATGTTTCAAAAACATGAATTCTCTCCCTCAAACTTTGCTAGCTTTTTTTCTAAACCTAAAGTTGAAGCTAATCACGAGAAACTATTTGAAAAGAACGCATGAAGAAAAGGCGGCTCGAGTTTCTCGCAAAAAGCCGCGTCGTATACGCAACGCGTCGAAAATTCAAGACGTCAGAATCGACTATTCTTAGAACTTAAAGCTTATATTAGTCTGACTCCAGAATATTTTATACTATTCTGTAATTTTTATTCTCATTACGTCATAGGGATCTTGTGTGGAGATTTTCATTCTAGAAAGTTCCACAAGCTATGTATAATCTGTCTGTAGATATTAAACAACTATTGCCCCTGTTCTTGCTCTTCTTGCATCTTATACTCCAGCGTCTTCAAGCTCAACAACTATATAATCCAATACCCGCAAAACTACTACTTTTTTTCCACAAACCTGCCGAGAATCGTAGTCGCCGTGGTAGCCGAACTGACAGAGCGACCCGGCGCCGACGAAAATGAGGACGTGAGTGGCCAGAAGCACCGACAAGACGACGATGAGGAAGGGAATCGCGACGACGAGGTCGTAGAAGAGGTGGAACAACGACAGCGTCAGGAGCACCAAGGACAGAAGCCACAACGCTTTCGACCAGCGTGTCACCAATTCTCTGCAAATAAAATGATCTTCCAATTGGTTTTTATCATAAATGGCTCTTGACGTAAGTCCATCATATTATCACGGCTAGCTTGGATCGCAATGGGGCGTGTCCTGTCTGCGCTCTGCACCAGCCAGGCGTTGTTTCATTTTTTTTTTTTGTCGTGGTAGGACCTTTTCCGATGGCTCAAGCAAGCCGGGAATCAACTCTACAGTAATCTCTATTTTTTTTTGAATCTGAAAATAACGAACAATCCTCAATGGACGGAGAACCTTTCTGGTCAGACAGATCTTATCAGAATCGGTAAAAAAAGATTTTCACGTTATTTCTAATATTTCTTCCCCGTTTTTTTTTTTACTTTCCGATTTATTCTATCATTTTTGTGAAAAAGGTTTACACTACACTTTTTGGAAAAAAAATTAAGATTTATTCGGAAGATCATATTTTAAAAAAACCAAGTACTTTTTTTCAACAAACAAGTCGACAAACCTGAAAGAAATATAATAGAAGATGTTAGCCAATGAGAAGATCAAAATGGAAAGAACGACGGCTGTCCTCGACGACGACTGTGAGTATGTGGCGACGCCTGTTAGATATCTCTCTATCATATAAATCTTCAAATTTTGTCTCAATATATATTTTAAACATAGAAAAAAATTAAAGAATCAATGCGATTTTCGCTGACCTCAACTTTTTTTAAACTCAATCTGTTCTTACTAGTGAGTTAAACTACGAAAAATTTTAGGAAAATAGTTTTAGTGGTTGCAATATTGAAAAGTAAGCTTTCAAGAAGTAATACTCACAAGTAATACAGTCAGTTGATCAAGGAAAAAATAGCCCAATTACGTCAAACTTTCGAGGTTCACTTCACTGATATCATTTTTTAAAGTAGCTCCCAACAGCTTTTAGAAAACTTCCAACGGTTGAATGTAAAATCATAACGTGAAATTTCAGACTTCAGTAACTGGCTTTTCCTAAAAAGAAGCAAAAAACAAATAACTCAACAATATCCTTCAAAAAGGTGACTTTTTTCCTGAAAATTCAACGAAAACCTCTTCCCCTTCAAACGCCAATGTTCTACACATACACTTTCTTTCAAATTAAGGTCTTCAAAATCTCACTCAGAAGGAAAAATGAGGCGGCGGTGGCAAATCGGGGTTTTGGATGCATCGTCGTCGCCAAAGTAAGAAGGCACAAAACGGCAGTTGGCAGACATAAAAGGAATGGGTGGTCCTGAAACGGTCAACTTGATTATTTTATTTTTGACTGAAAAGCCTATTACAATTAAGCTTTTATTACGTCTAGAAACTTTTCTTTTTCTCATCAGCTAACTTTTTAAGTAACGAATAGACTCAATCAATCCTCAAAAATGAGTTTTTTTTTTCCAGGCTACCAGGTTCTCAAATTCATCGTATCTCACATTTTCAGCCCCACTTCATTCTTCCCATTATTCGAAGACTATAATTTCAAATAAAAGCTCGAAAATGTTTCCTCTTCGTTTTCTCATAAACTATGAGCAATAGGAAATCTGTGGTTTTTCAATCTTTTTTTTTCAAATAAAAGTCAAAAACGCTTTGCAAGTCTATTTCTCATGAAATGGGAACAAATAAAGTGCAAAAAGATGCATTTCGACCCCGTAAACATGTTGAACGAAGACGCGGGAAAAGAATCGGTACACAAGTTTCGCAACTTTTTCTTCACTTTGAAACTTCAAAAAGTTTCATTTTTTTTCCGCATATGAAACAAAAACAAACGCTGTGAAGTTTGAACCGCAAAGAAACCATCAATTTGCAATTTTGTTTTCCTGGAAACAACTTCCTTTTTTGGTAAGAAATGTTTTTTTTTTCCTGGCTGGCTAATCGAATCAATGTCACTGCCACAGAACGCACAATCAATTCAAAGAGAACAGAAAACAGACCATTCCCGAAACTTTCAACAAAATCGAACCCACAAGAAAAAAGAAAAATATGTATTACCTTATCATAGCCGGACGTTTCCAGATACGCTAAAAACGCAGTTCCGCCATAAATGGCCAAAGATTGGGCCGGTGAAGTGAAGCTCATCTACAGAAATTGATTGAGTATAGAGGGTGAATTATTGAAATTGTCAACTTTTATGCTCATTCCGGTTCCAGATAGGAGAAAGAAGGGGTATCGCTGATTAAAATGCTGCCAAAGAAGCGGATAAACAAAAAAAAATTCGTTATAAAAACAAACACCTACTCCTTCCTCCTCATATCTCGCCAGCGAAAAAAAAAGAAAACAAAACGAGAACACGCCACAGGATTTTCACGGGAACATCCTCCCAAAGCAACAAAACAAAGGCGTGAAAAAAAAGAGGAAAACAAAACAACAAGGAAAACAAAGCTATAAAACTGCATGGAGGATAAATATTTCTGCAAAGGACCCTCTCCTGGTGTTTGAAAAACGGCCAGATCGTTGTTAGACTGTTTATTCAGAAGTGTTAATGGAAAAAATACTTGAGCGGAATCTTTTAAAACAGGGAATGAAATGGAAAAGAATCAAACGGAACATTGAAAAGAAATACAACATTGAAGTGAGTAGAAAGTGCGCTCCGAGTAAACAACTCCAGAGAGAGAAAAATATCGAAGCAGAAAAGCTTTCCAGTCAAAATTTACGTCATTTCAGACAAACAAGATCGAATTAATTAATAATCGACTAGATTTCTATTAAAGCTTAATATTACATGATTAAACAGAATTACATGAAATAGAAGATACAGGGAAGAAAATTACATGAAAGTTAGAATTTAAATTGAAAACTTAGTTTTGCTTCTTGATGGGTTTCCGGTCAAATTCAGTGATGGCGACCGAATTTCCATAGGTGATGAAGAACTGGGCGGAAAAATAAGAGGCTAGGATGAAGATTTCGTCGAAGGGAACGGCGCGGTCCGTGTAGGAGAAAATGAGCAGCGAGTCGGACAGGAAGAACAAGGAGAAGCCGATCGCGCGGAGCTTGGCTCCCTGAAACCAAGTGATAAAATGACAAGGAAATTTAAGATTCAGAAATTTTGTTGAAGAACAATTTTTGAATGGAAGAGAGTTTTTCGTATGAATCTGAAGTAATAAAATAATAAAATAACGAAGTTTTACTTGAACCTCAAAATAATTAACATAATTTTTTGAAAGACTCAAAAAGATCTTTCGAGCAGCTATTTTGCTCCAGCTTTTTCGTAGTTTTGGCTTTCAGACGTCAAAACATTATCCATTTTTCGGAATATTGCAAAAAATAAAGTTCTTTATTTTGTTGTTTATCAGTCATAGATGTAATAGACTAGGTGGTGAACAATAACTTTCGAGGTTAACGAACTGCTAGCTAGAAAAGCTGGAATTTGGGATTTGAAACGATGAAAAAAGATCTCTTTTATAGAAAAAGGATTTTTCAAAAGCTTTCCGATGTTTCCTCTACAGATTTTTTTTTTCGCCAGAAATAACTATAAGATATTGATGAAAGTGAGAGTAGATAGATATTTTGTCTACCATTCCGAATTAGCTTTGAAAAATGAAAGATAAACGAACATGCTTGGACTGCTGTTCGGAGCCGTTGATGTGCTGAGACATGGAGACGACGAAACACGTCGTCAAGACCAACGAGTACGATGACATGATCACGACTCCTATCGGTTGGACCGAGAGCAAGGGCATGAGACAGACGTGGCCGACGATGGCCGACCAAATGAGGGCCACCGCCGCCAGTTGCCACCAGACACGCGTCCGGAAGTTCATGAACATTTTCTGAAATGCAAACAGTTTGATCCAGCTTTTGCTGTATTCTTGAAGCTTCGGCTAATCTCACTGGTTAATCTGGTTATGGTGATAGGTGGTTTTTCTTAGCTAACGCTGAAAAGCTACCTGATGGCACCAGGTAACGATCGCAGATGTCAGGTAGGATAGCGATGATCTCCGGGAACCTTTTCGGTATTATAACCCATTCCGCGCAAGCTTGTCGAAATTTTATATTCCTCCGCGCTACAGAACACTTCCAAAAAGCTTCTTTTCATTACGCGCGGCTCTGTGCATGAGCCTTCTATTTTCCTTTTCATCTAAGCTAGGAAAATAAGTGAAAAACTAACTCGAAATGAGCTATATTTGGGTACTACTGTTAGCTAATTCACTATCACCGATTACCTTTCGCCGATTCATTTTAAAGTAGCTACCGGATACCTATTTCCCGATTCTCCTTTGATCCATTTTAGTAAAACTTTTATCGCCTTTTCCGAAAGTACGAAGCAAAAATTAGCGAATTTTCCATTCTTCATATTTCTATGAAAACCCTTGATAAATATTTTTGAGAATTCTATCAGAATTACAAAACCTTTGTTAAAAGTTGAGCCCCTTGCCAAGAAATTCTCATTCCTTTATGTTCTTCCTCCAATAGAAATTTACAATTCAACGATAGTTTTTTTTTAAATCAACCTTTAGACAGCATGCGAAATCCTTTAAAAACAGCTCACCAAGTAGAAAATGTGTCCCAAGCCGAAGACTATAGCTCCTGGCACGACTCCTTCATGATAGACGCCTGAAAACAAAAGGTTTCCTATGAATTTCATAAATGGTATGGATTTTTCATTCATCCAAGTTCTTATTTCGTCTTATATTTACCGATTTGCCACTGATAGCTTTTCCTGGTGAAATAAAAAAATTATGAATATTATCATTAGTATCATTACCAATGAGATAATCTCCAGCGGCACCGAGAACCAGTGCCCATCCGGCAGTTAAACGGTCATTAAAACTGAGGCCGCCCTTGTAGAAAAATGAGAAAAAGGCGAGGAAAGCGACCGGCGTGACTTTCCTGCAAGATGAGAACTGAGATTCCTATTCTACTTTTGGAATTTCATTAAAGCTACAACTTTTAAGCTATAATCACATGAAAGACCTAGGCAACAAAGTTTTTTGTGATTTTTTTTTCTTTTTTATCCCTCGAAAGCCCAAGAAACTATTATGAGTGGAAAAAAATTTTGGAAAAAACAGATAACCTTAATAGCAAGATATACATAAGAAATTTTTTATTTTCAGTGGAAAACTGCACCAAATTGAATAAATGCTTTAAAATATGTAACTGAAAACCATAAATTAGAAAAAAATTCACCGATATATCAAATTCAAGGAATCTTCAAACCTTCAAAAGTTTATCTTTATAGTTAGCTACACCTATCTCCGAAGAAGCTGAGTTTTAGGTTTAAAAAAAACCTCCAGACACTTTTAAAATGATTATTTCCTTCTCAAAAACTCACCACAGTGCATAGTAGTTGCCATAATATTTGGTGAATCCGGCAGATTTATGGTAGAAATTCAAGATCAGCAGCACGTACACAGCAGCGGCAATCTTCCAAGCCGTTTTCATTTTGGCTCTGTAAAATTAAATTTCAACAATATTTCAAGAATTGCAGCAGAAGATGCAGGGGACAAGCAAATGAAAACTCGGAATTTGATAAGGTAAGCAAATATTGACTAGATTCTAGGTAGATAATGTCCTCAAGGTTTTTGATCACATCAAGTTTACTAACAAAGTTCTAGTTGAATAAAGCCAAAGAAGCATTCTGAATTATCAATTTGGAGGATGGAACAATATTTGGATCGATAGTTACATGGGAGTGAAATAAATAGCAAATACGGACTGCACAAACAAAGAAAAATGTGATATAGTTTGTCCAAAAAAACTCGCTGGTTTTCAAGGACCATGTACCAAGTAATTAAAGACCTTGAGGCCGTTTTTTTGCTAGTTAAGACAACAAATCTGCTCGTTCAAACGTAATAAGAGGCTTTCAGAGCAGAATATAAAAAAAACTAGAAAAATTGGGAATCAACTAACCTTAACGCCTTCTTCTCATTCCTTCAAACCCCGCTTACCTGCAATCAAAAGTTTATCACAGTCACGACATTATCTTTACCTGACTTAAACGGAGATGCGTACAAGTAACTGAGAGCGAACAACGACTTTCCGCTTTTTGCATCAGAACCAACTCAAAACAAAAATCGAAATATTCATGTCCTAACAAAATCGTTCGACAATAGAATGAATGAAATTATACAAGTAAATCCCGAAAAGTAATAAATCTAATCTTCAAAGCTATAGGACAACGGTTCGGTTACAAGTAGGAGACACGCATGAGGCATTATAACTTCAAAAAAGAGAAAAAGCTGAGAAAAAAATATTCTAATTTCCCTTCAAAAACTTGTTGGCGGAAGTCTCCAACGCACTTTTCGTAGGCCTGAAATATTTTAATGAACCGAGGAAAATAGGAATAAATACGAAAAAAAAATTCTTCCTTCTTAGGCAATATAAAGTTTAAAGACCAAAAAATCAGATGATAAGTATTATTTTTCTAACTTTCGAATCTTTGAAAGCTTTCTAGTTTTTTTACATTTTTTTTGTGATTCGGAATCTGATATTCATCCATAAAACACACCTCGGTCAATGGAGCGCATTTCAAAACTCGTCCAGGGTTGGCTTTTAAGCACGAAATGATTTCCTGAAATAAAACAATTAAGAAAATAAATATACTAATACTGACGTTTTCATTATCCTGACAAACGTTTTCGCGGTGATAGGCGAAAAATTGCTTCTGAACGCGCTCCACCGTCTCGTCGAAAATCTTCTTTCTTTCCTCGATATCGTTACCCACCGAAGAGAGACCGGCGCTCTGAGGTACGACAGCGCCCTTGAAAAAAAGAAACAAAAATAAATTTAAACTTGTCACAAACCTTTCTCTGCTGAAGCTCAGATAGTCGAGCCATTTCCTTACGAAGTCGAGCTTGCTCCTCTCGTTCTTTGGCCAACTCAGCTCTGAAATTTCGCCAAACTGTCAAGATAACAGGAAAATAAGTACTTCAGACGATCAGCTTCAGTATTGTCCGTAACAACAATGGGTCCTTGCGAATTGACTCTTTTGATGACGTCCGACGATACGCCGACAGTTCTGAAGTAAAATTGAAGAACTGATAAGAAATTAACTTCTTTTACTTGTACTCTTCTGGAATCTCGTTTCTATCAATTCTTACAACGTCTGGATTCGGAGCTTCATTGCTCTGCGTTGCACCCATCTGAAAAAAATACAATTCATTACTAGGCGAAAATCCTTTATTTGAGAAAAAAGCGACCAGCGACCTATTTTAACGATTCGTAAAAACTTATTTAGAGCCAACAAGTGAACTGATATGTTTCACTTTGAATTGCAACTAGAAATACAAAATTAAATGGAGGAAATTAAAATAAAAAATGAATTTAAATTCGGGCCGCTCGAAAAATTAGAACTGCGGCAGGAAATCCTAGGCGTGGCCTGTCGTGCAACTCCACCGCTCAATGTTTCCGAGACTGGAAATCGCGGGTCCGATTCAAGCTTCTCGCGCCTTCTTGCTCCAACTTTTTCTTTCAAATCAACGAAAAGATCCTTCAGCAGATGTCTGACAGTCAGGACGGTCGTATTTTACTGGCAGATTATCCAAAACTACCACTTCCTGAAGATCGAACCGATTTTCTCGTTCAAGAGTCGTTGGATTTTGCTCATGTTGGTTCTAGTGACTTCAAATTTATTCAAGAATTATCTTCAAAAAAAAATTCATAATTCAGGCACATGGATTGGTTATGAGAACTCCACAACATATAGACCGAAGTGATGTCTGCCAAAATACTCCGATCGCACTTTTACCCTCTGCTTTTCCAAGAAATCTCTTTGAAAAAGCGGTTAATGTACAAAATGTTTGTTCTGAACCTATTTTAAGTGTTAAATTAATGTTCTTGCAGCTGATTGCTGCGCTATATCACGAAGTAGCCTACGACTACGATTTTCTGATGAAAACCCACGAACAGGTCATCAAAACCGACGTTTTTACCAAAAATTTGGTTGAAATCTTCAAGAAAGTTCAAGAAGAAGGTGTGTTTTTTTCGTTAATGGAAAATGCGTAAAAAGAGATTTTTAATCAATATTTTAAGCCTTTTTTTAATATTTAGGAAACGCCCAGCCGGTATCATTGGCGATTCAGCGTTCAGACTACATGTGTCATAAAGATCAGTTTTCAGCCGAGTATACTTTGAAGCAGGTCAATTTTTTGAAGTCTATGCTTTTTAACTGGAAAAATTTCAGATTGAGGTCAACAATATTGCATCTAGCATGGGTGCTCACGCTGAAAGGGTTTGTTAAGATAAAAAAATAAAAAAAAATTGGTTTTTCTCAAAGGAAATTTGTTAAAAACTTTCTAGGGTCTTATAAAACATCAGTTTATATCATTTCTATGATAGACAAAATTTTGAGTGTCATTTAACGTCTGCTGCGCCCTTAAAAAACTGAACAGAAACTTTAAAAAAAAAAATAAAATTATAAATTCAACATTTTTATTAAAGTTGCCAGCAAACGTGGATATATTTTTGGCTTTTATCCAATTTCTGACCTTTTCCTTAATTTCAAGGTATCAAAAATGCACTATCGGAACATGTCAATTTTGGGCTACGAGAAGGCTCTGCTCAACAAAAGTTTGCCGAAAAATGAGCCGATATCAATGATTGCCGAAGCGTTGTTCGTGGCTTGGTTAGTGTTATTCAAATGTTTTCTTTCTCATACGATTCATTGCTTTCTTTAGTTGAAACGGATCCTCATTTTCTATGTCGTTTCCAGGAAACACTTTGACAACCCAGCGGCGGTCGTTCTCGTCGTCGTGGAAACTGTAAACCAGAACCAAATCGACCAGCGCGTCGTGGAGTATGAGCTGGAGAAGCTTGGAGTTCCTCCAGATCAAATTGTCCGCCGGGACTTGAACCAGTGCAATGAGAGGTTCAAAACAACGAAAAATAGCTTGTGTATTAATTAAAACTTGTCTGGTTTCATTGAAAATTCAAGTCAGAAATGCGAAAAAAAAGCGATTCTTAATGTTTTCCGTTCAAAATAGTTCAAAACTGAGAATTATTTCCTTCTGATCTATAAGCCTCTTTCATTTGGATTTTCTTATCCTTGAAATATTTTTTATCTACTTATCACGCTTTTGGTTCTATTTTTAGGGAGGCCTGAAAAGAAAGAAGCCGAAATATTTTAACACATACTTTTTTCTCGAGTAAAAAGTTCTATGTTGACAAGAGTCTAAAAAATTGAGCTTCATCAACTAAATTTGAAATTTCCGAAATAAAGAAAAACTTTTTGAAGCCTCCGACTATCGGAAACTCGCGGTTTGATGTACCATGGCTCATTTGTCGCAGTCGTTTATTTCCGGGCCGGTTATTCGCCTGATCATTATCCCACTCAAGCAGGTTCATTTTTCCGCTTTTACAAATCAGAAATCGAGCTCAACTTTAACAAAACCTGAAAATATCAATGAATATTTGCTCAATCAGTTTCTGAAAGCTGTGCGTTTTTTTTTTCAATTTGATCGTTTTTTTTTTGCTGTAAGTTTAAAGTCAGCTTGTCAGCGAAAATGAAAGTTTTTTATAAATGAAAACCTTTCTCAAGTACCATAACTACTGTAATCGACATGAATGAATATTTTTCAAAAAAACCATCTTCAATTTCAAACGTTTCAACCTTTCATTTCAAGAAATCCCAATCTTGAGTATTCCTTCTTTGTTCATATCGCATTTTTATCAAATCAAACACCAAATTGGACTTCAAAACAAGATTTTCCTAACCAAACTTTTAATTAAAGATCTCTCGAATCCAAATTTAAAAGATTGAACTCCAACCCAAAATTTCCAATACTGAAACAAGTTCTGGATTGAAAGTCTGATTTAAACGACCAAAAAACAAGACTTGCATAGGTTCTTCCTATGCTTCGTTTTTGAAATTTTCCTGAGATGCGATGAAATTGATTAACTTGAAAGGATCCCAGAATGGGACGCGCGACTACTGATTGAACGGTCGACGGCGATCAAGGCCCCATGGATCGGCCTGCAGTTGGCCAACACCAAGAAGACTCAACAAGTCTGTTCGAACAGCGGATTTTCTGTTACCGTATCTTCGGTTAGGTCCTGGCGGAGGACGGAGCCGTTGAGAGGTTCATTGGACATCCGAGAGAAGCTGCCGCCATCCGCTCCACCTTCGCGGGTCTCTGGGCCATCGATCAGAACGACCCACTCACGAGGAAGATTGTCCAGGTTTGTAATGGGAGGGAAACAAAAAGTCTCAAAAAACTTGGTTTTAAATAGTCAGACAGTTTTGTTCTTTTGAAAGATTTGGGTAGAATTCTGGACACAATAATACAAGTTTTAGCCCCAGGAAGGTAGTACTAACTTTAATATAGGAAAAATTGAGAGGAGTGTCGATAAAAAATGGTCTGCCCATGTATGGTTTTAGGGCCACCCTTTTTTGAAATTCGCTGAGAACCCAAAGTATGAGCTCTAAGGAATTACTGGGAACTCGTTGTCAGATTAAGAAATGTACTCCTTGAAACATTTCAAACGATTCATCAAGAATCCAATTAGGGGGCGATCAACCATCCTTCGCGATTCGTGCTGAAGCCTCAGTTGGAAGGCGGCGGCGGCAACTTCTACGGCGAGCCGATGGCAGAGAAGCTGAAGACGCTGGAGGGCGAGGAGCGCGGTGCCTACATCCTCATGGAACGTCTTCAGCCGCTCGTCGTCGAGGTTAGAAGACGTCGATGAGAGCCGGACAGACTTCGGTTCAGAACTATCTGATCCGCGCCAATCAACCACATCCGCTGTCGAAATGCGTCAGCGAGTTGGGCATCTACGGCTACGCGTTCGGAAAACGCGGCGAGTGCGTCACCAAGACGGGCGGTCATTTGCTCCGGACCAAGGGCGAAACTGTCGATGAGGTGAGACTGGAACTGTTGGTTTCAGAACTGGGGCATTTCAAAAACTATAAAAGGCCGTTGAAAAAAAGACGTTTCAAATATTCAAAATTTGATTTTTTACAGGGAGGAGTCGCCGTCGGCGCTGCGGTCATCGACAGCCCCTTCCTCTACGACCAATTGTAAAAATTTTCCGGCTAAATTAATATTATGAAACAACTAATATGAAAATTCAGCTTGAAAGAAGAAAAATTCCTTATTCCTTCCTGCTAGATTTTCCCATATATCGCATTGATTTGATCTTGAAACTAAAAAACCAGGAATGTTGCAACTGTGATACATTCATTCAATAAACAAATGAAGTGATACATGTATAATACAATAATTGTAAATTCGCTTCTATAGGTAATAAATCGATTGGAAAGGAGGAGATTTTACAGAAAGAATGGCGTTAAAAAGTGTTATCAAGATGGAGTAATTAACATATAGGCAGAAAAAAAATGCAACAAAATGGGTGAATTAAGCAAAATACAGGGAGGTGAAGGTCGAAAAGGTATTATCACGGTTTGGAAGAAGGGGGAACCGTGGAAAATAGTGTTTCGTTTCATGACTTTGTTGTCCGGAGAAGGAAATACCGGTTTAGCAGTTGCAAGAGGAGCCTTGGCTGCTCTGCTGGTTTGGATTGAGCCGAATCTGGTCGGGAAACTCGGGGAAATCGTTGCTTTCCTGTAAAGTTAACTATGTCCTGGAACTAAAAAAAAGAGTAAATTTGCCATGGCTCTTTTTTGTAATCAATACATTTTAGAAGCTCGAATTTTTTTCACCTTGAGGTGGTTAAAGAAAAATAAGAAGAAAAAAATGAAAAGTTTAAATGGTAATTTTTTTTTTCATTCTCTCTAATATCCTTATCTTCAAACATTTGAAAGAACATTTTTTACTGCCAATCGACCTATTCGAACCAAGGAGCTAATTTCTCGAGTTTCTTATTCACATCCACACGCTCCCACTCAATATCGTTATCAAAAAAACTGGACGATAAGGCTTATCATATCACTTAATCTGTGGACAAAAATCAATCGACGTTGAAACAAACCATTGGTAAACGGGATTATGAAACACATAAAAAAAAAAAAAAATTGAAAAATTAAAACATTTCTTACTGTTTCTAATAGTTTTAAGACCTTCAGAAATAAAAGTTACGGCGAGAAAAAACAAATAAAAACCTGAGTTTCACGGGCCAATGCATCGCGAGCGATTGCGACGAATGCAGCTTCGACATTTACAGCTTCCTTTGCAGATACCTTGAAGTGTTTCTTCAGAAAAAAGTGACAATTTTCAAAGAATCACCTCGTAATAGGGAATATTTCCCTTCGTTTGGCACCAATTCTGTGCTCGTTTGGCAGAAACTGCCCGATTCGACTCCAAATCAACTTTGTTGCCCAGAAGAACAAATGGGAAATGGTCCGGATCGCGTGGGCTGAAAATATTTTTAAAATAAGTCTCGATGCGAGTAGTTTATTGTAGATTTAACAAAAATAGGTGCTTAAAACCGTCTAAAAATTGAACTCAACTATCTTCGAAATTTTTTCAATTTCCTTAACATGTACACATAAAACATTTTCTTTTCCATTATTCAAAAAAATCACTATATTTTCTCGCGAAACTCAATAAATAAGTTTACTGTATCTATACTATATATAAATTTCCATAAGTTCCAAATGAAAAACTTTGAGCCCGTAATTCAATCTGAACACGTTCAAAGAAAATATATTTGAAAAAAGGAGCACCAATCCACATTTTTTAGACTTTCAACGTTCTGTCAAGCGGGTCCAGTGTCCAGAGATATCAAACTGTTTTTTTCTACCTTTTATTCTCTTTTCATGAGATCAGAAAATGAACAAACCTGGCTTGGATGAGGAACTCGTCGCGCCAAGAGTCCAAACTCTTGAACGATCCGGCGTTGGTGACGTCGAAGGCGAGGACACAACAGTCGGCGCCACGGTAAAAGGCTACGCCAAGAGATTGGAACCGTTCCTGGCCGGCCGTGTCCCAAATCTAAAAAAAAACCTTCAGAATCTTCCGCGGCTAATGCAAATTCTCGAAAACTATTGAAGCTAATTAAAATTGTTTTGCGACGATCGTTCAAAAAAGTTCTCATTCTCAAAAGATTAAAAAGTTTTTGAATTGTAGGTCTTCGAGAGGCTGCTACACTTTTTTTCTTACAAATTTTTTTCCGTCAAAAAAAGGAAATGTAACCTGCAAAGTAACCGTGCGGTCATCAATTTGAACATCGCGAGTGAGAAAATCGGCTCCAATCGTAGCCTTAAAATCTTTTCTTATTCGCAATGGAAATTTTGATCATCTACCTTGTACTGGTTGCTAAAACGTCTGTTGACGTACTGGTTCATCAACGACGTCTTCCCGACGCCCGAATCGCCGAGGATGATCACTTTCAGAAGCGCCTTCTTTCTAGCTCCTGACATTCTGGAACAAATGTTTGCAAGACCTGCATTTTTTGAATCAATCGATAATAATATCGCGAATAACGAATCTTGAAAAAAAAACAGAAAACTCTCAAATTTATATGAGTCATAGCGTATCCAACTGAAAGTCGTATAAACAGAAACCAGTGCACATGAAATTAATGACATTCAACAATAACAAAAATAAATTGATCAGAGAAATATGACGGCAAGGTATGAAAGAATGAGTTGTGTGAAATAATAATAAAAACCGGAGAATTCAATGAAAAAGAGTTCATCCATCAAAAATACATGAGATTTAGTGTCTAGCTATGAACCACTCCTTATCGGGACAAGTCTCTTCATGTTTCCTAACGTCAGCTGCTTTCAAGAAATGTAGTGGGTTAAACCGGCACATCCCTAACTTTTCCGGATTTTCCTGAAGAATATTCTCGATTAACCAGTGAATTTTCTTTCTGCAAAATCAAGAAGTCAATAATAAACTTACTTTCGGGCCATTTATGACTGTATACTCGACACGAGGCGGAGAATAATCTGGAAATACCCACTTAAATTAATCTTTCCTAACTAAAGCCGCTCAATTTCAAAGCGCTAATAAATCTGCAGAAAGTTTTCAGAGATGATATATAGCTTGCTTGTTTCGCAACGTTAAAATTGCATTAAAAAAATTTCATTAAAAAAACTAGAAAAATCAAAAATGAGATGCAAAACGGAGTTTCCACAATAATAATTGATTAAATACAAGCTCTTTTAAACTTCTTCATTCTTAAAAAAAAAGAATTCAGAGAGAAATGATTTTTTTAAAATATCATCACTTCAGATCACCTGAAAAATGATCAGAAGGGAATTTTGCGGTTAGTTAAAGCGATGATTGAAGAGATAGCTTACTTGGATGCTCTCGCGGAAGTCGTGCATTATTTCTGGGTTTCTGCTCTTGATTTCGGCGATTCTCCATTCCAGACCGTGTGTGGGAAAAATGCGCGTGACGTCGACGTGTGAGCAGATGACCCGAGGAAAGTTCACGTGACGAAAACGCTGAGGGGCCGCCAAACAGCTGATGGAAAACGACGGCCAGGCAGAATCACAAGCCTGCCGTTGCGATGCTTTTCCGTCGCGACGCGACGTTTTTCCATGGGGCGCACTTGCTTCAAAGAGAAAACGACTGGACCGAGTGGAACCGGTTTTTAGTCTTTTGTCCTTTGTGAAGTCATCGTTCGACATCAATTTACACAGAAAGTTGTTCTTTAGACATGTTACAGCGTGACAGATCGGACGGCAAATGTAGAATGAAGGGAAAAAAGGAAAGAGAAGGATCTTTTGGAGAGGATAATACTTTTACTGTTAAAAAATCCCGAAAATGCCAGGCTTTGAAAATTTCTCTCATTTAATGAATAAAAAATCCGACTCCAAAAAAAAACCAATACATCATAAATCAATGAATTTTTTAATAAATTGGAAAACAGAGAAGATTTGTAAAAATCAAAAAGAATTTTTAAAGAAAAAAGGGAAAAATAAAACTGAGAACGGAAGTTCTTTCTCAAGACTTACTGCGAAGTAAACAGCCTGTAAAATGCGCCGAAATGTGTCTGGGAGGACGGAGTGGGAATGTTGAAATAATGCGTTGTTTATTTTCTCAAACATGTTCGATGGTCCTTCGTCATATATTGACTTTTATGGAACGGGAGCAAAACATTTCGACCTGCTCTCAAACCAACCAAAAAACTGCACCCTAAAATAGGATTGATTGACTAAAATTTTGCGGGTTTAGAATGTCCAAATATTATATGACGTTATGAGATTTTTTTAATATTTTTGAGGCCATAATCTTTTCAGAAATCGTCAATAGACTTCCCACGGCGTTTTTTTCGCGAAGAATTCCTGCAGAAGAACCGAAATCGAAACTTTTGCAAGTTTTAATGGCCCTTTAGGGGTAGGTGAAGTGGTCGCAACCTTCAAACTTTTTTAAGATTGCCCCTATAGGGACCACTATGGCGTTCAAAAACAAACAAAACTTCATTTTGGTCGAATAGCACAATCAGTTGCAGGCTGCAAAACATCCGTTCCACTGTTTTTTTTTTTGAACTCCTATCGGATATTTTTAGACTCTCTTTTCCCAAAAAAAAAAAATGAAAAAAGTTTCGAATCACATCCATGGAAAACCAAGGAAACGGACGGATGGGTCGTATGGCAACGCAGTCGTGTCCACGACGATCCGATTTTCAAACTTCTCTTTCCTGAAAAAGTCGCTCCAGATGTCGGCTCCGCTTGAGGTCTTCATGACTGGCGAATGTCGAAAACCCGGGTGCATGTTCGCTGGAAAACCTCACGTCCATTGTAGCATGAGGCGGTGAGTGAAAAGAGGAACTGATTAAAAGATTGGTTAATCGATTTGGAAAGCCAAGGGAAAATACTTTTTAGAAGAAAAAGGAAATCTTTTTTTGCAGGTGCAACTTCTCCTCGAACGACGAGCTCATAATTATGAATCACGTTTGCACTTTTCACGCCGGACAGCCCCTTCCGCCGAACCTAATTTTCAGCCACATCGACGCCAATTGCACTGGTGGCGATTGGGAAAGTCCGTTCGATACGCATAATATCTGATTTTCGAGAAAATGTTTAGGCTGAAGAAACATTTCTACTTCCAAAAGCGTAGTAGAGTCCCTAGACAAGAAAACTACGCCTGAAAAAGATCGTTTGATACGAAGAAATCCCGGATTATCAAAGTCTTCAGCCTGAAAAAAAGCATTTTCCTGTTTCTAAAGCTTGTTTGACGCGTCTTGAATCTTTCTGTTTGCCTGCGTCTCTCTGTTCCCTATCCGGCAAGGTCAGAGAAACATGAAAATAGTACGTCGAGGTGAGATGGGCCACCGAGAGATGAGGGGGGCGCAGAGAAAAACAGCAGTTTCAAGTGGCGAAACACGGAAAAGAAAACGTAAAAGTTGAATTTTGGTTCCTGAGAATGTTCTATCAAGGGCCTTGAAATTCGCTTATAAGAGTAGACCTAAGTTTTGAAGCAACACCGGTAACCTGTCATTTTTTCAGATTGTATCCTATCTAGAAAACAGTCGCATTTCCATTGCACCCAGTGTCGGAAGGTCTTTTTTCTTTTGCTTTTTTTTGAACCTGGAAATTTTTCAGATATTTTTTAGCCTTCGCCAGCACCTAGTATGTCCGCCTCAGACTCCACCAACTTCAACTACAGCCTCGAATCCTGAGGTCGGGCTGAGAGTTCTGCTGATACTGTTAATTTCTCAGGCTCAGGTATGCTCCAGACCTTTCTGCAAGCTGAAGAAGAAGAGCCATTTTCACTGCAAGTACTGCGACCAAGGATTTTCCAATCCTTCGAAACTTCTGCATCACGCCCAGCGGCACAAGTTTGGAGTCGAATTGTTTTTGGACGGATCAAAAGGAAAGTTCAGACCTGCAAGGAGCTCTCCCCTTGATGTTGGCGTTGTCTAGATCACTATTTTTTATTTTTTATTTTTTATAAATCCCTGCCTATATATCTATTGAAAATGAAGAATAAAATGTTTAATATTTTATCTTTTGATCAAGTTAAAATTAAAAAGTTCAAAAATCTTGTTACTAATTAAAAAAATAAGTTTAAAAAAATGTTTTCTCCGTAAAAGGCTGTAGTTTCCAACATCTTTTTTTCACAAACGTTTCGAAATTTGTGACAAGCTCACGCGTAAAATATTATCGAACATTCGTTTAAAGTTTCATTCAGTTTTAGCAATGAAAATCCCAGAATCCAAAATACAAATTCCATTTTATAATGTACGACTTCTGATTTTTCGTGACTCTAAAACGATCGCTCCAATGGAAAAACGTCGAATAACAGATATTATAAAATTTTATGAGAACTCGGTTTTTTTGCATAAAGAAGTTGTTAACTTGTATTGCAATGTACTTATGGTTCTGATACATCTACAGATATGAAAAGGCAAAACAAAAAATGAAAAAATTGTGTGGTAGTCAGGAAAATTTTTGTAGATAAGACGATTTTAATGGAACTTAAAAATTCGAAAAAACTATTCATTAACAGATTGAACCGCAACGAGGAGAAGAATGCTGAGGCTACTAAAGTGGTCACTAGAAATGCCCCTTCGTTTCGAATTACCAATTTCCGAGTTTTTTCATCCTTTTGGCGTTTTTCATGCCCTTCTCGACGTGATCCCACAAAATTCAAAACAGCGGTACGACAGTGAAAAAGAACTCAATTTCGAAGTCAGAAAAAAATAAAAGGAATTTCGTGGAAATTACTTTAAAATACTTTAATTTACTACAAGAGGACATAAAAGATACAAAACCGCGTCATAAGAACCAGTTTGAGACAGAAAAAAAATTTCATGGTCTGCAAAAAATAAAACGTGAACCCTTTGGGAAGGCGTCATTTTCTAAAATCGACGCTTACAAAAACCACGTGGCAACGTGTCATTTCTTCCTTTTTGACTTGGGTACAAATCTCATTTCTACTTCTGTCACGGCCCCGTGTTGCTCCTGAACTCTACTTCAAGATAGGTTTTAAACTTCCAAAAGATTCTAAATTCCAAAATAGTTCTCTTAGTAGTAAGCGCTAGTAGAATAGGCCCGTGGGACTCCCGGAGTGCCGATCCTTTTTGCTTTGCAAATCGGATACGCAAAGTCACGCCGAAGCCCATTCCTGTGGCTGAAGCATAAACTGTTGGCAGCGCGATGCTGACAAAGCGATGATGGGACCCCCACGGAAAATGCCGTCACGGCCTTCGGCGTCTAGGATATTTAGTTCTGACAAGGCCGAGCGGAGCTCTAGCGCACCGCCTAGTTAGTTCTTCTAACTGGATAAGGCATCCCTAACTTACTTGAGGCTTTACATAGTTAGTCAGCCAAAACATTGCAATTCGAATAACTCATTGACTTGCTTTTTCAATTTTGAAACTATTGCAGGAAGCTTTCAACGATCTTCTAATCAGTTCATGGAGGATCGACGAAAAAAATAAAAGCAGTTTGATTTTTAAAAAAATTTTTTTTAAATTAATTTTTTTCAGAAAGAACGAATGAAGTCCAAGAATAAGGAAAAAAATCTATCGACGATTACTGGAACAACTTATATGAGGTTTGGAAGGTTTCGAAAAAAACAAAACAACTTTTATATTTATCACGTTGTTTCTGGAATTACACAAATTCTACGAGTAGAAAAAAAAATTTTTTTTGTTGATTTTTTTGATGTTTTAACCAGTGTTATTCTATGACGTCTGCGGACAAAACTTTGAGCCGTTTCCTCCAATCGTAGACGGGTTACGGAAAGCGCGTGAAAACCTGCGTATCTAAGAGTCGAAGAGTTATTTCCAGGCAAGTTGTATACTTATCGATAGGTAATGCAATTTTATAAATTTTTCGAGAAACACCATCTTGAGTTATTGTAGAATTTTAGTTTTCGTTAAATCGCAAACCGCTACTCCCTGACGTCATCCCTATGACATCATTCGTAACAAAAGAAATAAGCGTAATCAAAATATTTGGCTATATATTCATTTTATTCACGTGAACATGATTCAGCAGATTATTATTATCTCATTTCATCACGTCGACTGGTCGGTCTCATTGCCGCTCTCTCATGGGATAACATTCCGACGCCCGTCAGCCCTGGACAAGCTGGGCGCCGTACTGTTCCAACATGGTGAAGCAGTTTATTCGCTAGTACTACCAACGGGCCAACATTATTTCCCAACGCTAGCTGTCACTCCGGGACGTATTGGACAACGATTGTGGACCGTCACCCGCGCCGACGACTAACTCTTCGATTATACCATGATTCAGCAGAGATTTTCTTCTTTTTACTCTGAAGACTGAATAAATTGAACTGAATTGAAATTGAAATTGAAAAAATTGAAGAATGAGAAGAGCCTGAAATGCGCCTTTGCATTAAAACTGCGCTTACAGGTTCATGCATTACTTAAGAAAATAGGCTTAGTTTTAAGGCTTCACACGGAGGCGGAGCGCGCATAGCGCGAAGCCGACTGTGGCTCGCTTCGAAAAAATGGAGCCACAGTGAAAAATTCGTCAAATAAATGAATACTTGACATAAAAGGCATTTAGTTTCAAAACTTGGAAACTAATAACACTATCAGATAGCTCTAAACTTTTTGCAAACTTGATACGCGTAGCGAAAAAATCTGTGAAATGTTCTTCCCAAAAAGATTAAAGGAGCATACTGTGCGTAAGCGCGAGCTTTGACGCCTCGGATTATTCCAAACCTTTAAAAAGGTTTCTAAAAAAATTAAGAAAAATAGAAAAAAATAAAAAAAGTTTCCAATCAAAAGGAGATTTTCAAGTGTGATATCTTTCTGTTTTTTTCATGTGACCGGAAAAGTTTTCACGTCGAATCTAATTTTATAAATTGGAACGTAAAAAATGAATGAAAATGATATGGCTGCGTGTGCGAATTTTGCAAATGAAGATGATGTCATAGGGATGACGTAAGGGAGTAGCGGTTTGCGATTTAACGCGAAGTTAGAATTTTTCGTGATACGGTACTTTTTTTGTTCGCCATTTTGGTTTTTTGGTCACTCTGTTACCAAGAGTTATTTCCCGCTCAAGTTAGGTCTCTAAAATTTTTTTTAGGTAAATATACTCTCAGAAAACGATGCGGAGCGCATTGCTGGTTTCTGCGGAACGCGCGCAAAGAGAGCTGCGGAAAGTATTGCCTATGCATTTGCCGTAAATTTCGAAACTTCAATTCCACATTTACAATATTTGTTAATAATGCCGGTTCAAAGTAATTTCCGCAAAATGCAAAGTGTACTATGACTCTCCAAAATTAAGTTATTTTTTTCTCTCTGACGGCTATTCTGAATTTCGCGGAATCACTTTGAACACGGTATAAACGAAATATGAGTCTTTTTTTTTCAACTTTCTCACTACACGCAAACAAAAGAACAACGTTTAAAGTACTTTAAACCGTAGTAAAAAAAAAATACCGTGTTCAAAGTAATTTCGGCGATTTCAAAATAGACGCGTTATTCGTTTAAAATGATTTCGGGAAATAGGCAGAATTGGTATTACGGAAAGGCGCAAAAAATTGAATCCTACAACGATATATCGTTTGATACGCATTTTTACGGTGAGTTTTACACGCGAACTTGAAATTTCAGTAGAAAATGCCCAAATAATTCCAAAATTTTGAGTTCCCGCGAATTCCTTCGCGAAGGAATTACGGTAAAATGCATATTTAACGATATATCGTTGTAGGACTCATTTATTCTGCGCGTTCCCGGAATAGCAATTCTGCATATTTCCTGAAATCATTATAAACGAATAACGCGTCTATTTTGGAATTGCCGCAAGTACTTTGGACACGGCAGCACGGTGTTTTTTTTATTACGCAAAGTCAAGACTTTTCGTAAATTATGATGCTTAGGGTGTAAGCACACCGAGACGCACTATCGCATACTCAAAATGTTTTTTTCAATTTTAGAATTTGCGATTTCAGGATAATAGCTCCTGAAATGTTCGAAATCTTGTCAGTTTGAAGAATATGACGTGAAAAAACATTCACTTACGTTAAAAAAACATTTAGGAACGATTTCGAATGGGGAAAAACTCTAAATTACTAATTACAAAAATAAAAAAACAAAGAATATTATGAAAATGAATCAGCTCCCATTGAATAGGCAATTTTAAATACGAAAAAAATATTGAAATGAGGAAAATTCGAGGAGTAAATGAAAAAAAGAAACATTTTATATAGCTTGAAAACCTAGCTTCAGAAAAAAACAAGTAATGGATAGAAAGCAGAAATTTTAGAAAAAACCTCGTATGGCGAAATTTTTTTGTTTAAATCTGAAAAACCATCAAAAAAACTAGAAAAAAATATATAATTTAGATGATGCATATATCAAAAATCATTAAACTGCATCAGCAAATTCAATTTGGCTCTAATTTACACGAAACCGGTTTCAAAACTACGTCAAAGGAACTAGACAATAACTTTTTATTATTAACTGATTAAATTAAAAAAACTATAGTTTCCGAAATAGAGTTACTCTTTTTCATGTCGCGAAACAGATTTCAAAAATTTTTGAAAAATTAGGACTTTTAGAAAAATCTTCAACTATTTTGAGAAAAAAGTTAAAGATCTGAAACCGGTTTAGAAAAGTGCGCAATTTAAAACTCCACAAAATGTACCCATAGAGAGGCGGATCACATAAATGCAAGAAATAGAAAAAAAGTAAAAAAAACCAATGAAAAAGGGCATGCTGGAAAGTGCGCGCTGTGCGCACTCTTTTCTCGTGCGCACGTAAGGAAAAATGCGCACTCTTTTTCAAATTTTGTACAGGAAATTGCGCGCTCTTTTCTAACATCAGGAAAATGCGCACGGTTATCAAATTCCGCTCTTTTCAAGATTGAAGTCCACATAAACCATCTCACTTTTCTCTTTGTCATGAAGAAATCTTTCAGCTAAAGATGAATTGAACATC